AAAAAAAAAAAAAAAAAAAAAAAAAAAAAAAGGGAGAGAAAAAAAAAAAAGGCGCGGAAAAATTTTTTTGGAAAAAAAAAGAAAAAAAAAAAGGGGAAATTTATTTGGAAAGCCAAGGGCAAAAACCCGGTTATATGGAAAGAGAGTGTGTGATAAGGCTGGAGGCAAGTTAGGGTCAAACGAAAGAGCCCCCCCGAGAGAGAGAGAGAGAGAGAGAGGGACAGCGAGTGGTACAAATGGGGGGACATCCAAATCAAGGTTGTGTGGAATGAAGAAGAAAAGGAAAGGGAAAAAAAAAAAAAAAAAAAAAAAAAAAAAAAAAAAAAGGAAAGCTCAGGCTCAAAAAAAAAAAAAAAAAAAAAAAAAAAAGCAGCGCGCTACGCTCTCCGGGTCCGAATGAGGACCGCCAAACACGTAATGCAGCAACCACACGCAGCTGCCGATAAACACCCACTTTGCGGCGGGACACCGACGCACGACGCTTCCAACGCAACAGCCACACAACAGGCAATAGCCAGCCTAAAAGGTGCTCAAACCTCGATCGCCGAAACGACCGTGGTCGGAGCAACGAACGGCGGCTCTCTCCTCGCTCCGCTGGCGACACATGCCACGCACAAGCCCGTCATCAAGCAGACAGGCAGGTTCCGGCGGCGACCAGGCGCAGGGGGGAAGCGCGCCGAGCCAAAGAGGCGTTGTCGTCGTTGTTATTGTTGTTGTTGTAATGCAAATCCTTACAAACAGGCCCAAAAAAAAAAAAAAAAAAAAAAAGGCGTTTGTGTTTCGTGGTTCGATGGTTTGAGGTAAGATTGCTGGAGGCGACAATGAGGGAATGGGACACGCTCGACACAAGCACAAGCCGAGGACAGTTTCAAAGCACTCTGCAGCAGGCTGACTTGTCGAACAAGGCGGTGCAGAAGCGCAGGGGAAGTGAACTGGAGAAAAAAAAAAAGAAAAAAAAAAAAGGCCAGTGGCACATCTGGAACCGCGCTTCGCATGAGCGTGCGAGGTAGTCCATGCCATCCCCCGCCTTCCCGCTCGGTGAGCAGTGAGTGTACGACATGGGTGCAGCAGCAGCACCGCAGCCAGCCCCAACGCCTGCTTGGCGTTTCGTGTCGGCGTGCGCTCGTGTGTTTTGCAATGAAACAACGAAAAAAAAAAAAAAAAAAAAAAACGTACTCAAAAAATAATCAGAATAAATGCTAAAAATAATAAAAAATTGAGTGAGGTGAAATCGAGATTAGGTTTTGGGTTTGCCATTCACTCGACCGCTTGCGAGACTCGACACGACCAGCAGCGTACAAACCACAGCGGCAGAGCAAGAAGAAAAGAGCTGCTTGCACACGACGAGGAATTCGCCGAAACAGCTGGAATCCAAAAACAAAACAAAATAAAACAAATGAACAAAAAAAAAAAGAAAAGAAAAAAAAAGGTGACCATGCAATAAAACACGATAGGAAAACGCGACCGGCAGCGATTGAGATGGAGAGGAGAAGGACATGAAACGGAACGCAAGCATGGGGTGAACGGCGGTCGAGTGGATGGAGCGAGCGAGAGGCGGAGACGGGAGGGGATGAGGTGGCAGAAAATGCATGAAAGGAGGCGTGATTGCGGGGGAGGGTGCGAGAAATCGAGATGAGGCAGTGAACGAGATGCAGAGGGGTGGTGGGGCAGAGAGAATAGGGGCATAGGAGGATGGGGGATGGGTTAGGGTTGAGGTCAGGGCGTATCGGCAGCTGCGTGGGGCGCCTGAAGTGAGAGAGTGCACATTTGTTCATTCTCATTCTTGCCGACGGAACGTGTCAAACAGCGACGACTATCTACAAACCCGACCAAAGAGAAAGAAAAGAGATCGCACGAGGTAACGGTTATCATCCAGACACGTACGCACACAAAAGGGGCGCGGGGCGGGGGCGCTGGGGGAACGAGGATGAGTGAGCTGCTGCTCGAAAAACATTCCGAATGACAGACAGCATGGCAGAGGGGCTGATTGCTCAGATTGGTGAAACGATGGATTGATGGAAACTTGAACATTGAAGAATTTTACCATTTGTGTCAGCAACGGCAAAACGATGATTCAAAAGAGACCGAACAACAAATACCGAACGACGAAAAGCTCAAAAAGCGAATTGACGACAGCGCGTCATCTTGCTCGAGAAGAACTTCAGGGCTGAAACAAAGTAGTAGCGAATACTTGACTACAGTATGGTGCCATAGTTTACCCGAGCGAAAGTGCAGAACGAAAACTGCTCCGGCAAAGTAGCGAATTGCAGTCGATGGTGCCATCGAAAACGCCCTCCGGCTCTGTTGTCCAGCCAACTGCAAAATCCAAGCACGCATGGCATTCCTTATAATGGCATCTCTACATGTGTCTCTGCACATTGCAACGGGTGATTGCTTTCGCTCCGCACAATGCTGGCAACGCAGCTCGCAAGCGACGTTCGCTTTTAGAATCACATGGATAGCCCAGAATGATGAAGAGTGCAGAAAGATGCTGTAAATAGATAGTGTAGAAGATTGAACTTTTGACTGTCTTCTGGAATTGTGAGGGATGACACCAACAGTGCAAGCAGCGAAAAGAGTTCAAAGCAAGCACTCGCAAATCGCCCGAGCTAGTTCAAATCACGCGGTAAAGAACAGCCTGGTGTACGTCACTTCAAGCCTTGAAGAGCAGCCTGCACAGTTTGGTCGAGCAGAGCTTGGACTTTGGGGTGGAGACACGTCGTCTTGCAAATCATCGCGTCGGTGCTCCTCGGCTCTCCGTCAGGTCCACGCACCATTGCCTTCTTGCCATCCACCATCTTGACATACGTGGTCCAAAAGCCAACAGGATCGAATGAGCTTGACGAAGCGTTGACGCGCTGCTGATGAACCAGCTCACTCCAGAGCATCTCCGGACCGTTCGGGTCCATGCGCGGAAAAAGTCGGTCGACAGCTGTAAAAACCTTGTTCTGCTGGTCGTTCGGCGCTGTTTCGCTCGACTTCGTAGAGAGACCCAGACCCGACTCCTCGCGCATGCTCTTGAATGAGGTGAAAAAGTAATCCATGTGCTTGTAAATCACGCGGATGGCGTGGTGGCGCAGGGCGTATGCTTCCTCGCTCCGCGTGAGCATTTCACTCAAAATCAGGTACGACTCGATGCGCGGCAACAGCGTGTAGACGACAGGTACGCCAACGTTTTTCGAGATCTGCGCCTGGGCGGCAGCCAGATTGGGCGAAGCTGCATACATGTTGCTGTCGCTGAGAAAGGCATGCTTGAGCTTGGTTTGCCTCATGATGTGAGAAACAGCCTTCCTGTCAAATGCACCTGCTGTCTTGAACTGAGCGTGCTGACCGAGCGTCGTGTACTTCTGGTAGAAGAGCTCGTCGTCTGGGCCTCCAACAAGCAGAACCGGCTTGGTGGTCTCGACCTCGCTGTGTCGGCACAACGAGACGAGAGGTGAGCGATCAAGTGCATTTAGCGTTCTCTCAAGTACCGCGCTCTGGACGAAGCCGCGCAGTGCGCGCATCATGACAACACATATCCTAGCATACCTTGATTGTTGTTGTGAGTGGAAGAGCCCACGAGGAACGCGAGAAAGCAGAAGAGGCGGCGGCGGCGAAAATGACAAAACACCAAAAGCGCGCGAAAAAGCTGAGAGCCTCTTGCAAGCAAACGAGTTGAACGCAGATTGAAGCATGGAACAAAAGGACACAAGACTGACCGGTTTCTCGTTTCAATACAGAACAAAATCAATCGACTTTGAAGTGCAAACACTGTTATGGCGTTCAAAGGCCGGCAGCCACCTGGGAGACGTTGCATGCCCTCTCTTTGCTATCAGTTGGAAGGTCTGGGTCAATATCACATGTCAAGCAAAACGACAGGCCGCTTGGATGACGTCTACGGGCTGAATGCTTAAAATGAGCAAAATCTGAGGACACCCGTCTATCGACCCGGCACGCGCTATTATTGACTCCACAATATCACTACACTTTTATATTGTTTTTTGATATCGAAACCGGCGGCTGTGGTTGAGAGACGGATTCGCCGAGTCAAACAATCCAATTTCAGCTCAGTCTTGAATCCAATTTCAGATCAGTCTTGAATTTTCCTCTACTTGGTCAAATACATCACTCGATGGACGCTTCAGCGTATATCAAGACCACAAAGGTCAGCATGAACATGAACTTGACAGCAGATCAACAAATAAAAAGTCAAATGGAAAGTGAATGGAAAGTCAATGGAAACGTCAATGGAAAGTCAATGGAAAAGTTGGTGTTCGATTGGGGTTGAGTGCGTGTTCGCTCGCTCCCGGCGTTTGAGCGGCGCTGTGCTTGTGAACTGTCCGCACTCAAACACGATACGATCGAGAGAAGCTCCCCCCCCCCCCAAGCAGGGATGAGAGCAAAGCAAAAGGAAGAAGTGACTTTTTTTTTTTTTTTTTTTTTTTTCGTTTTGCTGACCTTTGACTCCATTGTTGCTTCCGTTCTTCGGTCCTTCTTTGCAACCCAACCCATTCATTGCTGACAATTCTGACACGTAACCACTTGTTTGTTCCATCGCTCTCTTTGTGTGTTTGTGACTCTTTTGTGCGCGCGTTGGGGAAACTCTTTGTTTGCAGGTCGAGCGCATCGTCCTCGAGACCAATTCATACGGACTGGGCACGGCGGCCGTCGCGTCTGCCGGGTCGTCCTCATCAGGCTCGACTTCATCGTCGTCATCAGCATCATCATCATCGTCGTCGTCGTCGGCGGCGGTGGGGTCTGGTGGCTCGGCTGGAGGCGACAACCGAGGAACGATCGGCACCCTGCATGTCACGGCAGAGCACCTGCTCTTCTCAAGCAAGGAGCGCAAGGAGATCTGGGTGAGTTTGGAACTTGACTTGCATAGCGCCGACTCACGTGGGCATCCGAGGCGTCAGCGAGGCGGGTTGGCACCAAGACCATTGCTCTCACTGCAGTTTGCTCACTTCACACCCCGCCGTTTGCGCCGACCTCGTATCCTTCAGATCTCCTACATGCTGATCGAGTCTGTCGAGAAACGATCGCTCACTGCCAGAGGCACGCCGCTCCGCGTTCGGTGCAAAGACTTTCGCGATTTTACCTTCATCTTCCCTCGCGAGCGCGAGTGCTCGAACGTGCACGCGTCCATCATGCAGCTTGCGTTTCCGAGTAAGCGAAAAGAAAAAAGAAACAAAACAGAAACAACGCAGTGTGCTTGATCTGTGGTTTCTGCCATTGGAGTTGCTGGTTTCTGACCTCCATTTCGTTGTCTTGATCTAGCGAGCGTCGAACAGCTCGCGGCCTTCACATTCAAACCAGCATTCAGTGCGGCAGGCAACGGCTGGGACTTTTACAGCCCCGTCGAAGAGTTTTCACGCATGGGACTTCCAAACGAACGGTGGACGCTGACGACCGCGAACATGGATTATTCGGTAACGAGCAAGTCTCACTCTGGCTTTTGGTCAATGCACATGCCACTCACGCATCATTCGCCTTGATAAAAAAAATCTTGCGTTGCGCCTTGCAGCTGTGCCCTACATACTCTCGACAGCTCTTTGTGCCAGTTTCGGCATCGGATGAACTCTTGCAGGGAAGTGCCAAATTCCGCAGCAAGGGTCGTCTGCCTGTGCTCAGTTACTTTCACCCGCCGACGCATGCGACCATTACGCGTTGCAGCCAGCCTTTGGTCGGTATCAAGCAAAAGCGCTCGGCCGAAGACGAGCGCCTGGTCCAAGCCATCTTTGAGGCCAACCCTTCCACGCGCAACCACTATATAGTTGATGCACGTCCCAAAAAGAATGCGTACGCGCAAAAGGCTGGCGGAAAAGGCTACGAGTCGCTCGATTGCTATCCGAACTGTCGCTATCTCTTCATGGACATTGAGAACATTCATGTGATGCGCGACAGTCTCAACAAGTTGATTGAAGGTAACGAACGCGCTTTGTTTTGCAGCAACGGTGGTCGTTTGCTGACGAGATTAGTCCTGGGTTGTTTTCCCCCACTCACTCACGTGTGTTTCAATTTTTTGTATTTTTTTTTTTTTTGTTTCTTGGCTTTTTTGCTTGCTCCTCCTCCTCCTCCTCCTCCTCCTCAGCCATCCAGCCAAACACTGACAACTACCTTAGCACGCTCGAGTCCAGCGGGTGGATCAAGCACATCAAAGCGGTGATGGACGCGTCCGTGTTTATTGCCAACGCCATTGTGAATGAGGGCGCCAGCTGCGTGGTGCACTGCTCAGACGGTTGGGACCGCACGGCGCAGCTGATTGCCCTCGCGGAAGTCATGATTGACCCGTATTACCGCACACTGGATGGCTTTCAAGTAGTGATTGAAAAGGAATGGCTGTGGTCTGGTCACAAGTTTGTCGATCGCTGCGGATTCCTGGAAAAGGGCAGTCGGGAGGTCTCTCCCGTGTTTGTGCAGTTCCTCGACACAATATGGCAACTACTGCGACAGTTCCCAGCGAGCTTTGAGTTCAACGAGCGGTATCTTGTCACTCTGCATGAGCTCGTCTTCTCGTGCCAGTACGGCACCTTCCTCGGCAACTGCGAGCAGGCGCGCAACGCGTCCAATCTCTCTGCGCGAACCACATCTGTCTGGTCGTACGTTGCGCAACATCGGGACGAGTTTATCAACCCGCTCTACGACGGAACTGGCAGCAACTCGGTCACCATCATTCGCGACACGGCCGAGGTCGCCCAAGAGAACACGCGGCGCCGTCGTGAAATTCGCATTGCAGCCAACCGAGTCACCGCTGCAGCAGCCGCCTCCGCTGTCGAAGATGCGACGCCACTGCCGCCACCTGCTGCTGCCGCGCCCACGCCGACACAGGCCAACTCGTCGGGCATTGATGCCACGTCGGTTGAACGACCTGTGCCGGCCCGCATCCCTGCCCACCATTCAGTCCCTGAGGGCACTTCCACTCTGTCGTCTGCCGCCTTGGAAAGCGATGAGAGCAGCAGCACCAGCTCCGGCGGAGGCGGTGGCGGCGGCAGCAGCTTGGGCGCCAGCACCATGGAGTTTTTGTCAAACATTTCCTCGCAGCTGTCCAGCCGATTTGCAAACGGTTCGGGCGCCAACATGCTTTCGTCGCCGATGGTCGGTGATGGGGACACTGGCTCTCCCGCCTCGTACACTCGCGAGTTTATTCTCGGCGATGAGGGCGATGTCACGCGGCCCTACTCGCCAGCACCGGCTGCTTCAACTGCCACTGCTGCAGTGCCCCAGCGCATCCAGTCTCCACTGGCGGCTTCCTCCAGCAACCTCCCAGCGCCCACACTTGCCGTGGTGGACAAGTCGTACCTGCTCCGGCCGTCGACTGCCCCGCAACGTCTCGCTGTTTGGACGACATTGTACGGTCGCACGCTGATTGAAGTCCAGGCCAAGGAGTCGCTCGAAGATCGGATTGGCTTGGTGGCCGACTCGCTGGAGCAGGCGCGCAGCCAAAGCGATCGCAGCGCCCTCCGCTACTGGACTGCGCATTATGCCCTCGACTCGGAGCGCGCGCGCACGTTGGATCGTTTGCTGCCCTACTGCATTGCTGAAGCGGGCCCTGCCTGGGACGCGCAAAAGAGCGTGCAATCGAGCTGGGGCAAGGCATCCGCGGCCTACACGGCCCTCCTTGCCGAGTCGGTCCTGGACGACGTCATGGCACAAAGCCTTGCCACGTCCGAGAATATTGCCGTGCTCGGCTCTCGGCAGCTCCTTGAAGCCACCCTTGCTCGCGCAGGTGGAGCCATGAAACCTCCACCTGCATGGCAAAATGATCGCCACGTTCGAGAGTGTACCATCTGCCAGTCGCTATTTGATCCTATTTCTCGAAAGGTGCGGACTCGTTTTTGTGTAGATTGATGACATGAGGGGAACTATGTTGATTCTCATTTGGCTGCTTTGTATTTTCGTTTTTTTTTTTTTTTCGTTCATCTTTTTGCAGCATCACTGTCGGAACTGCGGCCAAGTCGTGTGCTTCCAATGCGCCAACACGTACGTGGCCATCCCGCACTTCTACCTTGATCTACCGGTGCGTGTGTGCCGGACATGCGCCAAGACGCTCAAGTAAAAGAAATGTGTAGAGATTGTTGCATTCCTGGACTTCAAAAAAAAAAAAAAAAGCGCTATTTTGCTCAAAGAATGGTTTGACGAGTTTTTGTGCTGTAATAGTCCAAAACTTATTTCACGAAAAATTGTGGAGGATGGGGGTGAAAGCAAAAAAGAGAATTCGAGCTGTCTCAAACCTCGACAACAAATTACGATCGCCCTCGGAAGCCACCGCCGCCACGAGGCGAGCCGCCGCGCGAGCCTGTTGATCAATCATGATAAAACCCAAGCAAAATTGTGAGTGTGCTGTGTGGTTGGTGGAAACGAGCAAAAAGCAGACGAGCAAAACGTTACCTCCTCGGAAGCCACCGCTGCTGCCACCACGACCGCCGCCAAAGCCGCCGCCAAAGCCGCCACGACCGCCACGAGGGGAGAAGCCACCTCGGCCACCGCCACGGGCGCCACCAAAGCCGCCACGGCCGCCAGCGCTGCCAACACCGCCCTCTGTGTTTTTGCGCAGAAAGAAAGTCGACATGAGTGATCTGCACGCTTGCCAGTGTGGTGCTCACACAAAACCATCCCAACAAAGCTTGGGCAAATACGTACTAGGGCCCTTTGGCTTGGCGGGTTGTGGCAGGAATCGAGCAAGCGGCAAAAGCTTGTCGGGGGAAATGTATATCTTTTGACCAGCAGCGAACGACTTGGCCACGATGCCAGCGCTCGGCTTGATGGTGAAGTGCTGTCATTTACAAAAAAAAATGGCGAGCAAGGTGGGTGATGAGCACCAAGACAAAAACACTAAAACAGAGAACAAGAACGTGGATGGTTTACCAGGTTGTTGATGGCACCAAAGACCTCCTCGATCTTGCCAATCTGGGTCTTGTTCTCGTAGAAGACAGGTGCGTTGAAGTGCGGCACCTTCTCGTTGTTGAGGCCTGCGCACACAAGCTCGTCCTCGCACGGGTGTTGGAACGAGCCGAGCTCTGTTGCAGTGTTGTAGGGAGCAAAAAGCCAAAAGCCAAAAGGGTGAGTTTTTTTGCTGACTTTTGGCTCAACAGCGCGACGTTCCAGACTGGAGATCGCGACATTGGCCAGAGGGATGACCATGAAAGACGACCCGAATGTGAGAGGGTTGGGATGGTGCATGAGATGGGGAGGGGAGGTTGTGGATGGGGAGCCACACACGAGCTTTTGCTCTTATTCTGCATTTGCTGTTTTCTCGCGCGTCAATGCAACGGCGCCGCAGCCTCGCTCAAACTGCAGGACGAAAGCTCAGTTTGTTTCACTACCGCCACTTGACAAGTGCGGCTTCGAGAACGACAATCCAGCAGCACAGAAAAGCAGAAGCGAGAAGAAAACCATGGTTTTTGCATTGGATACCGCATGGCTTTTTTTTTTTCTTTTCTTTTTTTTTTTTCCATTGAGTTTTTCCATTGAGTTTTCCATTGAGTTTTCCATTGATTTTTTTTTTTTTTTTTTTTTTTTGGTTTTTGATGATCATCCACTTTTCCACTTTTCCACTTCTCACTTCTCACTCCACCGACCGAGCAAACCGAGTGAGGACGAGTGTTTCTTGTTGTGAGGAGCGGGGGCGTACCGACAACCGACTCCGGTGGGCCAAAGTTGTTGCGATCGCCGCCGCCAAAGCCACCACGACCGCCGCCACGACCGCCGCCAAAGCCGCCGCCACGACCACCGCCAGCACCGCCGCGAGGGGAGAAGCCGCCGCCACGACCGCCGCTGAAGCCGCCTCCGCGACCGCCGCCGCCGCCACCGCGTCCGTAAGACATAATGTTAAGAAGAAGAAAAAAAAAAGACTGAGATTCAAAAAGTCAAGGACGATCGCGTTCGAATAAGACGAGGAGAGTCGTGTGTGATAAAGGCACGTCGATAACAGAGCGAATCAAAAGACAGAGGGAGGGCCGGCAGCGGTATTTGGGGCGAAGGGAAAGGAAGGCGATTCGACGGCATTTCGACGATCGTGCGTTTGTGATCGCTGTATTCGACACAAGACGCATAGAGCATAGAGCATGACGTAGAAGCAATAGACGTCGACCATCTGGGGCTTTGCGCGTATTGTTGCGGGTTTCGCGTTGTTCAATCCATCCAACGTAAACAAACACTTGCGCATCTGGCACCAAAAACCACCTAATACTCTTCTTCGTCGTCGTAGGGATTGTAGGAGGGCATCGGAACCTTGAAATCGTCGATGGGCACTCGTCGCTTGGCGAGGTGACAGGCAGACAGCCATCCGGATTTGACAAACACCATTCGAGGATGGTCTTTCTGCGTCGCAGCAATGTCCCGTGAATGATTTTCAGCAATAAAGTGGGTGCACACCTCCGTAGTGTCTTCGTCTAGAGTTCTGCGAAAGGAGAAGGCGGGGGGGGGCCGCGAAGTGAGTACAAGGTGTTTCGGACATTGAAAAAAACCAAAACCGCAACACAATCGACATACCCGCCATAGGCGGCAATGTAGCGCTTGGCCATCGCTCGCGCTGGCATGACGACGGACTTGTCGAGGTGAAAGACAAGGCCCTCGAAAAAGTCGGGCAGCTCTGGGGCGGGTGGCTGGGCTATTGGCTTTGATGCAGACGGGTGTGTCGCAGCTTCGTCTTCATCCTCGGTGTCTTGGTCTGCAAAGGTCAGTGCACGGCCAGGTGGTGGAGGCGCTCGGTTTGCTGCTGGCCGTGGCAAAGCGGCTGGATTTGCGACAGCGTCCAATTCGTCGTCGGTATCCATGTCCATCGTGTACGCGGTGCGCATGGCCGGGGCTGGTTGGGAGCGAGCAGCGGGAGCACTGCTGCTGCGTGCCTCATGCGCACGCTCTGCCACAGCAGCAGCAGCAGCAGCAGCAGGGCCCGTGGCCGGTTGAATGCGATACTCGGTGCCTTCAACCAATTCACTGAGAACGGGCGTGTTTTTGGTGCCCGCGACTGTGCGAGCTGGATTACTCCACTCCGAACTACGGGGCGCGCGTGCTTCTTCGTCGTCGTCCGTGTCGGCATCATACTCTGGCCGCGTGCTCTTCTGGCTGCGCGCAGCGGCACGAGCGACAACGTTCTGGCTAGTGGACGACGTGGAGGGCTTGTCCGCTCCGAAATCCAAGCGAGCCCTAGGGCTGACTTCATTCGATTCATCGACTTCCAACCGCGCTCGCTTGCTTGCATGGACTGAAGATGGTTGTGGTGCAGGAAGAGGACGTTGGCGCAGAGGCGATTGTTCGTCTTCGTCCGTGTCACTCGCGACAGCTCTCCGCTTGGCGGCCGATGGCGGTGTTTGTCGCAGAGGAGGCGAGGCAGCGGTTGGTTGCTGTTGCTTGGGTGTATGGGGTAGCGAAGCGCTGTGGGAACTCGGTGGTTTGTTGGGACTTGGTGTTCGTGGTGGTGGTGGTTGTTCTTGTTCTTGATCGCTTTCGTCTGTTACTGGTTCGTACGTGTACTTGCGCCAATTCATCAGTCTATATAGGAAGGGAGTGAGTTGTCTTTGGAAGCCAAAAGATGAGCTCAGTGAAAAGCGAAAGGCTTCGCTCACCTGCGATGCTTGTGCGAGTCTGTCAACCATCGTTCGTTGACAATTTTACCCTTGCCTGCGCTCAAGCAAATAGATAGAGTCACGAGTATGAGAGAGGTCTTTCATGCCATTGGACAAGGACAAAAACAAGTGCCGCAGAGTCTCACCTTGAACTTCGCGGTACTTTGGGGTGTTGGCAAACGCGCAAATCAGATGGGTGCAACCTTTGGTCCAGTTTTGCTCGTAACGGGCGCCCATTTGCTGACCTTTCGTCCGCAACTCGCCTCGAAGGGGATTTTGGTATCCGCTGAGAACGAATGTGACACCTTTCTGCTCTCCCACAGCGCCGTCACAAATGGGGAGACGCAAGCAAGTCAGCGAGTTGTCAAACTCACAACGAACAACACACAACACACAACACACGAATGGTACCATTAATAGTTTAAATCCGTCGTCATCTTCGTCACCGCTCTCGTCCGAATGAACCATCGGCTTGCGCGCTGGCGACAAAGTCTTGGGTGGAGTGTGAGTTTCGGAGGCTTTCTCCGCTCTGGCTACTGGTGCTGCTGCAGAGGGTTTCTCCGCTCTGGCTATTACTGGGGCTGCAGGCTTGGCAGCAGGTAGTTGTGTTGGTCGAGCAGTCGCAGAACTGCTACTACTTGGAGGAGGGATGACTGTTTGAGCAGCCAGCGGCTGCGAGGATGCCGCTGACGATGGCAAAGCGACCGGCGCAGAAGAGCGGCTCGACTGGGAAGCCGGGACTGCTTGTTTCGCGGGGGCAACACTTGCAGCGGCCTTCGTGGTTTGAGTCGGTGCAAACGACGAGGGTGCTTTTGCAGGCATTGCTGAAATCGTATTCCGGCTTTCGTGAAACAGGCTGCCAGGAGTGATGGCCGCCTTCGGGGCCTCCGACTTGAGCTTGAATGCGCCAAATTGCTGGAGAAGGCAAAAGATCAGGCAAAAAGGCAAAAAAGTTGGTTGCACATCAACAACCAAACGAACAAGCCAACCCTCATCCATCATCGCATACCGTTACAGCTGGCTTCATTGCTGCTGCTGGAGGCGACACTGTCGGCGATGTTCTTTCTCCACCTGAATGGGAGCCGTCAGCATCGTCGTCATTCACGGGCTGCGTCTCAGTGACCATCGCCATCGCACCAGCATTGGCCCGATTTCCGCCACTTGGCGGCGGCGCTGCACCTGTCGGCGACAAGCCAAACAATTCCACAAATGCAACACCGAATGGCAACGTCTTGCTGAATGGCTGCCTGCAAACCAGGCGAATGCGATCCCAGCGCTGCGACACCGTGTCTTGCTCGCAGGCCTCTTTGGTGAATGTGCGAATCCTCGTCGCGTTCGTCCCCTGTGTCATGTCTGCTTTGGTCATGAACGTCGATGTGGGCAGCAGATCGTAGAATGCCCCAGGGTTGGCTGCGAGTTCGCCTCGCCGGGCCACCTGCAGCTCGATCATGGCCGACCCCGCGTTCCCAATCACCACGGACTGGACGATGCTTGCGCGATCCAGGTCGATTTCGATCTGCATGATGCATCGTCACACACATGGTGAGTCGGGTACGTGTGTGGGGGGGGGGAAATGAAGAGAAGAGGCCAAAAACAGGCCATCATGAGAGATGGCGGGAAATGCAAAATTTGGCGCCAAAAATCCCAAAATGCAAGCATTGCTTGAAACGCATCATCGAAACACGCACCGTGTGGCTGCTTGCGCCCGCGACGCCCTTCCATGCCTTGTGTCTGTCAGAGGATAGAATATTGTCGGCGAGGTTGGGGCCGTCCTCGCTCGAGAACGTGACGACGCTTTGGAACTTAAGCTGGCTCATTCAAAAAAGGCCAAATGACAAACTCAGAACAAACCAGAACTGAGCTGTTCTAAGCGTTATATTGAACATTACATACAGGTGGCCTTTCAATCAAACAGCGAGAATCCGGGATCATCGCCCCAGTCAATCGGCGTAATCGGGGGCTCCGGACACCCGTTGTTGGCAGCCCACGACGCGAGCTCCGTATGACCAAACTGCCTGGCCAGCTCGATCGTACGCACATCCCAGGGGCACTGCTTTCGCCGAGCCCATTGCAACACATCTAAATGCCCGCCGACGGCGGCGGCTTCGCAGGTAGTCGAGTTCCACGGACAGCCGTTGGTTCTGGCCCAGTTTAGCACGCGCAAATGCCCAGCCCCAGCAGCATACGAGCATGTGTTTTCATCCCAGGCGCAATTGTTGGCCCGTGCCCAGCGCAAGACATCGTAGTGGCCTCCCAGCGCTGCCGAACTGCAGGTTGAGGCGTCCCAGGGACAGTTGGCAGCCCGCGCCCACTGCAAAAGCACAAAGTGGCCGCCTCTGGCAGCGCTCGCGCACGTTTTTGCGTTCCAAGGACAGCCGTGCTCGCGCAGAAAGCAGAGTACTGCCAAATGGCCGAATCGGGCAGCTGCGGCGCAGGCGGCTTCGTCCCAGGGACAGTCGTGCAGCTGCAAGAACTGCAGCACTGCCAGATGACCATTCGCTGCCGCTTGCTCGGCTGTTGCGGCATTCCAAGAAAACTCGCGCCGCGTCGACAACCATTTGAGAACGGCGAGCTGTCCTCCCCGCGCGGCTGCGGTGGCGAGGGCAGTCGAATCCGACGGTGGCGGGCAGCCAGTCTTCAGTGCGTACTGCAGCATGGTCAAGTGCCCATTTTCTGCAGCTGCGAGGAGCGTCTCGCAGTCCCACGGGCACTTGAAATCGCTGCGCAACCAGTGCACGAGGTCCATCCGGCCAGCAATAACGGCAGACCTGCACATGGACGCGCCCACCTCGATCGAGAATCTTTGCAGGATTGCCTCAAACACTCGTCGATGTCCGCCCCAGATGGCTGCATTGGCGATGGCCTCGCGCAAGTGCTGCACGCCCAGCTCTGCCAGCGTCCACTCGACCACGTCCATCTTCCCGCTCGCCGCAGCAAGCACAGCCGCCAGCTGCCGCAGCGAGAACGATCCGCGAATGTTGACGGCCGACTGCAGTCCGACATGCCCTCGCATTGGCGGCGGGTACCATGGCGCGGGTGCCGCCCAGGCGGTCGCGTATACGGATGGTGCCAATTTCTTGCACACCGCGAGATTGCCATGGAACAGGGCCGAGGCCATCCTTGTCTGCTGCGCAAACAGCGTCGGAGGCTCAGACGGCAGATACCAGCAGACGAGCTCGTAGCTCATTGTCGCAATGGACGCGAGCCAGTCGTCGTCCCTCGGGTGACGTCCGTGGTGACGTAGAATTGAGTTGTTGCTGCAGAATCCGCTGGGATCAGATTTACACGCGTGGACGCGTGCCAACTCGTCACCAATGGCCCGCCACCGCCGACACACGGCGTACAGGTGCGGCATGTCCCCGGCAGCCACCAGGATGAGCTCGAGCAGCTCGTCGGGCAGGCTGTCGATCGTGGTGGTCGACATTCGCAGCGTTTAGAGAAAAGCGAACAAATATGGATTGAATGCAAAGATTCCCCTTTTGTTGGATGGATGGATCAATCGCAAATGGTGAAAATGGAGATCTGGATTGAAATTACGACATTATAAACAACAGGACAAGTTGGGCAAAGTGGAGAGCGAGAGAGCTTGACAAACGGCAAACCGACCAAGGCTGTTCCGTCAACCAGGTGCCATTCACAATGTAACAATAGAGTAAATGAAACGTGTCGCCTGTTATGCGACAAGCACTTCAAATGGACGGTCTCCTTGTTTGTTTGGTCGATTTGAAACCCGGAAAGTGCTCAAAGGCCATTTGTGTGTCGATCCAGACCTTTTGACGCTTCCAATGCACTACCACAAACTTGTAAATGCCTATACTTTTGTTTTCCCGTTTTCTTCTTGTCTTAACGGGCGATGGGACCTGGCAGGAGCGCGGTCGCAGGCAGCTGGAACAAACTCGACGATGCCATGTAGTTTGCCATGAGCTCGGACAGGACGTGGTTTTCGTTGGTGAGATTGGCAATCTCGCGCTGCACTTCGTACACCTTGGATGTCATGTCTGCCAAAGTCCATAGTCAGAGAGGGGGGTTTCAAAAGGAACGGTGAGTGAATGGATCAGCGTGAACAGCGTTCAACGCCTCGTTCCACGCAAGCTTCACCGAGGAACGATTGCTGTGTGTCTAGAATGTCGCGGATGAGCTCGTCCTTGGTCGGCGGCGGTGGTGGCGGCGTCTCTGTCGACGGTTGAGCCGGCGGTACAACGCTATTGGTATTGCCATTGCTATTGCTATTACTGCTGTTGCTGCTCATTGCTTCATTCAATCTCTCGACTGTTGCAATAAGGACGACTAAACCTCAAACAATGATAATAGCATGAATGAATGACATTCAAGATCGTTGCATCTCTGTTCAGCAGCTCAGCATCGGTCCATTTTGCTTCAATCGTGTTGCATTTGCCGCTGCCATCCCATTCCCCTCACTTCCCTATCCCAGTTGATTTTATTTTTGTCTCCAATTGGACGAATTGATGTCTTGTCTGAGCAGTCGTTCTTCCAATCCTCCGTTTTTTTGCAACCATGCATGGACCGACTGCGACTGCGGCTGCGAGTGCCCAGCAGCATCAGCAGCACCATCACAGCCATCCGCACGCCGACCACCCGTCAGCGACATCGACGTCGACGTCGACCAAGATGCGTGTCGAGGATGAGGATGAGATTGCAATGGCCAAGCGACGCGGCGAGCATGCGCAGCTCACCCGCCCAGTGTCGGAGCTCAAGGTAAGAGCCAGCAGAACAGCGACAGAACGGACAGCGACAGACCAGCCACGCTCTGACCCGGTCTTTAAGGGCTCTCTTATGGCGTAGGCGCGAATGCGAGAGAGTGAGAGTGAGAGTGAGATGTGAGAGTGAGAGAGAGTGAGAGCGCGCCATGTTGAGTTGAGAGATCTCTCGTCGTCGTTTCTCCAATGCAACCCAAACCCTGCTGAGGGAGAACTCCACTGCACTGATTCAGCAGTCGTCACAACTCACAGACGTGTGCATTTGTTGTTGAGAAGGAGTTGGGGGCGGTGAGATGGGACTGGGAAGGGGGTCGTCCCTCATTGCATTAGAGCTCGCTTTGTCGCCTGTCAGCTCGTCCCATCCACAACTCGCTCCACCTCGTCCATCATCGCACTTGAATAAGCGTGGATTTTCCCCCATTTCCAATATAAGGAGGGGAGGAACGGATGCTCAACAAACGCACGCACGCCATGATCAGCTCCAGCTCGCTGCTTGCATCATTGCACACATGCAACACACACACACATGCTCAGACCATGAGTCGTAGAAGCTCAAGTCCCCAAACAAAAACCATTACACACACTCATTGCTGTTGAAATTGTATTGCTGTTTGCCTTTTTTTTGTTTGTACGGTTTCACTCACACTCTGCGTTTGTTGATGCAGGACAAGTGGCAGCTCGTGCCGGCATTCCTCAAAGTCAAAGGCCTCGTCAAGCAGCACATTGACTCGTTCAACTACTTTCTCAATGTCGAAATCCGAAAGATTGTCCAGGCGAACGATCGCATCACGTCGGACGCAGACCCGACCTTCTACCTGCGCTACACGAACATTCAGGTTGGCGCGCCCACCGCAGAAGAGTACTATTCGTACGCAACCTCGCCTCCGATCGCGCCGCAGCAGTGCCGACTTCGCGACATGACCTACGCCGCCCCAATCACGGTGAACGTCGAGTACATGCGCGGCTCGCAAAAGATTGTCCGCGACAACCTCTTTATTGGCCGCATGCCCATCATGCTGCGCAGTTCCAACTGCATTCTGCATGGAAAGTCTCGCGCCGAGCTGACCAAGCTCGGCGAGTGCCCCAACGACCCGGGCGGCTACTTTATCATCAAGGGCGTCGAAAAAGTCATCCTCATCCAGGAGCAGCTGTCGAAAAATCGAATGATTATCGAAAACGACCGCAAGGGCATTCCTGGTGCGTCCGTGACGAGCTCCACCCAAGAGCGCAAGTCGCGCACCAACGTTGTGTGCAAGGCTGGTCGCTTCTACCTCAAGCACAACACGCTCTCGGAAGACATCAACGTCGTCATCCTGTTCAAGGCGCTGGGTGTTGAGACAGACCAGGAAATCATGCAAATGATTGGATTTGAGGACATGTACCAGCAGGCGATCGCGGCCACCTTCGCCGAGAGCATCGAGCACGGAATCACCACGCAAAACCAAGCCCTTGACTTTGTCGGCTCGCGCGTCCGCCTCGCCAAGCGCGCCTGGGGTGGCGCGCGCAAGTCCAAAGTGGACGAGGCTCGCGAGCTGCTGGCCTCCATCATTCTCGCGCACGTCCCGGTGCACAAGTACAACTTCCGGCCCAAGAGCCTGTATCTTGCCTTGATGGTCCGCCGCGTTATTCTTGCGCTGAACGAGGCGCTGCCCGTCGACGATAAGGACTATTACGGCAACAAGCGTCTCGAGTTGGCCGGACAACTGCTCGCGCTCTTGTTTGAGGATGTCTTTAAAAAGTTTAACACGGAGCTCAAGAAGGTCACCGACCTCACCATTCCAAAGCAGCGCGCCACTCAGTACGACGTCGTCAAAAAGTTCCGACCGCAAATCATCAGCGACGGTCTGACGCATGCCATCTCGACCGGCAACTGGACGGTCAAGCGCTTCAAGATGGATCGTGGCGGCGTCACCCAAGTGCTCTCGCGCCTGTCGTACATTTCCGCGCTCGGCATGATGACGCGCATCAGCTCGCAGTTCGAAAAGACCCGCAAGGTGTCTGGACCGCGCTCCTTGCAGCCCTCCCAGTGGGGTATGCTGTGCCCGTCCGACACCCCTGAAGGCGAGGCCTGCGGCTTGGTCAAGAACTTGGCGCTCATGACCCACATCACGACCGACGACGAGGAGAGCAACATTGCTCGCCTCGCGTTCAACTTTGGCGTGGAAGACATTAATGTGCTCTCTGCAGAGGACCTCACGCGGGACGAGTCCTACCTGGTGTTTTTGAATGGTTTGCTTCTGGGCGTGACCATCCATCCAACCATTCTTGTGCGAGCCTTCCGCATGTTGCGCCGCGATGGTCGCCTGTCACACTTCCTGTCCATTTGCCCGAACGATCGCCAACGGTGCGTCTACATTGCCTCGGACGGTGGTCGCGTGTGTCGCCCGTACATTATTGTCGACAAGAACGGGCCCAAGGTCACCAACACGCACTTGGAGCGCTTGGCGCAAAAGGTCTTGCGTTTTGACGACTTTTTAAAGCTGGGTCTCATCGAGTACCTCGATGTCAACGAGGAGAATGGCGCCAACATTGCCATGTACGAGAGCGAAATCAAGCCGTACACGACCCATCTGGAGATTGAGCCCTTCACGATTCTCGGTGTCTGTGCCGGCATCATTCCCTACCCGCACCACAACCAGTCGCCTCGTAACACGTACCAGTGCGCCATGGGCAAGCAGGCGATCGGCACTATTGCGGCCAATCAGTATGTCCGCTTTGACACGCTGCTCTACACGCTGCTCTACCCGCAGCGCCCCATGGTGCAGACGCGAACCATCGAGCTGATTGACTTTCACAACATGCCCGCTGGTCAGAATGCCTGCGTTGCCGTCATGTCGTACTCTGGCTACGATATCGAAGATGCGCTCATTCTCAACCAAGCGTCGCTCGACCGAGGCTTTGGGCGCTGCATGGTGTACCGCAAGCAAACCGTCAGCATCAAGACCTACCCCAACATGCTCGTGGATCGCATTGTTGCGCCCACGCGCAATCGCGACGATTCTTCACGTCTGGCCAAGTTTGATGTGCTCGATCAAGAAGGCATCTGCCGCCCTGGCGAGCGCGTCGAAAACGGCAGCACACTCGTGCTCAAAGAGACTCCCGTCAACACCAGCAATCCCATCCAAGACCCCCACAACGCTGCAGTGCAGTACAAGCCTGCGTACGTCTCGTACAAGGGCCCCTGCGAGGGCGTCGTGGACAAGGTCTTGCTCACAAACAACTCTGAGGACAACCACTTGATCAAAATTCTCCTTCGCACCACGCGCCGACCCGAGGTGGGCGACAAGTTTAGTTCCCGACACGGTCAGAAGGGCGTTTGCGGCCTGATTGTGCGACAGGAAGACATGCCGTTCTCAGACATTGGCATCTGCCCCGACATTATCATGAATCCGCACGGTTTCCCGTCGCGCATGACTGTCGGCAAGCTCATGGAATTCCTCTCGGGCAAGGCCGGCGCGCTCATCGGCAAGTTCCACTACGGAACAGCGTTCGGCGGCGACAAGGTCGTGGATATGAGCAAAATCCTCGTCGAGCACGGCTTCAACTATGCCGGCAAGGACTTTGTCACCTCGGGCATCACTGGCGAGCCGCTGTCCGCCTACATTTTCTTCGGACCAGTGTACTACCAAAAGCTCAAGCACATGGTGATGGACAAGATGCATGCGCGTGCCCGTGGTCCTCGTGCCGTTCTCACGCGCCAGCCCACAGAAGGTCGCTCGCGTGACGGTGGCCTGCGTCTCGGAGAGATGGAGCGCGACTGCTTGATTGGCTATGGTGCCAGCATGCTTTTGCTCGAGCGCCTGATGATCTCCTCCGACAAGTTTGACGTGCACGTTTGCCGCGCGTGTGGCCTTCTCGGCTACGAAAGCTGGTGCCAATACTGCAAGGCCTCCAGCTCCATGTCCATTCTTAGCATCCCCTACGCGTCCAAGCTCTTGTTCCAAGAGTTGCAGTCGATGAATATTGTCCCGCGGCTCCGTCTTGAGACGTGTTGAGGAGGCGGTTTTTTTTCTTTGTGTGTTTGTGTGCCGTTGTTTTTGCTGGATTTGTTATCTGGCGCAAAGTAATCAATGCAGTTACTGTTTTAATTTGTGGTCGTCTGTTTTTTTCCTGGTTCTTTCTCTTTTAAAAGTCGCGGACCAACAGTTGGCCCGACGAAATCCAGTCGTGGAAAATTCCATGAAAGAAAACAACGAACAGCGAGTGCATGATGGAAACTGATAATTGGTTATTGACAAATTTGATAAAATACTGAAACAACGTTCTGGACAGTCATGATAATCACAAAGCTCGTGGGAATCAAACCCATTGCGCGACGGGGCGGTGGCCACTTTCGGAAGAAGACCCAACAATGGCGCCCTTGTCGTCCAGCTCAATCACATCCATGGGCATCAACCACTCATCCAGGTTTTGGGCGGCGGAAGAAGAATTCTGCGGGCCCTTGGTGGCCTGCGACTGCAGCATGAGCTGGTCGGTCTCGGCGGCGAGCAGAGTGGGATGCAGAGCTTCCAGCAACAGAGCCTTCGGGCGGATCTGGTGGTGCTTGGCGTTCAGGCGCATGAGACTGTTGAAGGGACGAAAATCGGCTGTCTGCGCGTGAAACCAAGACCACGCGAGAGGGTATTCGGACGAATAGGCCTCGTTAATCTCCCAAGGCTTGAAAAATTGCAGCCGAGGATTGGCCGAGACCGTCACGTATTCGGACTGCGCCGCCTGCACAGCAGCGGGAGTCGTGGGAGTGGCTTGTTGCGACGCCTGCTGCTCTGCTGGTTGCTGCTGTTGTGCCTTGCCGGTCGCGCCGGCGGAGGCAACAGAAACAACTGCTTGCACGCCCGGCGCAAGGAACATGCGGCAGCAACGCGCGCGCAGTTCGGGCAACAGTGTGCACATTTCTTCGTTCAAGTGCTTCCGGAGCTTCTGGTTGGACGCATGTTGCTGGTGCTGCAGCTGCTGTTGCTGGTGTTGTTGTGTAGGCCCAAGCGAAGTCGTTCGACCCGAGCCAGAGGCCAGATCGGCCGCGTTCGGGCCGGCGTTCAGCATGGAATTTTCAACGGGATCGACGAACGAGCACATCATCGAAAGCATGTCAATCACCTGCGTGTAGGGATCGCCAATCTCTGAAAGGACATTGTGGAGATCAAGATGCAGCACCGAGATGAGCGTCGTAATCCAGCGATGATAGTAGTCGTCAGTGGATGATGAATCTCGATAGGTCAGGATGAAGCTCGTCAAAGACAGGACCAAGGCCAGGTCGATTGCCTGCTCGTTCGGCAGCGGGAAGAGATGCATGACGGCCAGGGCCGGTTGCTGCGGAATGGCCGACTGGGCGCCCGCACGCTGCTGCGCAGAGACATGGGCCTCCCACTGCTCAACGTGCCACTGCAAGCGCGCAAGCAGCGTCGAGAGCAGCTGGCTCGGAGAGATGGCGCTCGCTGAGATGGCACGGAGGCTGCTGGCTTTCAACAAACTGATGACCAGATCAAAGACCGCGCGCTCAACGACCAGAGGCGACGTTGGGGCTTGATTCGTTTGCAGGGAGGAGGGAACGAGCACACTGGAGCGTGAGATTTGTCGCCCTTGCTGGAACACTGACGCAAGCGCTTGCCCCGGCGACCGTCTCGGCGCAAGCTGGGTGCCCATCCCGCGTGCGGTGAGCAGCGCTCGGTGCAACGGGCACGACAGCACATCTCGTCCGGGAACCTGCCAAAAGTCGAGCAGCTCCACGACAATGCCGTTCATGACGCAGGGGTGATCGAGCGACTGAATCAGGTAGTGCGCTGGCGGAACACCTGGAATAACTGTTGGGTCCTGCCGAGCGTGGGAAAACCCGTCCACAATCGCATCGAAAAGCCTATCAAGCACGTCACGGCGCTGTTGCGCAGTGGTATTGGACGGCAACGTGTGCACATACAGCCGTGTACGCAGCCAGGCTTGCGGGATGTTCCAGAGGGTGAGGCCGGCAAGCGAAGGCATGGCCAGACTGTCGTACTCTTCGGCGGACTGATTTGGCAGCATGCGCGTCGAAAGGGTGAGCGCGTCGGAAGGGGTCAAGGCGCGCTCTGTCAGCGCGGGCAGGAAGGCAGCCGAAAAGGCACGCGACACGTGGGCGTACGGCAGATCAAACACTGGGTGGCGAAGAACCAGGTCGCGTGCAACAAGGCACGCCGCTTCCCACAGGTGGTTGCGCGCCAGACAGGTGAGCTGTACCGCCAGCAACGCCAGTTGGTCGCTACGGACTGCCGCGAGTCCACCATGAAGGACGACAATTTGTCCGAGCGTCCAGTCCTCCAGGGTCGCATCCCGCTTGCCGGCCCCAAAGAGAGCGACAGTCAAGGCGAGAAGTGCATGGACCTGCGCGCCCAACTGGGTGTCGTCCACATCCATGTCCCAGGAAGCAGTGGGGGCCGAAACGCTCGGCGGGCCTCCTCGCGCGCCCACCAGCGACTGTGCAGACGAAATCGAGTTGGGCGAGGCCATGTTGGTGGAGCTGGACAGCCCCAAAGAGGACGATGCAGCCGAGGGAAGCCGCGAGGGTGTCGGCAACGCGCCAGCGGGCGACGATACACCTGAAACGCCATGCGATGCCGAGGTAGCACCGCCACTGCCAGACGTGGTCAGCAAAACTGTGCTGGAAGAGCGTCGTGCGGCGGCGGTGAGCTGCTCCACGAGCGTTGCCATTCGAGGAAGGAGAAACTCTTCAACCACACGCGAGACGCTCAAGACGCCGCGCGCACACAAACCGACGACAAGACTCGCTTCGACTGCTCCAAGCACGCTCGGATTGGACGAGTCTGGACCGGCAGAGTTGCTGGTACCCGCATTGCTGCTGTCGGCGGCGACGGGCTGCGGATGGCTGGCGCTTTGCGTGTTTCCCATCATGGCGGTAAGTGCGGATGTTGGCGTGGCGGCTTTGGGTGGCGCCAGCTTTGCAGCCACGCCGACCAAGCTTGCCAGAACCTGTGTGGTGCTCGACTCGATGGGGAGTTGGTCGCTGAGCTCACACAAGACTTGCGCCCAGTCAGCGCCATCAGCCAGTGCAGCGATGACATGCGGCGGGCGGTGCCCTCGCCGCGAGGAAACGACATGGCGTCGAATTGGCGCCGCAGGGGTGGTGTCCATCATCATTCCAGAGTCAAGAGCAGCAGCAGCAGCAGCAGCAGCAGCATCGTCTCGACTCGTGCTGGTGGTCGTCGGGTGGTTCAAGCTGCCGCTATTGTTGATGGTGGCACTGGTTGGCTGGCTGTGTGCCTCAGAGTCATCCATCATTGGGTCACTGAGCGCCTCGACTGGGGTTGCTCCAGAGTGGGTGGTGGGGAACGGAGAAGCGACAAAACCGACGGATGTTGGTTCTGGAGCCAAGCTCGGGTCATCGAGGAAGGACGGGGACGAGTTCTGAGGCCGCGAGGCACTTGGAGTAGGCCTGCGGAAGGCGCCGGGCTCGTCAAGCGCAGCAGCAGCGCTACTAGTGGGACCAGCGGCCGCCTGAGACAAAACGAGCAACACTTGGTGCACAAAAGCGGTCGTTAGGTTGTTCACGTTGCGGCCCGCAGCAGTGAGCTCTTGAACGATCGCCACAGTGTCAATCGTTCTGGGCTGGCTACGGCGGATGTGTTCGAGCAGCGTCGAAGACAAGGCTGTCGAGTAGTTTGACTCGGCGGTACTTCCTGGCACGCCCGAGGGAGCAGCCATAGTGTGGACGCCTGATGGTGGCACTGCGCCGCCAGACAAGGTGGACGATGAGTCAAGCGCGCCGGGCGATGAGCGAGCTGTCGAGGACCCGTACCGTAGCACCGCTGGAAGCCGATTGGCATGCTGAGGACAACTCGCCCCGAGAGTCGGCTCAAACGCAATGGCACGCTCCACAAACCGGGCTGCGTGTCGGGCGAGCGGAGCAGACCAGAGAATGGGCGAGATTGCGGGCGGGAAAACAGCTGCGAGTTCGACTTCTGTGGCGCTGCAGGTTGCCACCCAGCCAGTTGCTCCGGCGGTCGTGCCAGTCTCGGTCATGACCAGCGACGGCAAAGCCTCAAAGAGAGACAGGGCCAAGTTCTGCATGAGCTCTGGTGAAGCGTCTCGCAAAAGCGGCAGCGAGTCGACCAGCGCCAACATGCCCGCCAGAAGTTGGACGGAGCAATGCGCGGCCAGCTGCGGGTTGGAGATGAGGAGCAAGAAGCGCAACAGCAAGTCGGGACAGCCAAGATGCAGACACAACCGCGCCAGCTCGAAAAGCTGCTCGGGAGCCAGCCAAGGGAGCCGACGAACGAGCGTCTCTGGCACAAGACCGGACGATGAAGCGGTCGCTTTTGCGCGCTGGTTGGCAGATGCAGAAATGCCTCCGGGCACGATGGGCGCCGTCGACACGGCGGTGGCGCCCAGCCGCGATTGCTGGTGCTGCTGCTGCTGCTGCTGCTGCTGGTGCGGCGATGAAAGCAGCCGCCCGCGGTCGATGTGCGCGACAAGGCAGTCCATGACCAAGCTGAGAATCTGCCGGCGGTTGTGATGAGAAAAGTCCTGGAGCTTGTCGCAAGCATCAGCAAAGTCAATCACAGCCGGCGCATGAGAAGCATCCACCGAGTCCATTTGTGGCAACAGCTGCACTGCAAATTGACGCGCAAACCAGCCAGCCCGCTGCCGCTGATGGTGTTGGTGCGCGAGAGAAGTGCGCAATGTTTGCAGTGGAACTCCAGATGCAGCCTGCTGGTGGCTGTGTGGCAGTGTATTTGCGTGCATGCCGCCGCTAGCAGGGTTGGGTGAGGCAAACGGAGATGATGCAGCGGGACCAGCTGACATGGCCGAGTACGATGCTGCGGTCGAACCCTGTGTGCCGAGGGGCGTGTCGATGGAGACGGGGGTGCCAAACATGGCGGTGGCGTGCTGGTGGGAGGAAGCAAACCCAGGCCGCTGAGCGCTTGACTGCAGCGAGGCCGATTGCGGCTGTAGATATTGACCGCCATCGCTCGGCATGCCAAAGTCGTTGGACAAGACGGGCTCCGAGTTGGGCGGAGAGATGCCAAAGCCCGACGCGTATCCAAGCGATTGCATCGCCAATCCACCCATCGCGGAATTCGGCCGCTCGGAATAGGCAAAGGTCGGTGAAGGGGTTGTTAGCATGGCTGGCGAGGCGGGGGACACGGACGGAAGGTGTGCTCGCTCCGAAAACTGCCCATTCTTATGATCCAGCTGCGATGCCATGTGGTGGGACTCGTTGCGCTCGTATGCGGCCTGGACAGCTGGGTCATGCACCTGAGTGGAAATGCGGTTGAGCCATTCGACCAACAAGCGGGCATGGAGACGAGTGGTCGCAATCTCGTTCGAGGCAACGGCGGCGGCATGTCGAACGCCAACCAGCGTCACGCGACGCTGGCTACGATCTTGGGCATGGTCGTCCACGTTGAAGAGTGCGCGGAAGTTGGGCGTGCTGCTCGCTGAAAAGGTTTGTGCCAGCCTCGAGTACTCGGGATCAAGCGCGTGGGCGAGACCGACGGGCAGTTGCTGCACGAGCGCAAAATGGCCGACGGCGCGTTGCTGGGCCAACGTCAGCGGCGCCGACGGCGGACGGCGATGCAGTTCGATCGCACAATCCATGTCGCCGCGAGAGATGAGCGTTTGGACGTACGCGTTGTGCGAGAAGAGTCGCCGTGAAGTCAGCTCTGAAAACAAGAGCACTAGTCGTCGCATTGTGTCTTGGATTGGCAGTGGCGCTCCCGCCGGAGCTGTAGAGATGGGATTGGTGCTCGCTCTGTCCAGGGACGAGGAGCGGAAGAGGGAAGCCCACTCTATGGATTGGTGATCTAGATACTGCAGGAAGACAGATTGCAATGGCGACGGAAACGTAAGCGAGGGAAGAGACCAGAGTAGTGGGTTGTTGTTGTTGTTGGCATCTGCTGCTGCAGTAGAGGAAGAAGAAGCGGTCGCGACAGCAGTGATTCGACCGTCGGGCTCTTCAATCCGCACTTGCTTGGAAGGATGGCTTTCTGAATCAAAGTCAGTGTACTGATGTCTTCGCTTTCCGGTGCTGGTCGGAAGACTTCGAGAGGTTTGCGACTCGGCGGCAGGAAGCACTCCGGTCTTGCCAGAGTGGAGAACTCGCGCATGGTGGGTGAGCAAAGCGACCACCGTCAATGCACGCGAGAACTCGCGATCGGGGACGCCGTGGGAGTGAACCGCCCACTCACACAGTGCACGAACAACGCGAGGCTGCACAGCGAGTCGCTGGCCGGGGATGGAGGGCTCGGGTTGCTGATAAAAGACTGTTCGGTACAATGCTGCAATATCGCTCCGCTGAGGCGTGGATGGCGACGCCGAGGAAGCGGATGAAGCAGACAGCAACGCAGTCTCGTCCAAGAGCGGATACAGCTCTAGTGCCTGCACCACGCGCGGTGTGAACGGCGACGTACTGGAAGCCGCAAGCTGCAGCCAGGTCAGAGTCGGATCGAGTTGAGCAGGAACAAACGATGCAGAGGAGGACTTGGCGCCCGAAGCAGGGAGAGCCGCAGTGGCTGGAGGTAGTCGAGAGGACGCATTGCCAGGAGGCCCAGTGTTGCGCGCAGCCCCGGATGCCCCTGCAGCGGCAGCGGCAGCGGCTGCCGTAGCGGCCGCGGTGCGGAGACCGGAAGCAGCCGTCATTGGACCGGACGACAGCCCGGGTGCGCCTTGCGCCGAAGCGGCTGTCAGCTGCGAGTACTTGAAGAGCAAATCAACGCGCCGTTGCAACTGGCTCATGGTGGAGCGGAAGCAGCTCTTAAAAGTCGAGTCGCCCGATGCATGGAGGTGAGCACCGACGAGAACTTTGGAAATGCGCGCAAACGTGCGAACACCGTACGCGACCTGCGCGTCTGGACAAAGAGCGATTAACGATTGCATTAACAGAATCAGCGCCATGTGGACTTGCGGGTGGTAGGACTGATGCATTTGCATCAATCGCGTCGAGGTGGCCTTGTTCAGCTCGTCCAGCATGACCCCGGACTGCAGGAGATGACCGGGTGACGTGACTGCCGACGATTTTTGGGAGGCGGGAAGGCTGTCCAGCACGCTCTTGGCGGCGCCGGACATGGCGTTCGCAGAGGCATCGTCAAACTCGCGCAAGCGCTTCTCGCAGGTAGTGAGCATGTGGCGCACAAACGGTTGATAGAGGGCGATGAGCTCTGCAAAGTCGACGACCAGCGGCACGACCAGCGCGAGTGCTCGCACGTTCGACTGAGCTACGAGCGAAATGAGGCAGTCAAACACCTTGCGCCGATCGACCAGACCATCCACGTAGAGCGCAACAAGGAGGCGGCAAAAGTACTGCCATCGCGCATGGTGGGAATTGAGGACGGTGATTGCCTGCTCTGCCGTGCCCGCGGGGGCAGCAGCGGCGGTGCTCGAGCCACCGGGACCCGGAGTGCGGCCCTTGGCAAAAGCAGCCGACGACGGAGCTGGAGAATGCCCGGGAGCTGCAAGACTACCCGGAGCAGACTGTGGAATGCCTCCACCGGCTTGGGCCATGACAGCACTCGGGATTTTGTCAAATTCCTGGAGCGCGGCCTTGGTGGCACTACATACATGACTTGCAAGCTCTTCCGACAGTGTTCGAAACTCGGTTTTTTGTGTGGCGTTGTAGTCGCAGGCAAAGATGAACTGTGGGAACGAGAAGGCAACGAAATGAGTTTAGACATTGACTCGCTCGGTTCTGCTGAGGCGCGTGGGACATCACTTACTTTGACAACCCAGGTGATGAGTGAAATGGGCCAACGCTGCTCGACGCGCAAGTCACAAAAGTGATTCCACACAATTTTGCGATCGGTGATTGGGTAGCTCGCGGCGAGTTGCGACGGAGTCATGCTCCCGCTCTCGACTTCGACAAACCATTCTTTGAGTGTCATGTGCTGGCCAGGTCCGCGGTTGTATGTGATTCCCTTGACATTGTGCGAGTCGTGATCGGGTATTTGAGCTCTCGAGGCCCGGGCTTTGCGTATTGACCTAAACCCGTCAAGAGTCTGCAGAGCATCACGGATTGTGGGAGGAGTGGGGGGGGAGGGAAACAAGGATTGTGAGCAGGATGGCTTGATTGGTAGCAGTTCAAGTGCTTGTGTAAATGGAGTTTACAAGTTGTAAAATGCGCTCGTCTTTGGCACGCGAATGCCACGAGCCGTCCTCTGCGTCCACAGCCTTTGCCTGTTGCGTGTTGTAGCCTTTAGCAAGCGTTTCTACATTCATTACGTCCTGTTCGACGACACACGCGATGCAGCAAACGAAAAAAAAAAAATACGAGTTAGCGTGATGGGTCGGTTCAGAAGATTCAAAAACGCATTGTGTGCTGGTATCCAAGCGACCAGAGTTTCTTGGCACTAAACGTAATCGAACAAGAGAGAGACTTACTTCTTGCTGATCTCGCCGTTGCGGAAACAAGTCCGGTATGCCAAGTTTCGCTGACAATTCGACCCGCTTTGGCCGCTCCACTGCAAGAACGAAGCAAACCCAATCCAAAGATTGCAAAAGGTGAGCACCAACAAGTCCATCACGCAATCGGATTGAATCGTGTTGGTGAGGAACATTGTGAGTGCAAATTCAATGGTTTCAAATTTGAGTACGAATCGAAACATGCAAAATCCCGACCACCACGGGCATTTTCGTTTCGCAAATGCTCCTCCAATGCGGGATTGCCTGCATTGTTGTTCAGCATTTCAACCCTATCGTTGCCTTTCCATCTTGAAGTTGGCGAGCACGCTCGTACGGAACCGTACTTTAACGGAAGCCAACTGCGCCTCGATTGTGCCATCCCACCACCTCCCCGCTCTCTCGCTGTCTCGCTGTCTCTGTCTCGTTTGGTCTGCCCCATTCACAAGACCGAATGACAAGTCAGCTCTGGAACCTGGGCGTCTCGTCCGTCCCCTCAGCTCCAATGCGAGATCTGTCAATTGCGCCTCTCTCCGATTCAACGGTGCGCGCTCTATCCCGCCCAGACCAGACCAGACCAGACCAGACCACCCAGGACCAAAAGCTGGTTGGAAAGTGCTCTCTCGCTTTTGCCAGGCTTGGTCTGAGACGAGCGGCGCGTCTTCGAATGCATGCTTGATGCTCGTCGTCCAGCTTGATAAACTGCTTACGCTCGTATGGCTTGAGCGCATGGCTCGCTCCAGTCGACCCGCTCGGTGGGCCCCCGATGGAGGCACCGCTTGGTCCGCCAGTGGACATTGGTGCAATGCTGGGGGCTTGAGTGCTTTTGGACGGTACTGCAAGGGGCGTTTGGGCAATCGCAGCCGTTGAGAGACTGAGACTGAGAAACCCAAAAAAGGATTCAGAGCAGTATATCGAAGATGAAACATAAAAAAAACTAGCATTTTGGTCAGAAAATCAACGGCTTTGGAACCAAATCTGAGCTTTACTTCTCAGATTCACTCTTTTGTTGTTGTTTACAGTATTTATCAAATTCAAACCCACTCTCTTGCTGCGACAACATGGCAACCACAACCACAACCACTGCAAAGGTCAACTATCGCTATGGCCGGATCCTGCTGCTGGGCGACTCAATCACGCAGCTGTCGGCCGTGGAGGGAGCAGCGGCGTCGTGGTCTGCGCTGATCTCGTCCCACTTCCAGCGCCGCGCTGACGTCCTGCGCCGCGGATACTCTGGCTACAACACGAGCTGGGTCCGCGCAGGCCTCGTCCAGATGCTCGAGGCGAACGGCGCCAAGCTGCGCGCATCCCAGCCGACCGCGAGCGAGCTCGACAACCCAGACACTTGGCCGTTCGACGCCGTGGTCATCTTCATGGGTGCCAACGACGCCCGATTCAACCTGCCCCAGCATGTGGATGTCGACCAGTATGGAGCAAACCTGACCGAGTTTGTCCGCGTCTTCCACGATCAGCTCGGCGTCCCGCTGCGCCAGATTGTGATTGTCACGCCGCCAGCCGTGGCCAACGACAAGTACGAGGCATACACGATGCAGACCTACAACGAGCACCGGGCGAGGTCGAACGAGGTCACCCACAAGTACGCGGTCGAGGCGCTGCGCGTTGCTTCCTCCCTTGGGACGCGATCCCTCAACCTCTGGCAGGCCATGAACGACCAGATCGAGGTCTTGCCAGAGCGTCTGCGTGACGGGCTGCACTTTTCCGAGTCTGGCGCCGCGTTCTTTGCCACCTTGCTCATTCCAGTGCTGGACGAGTGTCTCGCGCACATCCAGACTGTCCTGCCAGAATGGCGCAACATTGACTTTGACAACATCCCTGGCACCTTCCCGCCACGGACTTGAAGCTGTGAAGAGGTGCTGTTTGAGTGTGTGTGTGGGGGGGGGGGTGCGCCTTCGTTTTTGTTTGTTTTGTGCTGTTTTGCGAAATTTCAATCCCAATCTGCTCAATCTACTTTGTTCCTCCGATTCTCTACCTTTGGACAGAACAGGTCTTGCTTCGATTTTGTGCATGAACAAGGGGTCGCTTCACAAGCAAGATTGTCTGTATTAACATGCATCATTTCACAGCAAGATGTTTGTTTGGTTTCAAAAGTACTGTAGCAATTTTACAAGAGCCGCCGCGCTACAACGCGCGATCGGAAGGTGGCAGAAGGCACGGGGAAGAGCAGACGCAGACTCACAACAAGAGGCAGCTTGAGACTGGGATCCAGCGTCATGACAACGCGATCCGTGTCTTGAGCCAGGGTCATGTCGGTCACGCCGGTGCTCGCTTGACTGTACTCCTGGAAGCTGGCCACCGAGAAGACAGACATTTGATAGCGAAGGGGTTGGTGTTCGACCGTGTTGATGCAGGTCAGCGCAGACTCGTGACTTCGAGGAGTCCGGAAGGCGCAGTTGCGCGTCAGACTCAGCGTGCGCCGAGATGCAACGTAGGTGACGAGCAAATCAAAGCCATAGGCAAACCCAGTCCACCGCCAGGTAACGTCGACATCGGTTTCGATGAATCGGCCGCACCGGATGCTTTCGCTCGCAAAACACTCGAGTTCACGCAGCAGAGAGGGTGTCTCGGGCTTAGTTGGTGGCGGTGCGGCGAGTGCTAGGGGTGAGCTCGCTCCTGGGGTCAGTGTGTGCCGAGCAGAAGCAATGTTGTGCTGGGCGGGGGTGGGAGGAGATGTCGGCAATTCGGCGTCTGGAGAAGAATCGGACGCAGCAGGCGAGAGCGACGCTGCTTGGTCGGCGGCAGACTGCGTCGTCTGGACTTCAATTTCTTCAAACACACCTTCCGAATCCGCATCATCTGCGCTGGCACCGTCGTCATCCTGGCTCTCGGTCTCACTCTGCTGCGTTTCCTCCGGAAATTCGGGGAGCGCATCGGCTGCGGAGGTTGCGGGCGACAAATTGCCAAACAAGGGAGATGCAGCCGGGCGATTTGGAGTGGAACCGCTCGTTGTTGACGACAACGAGGCTACACCTGGCGTATGGATGGACTCGGCGAAGGCTTTCAGAGGCACGGCATCGCAATAGCCTCCTTGCAGGGACGAAAGCCAGAGCGCCTCGTAGTACGGCAGGAGCCATGAACGTGGAATGATATTGTCCATGCGCAACTCTTGGACGTTGGACATGGTGGTGAGCATGTGTTGGAAGCGCAGAACGGCAAACAACGCTGCAACGCCTTTGCCCTCCTTGGTGTCGAGATACGCCTGGACGTCCTGGCCACGCGCTCGAAAGAATTTACCCGAGCGCTTGACCATCGACGCTGGCGTGCTCAATGACGCAGTCGTGCGCCGCTTGGCCTTGAGTTCGTCAAGCTCGTGCTGGTACTTGGTCTGCTCCTCGATAAACTCGTCCGCGACTTTTGGCTGGAGCTGCAGGAACAGCCAGATTCGGCAAATCACGTAGACGTCGAGTTCCACAAACACAACGCAGAGCTTTGGCGAGGCAATCGTCTGCCGGAGCAACTCGAGCGGCATCTGTCGAAGCAAGGTGACCAGGTCGACAGGCGGCAGAACAAACAAAAAGTGGTCCATCCAATCTGCCAGCGACGGCAGCAGCTGGGTTTGTCCGTACTGATGCGTTGCCGCATAGTAGATTGGCAGCGTGGTGGCGGAATAGGTGCGCGACATGACCGATGCACAATGCGCGACGAGGTGTGGTATTTGGAGCATGGTTGCAGCCGCCAGCACGGGCACGACGATTGCTTCGTCCAGGGTGTACTCGTCGTGGTAGAGAGATTCAAAGGCCACTGTGAGCGCTGCAAACGAGCAAAAAAAAAGAGTGGTTTGAGTCAAACTGTCGACTTGGTGATGCTTTTCCGCAGGCGACAAATCAAACAAACAAACAAGCTCGCACACTTACCTTGAGCATCGATGTTGCTATCAAGAATCTCAATGTCGATTGTCGGGCTGGTAGACTCGGCCCAGCACGAGTCAAACATGCAACAAAAGTATTCGGCTTGTTTCAAGTAAACCTTGTGCAGCCGCCACTCTTGACCTGAAGTATCGGCATCAATTGCAGAGTTAGAGTTCGGCGCGCATGAGCAAAACTCACAAAATGGGACACATCCAAACCAAATAGAATCGAGTGATGAGTGGCGGTTGATAATGGATGTGGGAGCGCAATAAGACGTTTGAGGTTCTGTCAAAGTGTTTGTTCGATGCGTCAACAGAGCACGGCCTGTCCATCGAAAAGTTCCCCCAGCTCTCACCCCCACCCTCACCCAGCTCTCTCTACAATCCACGAGATGGTTGGTATGGAAGGGGACTTGTTGGAGCTTGTTCGTTTTTTTCCACCCCCCCCCCCGGCAAAGGGAATCTGAGAAGCAGCTGTTTGTTGAAGCAAGAGTTTGTTACCCAGCGCTCGGATGGTAATGTCGCTGCCTTCGCCGTCCTCGAACAGTGTTTCCACAATATAGAGCGACGCAGATCGTCTTGGGCGCTTGCTGGCATGCATTGGTGCGCGACGGATGAGACCCGACGCGTCAACGGTGGATTTGGACACGCTTGACGGGTTTGGGTCAAACGGTCGGGTCGAACCGGCTAAATCCGACATCGCAGCATGCGTGGGGCCAGCACTTTCGGAAGCAGCGTCGGCCGTGGCGTGCGAGACTGGCAACGACGCTGATTCATACGTCAGGTGGGCGGCGCGGGTGCTTGGCGGCGACTCGCGCTGGCTGAATGTTCGGCGGGCTGGCGAGGACAACGAAGCCAACGGCGAGTACGTGTCCGACTGCGGGTCGAGCGCAGGACCGCGCGACAGCTCCAGATCGGCCGGGAACAGCGAACTGGTAAAGCTCGCAGCGAATGGAGGCCAGGATGAGGTCTGGTGGGGCGGTTGCTGCGGCAGCTGCTGGCTGGAAGATAGGGGAAAAATTGCGGTCTTGGAATGACTGCCGAACTGCCAATGCTGCTGCTGCTGTTGATGCTGTTGTTGCTGTTGCTCCAGCTGATGCTGAGGATGCTGTCCTGCAGATAGCGACGAGCCAGCAGACGCAGATGAAGCCGTGTTGCCCATGTTGCGTTCGCGGCAAACGGAAGATTGATGTAAAATTTCGAGTTCTGAGATTTGCAGCAAAAAAAAAAAAATAGACTGAGTTTCGTTCCACCGAAGTGAAGTGACGAATCTGTCTAACTCGACAACATCCAAGCAACGCTTGAGATCTACAATGAATGGTACTTTCAGCCAGGTCAGTCGTTTATCCACAAATGCCTGTACGAATCTTGCAGATTGAGGGCTGTTTTGTGCGGGAGGTGCAGATGACATGGTCGAGTCGAACTGTCGCTGAGTGCTGCACTGTGCAATAACTGTAGAAGTACAACCTGCAAGTCAAGGCTGAGCTCGCACGCGTCGAGCAGTTCCAGCCAGCGTCGGCGGCAGAGTACGAGTTCCACCTGCTCCTCGCGTGCGCCCACTGCAAAGAGTCCACCGGAAAGCACGTCAACTTTTCACTGCAGGTTTGGGTGTTTGTGAAGTGCTTCATGATGATGGCACAGTGCTGGATGCATGGCAGCATCACCCGCTCAACCCCTGGTCCTTGGTCTGTGCATTGTGTGGAATCAGGACGAGGCGGACATTCCCGGTGGCCGTGGCGTCGCCAACTTTGTTGCCAAGTGCAAGCTGTGCTCGCGCGATTTTTCAATAGGTAGGTGCCGTGTTTGATTGATTGTGGGATGTCGCGAGGTTGTAGTTCTTGTCAGATTGGGAAACGCTCAACTTCTTGTTCGACATTCTGTGATTGGCGATAGAAATCATCAAGGGATCCATCGTCCCATACAAGAGCTCTAGCAACAATGGATTTGCGACCATTGCGTCGTTTGAATGCCGCGGCGTTGAGCTGACTGGATTTGAGCCCGCGGTACCGTTCTCGTTGTTTGTTGGTTTGTTGTTTGTGTGACGATTTGGCTGTTGTGACTTCAGCGACACTCAAAAGGCATGCAACTTGTGACTGTGTGCCGAAACGCAGAGCGGATGGACTGTCGTCGCAGAAGAAACAGGAACGACATTTACGGACGTGGATCTCTCCGAGGAGTTTGCCGAGTACGACGAGAAAGCCAGCGAGCCCGTTGGTATCAGCAGTCTAGAGTCTCGCTTTGTCGTATCCAAGTAGCCCCTGTACCGCAGCTCGGCATGCGATGAGTTGATTGTTGATTTTGAAAAATCATCTCAGGATGCTAGGCGCATGAACAACCCCTCAACAAAAGTGTTGTTTCGTTTTCAAAGAAGTGCAGAGATCTCTCAATGCGGTCGAAATAAGAAAGAGAGCGTTTCGTAAGACTTCATTGGTTTTCATTAAACGCGCAGTATCCAACATACAGCCATGCGAAGCGCACGTCCTTGCTCAACCGGCTGGGTCGAACGGAAGCTTCCCAACCCTCGCGCATCTGTCGGACGATGGAATGACTCTGTGGCCAGCTTGTCACAAGCTCAATAGTCCCATCGACAAAGGTCGGTTTTGCAGCGTACTCGTACCGAACAGCACCTTGCTCATCTCGGACAATGATTTCAAACACGTTGCTAGTTGTGGCACCAAGACGCTCGCGAAGCACGTGAATTGCTTTGACGCGGATTGAATCTCCAGTGATGCTCCTAGGAACGGTGACTTTCAGAATTCTGTTCGGGTCATCATCTTCATCATCGCAGTCTCGATTGGTATGCTGCACGCCTTGCCAATAATACGCTTCGTCCATGATGCGCTCGGCAATCTCGATTGGTAGTGCAGGTAGAGATGCGGATTGATCTTGCAGCTGCAGTCCGCTGATGAGCAAGCGAAACACGCTCTGAATGTCTTCAGCACTTGCCGACCGTGGAAGCAAGGAAAAGGAGAGAGGGTGCATCTGGCCGTCGATGCTGTGCAACGAACAAGCCAAAAGGAGCAGTCAGTTGGGCACTTTATTGCTTGCATCAGTTGTAGAGGGGGGACTTACGAAACCTCAATGGTGTCGTTGACATTGCGCGCCTCGTCAATCGCTTGAACACCAACATTGCCAATGCAATTACCTTGCAGACTGTCGCTGAAGGGGTGAGCAGGATGGCAAGGTAGGAAGGGATGGTTTATCAGCAACGCGCACAACAACCTACGTGAGACTAGTCAGCGTCGTATTCACTTTGAGCGCATCAGCGATGGCCTGCGCTCCAGTATCACCAATCTGATTGACTTCCAGACTGTCCATCCCCAGTGAGCACTCTGAACGGGCCCCGGATGCCGGATCACACACTTCCATACATCAACACGAGATGCTTTACTACAGAATTTCCAGCCTCGTGTTCACTTTGGGCGCCTCGGCGATGGCCTGCGCTCCAACATCGGTAATCTGATTGGCTTCCAGACTGTCCATCCCCAGTGAGCACGCTGAACAGGCCCCGGCTGGATCACACACTCCCATGCATCAACATGAGATGCTTTACAACAGATATTCCAGCATCGTGTTCCCTTCGAGAGCTTCGGCAATCGCCAGCGCTCCTGCATCACCAATCTGATTCTGCCACAACCTGTTCTGTCTCAGTTAGCACTCTCAATGGCCTTCGGCTGAAACCACTCCCTCACACGCATCTTTCAATGAGAGATGCCGTACAAGAGCCAAGACAGCGTCGTGTTCACTTTGAGGGCTTCAGCAAACGCCTGCGCTCCAGTATCACCAATCTGATTGACTTCCAGACTGTCCATCGCCTCCATCAGGTGAGCATTCTGGGTGCCCTCTGTTGAAATCACCCATTCACACCCATCAGTTCAGTAGAAGTGCGCTGTCTTACTCGAGCAGTGTCAGCTTCGTGTTCACTCTGAGGGCTTCAGCAATGGCCTGCGCTCCAGCGCCGCCGATGCGAGTATCACGCAGACTGTCCGTCCCCGCCTTCAGTGAGCGCTGCACGTGCTCTGCTGGATCGCACACTCACATCGGTAACACATTACTAGAGCTCAGTCAGCGTTCTGTTCACTTTGAGTGCTTCGGCAATCGCCAGAGCGCCTGCATTGGCAATCTCGTTCGATTCCAGACTATATTCGTCTCCTCCATCTGTGAGTCACTCTGCTTGAAATCGCCCGCTGATATGCATCGGTCAAAAAAAGCGAGATATGCCTTACTATAGTTTCGTCAGCGTCGTGTTCACCTTGAGCGCCTCAGCAATCTCCTGCGCACCATCACTGCCAATCTGATTCCAGCCCAGACTGTCCACATCCCCCCCCCTCCTTCAATGAGCAGTTCGCCCACCACCCACTCAAATGCTTCAGTCAGTGAGTGAGATGACTTACTTGAGACTAGTCAGCGTCTTGTTCACCTTGAGTGCCTCGGCAATCGCACGCGCACCGGCATCGCCAATCTGTTCTTGATTCAGACTGGTCCATCCAACATTTCGTCACTCCACCTGCTGTTGCTGCTGCTGCTGTCATCATGCGGCTCCAATTCACTTTCTTGCTGTGTGCTTACTCGAGAGATTCACTCGCATTGACTTGATCGTACAACACGCGCTGTCTCTCGGTCATACTTTGATCCGACAGCATTTGGATGAAAAGAAGTCTAAATAAAAAAGCGACTGGTTTGATTTCTTCTCAGCGTTTTGTTCATCATTGTTGCATGGATTGAAGCGTATGCGAACATGAACACACAAAATTGCGTGATTGCTGCTCACATTGCAATTTTGGAATTGTCTCGTCTCAGTCTTTTTTTTTGAATTGAACAAGTCTGAGCTCGTCAAACCGCACAGCCCCCATTCTGTTCAACCATGCTCGCTTCAACTGCTCGCTGCTTCTCGTCAACGGCCGCCGCCGCCTCCAAGGCAAGACAATCCTCGCATACGCTGATCGGGCATCCATTCGTCTTGTGAAAGAGAGAGACGGGGGGGGGGGTTGACTTGGCCTGCTCTTATCCACGAGCCGTGACATTGGGTCACACGCGCATGGTTCTCCACACTGCCATCGGCACCCACTCTCACGCTCCACTCATCATCAACAACAACATCATCATCATCAACATCATCATCATCATCGTCATTGCACCGTCATTGCGCATCATCATCGGTTCCAATCGCAAAAGGGTGCGACTCACTTACGCTTGACTTCTTTTTGTGACAGAACGTCTACATTGCCAGCTACGCTCGCACCCCGATCGGCTCCTTCCGCGCCTCCCTCGCTGCCGTCCCTGCGAGCCAACTCGGCGCCACTGCCATCAAGGGCGCCGTCGAGCGCAGCGGTGAGTGTCATATTCTGATATTCTGGGGTTTGTGCGGAGCTTTTTTGCTTTTGGCTTTGGCTCTTTTTTTTTTTTTCCGTCTTGGCTCCGTTCCGATCGCGCTTCCTTCCGCTTCCTGCAAAGGCCAATGCCGCCTGCAGTCAATGCTTCAGTCGGGGGTTTGATTCTGCTCTATATTTTCTATCAAATCCTTCGCGACATCGGAGGCTGAAAGCAGCAACGCACACAACTGTACTTGGGAACCGACGACTCAAACCTCCGGTCTTGGTTTCTGCGCAAAAGATTCGCAGCAAAACGCTAATCCTCCGCTCCTCCCGCTTCCGCTCGCTCGCGTGTTGTCGTTGCTGGTGCTGTCCTTTTTTTGCCCCTATTCTGGAGCTTGTGGCCATGTCTTCTTGGCGTATTCTCAAAAACTCACACTTGCGTTTTGCTTATTCTTGAATCTTTCACTGTCTCAGGCCTCAAGCCCAACCAAGTCGATGATGTCTACATGGGCAACGTTATTTCCGCTGCTGCTGGTCAGGCTCCTGCGTCCCAGGCTTCCATTTTCGCCGGTGAGCGTCCTTTGCCTTCCTGCCTGCCGAGTATTACAGTGTGTAAACCTGCATTGATTAACACTTTTGCGACTCTGAAACTGCGACGACAGGCCTGCCCGCGACCGTGCCATGCACCACTGTCAACAAGGTTTGCTCGTCGGGCATGAAGACTGTCATGCTCGCGGCTGGCACCATCGCTCTTGGCCACAACGTACGCAACAGCCACTCACCTTGAAGTTGCGCTCTTTTCTGCGAAAATGCATGTCGAGCTGACCCCCCCCCCCTCTCCCCTTTTTTTGCTGCTGTTGGTCATGTTTGTCTCCTGCACTCAGAACGTCGTTGTTGCCGGTGGCATGGAGAGCATGTCCCAGGTTCCGTACTACCTGTCTCGCGCCAACTCTGGCTACGGCAACCAAAACTTGGAGGATGGCATTCTCAAGGACGGTCTGACTGACGTGTACCACAAGATTCACATGGTACACTTTCGAAAACACGGCTTTTGTTCAAACGGTCCATCTCTTTAAATTGTCGTCTCTGTCGATAACTCATGCTGTTGCGTGAACTTTGCACCATACAGGGCAACTGCGCCGAAGACACTGCTGCCAAGCAGAACATCACCCGCGAACAGCAAGACGAGTTTGGCATCCTGTCCTACAAGCGCTCGGCTGCCGCTCATGAGGTACGGTTGAGGTGCTGAGCCCGCCAACCCAAATCATCCACCAATGATTGACACGAGCTCTAATCTCACTTTTTCTCTCGACTCTCACTCATTCTTCGTCTCTTCACCCCAGCGTGGCGACTTGAAGAAGGAAATCGTCCCCGTCGTCATCACTGACAAGCGTGGCAAGTCCGTCACTGTCGCCGAGGATGAAGAGTTCCGCCGCGTCGACTTTGCCAAGTTCAAGGACCTGAAGCCTGCCTTCCAGAAGGACGGCACGGTGACTGCGGGCAACGCAAGCACCTTGAACGACGGCGCTGCTGCTCTTGTGCTCGTTGGCGAGGAGGCCGTGTCCAAGCTCTCTGGAAAGCCACTTGCTCGCGTTGTTGGCTGGGCCGACGCTCAGCGCCCTTCGATCGAGTTCCCCATCGCTCCCGTCGACGCCGTGAAGAAGCTCCTTGCTAACGCGAACGTCAAGATCTCTGACGTTGCTCTGTGGGAGTTTAACGAGGCCTTCTCGGCCGTCGTCCTCGCCAACGCAAAGATTCTCGGCCTGGACATTGCCAAGGTCAACGTGAACGGCGGCGCCGTCTCTCTTGGCCACCCTATTGGCGCTTCTGGCGCTCGCATTGTGGGCACCCTTGCCTACCAGCTCCAGGCCCACCCCTCCGGCACCTACGGTGTTGCTGCCATCTGCAACGGCGGCGGCGGCGCTTCTGCTGTTCTTCTCCAGCGCCTGTAACCTCTGATGGCGCCCATCGAAAAGTAACTAAATAAAAAAAATGAAACACCATTCTCAAACACCAGCAAGTGGAGCGAGCGAAAGCAATAGAACACGGAAAGAAAGAAAAAATAGCTTATGCATTTTCTTGTGACAGTACAAAAGCAAAAGTCACAACACCATGACTGAGAAAAAAGGACGATAATACTAAGACATTTGGCTACCGATAAGAACTTGTCGAACCGTTAGAAGTTGGGGCACGAGGAGGCGAGGATTGAGAAGGATTACTTGAAACGGCAGCTGGAGGGGAGACTGCGATCGCAACGCCTGGCATGCCACCGCCAAAGAAGGAAGGCACGTTGGAGGAGCCGCGTGAAGAAATTGGCCTCGGTGCCGCACCCATAAATCCCGAGCCAGCCGAGACGGCCAAAGGGTTGCCAAAGCCAGAGACAGAGCCACTACTCGTGGCGCTGGCAACGCTGCTCACGCTTCCGCTGCCGAAAAAGTGGTTGCCTCCTTGCTGAACGCCTGCAGAAGGACGAGAAGCGTTGGACGCTGCAGCGAATGGGCCAAGACCCGGGGTGGCCTTCCCAACCCCTTGCTGTTGCTGTTGTTGTTGCTGCTGCTGCTGCTGAAGCAGTTGCTGTTGTTGAAGCAATTGCTGCTGCGCTTGACTCAAGCCAGGGTTGTAATAACTCGAACTCGTCGGGGATTGCGGCTGCTGCAAGGAACCTGCGGTGGTGCCTGGGGGCGATGTGGCGAGCGATTGCCGGAAGGCGCCAAACACGGCCTGGGAGGTAGATTTGGGCTGAGCGCGCTCCAACAGCGACTGCTGCTGTGAATAGCGCGGCTGCTGGGATGACGACTGTGAAATGTTGACAGTCAACGCACCAAAGCTGCCAGACGTTGACAGCGAAGGATGCTCGACCGGGGAGGCCAAGGGCCCATCTTCAGGGCCGCCATTGATCGTCCCGTAAACATCGCTGCCATAGGGTGCAGGAGTAGCGCCGTTTGGCGCGGCGGCTTGCACAAGCGGGCGCCGAGCCTCGCCGGGCTCGCGAATGCGCGGCGGGAGTCGCCGCAAAATGTACAACACGAGCAGGCACGGAATGACCTCTCCAATCAAAAAGAAGGCTGCAAGAAAATAGTTGTTTGTGTCGTACGAGTCGTAAATCGAGCTGACGATGGTGAAGGTGGCGCGCACCGAAAAGCAGAACGCGCACACAACCGTCACCAGGCCAACCTCGAGCATTTTCTGCCGGCGGCCCCGCGACTCGACGCCAAATTGGCGAAGCATGCGGTACAGCCGGCCGCCGTACAAGACAAATCCCGTTCCAGCAACCAAGGTGATGAAAGCGTGGTAAAAGTTGTCGATTTGGTCCAGCGTAGACTTGTAGTCCAGAAAGAGCAAGAGCAGCCAGATGGTCAGCTGCGGGAGGAGTTGGGTTGGGGTGGAGGGTGAATGGTGGAGGGTGGCCGGGTGGCGGAAGAAAGAACGGCAAAAAAAGAAGAACGGTGAGACAAAACGCCGCAAAATTGCTCGAGCGAACAAAACAAAACTCACCTGCACAAGATACGTGACAAGATTGGCAGAGACGTAGATGGAACGGAGCCAGCGTTTCATAAAGACGGATCTGTTCTTGGCATGTGCCATGATTTCAGCCCTGCGCCAAACAAGGACGGCACAAAGAGATGCGGAGAAATGAGCGCCAAGACAATGCACTCGCGGTTGTCACGTTCAATGCGAAAGCATCCTCACCAGAATAGCACAATCAACGTGTAGGACGAGAAGAAGAGATCGCCAGGCAAGTCGGCCAGAATGGCGTAAATCGGGTGTTGCAAGTCCACCTTGAAAAATCCGGACGGAGTGCTTGGCGAGATTGCAAAGAAGACGCATCGAACTGCAGGGTTGATCCGACATAACAAACAAAAAAAGGGCAACATCAAGAGAACGAACAGAGTTGAGTAAAGATCGACGGTGCGAGCGAGTGCGAGGCACCGGAAGGGGACATTTAACATCAAAAAACTCAGAAAAACCGGACAATCAGGCAAAATCTCCACTCTGCGGCGCCCATCGAGCTCCACCACCACCACCACCACCACCCAAAGCAAACAAGAGGCACAGTTTCCAAAGGGTGGATGACGTACCAGTGTTGAGCAGCATGGTGAGGAAGAGGAAGGACTTTTGCGTCGACCAACCGAGCTGCGGGGCGCGCAGGCGGATGCGGACGAGCTGGACGACAGGGATGAGGCACAGCACAAAGTACACGCCGGCGAGCGCATAGAAGAGGTACTCGTTGTTCGCGTCGCCAGTGTTGTCGTTGGGAGACGGGGTGGACGTAGGGAAGGGTTGGAAGCCAACTGGCTCGGCTGAAACAGCAGAACCTGCGGAAGCGCTGGCTGACGACGCGTCTGTGGCCTGTGCAGCGCCTGCCAGCACGCCGAGTGCGAGTAGCGATGACGGTGATGATGCCAGCCATCGCGCAGACGCCCGCCCCGCCGTGGACGATCTGCAGGCTATCCGATGCTGCTGCCTCTTGAGTCGCTGCAGCTGTTCGTTCTGCTGTTGCTGTGATGCTGCTGTTGCTGCTGTTGCTGCTGTTGCTGCTGCTGTCACGTGTGCAAGTGACTGTGTCTGTCGAGGTGCTGGGGACGAGTGCCGTGGTGGTCGAGTCGTCGTGCTGGAGCTGGGGTCGCCGTCCTGCAGCAGGAGTGGCTGACGGCGGATCAGCTGCCAGACAGATGCATCACCTGCAGCAACTCCAGCCATATCTAGTGCTTTGTTGATGGAAACCCCGTTGCGCGCTCTCTGCCTGGTGGTTGCTTTTGTGCACAACGACGAGTGCTGCTGATGATGATGCTGATGGTGATGGTGTGGATGGTGATGCTTGAAAAAAAAAAAAAGAGAAACCGAAGAAAACGAAAAAAAAAAAAACAAAAAAAGGAATGATAAAAAAACAATTCCAGCGATCAATTAGATGGTTGGCAGTTTGATTTCGCCGCACTCTAAAGCTATCTACTAGACTGCTGGGATTGTGGAATTTATGGAACGAATGCAGCCTGCGTGCATTGGAAGAAGCGATTTAGCGATGCGCTTGCTCACGACTCGAGTACACTTTGACCCACAAAATCCGATCGTCTCTGGGCTGCTAGCTCATTTGGTAGAGCGCGTCCTTCGCAAGGACGAGGCAGGGGGTTCGATTCCCCCGCAGTCCATTTTTTTGCTGGTTTTTTTTTTGTTTTTTTTTTTTTGTTGTTGTTGTTTGTTTGTCTTGGCTCGTTCGCTCTCGTTTTGTCTGCGTTTGTTGTCGATGGATCTTGTGTGTGGGTTTTGGTGAATGGGCGCGCGAATCAACGCCGACAGCGCGAATTGTCAAAAATTTGGTTGATGTGGAACATGGCGCCCTCCTCCTCCCTCATCACTGCCATGAACAACTTGTAAGTCTAGGACATGCAGACAACCACACCCGAGAGCTGGCGAGTGCCTCGGATTGAACACAATGTAAATCATGGGGTTTTTTTGGGTGGGGGGTTTGGGTTTTTGGGGGGTTTTTGTCAAACATGCAAACAAATATGCAAACAACCCAATTTGGAATGAGCCCAGTTTGTACCAACGACCAAGTCGCGACAGATCTGAGCTGTTATTAATGAAGGCAGGAAAAGGGATATGTGAAGTAGATTGAGCTCTGGTTTAACGGCTTGGGTTGGTCCTTAGTGCCTCGCAAACCGACTCTCCATTGATTTCAAAACAAACACACATATACACACATCCTATCAAAAGGTTGTCTGCAAGCGTTTTGAAGCCTTTTTGGATGAGGCAAATAGTGCTTGGATCAGTCAACAATCAGCACTCGTTTGGGTGCAAAGTCGCTTCAACCGTCAATCCGTTCACTCGTGCAATTCGCAATGGTCGTGGTCGGACTGGATGTCGGGACTACAAGCATCAAAATTGTCGTGCTGGACCCTGCGCAGACACTCTATGCTCCAGTCTGGGCGGCGGAAGAGCAGCATGAGGCTTACACAATCCGTACGTTGGCTGCGTGGAAATTGTTGGCACCGAGCAGTTCATCCTCTGTGTGTGGCGAGTGTCTCGGTGCACTGTCATGAACAATACGGATCGGAGATCCAACATTGGAGTCGTTTTTGAGTCAAGACGCGGACATGGCTGAGACCTGACTACTTCTGCTGTGTGCTGCTGTGTTTCAGATTCAAGCGAGCGAGCGGAACAAGACCCGAGCGTTCTACTCGGCGTGGCTGTCAACTTGCTGCGATCAGTGCCAGAGACTCTTGCGGCGCGTGTCGACCGGATTGCATTGACTGGTCAGATGCACGGCGTTGTGCTCTGGTCGCAGCAGAATGCGAATGCTGCTGCCAATCAGACACCCAACCTGAAAGACTCGAGTTTACTTCCAGTTTCACCATTAATCACATGGGAAGACGGTCGGTGTTCATCGGCATTCTTGGCAGATTTGCACAAGCAAGCGACAAGTCAAATGCAACTCAGCTCGGGGTATGGCGTGGCATCGCTCGCATGGCTCGCCAAGAACAACCCGGACATTTTGAGCAAGGCCACAGCTTGTGGTACCATTATGGACTTTGTGGCATGCAGCATCTGTGAAGACGCGCAGCCCTGCATGACACCGACAAACGCTGCGAGTTTCGGCGCGTTTGACGCTGCGCAGTCTTGTTGGCAACAGCCCTATATTGAAGAGGTAAAGTTGATTGTTTGTTCTGTTGCTCGAGTGTCGAGTTGTGAAACCTTGATTGCTCAATAATGGAGCCGAGCCGTTTGCTGCAAAAAAACTACAAAATGGTCAGGTCGCGGGCATCCGGTTTGACCTCCTCCCGCGGATTGTGTCGTCCGGAACTCGTGTTGGACGGCTAAAATCCGGCATTCTGCAGGCAGATCGAACAACGGAGGTCCAGGTGTTGGCGGCAGAGGGCGATCATCCTTGCTCAGTCTACGCTGCTCTCAACATTATCGCGCGTCCAAGCAGCAGCGTTCCAGCCGTGCAGCCATCCCATTCCGTACCGCAGGCTATTCTGAATATGGGAACTTCCTCCCAAGTTGCCATTGTGGTCCCGCGGTCTGGGCTGCCCGCCGATTTGAAACTCAACCCGTCGGTGGAGATTCGGCCCTACTTTGCCCCCGAGCTCTGCATGATTGTCCTTGCGTCACAAACGGGTGGAAACGCCTTGGCTGCGCTTGTGACTGCATTCTCTCGGTGCACGACAGAACTGTCTGACGATGCCGGTGCGATTTCATCCGACGCGGCATTCTCCAAACTGATCGAAAAGGGGTGCTCGCTTGTCAAGCAAACAGACAGACCTCCGTCGATTTCCTTCCGGCCTACGTTCTACGGCGAGCGAGCAGACACGGCTATGCGGGGCCAAATTGCAAACATTGGACTCGACGCGAGCGGCGAGCTTGACTTCTCCTTTGTCGGCCTATTTGTCGCCGCATGTCGCGATTTGATGCTGCATCTCGCCACAATGCTGGATCAGCTTGTCGGTGATACCATTGCAGAGTCTTCTCCAACGCTCCTGCACCGGCTGGGTATTCAGAACTTGATTGCAACTGGCCGCGCAATTCAGCGCAACCCCTTATTGCAACACTTTGCTTCTGCGGCCTTTCGTGTTCCTGTGCGAGTATTGCCTCTTGACTCGCGTGCCGACTCTGCCCTCGGCGTTGCCCTGCTCGCCCTTCCGACGGTCTAATCGCGACGAGTTGACTTTCACTACAGCTGTGCTCGATTTATTTTTTTTTTTGTTGTTGTTGTTCAATCAACTCGGTCGTTTGATTTCATCGTTTGATACTTTATTTTACTTGTCTCAGTTTACAAACTCATCTGTTCAGTCAGTCATAATTTCCACCAACGATGAGCGTTCTGGTTGAGACGTCGCTGGGTGACATTGTGATTGACTTGAACGTTGAGCACGCTCCCATCGGTGAGACTCCCCATCATGCGCCACCTCAGCTCGCCTTTCGACTGACGGGTGCTCCTATTGCGCCATGTGTGCTCACACTGCTTTTGCTGTGCGTTCGCCTTTGTGGCCGTTTGGATCAAACACTACAGCGTCGCTCAACTTTCTCAAGCTCTGCAAGCTCAAGTACTACAACTACTGCCTCTTCCACAACATCCAGCGCGACTTTATTGTGCAGACGGGCGATCCAACCAACACTGGTCGCGGCGGAACGTCGGTCTTTGGGTGAGTGTGGCTTTGGGCAATCCACGGGTCAGGCTCGGTGGTCTCTGAGACTCTGAGACTGGGGACGTTGTTGAGGTTGAAATTTATTATTGTTCAGCTCTCATGGGGTTTATGTTGCTGAATCGACGTGGCATTTCCTTGCTTTTGGTTGTTGTTGTTTTTCTTGCGGCTCAGAATCGTCGATGGACCGTCACGGCGCTTGTTTCGGGACGAGATTGTGCCGACTGTCAAGCACGTAGCCGTCGGGACTGTGGCGATGGCTGGTTCTGGCAAAGACGGCAACGGCTCCCAGTTTTACATTACGACAGCGCCGGCACTCGAGTCGCTGGATGGCAAACACACCATCTTTGGGCAGGTTGTTGAGGACGAAAGCCTTGCAACGCTTGCCAGGATCAATGACTCCTTTTGTGATGATAAAGGCCAGCCTTACAAAGACGTCAGGTGGGTGTTTTTGTGTGTCAGAACAGTCATGGCGTCCTTTGGGACCTCGGATAGTCCAATTCTGATTTGCTTGTCATTTTTGCATATTGGCTGTTGTTTTTGGTTTCGCGCTCTGCTTCCTTCGTCCCCAAACTAGAATCAAGCACACCATCATTCTCGATGACCCGTTTCCGGATCCGCCAGGCCTAAGAGTTCCAGACGAGTCGCCTTTGCCTTCCAAGGAGCAATTGGAGGTAAGACTCGTCTGTTCTCCTCTTTGTTTGCATTTGAATGACCCTGCCCCTCACCATTGTCGATACCCCTTAGACTGGACGACTGGCAGAAGATGAGGAGATTAACGTGTGGCAGGGCAGGAGCGACGAGGAAATCGAGGAAGCCATCAAGGATCGCGAAATGTACGCCGGCGCTCAGATTCTCGAGATGGTCGGCGATCTACCAGACGCCAACATTCGGCCACCCGAGAATGTGCTGTTTGTCTGCAAGCTCAACCCCGTCACCAAGGACGAGGACTTGCACGTCATTTTCAGTCGCTTTGGTGACATTCGCTCGTGCGACATTATTCGCGATCCCGTCACCAACGAGTCGTTGTGCTACGCCTTCATTGAGTTTGAGCGTGAAGCGGACTGTGAGGAAGCCTATTTCAAGATGGACAACGTGCTGATTGATGATCGACGCATCAAGGTTGATTTCTCGCAGTCCGTCGCGCGTGTCGGAGGCCAGCAACGTATGTTATCTTTTCATTCGCGCTGGATGGCTGATTGTAATGTTGCATTGGAAGCAGTTTTGGTTGGGTGACGGAGGAGAGGGGGGGGGAAAAAACAACAAGTGGCTAGGATTTGAATGCCGTTGCTCACGCACAGCATCTCGTTTTGCTTGTAGAGCGCTTTGATTCGCGTCGGCAGGAACGAGACATGTCCCTTCCTTCGGGAATTCGTCTTCGAAACAGCAGTGGATCGCATGGCGCGCACCGTGACATGGTCTTTGAGCACGACCACTATGCCGAAAACTCCTCGTCGAGCAAGCGGGCACGAATGGACACTGAGCCTGCAGCACGCGATCGACAGCACTCGTCACACTCTGGACACGACCGATACGAGAATGGCGGTCGAGACTACCGAAGCGATTCGCGCGATCGCGAGCGCTCCTCCCGCGACAGCCGCCGGGATGCTCCTAGTGGATCGAGCAGCAGCAGTTCCTCGTCGCATCGATCCTCGCATGATGGAGATCGCGATCGGCGGTCTTCAAGTGATCGTGATGGAGATCGCGATAGGCGTTCCTCAAGCGACCGTGATCGATACTCGTCGTCGAGCGGCCGAGCCGGCCACGAGCGTCACGATCGGGATCGCCACTACTCGTCGTCTTCGTCTTCGAACGATCGTCACTCGTCGTCGCGAGATTCGGATGATCGTCGACACCGGTAGGACCTGGAACTTGTTTTTCTGATGCAGCCAAAGCTCCCATCCCAAACTCTGCTTTTGGGCAATCAACATCGCAATTAAAAGAAAAAATGGTTGCATCAAAAACTCATCAACACTCGCGCAATGCGCTCAAAACTCAACACCTACATTTTTGCATAAACAAACACACGACAAGATTATACAATATTGTTGTAAAAAAAAAAAAGCCCCTGCCACGGACAACGCGCTCACAACAGTAACCCCACTAGTATGGTCGATAGCCACTTGGTGGTTGCTGTTGGCTGTACGGGTTTGGCGGGCCGCCGTGATGTTGTGATTGGGGTTGGTAGTGCTGCTGTGGTGGAGGCGCGCCGCCAAAGCTTGCATAGCCTGCGGGCGGCGGTGGTGCGTAACCACCACCACCACCACCACCACCGAATGGAGCAGCATTGGCACCAGTCAGGGGTGCTCGGTTGTACGACGGCGGCGGAGCGGGTGCGGCATTGCCATTGTACGACGGCGCGACGCTGGGACCACCACCGACATACGACGGCCGCGGCCCTCGGTCGTCTCGTCCGCCATATCGATCACCACCGCCACGATCACCACCACGATCACCACCGCGATCAAAGCCACGGTCGCCGCCACGATCGCCGCCACGGTCGCCGCCACGGAATCCGCCGCCACCGCCGCCTCGGGGTGTAAACCGACGCCTGCGCTCGGCTCCTGGTGGTGCCCAGTCCTGCTCGATTGGCATTGGGTGGAAGGGCTCTGCGCGCCACGGGAAGCGCGGCCAGCCGTTCTCGTTGATGTAATTCTCAAAGAACAACTTGACGGCCTCCTTGTGCTTACGGCCCGAGATGTGTGTCTTGCGCACCGACGACTGGAAGCATCATTGACAAGATCAAAAAGAACAGCAACCCCAAAAAGGACCAAAAACACACACACACACAAGGTGGGGTGAGCTCGATGGTGAGCAAACGATCAGACAACGATTTGAGAGATCTCTGTTCGACCAGGTCGCAAACCCCCATCCCCAGCAGCAACAAAGTGCGTTTTCGAGGTGAGGGAGGGGGGATTGATGACGATGATGGGCAAGTGGAGTGGGTGCAGAGCGGCAGCAGAGAGAGAAGGCGGAAAAGGTGGAGGAAAAAAGAAAACTCAATCGAGAAACGGTTATACGAAAAAGCTCATGATTGGGAGAGGAAGAAGTACCGAATCGTGGGTCAGGTGCGCTTGGCAATAGTGACAAAAGTAGCGAGGCATGCTTGGTGTTTTGGATCCAAAAAATGACTGGTTGGGCTCATGCTCAATCAGTGCAAGTACGGTTGAGGTATGGGAAATATGTTTCATAGTCAAAGTGAGGGAGGTGAAGGGAGAGGGGATGGGCGAAGGGAAGGGAAGCGAAGGAGAGGAAACTGGTCGGCAAAATTCGGGTTCTGAGCAGCTCATCGCGGAAGCTCTCGGGGATTGTGAGTCTTACGATTGATGTTGATGAGTTGCGTTCATTTATCAGTGAATTTGAGACGATATTTGAGGTTTAAACCAAGTGTGCGGCATTTTCGCAAGCTACTTGATTGCTGAAACCCTTTTGGTGGAGAACGCACTTGACTTGCCACATGTGGATCATGATCCGACCAATCCCCACGAAACACTGAATATGGCATTTTAAGTTAACTGGCCAGGTAATTTTTGCAGCAGATCGCGCTGTAGTGCACTTTGCTGGACGCCTGCATATGAAACAGCAACAGCACAAATTTGAACTGGTCAGATTTTCATCAACCGTTCCATTCACCGCGCGCCCTCCTCCAACGGTCCAAATGCACAAAACGACAAACAACCTCAATGACCAGCTTGAAGATTGTGGCAGTCCCCAATCCAAATCCGATTCTTCTTCGTCGGCGCTCACTTTATAATTTTGGATTCTTGTCCGTTTTTTTTTTTTTTTTTTTTTTTTTTTCCGTTTCTTCACTTTTGAATCATGCTTGCATCGCGGCCAGCTGAGCCCGCTGCGATTACGATGCAGCCCGTCGCTGGGGCGGCCACACGCGCTCCTTTTGCAGCCATCTCGAGCAATCGAGCACTGGCAGGCAGCAGCAGTGGTGCTCTCAAGCCGCCGGGACTGACTCGCGCACCACTCTCAGCGGTTTCAAGTTCGACTTTGGCTTCTGCCGGCCGTTACGCGCCTTCGTCACACACCCAGCGGCCCGTCTCTGCCGCCGCAACGCCCAGCCATGCACCGATGAACATTCCTGCATCCAATGCAGCTGCATCGGCAAGCACTGCGCGTCGCAGTGGCCCGCTGGGGACGCCGGTCAACCCGTCTGACTTTTCCGCCGTTCCCGACGTGATTGTCAACCACCGCCTCGGCCACACATACATCAAAGGTCCCTTCCTGGGCAAGGTAAAGCACACGCATTCCTACTTTTTGACAAGACACACCACGGTGGGGGTGATGCAGAGACAGTTGGTGAAACAAACGGCAAAACGGCGGCGCAACAAAACGCGTTGAAACGGTTTTTTCAGGTTTGAAACACGAAACAGTTTTCGTTTTTTCTTTGTTTTTTGGGCTTTCTGTTTTTTTTTTTTTTTTTTTTTTTTTTTTTCCTCCACATTCTGTCACTTGGCTTGCGAGGCTTGTGCTGATCTGTCTTTGAGAGGATGACAGCTCATACATGCCATATATGCAAAAAAATCCAACACATCAGGAGCGGTGGATAAAAAACAAACACAAAAGAGATCAGCCAAAGCAAAAGCGCGCGAAAGCGAAGTGAAGACCTGTCAAAACGCACACAAACTGTTCTGCTTGGCCAACCTCCGAGCCGCTCCGATCTGATTGCGTGTTCCACAGTACCACTTAGTCACTGCTCTCCATAAACCACAGCTCTCGAAAGCGCGGTGCTGCATCACTAAAGCCACTCGACTCACCCTTGACATTCTGATTCTCGGATGATTGTAAAATAGGGTGGATTCGCCGAGTGCTTCCAGCTCACAAGAACTGACACAAATGAAGTGTTTGCGGGGAAGATTGTTAGCAAGAAATCGTTGAGTAAGCGAGCCAAAGCCAAGGTAAGCCGGCAAAGATCCCCGATCGTCCAAAATTGTCGAGTCATTCGAGTCATTCACCAAATCGAAAACTCCCATTTGACACAGCTCGAGACCGAAATTATCATTCACAGCTCCGTACAGCACCCCAACATTGTGCAATTTGCGGACTGGTTTGAGGATGACGTTAACGTGTACATGGTCCTTGAGCTGTGTGCAAGCAAGGTTTGTGTTTTTTGTTTTGTGCTTTGGTTTTTTTTTCTTCTCGCGTTGCCTTTTCGCTGAGGTGGTTTGAGAATCGACAAATGTGCTGACTTGTTGTCCCCAAAACTCCTACACACCGCAAGTCCATGATGGAGCTTGTGAAGGGCCGAGGGCGCCTAACTGAACCCGAGGCACGGTATTTTCTGTACCAAATTATTGACGCCACACGATACCTGCACGAAGAGAGCGTCATTCACCGGGACCTCAAGCTCGGCAACTTTTTCCTCAGCCACGACATGTGTATCAAAGTGGGCGACTTTGGCCTTGCCACGCGTGTGACCCACGAAGGCGAGCGAAAAAAGTATGAAGATCATTTTATTGCAACGTTTTGCGTTTTTTTTTTCTTGGTTGACTCATTCAATGCCACTTTCCCTTTCCCGGCCCCCCACCCGCTTCCCGAAACTCTTTACAACCAGAACTCTCTGCGGTACCCCCAACTATATTGCTCCCGAGATTCTCGAGGGCGAGCACACGCACAGTTATGAAGTGGACGTTTGGGCGATTGGCGTCATTTTGTACATTCTCCTTTTCGGCCGTCCTCCGTTTGAGAGCGAGTCCGCCAAAACCACCTACGAGCGCATTCAAAACATTCAGTACAGCATGCCCGCAGATGTCCCTGTTTCGCACGACGGCCGGTCACTGATTGCCCTCATCCTGACACGCAACCCGTTCGATCGTCCTTCTCTCAACACCATTCTGGCACATCCCTTCATGACCAACCCTCAAATGCCCGATCGGCTGCCGACCTCCTGCTTGACCCGCCCTCCCAAGTGGGTATGGAACCAGCAGTCTGAGAACGCCGTTCAGAGCAGTTTGACTCGGCCCTCGTCTTCCTCCTCCTCCTCTTCCTCGTCCTCCGCCTACACGACCATGCATCTCGGCAACAAGATGGCAGAGCACCAAGCCACGCCGATGGACTGCCAGAGCATGAGCACCAAGGCGCACGATGCGCACCCACGACATGGCGAACTTGCCACCACTCAGATGCAACCGCCGTCGAAACGGCTTCAGTTGTCGCAACATCACCAACCCCAACAAGCACATCAACAGCCTCAACCACACAGCGGGCAAGATGTGCTCTATGCCGCACCTCAGGCCTCCGCAACTGCGTCGAATCTGCGATTCGCGGCTTCTACATCTCATGTGACTCCCTCCGCCACCACCCAGGCCACAGTTACGACTGTGACCGGGAGGAGGGTTGCACTGGCGTCAGCGCTGGGTACCCCGTCATCGAGCGTGACGCTTTCGAGCACGGGTGCATCATCTGCCATGCATGGCGTTGGCTCTGCAGCTCCGGCTCAAGCTCAGCCAATGGTGCCAACCGGTCTTGCGATCGGACGTGCAGGCCGGACCACCGCTCACTCTGCAGGAGTCTCACAGGCAGCACCTCGAGTCGCCGGATCCACGCTGATGACGTCCAGCTCGAGACTTTCCAGCAGAGCTTCGGCTGCGACTGCTATGCAGACAATGTCTTTGCAGACCAGTCACGCAGATTCTGCAAGATCATCCGTCGCCCCCATGCAGTCCCGTATGGAAGTGCAACAACGCACATCATCGTCTCAGTCTCAGTTGCAACAGCAGCAACTTTTGCTCGAGCAGCAACAGGCCGAGCGACAGCGCCAACTTCACCAGCAACAGCAACAAGCACTGCTTCAGCAACAAATGCTCGAACAACAGCAGCTCCAACAACAACAGCTGCAGCAACAACAGGCCTTGCAACAACAACAGGCGGCACGTTCACAACGACCAGCCTCCAACACCAGTTCTCGCACCTCGTCTCTGCAAAAGCTCCAGCCCGAACAGCTGGCCGAGACTGTGACGGAAATTCTGAATCGCCAGTACACGACGGACGCAGCATCTGGCGTTGCAGCAGGTCAGCACACACACCGCTTTACTCTGATCATCTCTGTCTACTAGTGTGAACGATGCAGCTCAATACCGTTGTGTTCGATTTTGGCAGAAAATGACCCCGCTCTCGTTCCAAACATCTGGGTCACCAAGTGGGTTGACTTGTCCAACAAGTACGGGTTGGGCTACCAGCTCTCCAACGGTGTGGTTGGTGGCTACTTTAACGATGCCAACACCCTTCTCATGTACCCCGATGGCCGGTAAGCGTTGCAGCTTTATGTCGTGTCTTTGTACGGAGGTCAAAAAGATATGGTGATTTTGTGTGACTTGAAAATTGATTTGTCTCGATTTTTTTTTTGGTGTACAGCACGGTGGACTCGATCTCTTACGAAGGAGAACCCGTCAAAATGATGGGACGTCGGTACATGATTGATCGTTTGCCCGACGACATTCAGCCCAAAGTTGCAGCCTTGTCCCGCTTTGAGGAGCACATGAAAAACCTTCTCATGGTAAGCAGTTTGGTCTTTGTGATTTTTTTTGGGTTCATTGCAAGCAGGCCTGTGCTCGGTCGACGTACTCAATGACGCTGCGGGGAATTGGTGTTCTCCTTCCGATTTTTGATTGCTACCGACAGGATCCAAACGAAGCCGACGTTGTCTTGTCGTCGAATAGCGAGCCTCCATCCGATTCATCCCTTCCGTTTGTTCGCAAATATTGGCTGACCGAGCATGCAATTGTTTTCCGACTTTTGCAACTGGTTCAGGTTAGTTTGAATGCTTTGCGGGTGCTTCCGGTGGTTGTGAGTGGGTGCTCTGACAACGGTGCTCACAATTGTTGTCGTTTGACACGGTTTTCCCCCTCCCCCGTTTTCAGATCAACTTTTTGGATCACACCAAGCTCATCCTCTCGGCTCAACTCAACTCCATGACGTTTATTTCTGCTAAGGGCGTGCGCCAGAGCTTCCCTCTGCACGTGCCCGAAGGCCAAGTGCTTCCTGAAGAGCTGATTGCTCGTCTTTCTTATGCGCGAGACTTTTTCCACGCCCTCAGTCAGAAGCGCGCCGAGCGACATGCCTAAGACCTCCGTTGAAATTCACCCTCCTCACACCATCTAACAAGGCATATGCCAGATGAACTCCTTCCTTCCACCCCCCTCGATGTAAATTTTTGAACATTTATAAAAAACACCCTTGTTGATTGAAACAATCCTTTGATTCTCTCCAAACAGCTGCACAGATAGTCATGCAGCAACCAGCACACCAACACACTGCACTATGACCAACCAATTTTTTTCTTCCGTCAAACAACAACAACAACAACAACAAAAACAACAACTACAACTACAACAACAACAACAACGACAACAACAACAAAAAACAACAAAAGACGCGCGCCGTCAAGGCGAGCTGTACAGCAGACATCTTAGTGCTCATGATGATGTTCACCTGACCGAGCACTCATTTCGTTGCGCATGCTTTCCACGGGATGCAACCTCTCCTGCTCAGTGGCGTTGGGGTGTGCTGGGAAGTTAAACTCGTAAAGCTTGCTAATCTCGTTCCATTCGGGGCGGTTTTCAACGTGCAGGTCGTGGATCAGGCCGGTGCGAATGTCGCAAACCCAGCCATGCACCTACGCAAACAAAGAAGAGGCCAACAACAACGATTGTGGGGGGACATGAGCAAAACGCAGAACGTCGAGGGAAAAACTTGGGAAATGGCAGAAGAGTGACGTTTCATACCTGAACATGATGACCCGTTGCCCAAGCATGCTGAACGACAGAGGTCTTGTAGAGGTTGTACACTTGCTCCACGACGTTCAGTTCGACGAGCTTTGCAAAGCTACAGAACGCACGATTGTGAGTGTCTCGGGTTTCCACCAACAAAACAAAGCTGTTTGCAACTGCTTGTTTCTTACCGCTTGTTCGGATCTGCAATGGCGCTCAGCTCCTTGTGGTGCAAGCGGCTGACGTCCTTGATGTTGCGCAGCCACTTGTCAATCAGACCGTGCGAGTCGTTCGACATTGATGCGCGCACGCCTCCGCACTCGGTGTGTCCCATCACGATAATGTGCTGCACCTTGAGCACCTAGCAAAGAAAACAATAAAAATATCCAAGGATCAAAAGTTAATACATCCGATCCCCCATCTGAGCATTTGAGTCATGCCATGCGGTTGTTGCTTTGGTGGCTTTTTGAATCACAATCATCCAACAACCTTGCTCTGAATCTGGTTTCTGACCCTGCTTTTTTTCCCCCCTCTTTTGCTCATCATCATCATCATCATCATCGTCTGCCACCGAGCGCCGTGTTTTTTCCCCCATGAAAACCTTGCTCTAAACCTTGCTCCAAAACCTGCTTTCCTTCTGTATTTCCCCCCCCCCTCCTCTCACTTATTCCTCGGGTAACCTGTGCCACCCGAGTGACCAATCTGACTCACTCAATTGCTCTCTTTTTCCCCCGTTTCTCTTCCCTTCTTCCCCCCCCCCTCTTCCACCTTTGCTCCCCTTGCTTCCCCACTGTTGTCGAGCGACGTAAACGCATAACGTGATGACGTCGCGGGCTGTTCGTGTGAATGCTGATGCGAAACTCCCACAACTCGAGCAAATCGCATGACTCGTCACTGGTTTTTGAAATAAAGCTCAAAACCCCAACAACCGTGATTTTCCATTGCGTTTCAACAGAGTGCTTGTTTGGGGGGAAAGTGGGGGAACAACTGAGGTTGGTCTTTTTGGTCTGAAGGCTGACTTTGGGGGGGGGGGGAACAAGGGGGAACAAGGGGGGGGGGGAACAGGGGACGTGGCGCGTGGTGTTGGTGTTGGAGCGTGACTGTGATGCTGCTGCTGCTACTCACTTCGACGGCGTACTGGAGAACCGTCATGATGTTCATGTCCGTGTTGACGACGAGGTTGGCGACGTTGCGGGTGATGAAGATCTCGCCGGGCATCGTCTGCGTCAGCATGTCTGGCGGCACGCGCGAGTCGCTGCACCCGATCAGCAGGTACGGCGGCTTCTGTCCCCGCGCCAGCACTTCGAAAAAGTCGGGCTGCAGCTCGGTGATCTCGCTCACCCATCGGCGGTTGTTCTCCAGCAGCCGGTTGTACTGCTCGGACGAGCCAACGGGCATGGCCGATGGCGACGGGCGCACAACGTCAGTTCCAGCTCCAGCTCCAGCTCCAGCTCCAGCTCCAGCTCCAGCTCCGGTTGATGGTGCTGCGGCATAGCCAGTGCTCGATGAGGCCTGCGTCGTCGGCGAGGCAACGACAGTCATTCCGCGAAGGGCCGACCACGACATGCTTCGCAGCAGCGGTTCTCCGTGTCCGTGTGGCGTGTTTGACTCGCTCATGGTTGAGTGTATGTGTCGGTGTGTGTGAGAGTGAGTGAGTTGTGTATGAAACGACGAGTGAGTTGCTCCAACACGGATGATGGAGAAGGAAAGAGAAGGAAAGAGAAAGATTAAGACGTGTGAAGAATGAGCAAAGACAGACTGAGACAGGACTTGAAATGGTAACTAGGTAACAAAGTAACTAAAGTAACAAAACGGCAAAGAAAGAAAGAAAGAAAGAAGGAAAAAAAAAAAGCAGATAAAATCGAGCCACTCGAACGAGGTGCCTTCTCAGAGACCCTCAGATACTTCAATCACTTCCATCTTACTTAGACCTCGCTGTACTCTCTCTCTCTGCTTCCAGTCGACCGCGATTGCAAGTGTTCCCCTCTGCTTTGTTTATTGAAATGTCGCAACGCTTTCGACCTTTTTTTTGTTTGCAGTCCTGTATCTCTTCTCGCTGTGGCAACGAAACGTAACTCATCCACGACTCAAACAATCCCCAAAGACCAAGACCAAAATCCCCAAAGACCGAAACCCAAAGCACACACACTCACACAGACGCAGATGCAGCAAAAGCTGATTATCGACACGGACGCTGGCGTCGATGACGCGGTTGCGATTCTGCTGGCGTTGAATTGGCCTGGGGCGGAAATCCTCGCCATCACGACGGTCGCCGGCAATGTGGACGAGAGCCAAGTCGCGGTGAATGTCGCCAAGATCCTCGCATTCACGGGGTGCTCGTCCATCCCAATCTACCGCGGCGCAGAGTCGGCCATCATTGCGTCGCGCGCAGACTCCAAGACGTGGGCGGGCCATGGCGTCGACGGCCTGGGCGACGTGCCAATCGACCTGCTCACGCCGCACCAGCACCTCGTCCCGCACCGCGCTCCGATGGGCATGGGCATTGCAAGTGGAAGGCCAGCCCAAGTCACTGCGAGTCAGTATGTGGCGCGGTCCTCAGGAGGCAACCACAATCATACTGACGACACCAACGCGAATGCTACTGCTACTTCTACTTCTACTACTACTACTACTACTACTACTACTGCGGCTAATGCTGGCATGAATGGTGCTGCTGGTGCTGCTGCGGCGGGCGGGCTGGAACGCGAGACCTCGTCCTCACTGGGCGGACTCTCCGGAAGCAACTCGACCTCAGCGAGCAGGTCGGGAAGTGGACACGCGTCGCCGTCGTCCGTGCAACAACCTTCCATCGTGCACCATCCGCACGAGCAACATGCGGCGGTCGTCATCAGCCAGCTCATGCACGCACACCCGGACGCCACCTTGGTCATGATTGGACCGTTGACCAACTTGGCGCTCGCCCTGCGTCTCGACCCGAGCCTCGCCGACGCCATCAATGCGCGCCCCAACCGCTTGGTGATTATGGGCGGAAGCATTGCCGGCGCGGGCAACGTCACCATGGCGGCCGAGTTCAACTTTCACCAAGACCCCGAGGCCGCGTACATGGTCTTGGCTGCGTGCACCAACCCGGCCTCCACCGTCATTGTGTCGCTCGAATGCTGCCAAGAAGATACCCTGACTTGGGAGCACTTTGACCGCTTTGTCGAAAGCGAAACCGTGTTTGCCAAGCTGCTGCAGCTCGTGACGCAGCCGTACGTTCGCATTTGTCGTCGTCGAGGGGTTGCCGGCGATGCCACCGCGACGGCTGTCACTTCGGTTGTGCCCTCTCAGGCATCCAACAGCAAGAAGAACCCGTCAGAAAAGCCAACTGCTGAAGCGAACGACTCGGTGATGACCACGGTGACCACCACAACCACCACGACCACCACCACCGCCGCCGCCGCTGCCAACAACAGCACCAACAGCAACAACAACCATTTGGCGGCCACCGATCCAGCACGAACCACGCCGCAAGCCGTTCTCGGCCAAGACCCTGCGACCGAGCAGGTTTCTCTGGCTGCGATGCGCGCTGCGGCTGGCTCGATTGCCTCTGCCCTCGACGTCCACGACGACGACGGACGCTTCACACCGTACGATGCATTTGCCATCGCCATTGCGCTCAAGCCGAGTCTTGTCCGCGAGAGCGAGCACATTTTTGGCACCATCGAGCTGGGCGGCCAGCTGACTCGTGGCATGCTCGTGCTGGACCGCATGCGAAAGTTTTCACCGCCCAACATTTGCATCGTCCGCCGGCTGCGCACTCAAGAGATGGTTGAGATGATGATTCGCACCTTCCACGAATGAGACGGCACGTGTGATTGTGTGTGTTGCGTTTTTAAGGGTGATTAGACTGTCCAATAATAAGCATGGACTTTGAGCTTTGCTCACTCACGACAAAAGTTCCAGATTTATTGGCTGGAGCAACAAACAAACAGAAAAAAAACAATCAATAAAACAACAACAAACAACAAAAGAGTTTGCAACGGTTTTACACTTTTTTGTTTCCTCAACAAAGCTCAACACCCGCACATACGACACAGATTCACTCTCAAGTCAAGCATGCCTCTCGTCTAATAGCGATAGCCTGGCTGGCCATACTGCTGCGGAGGTGGCTGTTGCTGACCATACGGTTGCTGGTACCCATAAGGAGGCTGCTGCTGTTGTGGTCCGCCGTAGCCTGGTTGCTGCGGGTATGGCAGAGACTGCTGTCCGTAGTGCGGCTGGCCGTAGGGCTGTTGACCGTACTGCTGCTGCGGTTGACCGTACTGCTGGGGAGATGGCGCGTACTGTTGGGGAGGAGCATATGCCTGCTGCTGTTGGGGCTGTTGTGGGTACGGCAGAGATTGGTTGTATCGCTGCTGTGGTTGCGGCGCGTAATCTCGCGGGAGCGGTTGCTGTGGCTGTGGCGCGTAATCCCGCGGAAGTGGCTGCTGCTGGCCGTACGGTGGCTGCGGTGACGAGCTGTAGGGTTGCTGCTGCTGTTGCGAGGCGTTGAAGCGGCTGTGGTCCAATTCTGCATAGTTGGACTCGGGTGCACTGGGCGCATACGAGCTCGGGTAGTCAGGGCGCGGGGGAGCGGGGGCGCGCTGGGCAACGGCAGGGGGAGCAGTGTCCTCGTACACGTTCGGGACTGAGCTGGGCGCTGCAGCAGCGGAGGTCGACAATGGCGGACGGTTGACGCGGGGCGCCGGGACAGGTCGAGGCGCGTTTGCCGACCCAGGTTCGATTCGGGGGAGAGGCTGGGGCACTGGCGAGGCGCTGCCCTGCTGTTCCGAGCCAGCTGCCGGCAAGCTTGGAATGGAGCCGGTTGGTTGAGTGGTAATCTCGCGCGTCAGCGTTCTGCCGAAAGGAAAGGAGCGTAATGAGACGACCAAATGCAGCAAAGTCTTGGAGGAAGGGTTACCAATAAAAATCACAACACTTACGCGAGGTACTCCTTTTGCTCCGTCTTGCGAGCAAACGCCAAATCCTTGCACTTGTTTTGCAGCTTGAGCAGCAGTTGCAGGAAATCGCCATAGAACTGCAATAGCGCGAAGTGAGACAGTCGGAAGAACAAAAACAAACGAACAAACTCAAACACAATGACCATCAAAGCCAGCCCTACCTTCAACCCTTCTTGCACATTGGACTGGATTTCAACAAAGGCATTGTAAGCAACGTCCAGATTGCGGAGAGCAACCTCACGTTGGTTGGTGGCCGTGTTGCTATCCTTGAGTGCGACAAACTGCTCGTTCGTCACGCGGATCGACTCGAGCAGTTGCTCTTGCGTGCGAATGCTGTCAGCGATACGTGCTTGGAGCGGTCGGTACCGCTGCAGTTGCTGTTCCATGACACTTGCAGCGTCATCATCCGCATGTCGCATCAGTTGTTCGGCTGGGAGCCAAAAGCAGGAAAACCAAAGAGGAACGGAAAACAAAAAAAGTTAATCACCAAACAAGCAGCAAACGTCACAAACGACACCAAATCAAACAAGAAAAAAAGCATACCGATCGAGTCTTGCGATGCAAGCGACTTGAGTTCTCGCTCCATGGCGTCGCGCTGGGACAAGAGCGTCGTAATGTCTGCCAAATGGCGCTTGAGTTGAGCGACAGCGTCCGCGGTCTGGGGGCTCATGGATGCTGCGCTCGAGGCTGGCACAAGGGCCATCAGCTCATTCTAGCATTCACCAAGAAGCATGAGGGGTGAGTTTGGCGGTGATCGAAAGCAAAGAAAGAAAGAAAGAAAGAAGAAAAAAAAAAAAACACGACCACAGACACAGAAAAGGGCACATACCGCAGGCTTGCACAGGTTGGCAATGTTCTCACGATGCTCGTCAAATTTGGTAGAGACAATACCGTCCGAATCGTGAGCCTTGCGGAGAACGGTGCGGAACTTGGCAATTTCCTCGCGCATCTGACTGGTGAGAGCGGCCGATGGTGTGCGCGTCCACTTTGCGCCAAACTGCTCGCGCATGGCTTCGTCGTCGCGCTGCTCCTCATTGAGGACATTCTCTGCCTCGGTCAACACGTCGCTGTCATTGCGGAAGAGCGACTGCTTGGCGTCCATCGTTTCCATCAACTGGCGCACGCCGCCTGCAGTGCGGACTTTTTCCGACTTTTCAAGGATTGCCGGAGGCAGGCCCGCAGGTTGCTCGAGTGCCTCGATGGAGGCCGGCAGGTTCATAGAGGCAAGCATGCTGCATTGAAAAAAAGAAAAGAAAAAAAAGGGTCAAATTCAAAACACGCACATTGAGAACAAACCCCCTTGACGACAACAACCCTTCCAACCACAACATCGCACGAATGCACAATACCTGTTGGCCATGTTGCGGGCAGACTCAATCTGGGCCGTGTCGGTGCGAATCAACTCGTCCTTGCGAGCATTGTACGTCGACACTTGCTGCAGCACATTGAGGGAGACGAGCTTGCCAAAGAGGTCGTGGCTGAGCTGCAGGCTCGTGTCGAGCTCAAACGCGGTGGGGGTGACCATGGGTGCGCGCGTGGTCGTCGGAATGGAGGACTGGGCAGGGACGGGGTCGTGGTAAATCACGTCGTTGTCCTTGCTGGTCGCGACGAATTGACGCGCCGCCTTTTGCTGGAGCGAGCGGTAGTCAAAGTTGGCAATTTTCATCTTTTCCACATACTGGCACAGCTGGTCGCACGTGGAGAGGCGTGCAAGCTGCAGGCCGTACTGCTCCTTCTCCTTGCAGACTTGCGACTCGTGGAAGTGGGTGAGGGCGGCATAGTAGTACTGCTTGGCTTGGAACAGCGGTTGCCAGCCCTTGTCGACGAGGGCGCGCGCGTCGCCGCCTGCCACTGCAGTGGCCGCTTGCTCAAAGTAGTCGGCTGTTTGGGCAGCCAGCTTGGCAACGATCGAGTCCTTCATGCTGGTGAGAACAGCCTTCAGGAAGAAGCACTCTTGCGCCTGGGCGATCGAAATGGCAGCCAGAGCATTGAGCACGTCATTGCGCAGGTCGGGAGTGACGGTAAACCCAGTAATCAGGACGGGGACGTTGGCACGCAGAAATTGGAACAATCCGGCGGCGCTCTGGAACGAGTTGCAGGCGATTTTCAGACCCGCTTCCGTTCCGCGATTCTGTGGATTGGAGAGAATTGCCAAAAAGGGTGCACGAATGCAAAAAACAAACAAACGAAGGGAGAGTTAGACTGAAGAGCTCGAGAAATGGTGGTAGGACTGACAAAAACGAGGAAAAACTGAAAAAACCAAACCCCAACGCACCTGAGCAAGAGCAATCTGCATGTGAACTGCAGCAGCGTTGAAGAGCATGCACACGAGCTCGTAGTTGGACGAGAAGAGTGACAGCTTGCGCTCATCCTTGGCCGCCGAGAAGCTCAGGCTGGGCGTTTTCTGGCCGAGGAAGGCGTCGTACCAGACAAATGCAATCCGGACATCGTTCTCGCTGATGGGGAACCGACTCTGCAATGCTCGCAGTTGAGCGCAGTACTGCTTCAACGTGGTCAATCCCGCATCAGAGCGTTCGGGTTGTCTGAAAAGTGAAAGTGAAAGTGAAAGCGGGGGCACACAAACAGTCAAACAAGTCGTGAGTTTCCGACTGAGATTGAGAGCTTTCCACCAATGCCTCCCATCACTAGAAGTAGATAGTAGGACCTTTCATCAATGCATTCGAGGAGGAAGGGGCAACGGTGCACACTTACGCGGCCGATGCACGTAGACCGTCGAGCGCGGTCAACGCGTCAGCAAAATTGTCTGGATTCTCATTGTAGTTGGCTGCAATGAACGAGCGCAGCACGGGCGCAAACTGGACCTGCAGCAGCACAAGACAAGTCGTTGTAGAACACAACAAGCAAGTGAGTGGATTGAATGAACGTCGAGAGCGTGGTGTGAAGGGTCGAAGCGCTGAGAAGGAAGGAACAAACTGGCTCAACAGCGAGAGTGACGCAACGGTCAACCACAGTTAGTGCAGCGAGCGCGTCGTCCCCGATGAAGAGGAGACTTTCATTGACGCTGCTCGATACTCTGGAGAGTATCGTCTTGGCTCGTTCCAGTCGTAGTGGATGTGCCGCTTTCAAAGGAATCGAGGGGAAAACGAGAAAAAAAAAAAAAAAAAAGACAATGGAACGCCCAGCCAAAGTCCAAGTCTCACACAGTCCACGTCTCAAACTATCACTCTGCTGCTGCTGCTGCTGTTGCTGCTGCTGCTGCTGCGTTGTTAGTACAAAGATGCGACAAAAGCGACACTATCCGTGGATGAAGCGTTGCTTTTGGTTTCTGTTACCGGGCTCGTCTTCTTTGGCTCAACGCCGACCATTGGCAATGTTGCTGCACTCATTTCGTCCGAATGACACGAAACAAAAAAAAAAGGGGGATTGAAGTGGAAAGTACAGTAACAATGACAGCTGTATGAACGATTGGAAAGGAGGTGGCGGGATCCCAGTGTGTGAATCCGGTACAATCCACAATCCGAAGCCAATTCTGACAGCTTTGCGTTTGTTTGTTGCTCCAGCCACTTTGCTCTCCGACGATGTGCATGATGGAAGTGCACGAACATGCAACGAGCTAACGTACAATAATGGGTCACACTGGCATGGGCCCCACGACGTTGAGGATTCAGGTGTGAAAACATGGGGAGACAGGTTTTTGTTTCAACCACCCGACAACAAAGGGCTCTCTTTCACCAATGATGTCGTACCGAGTATGACTGAGAAGCAGCGCGAGTCCTATGATGATCCACTTCACGAAATGCGCACGAGTGGATCTCAACGAACGAATGCAACAAAAGGGAAGCGCCAATATTTCTTCAACCACCGACAACAAAGGGCTCTCTTTCACCAATGCTGCCAAATCAGAGCATGACAACACGCGTCCTATGATGATCACGTCACGAAGTGCGCACGAGTGGATACGCTTCCAATACAAGTAAGAGCGCTTTCTCTCTTGTACTTTCTTTTCGTCTTTCTCCTTTCGTCTTTTTGCTCTTTGCTTTCTTGAACTTCTTCAAAGACTTCGTTATTTTCACTTTTTTTTTTAACGAGATCTTTTCGGTTTGATTTCAATGCTTTTTTTTTTTAAATTCCCTTTTTGATTTTAATATCAGATCCTTCCCTTTTTTGTATTTTTGTATTTTTTTAATTTTTTAATTTTATTTTATTACTCCTTTTTTTTTTTTCGCACTTTTAATTTTCATCTTTTTGTTTCAGTATCTTTTTTTTGTTTGTTTAATACCCCTTCCATTTCATACTGTTTTCTCACTATTGCGACTTTTTCCCTCCACCTTTTCCTTCAATCCCTGTTTTTTTTTTCTTTTTTCGTTTTTTTTTTCTTTTCTCGTTAGAATATTAAATTTTCGCATGGCGGATTCGCAGCCGCTCGCACTGCTTCCCGACCGCGGTGCTGCCCTGCCGCTGCTGCCCCCCCTGCGCGCGCCCACGACACTGGAGACAGTGCAAGGACACGCCGCACCCGCATCTGCCGGGGCGCGGAGGACGGCCGCCAACGCCACTCGCGCGGGGTGCAGAGCAAAAACAGATGGTGGGAAGCAGCTCAATAATAATGCGCCGCTTGCTGCTGCTGCTGCTGCTACGGACGACCGCAGCGACACGCGGCGCGGGCTTTGCAGAGATACGAGCAACGACGGCTGCTCATTCCCATTATCAGCGAAGGCAAGGCGGGCGGCCGTCGCTGCAGCGCCCAACAAGAAGGAGTGCAGCAGCAACAACTGCAGCGGTGAGAATAAAGTTCCAATAATAATGCTCGACCAACAGCAGCAGCAGCAACAGCAGCAGCACCTAGCAACCCTCTGCTACTCCAATACAGAAGCACCAGCCAAAGCCAGAAGCAACACAAATCCACCAGCAACATCAGCAGCAGTAGTCGTGGGTTTGGTGGACTGGGTGGCGGCCGCTCTGCCTGCTCCTGTTCGCTCCCACCGCCACTCTCGCTGCGCTGCCGTCCCCACATCCAAGTCCTCCCGACGCACACTGCCTGCACCAAACCAACGCGACCGCCCAGACAGTCGCGGCGGCTGCGGCTCCCGCGCTTCTGCTGCTGGCTCGACTTCTGCACAAGGTCCGCTTCGCTCTGGTGGCCGACTACGCTCGCCGCGATGGCTGCTGCTGTCGCTGCTCCTCGCTGTGGCAATGCTTGGACTGTGCGCCCCTTCGTTACCAGCCGCCAGCGCGCTCGACCAGCAGGGCGGACTGCCCGCTCCAGACCTTCCCATGACTCCAGCAGCTTCGACCGTTGCTAGCGACGATGGTGATGGCGCTCCACTGGCTCCACTGGCTCCACTGGCTCGCATGAACAACCTCAGAATCCCCAACATTGGGCTGGACACTACGCTGGGCGACACCGCGGGGATTGCGGGCCCGGTCGAATTGGGCGTACCGCTCACGGGAGATTCTCCCTCGAACAACGGTGGCGGTGGTATTACCCTCGGTTCGGGTGCTGGAGCCACGGATCGGGGTGGCGGCACCGACGGCACCACCAGCGAAACCGGACGAGGAACCATGCCCATCTCTGAGCTGGATTGGCTCTGTCCGAACGCGACGAAATCGTTTGGTCTGACTGGAAACTCTCCCGCAGTGCCTTCAAAGTCTGGCTGGATTTTGACATCTCCCAACATGCCCAATTTGCTCCTCGGAGGCATTCCTGCGCTGGCGTCCGTGACCGGCTTTGACTTTACATTCCAGTCCACCTCATGCTACGCCTGCTACCTGCGAGGAAACGTGACGCTCTACGCGATCGCAGACACTGCCAATGCCACGTACGACTTTCTGAGCACCTACCCCAAGTTCAATCTGCAGGCCTCCCCGCCTTCATCCAGCCTCGGCGCTCTGCAAATGTACAACCTGGTCACCTTCCCGGTCTTTGGCAGGCCGCCTGGCCCTTTGGTCAACCGCACGACGACGACGACAACCACAAAGCGCCAAGCCTTGCCGTATACGGATCCTGAAGATGCACGGCTGCAGATGATGCGGCGCGAGGATGATGCCGACGACAACGACAGCGACGAGTGCGAAGGCGATTGTACCAACGTGCGCCGAGCAGACACCGCCTCGGATTCGACGGAAGCAAAAGTCCCGCCATTCTACTTCCCAGCAGCTGGTCGGTTTGCTCTTGTCGTACTGAACACAACTGGCCAGGTGCTTGCCTTCTCTCCTCCGCTCGACGTTGCGCTGGTGACCAACAGTCTGAGCCTTGTGCAAGGCCCCATTGCAAACGTTCCGCCGCTCGTGCAGCCTACCCAGCCTCTGACCAACGTCTTTTTCACCCAGGTCGCCTATCCCGTGGTGGTGCGAGGGGACTGCCAGTCTGCCGAACTCTTGATTCTGCGTGCGTACGACGCCGGCAACAACATCACCCAGTCGTTTACAGCCGTGCTCAACGGCTCTGTGACCTGCAACCAGACCTACTCTTACGCAACATTCGCTGTCTCGCTGACCACCGGCTCATGGAGGCTTCGTGTGCACGGCTCGCCGATGCGCAAAAACTTTCCAATGTTGGCGCTGCCAGGCAGGTTTGAATTCTATCCTCGGAGCATCTCGATCGCCGGCTTGTTTGAGCGAGGGCTGTCGTTTGGCTCGCTCGTGGCGGACATTGAGCTGGCCTCGTACCTGGCCGCGTTCATGCTCAACACGAACAAGACACTGTTCGCCAACGTCATGCCCTACACACAGTTCAATCTGGAGCGCCAAGTGACAAATTGCTTTGATGCCACGGTTGCAGTCGAGGCGACCATTACCTCCATTCAGGAGCAAAACGTCAAGGGCATCATTGGCCCGTTCTGTTCGTCTGAGGCGCCTGCCGTCACCACCGTGGGCGCCGTGTACACTGTCCCAACGCTGTCATACTCGGCTTCCGACGCGTCGCTTTCCAACAAGGCCATCTATCCGTATTTTGCCCGCCTCTCGGGCGGTTTGCTGTTGCAAGCGCGCCTAATGTCCGAGACGGTGCACTACTTTCAGTGGAAGGCAGTGTCCCTTTTCCAATTCTCTTCACTGCGACTGGACGATTTGTTGCGTGTGCGCCTGGCCGCCTACAATGTCCGAATCATCGGCGACGTGGAGGCAAACGGCTTTTCGGACTTGACCAGCAAGCTGCTTTTGATTCGCGCGCAAAAGTGTCGCGTCATCCTCTTTGGCGGCATTGCCGGTGTGGTGCCTGCTCAAAACTTTGTCAATACCCTCATCAGCTTGAACATGACCGCCCCAGAGTACACGTGGATCATGTCCACTTCGTTCGCGACGCCCTACGGCACGGCCGTTCTCAGCCACCCCGAGATTTTCCCTCCCCTTGCCGGGTCGTTCGTCTTTACCGTCTATCCGACCTACAACCAGACAATCCTCGCCGAGTACTCTCGGCTCCGGTTTGGGGCTGCGCCATCCACCTGGGGCGCCGAATTTGCGACGGCGTCGCGGGCGGCGGTGAGTTTTTCCTCCCTGCAGTACTCGTCCTTGCCAGACTTGGCATACGAAGCCGTCCTGGCGTACGCGCATGCTGTGCACCAACTTGTGCACGTCAACCGCACGGAGCCCACAGGCGCTGCCATCAAAGACGCCCTCTTCAACATTGATTACGAGGGCTTGTTGGGTCACATTTTCCTGGATGCGAATGGTGATCGGCAAAACACCTTTGCCGCCTCTCAATTCCGGTACTTTCCAAAGGACAACCTCAACTACACGGCTCCTGCACTCCTCATCACCTGGGATCGCCAGTTCCATGCCAATATTTCCGAGCTGTACCAAACTCCGGACGAGTTTGGCAATGTCGGTCTCCACTGGCCCAACGGCGTGGTCGGCATGGAGCCAGAAGACACTCCTCCAGCCTATGTCTGCACACTGCCGTGCATCAATGGCACGTGCATCGGGCCCGATTCGTGCGTTTGCACACCAGGGTGGCGCACCGAAACGTCCGTCATGTCGTTCAAGCTGTCTGCTGCGGAGTGCGGAGCGCCCATCTGCGGCGGCGCCTACGGCTCTGTCTGCGTCCAAGGCACTTGCATTGCCCCCGGTCAGTGCCGCTGCTTCGATGGCTGGCGAGGCGAAGACTGCGCCGAGCGCATTATTGTCTTGTACCAGCGCTCGGCTTACAAGGCGCCCATTATTCTTGCCTTCACGCTGCTCTTTTCGGTCTTTGCGCTGCTTCTCGTGTTTGTCCTGTTCCTGTCGCCCGCGCGCCGAATGCTCGTGCTCCGCTCTGCCTCGCCTCGGTTTTTGATCTTGATTCTGATTGGATGCATCCTCGCGTTCGGGTCTGTCATTGTCGAGTATCCGTACCCAGTCACCACGCCCCGCTGCGTCATCCGAAACTGGCTCTACCACCTCGGGTTTGTCCTGTCGGTCGGCGCCCTGTTGTTCAAGACTTGGCGCGTGGCGCACATCTACAACGCTCGCACGACCTCGCAGTTCCGCAAGATTGACGACCCAAAGCTCCTTGTGATGCTGGCCGGGCTGCTCTTTGTCTTTGTGTTTTATCTCGTCATCTGGACGGCCGTTGATCCAGCAGTGGCCGAACTGATCGAGTCGAATGGCGTTGGTTACTACCGGTGTCCGACGAGCGCTTGGGAGTCGGTCATCTCGGGCGGAGAGTTGTGCCTGCTGCTCTGGGGAGTGTGGGTCGCGTTCAAAGTCCGGAAAGCGCCGACCACGTTCCACGAGGCCAAGTTCATTGGCATGTCCATCTACAACTGGCTTTTCACTGGCGTCTTGGTCAAGGCCATCATCCTCTCCGTGGCCTTGAACGACGCTGACACCATCTACATCTTGAACGGCGTCTTTGTCTTTGCCACATTCGGCGTCATGATGGTGCTGGTGTTTGCGCCAAAACTCTACCTCGTGGTGGAAGGCAAGGGTGATGCCATCTACGGGACTTCGGTGGTCGTTCGTCATCATGTCGCGCCCATGGAGCAGATCAATCCTCGTATGCAGCCCTTCTTCATCAGCCCCGGCGAGTTGCTCTCGGACGACTTTGTTGGTGGCAACAATCCCGTCGTCAATGGACCTCGTCCGACGCCCGGCAGCAACAGCTCGGCCGCGGCCAACCAAGCCGCGCTGGTGCGATTGCAGGATTTATTCTCGCGTCCCGGCACTTCTCGTCATCACAGCGACGACGACGATGTTCTCGTTGAGCAGAATCCTGGAGCAGTGTGTATGGCGGTTCCGGTCGCACGGCCTGGCTCTTCTGCGGATGCCGCAGCTCTGGTAGAGTTGACATGCCCCGGCGGCGGCACGCAAGCTCCAGGCGGCGACCCTTCAGCGACCAACAATCCGGTCGGGAGCCCCAACAAGCTCAGGCGCAAGCTCAATTTCTCCGACGGCAGCGCGTTCTCATCGCCGACCACTGCCACCACTGCCACCACTGCTGCTATTTCATCTCCGCGCTCACATCGGCAAAGTCAACCAATGGATGGCGGTGGCCATTTGCATCATCGCACGCACGGACGCTCGGGCACCACTTCCCCAACCGTCCCAGGCTCGCCGCGACACGGAGCTGCAGACAGAGTTCTGGACCATGCCGAAAATCACCGCGCCAGTCCAACAGATGCTGCACGGGTTGCTGGCGCGGCCGCAACCCCCTTCAATTGGGACCTGTTGTCAGACCACGACCGTGCACTTGCGACTGGCATTTTGCACCATTTGCGAGGGATGGGAGGCCGGCCGCAAGACGACGGCAACATGCCTGGGCTGTCGGACTACGACGAGAACGTCTTGCTGCGAGCCAAGTGCCGCGCTCTTCGCCTCGAAATCCACGACCTGCGCAAGCATCTGGCGATTGCCAGCGGAGTTGAGTACGTCCCCAGCATGGCTGCCTCGCCCGTTTTCAGCTCCCCCAATTCTCGTTTGCAATCGCCCAGCGAACGCTTGTCCCCCAACTGCTCTCGAACGCATCAAAGTCGTCCAATCGTCCTGCGCTCCAAGTTTGGCATGGAATTCAACAGCCCTGGCGAACACGCGGATGACGCCGTGCTGCCACTCGAGGACAGCGATTCGGAAGAGTATGTTACTGCTGTCTAGTTCCGGTGGCAATCGTGTTGTTGCAACTTTGGATTGTGATCCATCTCGCGCGCGGTTCATCTTAGATTTTGAAAATCAGCCTCTTTTGCTGTGTTTTGTTTTCTTTTTCTTCTCTCTTTTCCTTGTTTTTTCTTTTCAACCTCATTCATGTTAACAGTTTACTATGCTTGTGCTTGGTGTGTTTTCGTTGTTTTTGTTGCTTGTTGTTGGTTTTTCGTTTTGTATTCTTTTGTGAATTCTCAGTCGTTTTTTTTTTCAAGTTGGACACATGTACATTGAATTGGAGTATTGCGAGCGAGGAGACACACACAGCACCAAAAGGCGTCAATCACTGGTATGAGATGCTCGATGTTGCAGGATTTGAATGCTGGTGAGCATCAGAGTTTCCGAACAAACCGAACAAAAGTATGCGGCTGCATTGGCTGGCGGAGGCGGCGCAGCCGGTAGACCATTATGCTCCGAGTGCTGGCTCTCAGTTGAAGCACCACAGCCCGAGAGATGACTCGCCTGCTCCGTTTCGCTGACAATCATGTGGTGCCCACACCGAGGACAATCCCAATGGCGTTTGATCAACGAGGCAAGCGAGAAGGCCGGACTTACGTCCTCGACAACACTGTCATCGAACTGCATGCGCGCTTGGGTCGGATTGGTCGACGAGATGCCCCCAGTGTGAGTCTCGACATGCAATCCATCGAAAACAAACCAAGGGGTCAGGTGAACACACGAGACGGACAGATGCAGCCGCGAGTGCAGCGGCCCACTGGCAACGACGCCATCACCACTGGGTGCCGTATCAGTCGCTCCCGTCGCATGATTGGCTTCTTCATCGCGCAATGGCAAGATTCGGCCCACCTCCGATTGCCTGGCTTTGGCGAGCGTGTACTGAAGCGTGTCGTTCTCAAAGAAATCTGAAATTTCCTTTGCAAGCACCTCCACCGTCTGAGGACTATCCATCGCCCAGTTGGGCGCGTCTGCAGCCACCGTTGCCAGCGTAGAGACCAAGATGGCGGGGTGCGTCTGATAGACAGACCAGTCGGCAATGAGCTGCGACGCGTCGTCAGCGTGGTGCACGAGGCCAAGCGCCCCGTCGGCTCCTTCGCCTCGTCGGGCATCCGTCGCTTCAAGCTTGGATCGTACAAAAACGTTTCGCATCGTTCGAATGCGATATGCCGGTGCGAGAACGGCCGCGGCAGCTGCCGGCGTCCCAAAGTTCACATCCAGCCATCGATCGACAATCCATCGTGTGCCATCGCCATTTGTCACGATGGAATTGGCGCAGCACGCAAGGGCCTGAATGGCCGGTACTCGAGTGACGTTGACCAGATAAGGCTTGTTTGTCTCCAGCAAATTGACGTAAAACAACAGCGCAGGCTGCTTGCTCGGAGGAGGCTCCTCCGCTGTCGTCGATCGGGTGGTGGTGGTGGTGTTGCTGCTGTCAGCTCTTGGCGCGACCTCGTTAATGTTGCCATGGTCTTGAGCCAGAAGAAGCAAAGGATCCGTGGCAAAAACGGACTGCGGGTGCAACAGGACAAAGTTTTTCGTTTGGGTGTGGAAGACTTGCTCTGAATCGCGCCTATTCCAGTTGTTTTCGTCCGGCAGAGCAATGTTGGGGTATAAGGCACTGCACAGAATCGCCTTGAGCAGCGCAGTGGAGTGCGAGCTGCCCTGTTCCAGCGTCCGTTGCATGCTATACAGGTCGGCGTGAAGCCGAAATGACAAATCTTCCAGGCCAGCCGCGCCGGAATGGGAGCGAGAGCCGTCAACGTCCGGATTGTCGCCGCCTCCATCATCGTTCTCGCCGTCGGTTGCCACGCCGCCTTCCTCGTCAGGTCGTAGCACCTTCACTTTGCGCACGGCGAGCTGCTTTCGGGCGAGGTTGAGCTGTCGTTGGATGGACTTGCGCGCCTGCTGCTGCTCATCATCGCTGTCATCATTCTCTCGCCGCTTCCGAGAGGAAGAGGATTGAGCAGAGTTGTTGTTGCTTTTGTTGTTGTTGTTGTTGTTGCTGCTGCTGCTGCCTTTGCGGGAACGTTTGGTGGAGGAACTGAACGAAACAAAATCCGAGTTCCAAACATCTTCCGTCGCAGGATCGCCTTCTTCATCATCGTCGCTATCACTCTGCTCGGTGGAAATGAGACGCTCTTGCTCGAGGATTTGCAAAAACTGACGACGGAGTTTGGTAATTTCGAAAAGTCGCTGTTCTTCCAAGCCGTTCCGCCGACTCCATTCCCTCGAGTTGTGGTGTGACTGGGAGCCTGGACGAGCAGCAGAGTCCGCATTGGAAGCGCGAGCGCGACTGAGCTTGATGGCGAGCCATTCGTGGTAGGCATTCATCAGCGTGAATGTGTCGCCATGCGACGAGAAAAACTGGCTCATCTCAGACGTGCTTGACGACGCAGAGGCGCCAGTCGCCGTCCCACCGCCAGATCGCAAATGTTGGCGCTGTTGTCGTTGGTACTGATGGAGTACAGTGTTTTGGAATGGCGTTGGAACTGTCAGCGAAGCGGCAAGGGTTGTGGCTGGGTCTGCAACGCCAAAGACAGACGCGAGAACAAGCATCTTGCCGACCACCAAATCGACTGGAAGACGGGCAAGAATGCGCCCCAAAGGCAAAATGCGCTCACTAGAAGCGGCAACGCCAGCGGAAGCATCGAGTCCAGACTGAGCTCCGAGCAATCCGGCGGGCCGCTCTGCCGCGCCATGCTCGACCAGCGAGGCCAGAGCATCTTCGATCTTTGACAGCGGTGGGTTTTCAATAAACTGAAATTGGCGAGGGTGGCCACCCATCGCCAAAACCTGCAGCAGGACTGCCTCCAGGGGCATGCGCTGGAGCTCTGGTGTGGAAAATTCCGGAAAACGGTCAAACTGCGCTTTCGAGTACAACCGGTAGCACACGCCCGGGCCGGTACGGCCGGCGCGTCCTTTGCGCTGCTCAGCACTCGCTCGGCTGATGGTGAACTCTTGCAGTCGCTGCATGCGTGTTTCAGGATCGTACGCCATCTCTTTGACCTTGCCCGAGTCGATAACAAAGCGCACGCCGTCCAGCGTCACAGACGTTTCGGCAATGTTGGTCGACAGAATGCACTTGCGCATGCCTTCCGGTGCCATATCAAACACGCGGTCTTGCTCCTCGACGGACAGCGCAGAGTGCAACAAGAGCACAATCCAGGTCTTGGTTCTGGCCGCGTAGGCCTTGGCCTCTTCCGCGAGCGTGAGAATGTCTCCCATGCCACTGAGGAAAACCAGCACATCTCCGCGCTCGTTGCGGGGCACCTGATTGTCGATTCGTTCCAAGATGTGCAAGTACACGCGTGGATCTAACTTGTCGGGTTTTTTCTTTCCTTGGACATTGTTGGGTGCGGCTCCAGAGACACCTACATGCGTGCAAACGAACGCAAAAGGGACGCGATTAAACATGTTAAAAAGGAATTCAGCGACGCGCCCAGCCACCTTCAAAGCAACAAACAATATACGACAGACAAAAGCGTACCCAGTTGCGCCTCGACTGCCGAGACGCGCTGAATGTCTTGATGCTCCACGCTGATCGGATAGAGTCTGCCCGGTACACGCACAATCGGACAGTTGCCGAAATACGCCGAAAACAGATGGATGTTGATGGTGGCCGACATGAGAACCAGCTTGAGATCCGGGCGTTGGGGCAAAATGTAGCGCAGAATGCCGAGCAGAAAGTCCGAGCTCAAATGCCGTTCATGCACCTCATCCACCACAATCACATTGTACCGTTCCAACAATGGATCGTTGGCAATTTGCCGCAGGAGAAGGCCTTCGGTGAGAAAGAGGATGCGCGTAAACCGCGTCTTGGTGGCCTCGAAGCGGATTTGGTACGCGACCCCGGAGCCGTACGCGTTGAGCGTTTCGTAGCTCACCCGTTGACTAAGAGCAACACAGGCCAGACGCCGGGGCTGCGTGCAGGCGATGCGAGCATATCCAGCGTCCATGAGGAACTGGGGCAGCTGCGTTGATTTGCCACACGCCGTGTCGCCAGCCACCACCATCACCTGGTTGTTGGCCAGCACATCGAGAATGGCGTTTCGGTAGTGGGACATTGGCAAGGCTGCACGAGCAATGGCCAGTTTGACCGTCTTGGCGTACCGTTGGCGCTGGAGATAGGTCTCAAAGTGCGACAAAAGCAACCGGAATTCGCCAAGTTGCTCTCGAGTGATTGGGCAATCAGCAGACTCGGCTGCCAAGGTCGTGGCACCACTACTGCTTTCCGCATCTTTGACCGTGAGTTCCGGCGCATCGCCATTGTCGTCATCTTGGGCCGTGCTGCTCGAGGCGGCGGGTCGGGCAAAGTACCGCGTACCCATGGCTCCTGCAAGACGGTCGCGAGTTCGAGCACGGTCCAACGGGTTGCTGCGTGCCTTCTCGCGCAAGAGCGCCCCCGAGTCGCGATCGAGCAGGATGAGCACGGTCGTGCGGTGCTTTGGGTCGTACGTGTCTGCGGCAAGGCTATGCCGCGCCAGAAACTCGCGTTCGCGGTCGGACATGGCTGAACTGGTTTTCTGGGCCTGATCTCGAGATGAAGAAGGGTCAGGTTTGTTCTGGTTGGCCTGCTGCTGCTGCTGGCGCTGGTGCGCAGCGAATTGTGCAGCAAACGTCCAAAACTCGCTGTGCTCGGGGCTGCCAACGAGCAGATACGGATTGTCCCTGTGTGCGCCCTGTGTCTGCATCATGCCTTGATTGCCCAGTTGCAGGTTGGCCGCAGTAGCAGCAGCATTCGGCGTGAAGAACCGACCGTCAATCCAAGCGCGCACAGATGGGCGTTCCAGCCACATGCCGCCGCCATCGTCGCTGCCTCGTCCAGCACGAGTCCCAGCTCCAGAGCCACTGCTACTACTGCTTGTCTTGTCTGCTTCCGCCGAGCGAGTTGGATTGCGATCTCGGTCTCTGTCTCTGTCTCGGTCTCGGTCTCGGTCTCGGTCTCGGTCTCGGTCTCGGTCTCGGTCTCGGTCTCGGTCTCGGTCTCGGTCTCGTCGATAGTCACGATCCCGATGCTCTCGAGAGCGACTTGCGTAGTCTGTCGAGTGGGAGTGATGACGGTCGCGATCGCTGCCACCTGAACGAGACATGTCAAGTCCTCGGCTGCTGAGACTGACTGACAACAATGGAGCAGCTGCAGCAAAGTGAGACTGGATTTGATTGAACACTCTCGAACAAGTATTCTAGAAGTGTAATGGGGGAAATGGGATGAGATGTGGACGATCAGAGACTTGTTTCTGAATTCTGAGTCGCGTTGACAGGTTTTCAGCGCAGAATTTGACGATTGTTTACTTTGTACTTTTGGTTTTGCGAGTTTCATGCTATACTCCAATGGAAATACACGACGTGCTGAATGAATGAATGAATGAATGCGAGCACTCGCTTTGCTTGCTCCTTTGTTCCAGTTCTGACAGCTCGTTTTCCGTGCAATCGCACGCAATTGCTTGTGAATGTACCGACCGAGGATCGAATGGGTTGTGTTCATTACATGCATTCAATGACTTGTCCAAATGCCGCAGTCTTGATTTTTTTGAGTGGGGGGCTTTTTCTGTCTTGGCAAATGCGCGGCTGGCTTGGCGGCACGGCGGCTTGGCAGCGATTCGCGCCAAAACGTCGCTGCGTCTCGGCGGCTCACCCTCGCCTTCTGCAGCCACAGCCACAGCCGCAGCAAGCACAGCATCCACAGCCACGGCAATCACAGACCCGCGCCGCAGCCAGCAGTCTCCCCGTTGCAGCTGGAGGGACGATCGGCCGCCGCATGGTTTCTGGTGCTGCTTTCTCAGCGCTTCCTGTCAGTTTGCCTCCATCAACGTCACTCTCGCATTCTCCCTTCCAATCTCCCCGTTTTCCAATCTCAACCAAACGCGCATTCGTCAGCATTTTCCTACACTCAGTTCCAAAAACAAAATCAGATTGACAGGACTTTTGACTTGTCTCGATTTGGAAGCGTTGAAAGGCTCAGTTTTTGTTTTTGAAGTGTTGGTTGTTTACTTTTTTGTTTTTTCGTTTCAAAAGCTTGGGCTGTCCGGCGAGATGAAGCGAAGCGCCATCGTGCTCGATGACGATGATGATGAGGCTGATAGCATTGCCATTGCTGGTGAAGGTGGTGCAGGGCGAACCGATTCTTCAACACCGCAGAAACAGAAAACGGCTCAGGAAGCTCAGGGGAAATCGGCTCAGGACGCTCGAAGACTGCGGTTGACAGACGATGCTGCGGTACTTTTGCTTTGATGGAGCGCAGCTGTTGGCGCTGTTTATTGGCTGGCATGGGAGAAGATGTTGTTGATCGCGTTTGTTGTTGATGGATCAGTTCCAAATCTGGACTTTTCGTTTCACTTGACCTGTCTTTCGTGCTTTCATTTGAACGTGAACAGATTCCTTCGAACGAAGAAAAGTGGTCACTCCCTGAGCTTGCTAGGATAACATCAACTCTGCCAGTTGACGTCGATCTCACGGCTGACGATGAAGAAGTCAAACACGATCAAACCAGTCTCGCTCCACCACCACCGGCGTTGGAACCTGCATCGACCCTTGTCATGCACAATACTGACCAGTTTGACCACCAGTTACACTCTGCCGCAAGTGCCATCTCGCACACTCCTTCAAGTACCCGCTTCCGCGGTCTTTTGCTTTCCTCTCGCAGTCCTTCAAGTGTCGGTTCCCATCGACAGTTTGCAGTACCGTTTGGTCAACCCGCCGATCGCCCGCAGAAAGCACAATCTCTTTCATTTTCAACGCCAGGGTCAAGCATAGCCTCGATGACACCAGCCAAAATGTGGACCCTGCTCAATTCCATTAGTTTACCCGCTCGCACCGCCCCACTTCCTCCCCCTTCATTGCCACCACAATCATCGGCGTTTCAGTTCCATGCTGCCACATTCTCCACCAGCGCCACCCCCGGCCAGGCCAAAACCCCAAAGACTCCCCGTACCAAAAAGGTCGCCGCATCGGCAAGTGGCACCCAAGCTGACTTGCCGTCTGCGCTTGCGCCGCCCCAACCCCAACAGCAAACGAATACCGTGGCAGGCGAAGTTGTCGGAGCTCTTCCAACAGCAACTACACCAGTGCCTATCAAGCGCGCGGCTACTATGGCGGTCTCCACATCGGAAGCAGAGAAAGCGGCAAGATTGGCTCGGCGCGCAACCATTCGAGATGCTGAAAATACGGCAGCACTGCAGGCCATGGTGAGACGCCAAGAACAGCCAATCACGCCTTCGAGCCCACTGAGAATTCTCGACTCTACCAGCTCGCATGAGGAGTACGAAGCATCGCAACAGTTCCGGTCAGTCTTTGTGTTTCTTTTTTGTTTGTTTGTTTTTGTCGGTGTTGGTGTTGTTGTTGTTGCGATGATTAGCGAACGTCAAGCGAGTGTGTTTGGCAGTTCCTTTTGATGCTCACACACTCCCATTTTTCCTCTTGTCATTTCGCAACTGTATGCAGACGAAGTACACTCCTGAACTCTAAAACGCACTGGATTATTTTCTCGGACCTTCATGTTCGCACGAGCACCCTGGATGTCTGTCGTCGGGTACTGCAGTTTGTGCATCAAAAGGCCGTCAAACACAATGCTGGAGTATTGTTTCTGGGAGATTTCTGGGACACTGTCCATTCAACTGGTTCACTCAACGTGCAACTGCTCGAGCAAGTGACACAAATGATGCGGAGCGTTTGGTCGCCAGAAACGCCGCTGGTGATGATCCCCGGCAACCACGATCAGGTACGGAGAACGTTTGGTTGGGCGAACAATCGGTTGGCTAGTTTTTCTGTGTTTCTTTACTTTTGGTTTCACTCCCCCATTTGCCCCGCACCCCTCCCCCCTTGTCTTGCTCACTCGCTCATGCACACACATTTCTTCTCTGCAGAGCAACGTGGACGGACTGCGGCATGGATTGCACGCATTGGAAACAGTCTTTCCATTTGTGGCCGTCTTTTCACATCCCATCATTTTGCGTGGTGCTCTCTGGATGCCCTACCGACGCAACGAGGAGGTGCTTCTCGAGCATTTGCGGGCTGCAGTGTCCAATCCTCAGGTCTCGACCATCTTTTGCCATGCTGATCTGAAGGGCGCGTTCATGTCTGGCAAAACCATGCCCTCGATGTTCGGAATTGATCCCAAGCAGCTTGACTTGGATCGGACGCAGTCCTACGATGCCACGCATTCGCCAGTCATGCTCTATTCCGGCCACTACCATTGTCCAGCATTCCACCCGACCAACTCGCAGATCATGTACATTGGCTCACCGTACCAGGTTTCAGCCTCCGAGGCCCATCAAGTGAAGCGGTTGGTTCATCTCAAAATAGAAGATGCTGTTTCTTCTGGCCAAGCGTACGTAGAGCTGGTTGACAACGGCTTTTTGGTTGTTTTGGTTGTTTGTGTGGCGTTTGTCAACTCATCACCTGTACTCGCACCACTCCCATTCGCGCTGCGTACTTTTGCTCTCGCAGCATTCGCTGGGTCAACCAAGGCGACATTCTCATTCCCGAGGACATCGCGCCCCGCAACTTTCAAGTCTTCTCCACCGCAGACCTGGCCCCGATTCAAAAGCTGATCGAAGACGGCCATATTCGCGCTGGCGATCGCATTCATGGGCACTTGTCTGAGATGGAGTTTGCCGTCGCCAATGGCGAGCAGTTGCGCAGAGAATGGACCGACAAGGGGCTGCGTGTGACCATTCGTGTGACGCGGGATGCTACCCTCGCGAGCGATTCCAATGTTGCCCAGAGCGTCAAGCACGAACTTTCGCCACGCGAGTCGCTCCTTCAGTTTCTAGAGCAGCGCTCTTATTACTCGAAAAGCGTCGGGTTGAAAGGTAATGCAATTTGTGTGTGGTTTCGTTGTCCTGTCAGAATTCGTCATCGCTCAACACCCCCCTCCACACTATTGTTGGGATTTGCACTGTTGGGGGTCTTCTTTAGCGATGGCGATGCTCGATCAAGCCATTTCTGTGCAGTCCGAAACGACCGAGCTTGAGCACAAGGAGATTGACTTTGAAAAAGTGACCTTCTCGGGATTTGGTCCGTTTCGATCCACTACGGTTCTCGAATTATCCGATCGCGGGCTTGTCGTCGTCGTGGGTGAGTTTTCCTGGTTTTTTGTTTGCACAGGTGGCGAGAGGCTTTTGCTGACTTCTACCGTGCTTCGAGGCTTGCCACTCATCAACTTTTGCTGTGTGTGTTCATGCTGACGTGCAGGAAGCAACCAGGACGACGCCGAGCATGCACGCTCCAACGGTGCAGGAAAGTCCATGCTGTTGGGCGTGCCATTCTGGGTCTTGTTTGGCACGGACACTCAAGGCCGCACAAGCCAAGCTCTGCTCAACAAGAACACAACCAAAGATGCAGGAGAACCCGAAAGCACCAAAATAGCAGGGTCACTGGAGGGCACCATCAACCGGCAGAAGTTCACGTTGACGCGCACTTCTTCCGTCGCCTCCAAGTTCAAGGACACGATGACTCTGAAAATTGGAGACGAAGCCCCAAAGTCTGCAACCCAAGAGCTGATCAACCAGCTGTTTTGCAATGTTGCTGCAGATACAGGTCGCAAGGCTGTCGGTCCAGCGCAAATGTTCCTTCTCAACACTGTCTTTCACACCGCCGCAAGCAGCAAGCAAGTCGATGTCTTTGAGCAATCGGCTGCCGAGGTGAGCGTCGCTCTTGGTTGTTTTTTTGTTTTCTTTATGATGATTGCTTGGTTTTGCGCTTGGGTCGTGTTTTCCTCACTCGGGCATCTCCCTTTGCAATAACAGCGTTCATCGATGCTTCAGTCGTTGTTCGATCTTGGGGTCTGGGTCAAGGCGCACGACTTTGCGAAAAGTCAGCTCGATCACGTCAAGGCCGAATGCTCCGTGGCACAAAAATCCGAAACCACGTTGACCGAACGGCTTTCTACCTCCAAGCAGTTCACACAAGCCTTTGAGCACGATAACGCTGCAGCACAAGCCAAGTTATCCAAGGCCGTGAATGCGCAGGCACAACTCGAAACGTCTTTGTTGCAACTTCCTCCGCTGGATGCCGCCAAGATTGCTGTTTTGAAGCAAGCAAGGAACGAGATGATGGCTTGCCAACGACAGTGCGTCCTGATCGATACCAGAATTGCCGCCATTCACGAGACTTTTGACAGTCTTGCCGCTGCAGTCAAAGCTGCAAAGCAGGCCCACGATCCGACGTCCTCGACGATGAAGCCAACTTTGTTGTTTTGGAATGACGACAGTCATCAGTCATCGCTGCAGAGTGCGCTTGAGGATCTTCGTCGAAGCAAGTTTCGCCTCGATGGTGACCGACCGATGGTACCGTCCACTGGCACCAGTCTGAGTGCAGTGGCACTCGAGAGCGATGCATACGAGAGGCAATTTGCATCCCTGTTTCCCGGTTCGGCCAAAGTCAAGCAGCAAAAACAGGAGCGTGCTCGGAAACAAAAGGGTTTGAGTGTCAGCGGAGTCCGTTGCCTGTTGGCCGACCTGATCGAGTGTGAGTCGGACGTCATTGCGGAAGCGCTGGGCTTTGCCCTCTCGGCCGACCTCTCTGCCGTGATCTGTGACGACAAAGCGGTTGCCTTGCGCCTCGTTGACGAGCTCGGGCGCGATGGCAAGGGTATGAGCTTCATCTGTCTCTCCGACAACGACTCCTCGTCCCCTTGCTCTTCGGCTGACAAGCTGCTTCCCGATGCTCTCAAAGAATTGACCATCCCCTACAAATTGCATTCGCGGCTGGAGGCGGCCGATTTCTTGCCAGAATTTGCAGCCGCGCGGCAGTTGATGGCCCGTGTGCTCGTTTTCCCCAACCTGGACCAGATGCGTCGTTTTGTTGCGCGTGGCGAGAGTGACGCCGTGGACCTGAGCTCGTACACCCTCGTGTCCGTCGATGGTTGGAAGGTGACACCTTCTGGCGTCCTCGTTCATGGGCGCAGTTTGCTTCCAGTGCGCGTTCAAGCTCTCTCCCACACGGAGGATGCCCCAACAAGCGAGGTGACGGAGCTAGATGGAGCGTTTGTCGCGCAGAAGCGAAGCGAGTACAACTCATGGCTTGCAGAGAGCGAGCGACTCGAGCTGCAGATTCAGCGGCTGTCGTCCGTCATCCAACACTTTGAGGCGCTGGCGAACGAGTTTGCGCGGTGCAGCGACCTCGACAACAGCGACCTGCCAGCCATCTCTGCTGCAACGAACTGGATACCCAGCTTTTCGGGCACGGTCGATGCGTTTGAAAAACAATGCGCCGCGTCAAGACGAAAGCTCCGCTCTCACTGGGAAGAAACGGTTGGAGAACTGCCGGCGGCGAATGCGGTCGCCTCGAAGTCTCCCGAGGATTTTGCCAGTCTGCGACAACAGATGTACAATCACGTGACAGCAATTCTTTCATCCACGGTGACATCCGAAACCATGCAACGAGAGCTGGATCGAGCCAAGGCTGAGGTCTTGATGCTGACAAAGGACGCCGAGGAGCGAAGTCGCCGCCTTGCTGATCATACACACGCCGTGACCAAGCTCGCGCAAGACCTTGAGGCGTTGACTCTGAATCTCTCCTCCTTGAAGGCCTCAATTTCAGAGTGGGAGCAGGTCGGAGGTTCCGATGGCATTTTGTCGAAACGTAAAATCGTGCCGTTCGTCTTTGAAGCCATGATTCGACGATGTAAGTCGGCACCTTCTTGGGATTTTGCTTTTGAACCTTGTTGCGGAAGGGATGGCACCTCTCATTTTGTTTCAATGGTTGTTTTTCGACATATTTCGTTCGTTCGTTTGTGCAGTGCAAGTCTTCCTTGACGCCTACATGGCAGCGCTCGCAGGTCGTCATGTCCGTGCAATCTTTCATATTACGACCAACGAGAGCAGAAGCGCGCTTCCGGATGTCGTTGTTCGCTTATCGATTGGTGGGACGGACTTTCAGCAGCACAAGTCGCTTGCTCAGAGTGCTCTCAGCAGCGGACAGCGACAACGGTTTGAGCTTGCGCTGCGGCTGGCCAAGGCAGATTTACTCAGCGAGCGCCACCGTGTGCGGTTTAACGTCATGTTTTTTGACGAGGTGCGTACCATGCAAACGGACAGGGGTTAAAAGTGAGGCGGTTGGGTCTTTTCGCTCACATGCTGCCCTGTCTTGCTTTGTTGCAGATTTTCAACTTCCTCGATGATGTCGGCCAAAAGCACATTTTGGAACTCCTCCCCCGTCTTCTTAAGCCAGAGCTTGCGCACCGCTATGTCGACCATGGAGGAGATGTGTCCATGTCACTCGATCAGCATGCAGTCCTCGACGGTCACACGCAGATTTCGAGCATCTTTGTGATTTCCCACTTGAGCTCAATGGCCACGCCATGGGAGCAAGAATGTGTTCGTCTCCAAAACGGCCAGGCCTCGTTGAGCGGTTGACTTGACGCAATGACGAGCGTGCGTTTTGTTTTTGTGTCAACAACAAACAAGTTCTTAGACAAGAAGGATGACGTGCACATGTACCTTCCAAGAAACTCCACTGAAATCAAAAAAAGAATGATAAACTTTTTGATCTACAACGCAAGAGCATGACAACATTTTGGTTTTCAACACCTACAACACCTAAGACGATTCGTTTCATCGCGGCATCATCGCAGGCCCTGGGGGTTGTGCCAGGTTGAAAACGGAGACGGTCTCGTCCCATGCACAGTTGGCAACAACGCCATCCTCGGCGAGATTAAAGTCAATTCCCACGACAAACTCAGGATGCTCGTCAACAATCGTCATGTTTGGACGCGGCCGTGGAGGCAGGCCGGGCACCGACGCAGCCGCCGACGACCCAGTGTCCCAAACGCGCACCGTCATGTCGTACGAACATGACATGATAACGTTGCTATGGTGTGGACTGCATCGGACCCGTCGGATGCTATAGTCGTGGCCCTCAAGCACAAACAACGGCTGGGCCGCTCGCCGCAAGTCCCAACCTTTGATGGTGCGATCGACAGAACCGGTAACGGCCAGCACATCCGAATACTTGTTCCAGTCCATCGAGATAACTTCGGTGTTGTGGGCTTGGACGCGCTGCACGGCGGTCGCGGGCCGCCGCACGTCCCACACCATCAGTCCGCCGTCTGCCGAGACTGAAGCAAGCACTCCCAGTCGTCTCGGGTGGAACATTGCGTCGTACACGAGTCCACGGTGTCCTGCGAATGTCGCCAGGGATTGAGATGACGTTGGGTCCCACTGTTGCACGAAAGCCAACAACAAACCCAGGGTGAGGTCAACCGCAACAACAAAGGCAGCCGCTGGGCAAAACAAAACATGGTCCAAACACGGTCGACGCTGCTATTGCTTCACACTTGAGCATCTCCAGCTCACAAAGGTCTGTTTTCCGGCTTGATCACGAAGTTTAGCACCACAAAATTTGACTTACGAGCTTGACAGTGCCATCCCATGAGGCACTCACGAAATTCCGCTTGTCGGTCATGCTCCAATTTACGGCCATGACTTCTTTCGTATGCTCGGCATAGATCCGAACCGGCGCTGCCTGTGACATGTGCAGAGTTTACGGGGATGTCAATCCGTGTGTCAGAGATTGGTCAGTAAGAGTTGCTCAATCCCCCCCCCCACACCCTACGAAACCCCTCTCAAGTCGCTCAATGCAATCAATGCAAGCCTTCCTTGTCCAACACAAAACCAGGCATCGGTTGCCCATTCCCAACGCAACAATGGTCCAAAACCAACCTGAAGCAAGCTCACGTCCCAGAGCTGGACCGACCCGTCGCCGCTGCTCGTGAGCGCATGGTGCTCGCTCAGTTCGCTCCAGCAGACATCAAACAAGCTGTCCTTGTAGTCTAGTCTGCGCAAGAGTCGCGAGGCTCCCGGTGCAGGCGGCGCGCCCGGCCCAATCCGACTGCCAGCCACCATCGCTTCGTTGCCGAGGCCGTAGACGAGCAGTGCGCCCCGGCCGGCAATGGCATAGTGCTGTGATGCAGCGACTGCAATGCGATCGCTCACAAACGGCGAGAACTGGAGTCCGCAGCCGTGCAACCCAGGCGTTTGCCACCGCTGCATTGGAAGTGAAGTGGCTGAGAGAGACTGAGAGACTGAGACACTGAGAGACTGGGAACAATTGGAGAGTGGTCTACATTGACTGAGAAATGGAAAGAAGAAGAAGGAGAAGAATAAAGGAGGAGGGTTTGGCGACCTTGTTTGACATTTGTCCAAATCAGGAGTTTGTCTCAGTCTCTCTGTTTTTCTTAGAAACAAGCCATGTCGTCAAGCTATGTTGTGCGTCAACCTTACACCCTTAACACCCTGTTGGCCGACTCCACTCTGACGCATTCTCACACTTGATCGTTGATGCACCATATCCATACACAGACCGAGTTTGCCGTGGAGATGACGTGCGGGGCGTGCGAGAAGGCCGTCAACGAAGCCATGCAGCAGCTCAAGCAGACATCACCGCCGGGCGCAGTGGGCAGCGTCCAAGTCGACCTCGCAGAGCAGCGCGTCGTCGTCGAGTCGTCGCTGCCATCCAGCACCCTGCTCCAAGCCATCGAGAGCACGGGTCGCAAGACTGTCCTGCGCGGGCAGGGCGACAGCTTTGGTGAGCACGCAACGCAACTCCTCTTCCTCGCTTGCGGTCGCTGTGCGCTGTTATTGGCAGTTGTGCCTCCGAATGGGCGCAGATGCATTGGGGCGGGTCGGCACCGACAGCAAGAGTCGGATGGACTTACCAACGCACGAAACAATTCACCGCTTTGGTCTGAGCTGCGAGAATTCTCCGTGCTGCACCCACCCACCCCCGTCCTTGCATCATTCATCCATTCGCATTGTGATTTGTTTGCTTTGTAATGGTTGATTTGTTGGTTGCGCATCTGATCATCGCGAGGGACGTTTTTTTTTTAACAGGTCGAAACCTGGGGTCGGCTGTGAGCATCCTCGAACGCGACGGCACACAAGACGTCATCGGTGTCGTGCGGTTTGTCCAAATCTCCGAGAATGAGTGTGTGATTGAAGGCACGCTCGACGGGCTATCCAAGGTACAGGGGGGAAGGGGTGCATTTGTCATGTTGGTTGGGCTGAGCTCGTTGTTTGTCGCATTACGCTGACCGACGCACGCTGCACAGGGCGAGCATGGCTTGCATATTCACGAGTACGGAGATTTGTCCCAAGGCTGGAAGTCGGCTGGTGGTATTTACAATCCGAAACAAATGGTAAGGCGCTTCCTGCTTTGTGATTTGCGAGTTCAACGTGCTCCGTCCGCTTGGCTCACTTCGGTCGCTTGCTCTCAACGAAGCCGCACGGTCCGCCCAGCAAGGACGGCGGCGCGAGACGCAAACCTGGGGCGATCGGCAATGTGGCCAGCGACGCGCAAGGGCGCGCGACGTTCACCCTTTCGGCCAGCCAACTCAATGTTTGGGACATTATTGGGCATGCGCTGGTGGTGCACGAGCGGCCGGATGATTTTGGTCTTGGCAACGCACCGAGGTCGTCGGAGAACGGAAACGTTGGCGCGGGTGTCGGGGCCGGCATCATTGCTCGGTCTGCCGGATTGCTAGGGAATGCAAAGCGTGTCTGTGCATGTGACGGCAAGACGCTGTGGAGTGACAGCAATCCCGGTGCTTTGCTGCCGAACAAGAGGGTCCACATTGACAACAATTCGCCACCACCAGTTGCGCGCTCAGTCAGCGAAGGCAAACCCGCAATTGAGCGAGCGATGGACGTCACGCATCCCTTCATCCTGAGCAGTATATGAACGATCGTGGCTGCTCCGTGTCATCTACGACTGTACAGTAGCTTGCGTCAATTAAAAAAAAAAAGATTACAAACAACGAGATTATCATTAAAAATCCACAGACAAAAACACAACATGACACTCATCTTCACATAACATCAAACAAACACGCAGAGACATACGCACAGACACATACACGAAAAAAAAAAACATTGTTTATGGAAAAATCAGCGGGAGAGGAATGCAGGGTGGGCCGGAGGGTTGACAGTGCAAGTTGAGTGACCATCACTGGTATGGCACATTCAAAGTAGAAGCCGGGAAAACACAAAGCGCTTGAAGAATAAGAAGCGCTCGAAGAAATCAAACGACAACAAAACAAGACAAGAGAATGAATGCGGAGGGTTTCCGCACGCACAAAAAGGTTCAAGCACGCAGGCATGGCAATAAGAACACGACGAGAGCAAGCATATGTGGCACAAGGAACGGTAGAAAAGAATAAACGCTGAAAAATAAATGTCTCCTTTGGGGAAGGGGTGGGGCAACTTTCAGTTGGCGAGGCCAAACCGGTGGGGGCTTTCAGAAGTCATCACCTTGAACAGGTCGGGACGACTGTGCAGCACGCGGTTGAGCGATTGTGCTGGGGTCTTGCCACTACGATGCATCACCAAATGGTACAAAGAAATGTCAGTCACATGAAAATCTCACCAGTGCTCTTATCTCCCACCCCCTTGCAGCCAAAAAAACTCCACGTACTTCATGTTGTACAATCCTTGACGCTCAATCTGGCACCAAATCTCGCGGCAAGTCAGGGGGTCGCCGTGCGAGCGGAGAACGGTGATTGCCGCGTCCGCCATGGACCATGCCTTGTCGCCGATGGTGGTCGAAGGAACCATACCAGGGTAGGGCATTCGTGGGGCGAGCTTCCGCTTTCGTTGGGCAGCCGGCATGCCGGCAGTGGCCAATGCGGCCGCGACAACGGGGTTTTGCATGTGCGACGACGCTGCGCCGCTGGGACGCCGAACGCGAATGACACGGCCGCTCGTACGCGAGGTCGGCGCGGCGTAGACTTCGTCTCCACTGTCAGTACTGTCTTCCGAGAGGGTTGACGCGTTGGAAACTGGGGATGGGTTTTGCAAGATGGGCGGCTCCTCCACCAGCTCTTCCTGCTGCTCGTCCTCGTCTTCAGGCTCCTCGTCCACGGCAGCTGCAAGCAGTGCATAGTTCTTTCTTGGCACATTCGTGCGCAGATTGTGAGCATGTCGAGGCGCTTGCGGCACGGGCGCGAGCTGCTGCTGCGGTTGTTGCTGTTGTTGTTGTTGCTGCTGATGCTGCTGCTGCTGGTCGAGATGGTGCTGGAAGTCCGACTGCATGGAAAGCTCGCTAGATGATGCCTTCATGATGGTGTTAGGACGGGCCAATCGAGCGAGAATCACAGGATTGTTGACAGGGCGCTGCTGTGGCTGCTGGTGGCTGTGGTGCGCGCGGCGAGTCGTCGGCGTCGGGGAAGGAGCAAGAGAAGGCGCAGCCGAAACGGTGGCAGACGAGGCGGCAGACTGGCGATTCTGGAAGGTGATGCCGGCAATGGCAACCGTGGTCGGCGGGTTGACCATCGAGGCAAGCTGCGACATGGTCGTGTCCATGTCGTGCGGGGCTGGCTCTTCCATGGCAAAGCTATCCTCGTTGTACGCGTCGAACGAGCCGGGCGCACTCGATGCCGAACCGTCGCCTGAAATGATGAGCATGGGGTTGAACGGCCGGAAGTTGGTCGAGTCAAAGGGGTCATTCAGGGTGCCGTCCAGAGTGCGACGGTGCAAGACCGAGTCCGTCACCATGTGGTCGCTCTGGTCCTGAAAGTCAAAGCCGAGTGTGTGGTGCAGCGGTTGGCTCAGCTGGCGTGAAAACAGCTTGGTGGTCGACGGTGAGAGGAATGGGTTGGCGCGGGGTGAAACGGGGACGGTGGCAGCACCAGACGCGCGGAAGAAGGCTTGCGAAGCGGCGTTGGTCATGTTCGAGATGAAGGACGAATCGAGCAGAGTGTCGTGCGAGTTGGCCAGCGCGGCCAGCGGATCGTCTTGCTCGACTTCGTCATGCGGGCCAAACACAAGCAGACCAGAGGTCGGGTCGGTCGCCGAAAGAATGTCCGCCTTTTCATCCAAGTCCACCGACGATACCAGGTTTGACAAGGCCACTGCCGTGTTGTTGCTATTGCTGTTGCTAATGCTGTTGCTGTTGATGTTGCTGTTGCTGTTGATGTTGTTGATGTTGATGTTGTTGCTGCTGCTGCTGTTGTTGATGGCGTTGGTCTTGCTGTTGGCCGCGAGCGAAAAGTCGAGAAGCTTCACTGAGCCATCGGCGGCACCAACCGTGACGTAGCCAAGGCTGGCGGCTGCAATAGACGTGATTTGGACGGCACTGGAGAACGGAAGGACCGAGTAGAGCATGCTGCAAGAGTCCAGCGACCACACGCGCACCACATTATCCTGGCAGCCGGCAATGAGCAGGTCTGAGACTGCCGTCATGCACTGCAAACTGACGCTGTCTTCAAGCGACCTTGATGACGGCTGCCAAATAATGGGCTGCACGCTGGCATCGGTGCTGCCCTCTGGCAGATCGCGCAGACGGTCGCATTGGGCGAGAAGCGGGGCGACGGCGCTCGCGTCTGCGCACAAGGAAGTGATGGCGCCATCCTTCCAGGCCACCACAAGACGAGAGTTGTGGAGGGCCAAAGCGGTGACGCCACCAGCACCAGCAGCAGCAGCAGCAGCAGCAACGTCCGCGGGCACGGCAGAGGAGCGATTCCCCAACGACTTGGCCGGCTGGAAACTGGAGGCAATCGGGGAGCCAAAGCTGTCCAGTTCAAACACTTCAATCAACGAATCACAACCGCAGTAGAGCAAATGGTGCTCCGAGTCGTAGTCGAGCGCAACCACATTGGACGACGTCGGCGAGTCCAGAACAAGTGTGGTCGCCAAAACAGGCGCACCAGTGCCGTCACGGAGGGGCGTCAAATCCCAAATCATCACCGCAGCGTTGTCCGTCCCGACGGCAAGGAGTGACACGGACACGTTGCGCGCGTTGCGCGCCGCGTCCGACTCGGCCGACGCAGGCGAGTCATGAGTCGATTCTGGAGGTGTTTGCTGTCCAGCAGCTGAGGAAGCGTTGTTGTGTGTCGCGGTGGAAGCGCTGCTGCTGTTGTTGCTGCTGCTGCCCGGCCGTTGCGACTGTTGCTGAGCTTGCTGTGACAGTCCGGCAGCAGTGATGGTGGCCGGTGGAGCCTGTTGTTGTGGTGTGGTTGTTTGCAACTGGTGTAGTTGCGCAAAGCCAGCTCCTACCGCTGTGAGCACCTTCATGCACAGCACAGCGCCGAGACAGGGCAGGTCGGCGAGGATTTGCTCGGGAGCGACGCCGGAGGGCGCCACGGCCGCGGCAGTGGTTGCTGCGACCGAAGAGCCGGACAGGTACGCGTCGTTCGACTTCAACAGGGAGGAAAGGAAGTCGGTCGTGCATGCGTCGACATTCATGGCCGAGGTCGAGTCGAGCTGGTCACGATCGCCCATGGCCGAAGCCTCGTTGTCCTCATTCAAGAACGACGAGATTTCGCTCGAGTCGTCGACCTCCATGTGTGGCTGCTGTCGCTGCTGCTGAGACGGGCGCGGTTGTTGCCGTGGCGTCGCCAGGGCGTTGCTCGACGCGTCCGAGATGGCTGACACGTTCATGAAGGCGTCAGCAGCGCGCGCGGCCTCGTCGCTCTGCTGCTCGGACTTGATGGTTGCAGCGAGCAACGAGAGCGGTGGTACTATTGATGCTGATGATGCTGATGATGCTGATGATGCTGCTGATGCTGCTGTTGCTGTCGATGTGGACACGCTGCGCTTGGCAGTTGCGTCGGTCGTGGCGGGAACAGCCGCTGTTGGCGGAATGGTGCTGATGATGACCTGGTGGCCCCAAGTGCCGCCAATCCACCACCGCGTCTCTGGGTGCAGCGCATCGGGCGAGTAAATGACCATCGACGAGAGCACCGACAGTTGGATGGCTGGTGACCAAATGATGGAACAAAAAAAAAAAAAGAAATTCAAAGTGAGTGCGAAAAAAAAAAAAAAAAAAAACAGCAAAATGTAAAAAAAAAAAAAAAAAAAAAAAAAATCCACGTGCAATAATAATTCAAACGAAAAATAAAAAAAAAAAGCAAAGCCAAGAAAGAAGAAAAATAAAAAAAATAAAAAATAATAAAAGGGCGAGTTTGTTTGTCGGCGTTTTGGCATTGTGCGAACAGGCAGCGGTGCTGAGGCGCGGCGATGGGTGCGATGGAGCGGCAACAGGTGAATGCATCGCATGCCGCAGGAGCGAAAATGCCGAGACGCATGAACGCGATGACACATTGCTCCGAAACAAGCTTTTGCATTGAAAAATCGCTTTTTGGCATCCATCCCGACACCTAATCCGCACCAAGGAAATCTCTCTCGCAAAGAAAAAGCCAACACCCTCGGAAAATCGAGGAAACGCACCAACAGAACCAAGCATCAAAAAGAAAAAAAGCAGTGCCGCTTCAAGAAACAAAAAAAAAAAAACGCCGACAAAGACCGAAAAAAGCCGGACGGGAAAAAGAAGGGAAAAAAAAAAAAAAAAAAAACGCAGCCAAATAGAAATCCCCTTTCTCGCTTTGCGATTTTTTTTGAAATAAAATAAAAAATAAAAAAAAATAAAAAATAAATCATCGGAAGGGAAAATGCGTTACCTGCTGCGGCCCAGGAGGTCGACGCCGGCATGGATCCTGGGACGGGGGATGATAGGAGCGACGGGACGCGGAAGACGGCCTGCTCGGAGCCGACAAAGAGGCCCAGGCGCAGAGGGGCGTCGGCAAGAGGGTCAAACGCAGCGTCGGCGTCAAGCGCAAGGCTGGCCGCTGAAGCAGTGTGCCGCAGCACCATAGAGTCCGTGTACCGACCGAGACGCAAGTTCCTGAGGCCCGCATAGCGATGACCGAACGCCGCCTTGAGCGACCCGGTCGCCGATGGTGACAGCGACGACGATAAGCTGGAATTCAGCTGATGCTGTTGCTGTTGCTGTTGCTGCGGCTGTTGCTGGCTATTATGATTACTATTACTATGATTACTATTACTGCTGTTGCTGCTGCTGGAGTGCTTGCTGCTGAGGAGCGGAACCAGGCCCAGGGGCGTCGTCGGCGGCGTTGCAGGAGCTGGCACGTCTTGTTGAGCAGCGCGCGATGTGCTTGTTCGCAGCCGCTGCTGCAACGTCGAGGAGGATTTCGATGCCGACGCGGAAGAAGATGTTGATGATGATGATGATGATGATGACGAAGCAGAGGTGGTCGAGCAGGAGGAGGAGGAGGAGGACGGCGAAAAGCAGCGCTGGTCGTGTTCAAACAGCTGGCTGACAATGAGTGGCCAGCGCTCGTCGAGTGCGCTCGAGACGCACGCCGGGTCGATGCGGGCCACCCCGTCGCCGTGCCGCAGCCGTGCAGATGCAGTGGACGACAGCAGTGAGGCAGACGCAGAGGCAGAGGTCGAGGACGGGGCAGAGGACAGAGGCAGGGCTGAGGAAGGGGTACCAATGAAGGGGACAACGCGGCCACCACGCGGCGAGCTGGACTCGAGTCCGCCGAGTGCCACCGACGCCGGATGGACGCCCGTGGCGAGCCACTCGTGCCACGCACGCCAGAGCACCGGAGCCTCCGTCATGCGGCGCCAGGCGCGGGACACGAGGGCGAGCCGGGCCAGATCACACGGGCTGTCGACCAGGCTGAGCACATGCAGGGAAAGCTCGCTGGGAAGCAGCGAGAGAAAGTCAACACCAGCGCTATTGTAGGAGCTGTTATTGCTGCTGCTGCTGCCATCATCCCCGTCAATGAGCATGGCGCTGGACTGTGAAATGGAGGTGGTTGTGTTGGTGCCGGTGGAGGAGGAGGATTGGGAGGAGGATTGGGAGGAAGAGGATGATTGAGAGAGAGACGACAATCCGGACTGCTGGCTGCGTTTTGATGCGCTCGCCGAGGCCAGGCTCAGCGGTGCAGGGGAAGACATGGTCAGTTGCTGTTGTTGTTGCTGCTGGTGCGGTTTCTGCGGCGTGGCTGCTGCTGCTGCGGCGGCGGCAGACGAGCGCCGGGTCACGACTGATCGCGCTCCCGCTCCACCGCTGCTCGAAACCCACCGCTCGCCTGCTGCTGCCGGTTGCGGCGACTGCGACGGCGACTGGGGGTGCGGGTGCGGTTGTTGTTGTTGTTGTTGTTGTTGTTGTTGTTGTTGTGGTGGCTGCATCGGGGCGGCAAGTCGGTCCTCCAGCCGACTCGCCAGCGTCGGCATAGCCAAAAAACAAGAAAAATCAAGTGGGAAAAAAAAAAAAAAAAAAAAAAGAATGAGCAAAAATCAAAAAAATCAAAAAATCAAAAAAAAAAAAGTCAATGAAAAACCATTGCATTCAAAAAAAAAAAAAAAAAAAAAAGATCGTTTATTCGACTTAATCCTCCGTTCTCTGTCGGAAGTGGTAACTGTGATCGTGTTTGTTCCACAATTGCACAATGATGTTCTGGTGTTGTTGATTTTCTGTTGGAAAACAATGTTGTATGCCGATTGGATGCTTGTGTCTGAAATCATCGAAATCGGGGATAAACGCTGTGCAATGTTCGGGAGCACGATGTCTGAAGTTGGACAGTATACTGTATCGGTGCTCATACAAGCAGCGACAGCTTAGAATCGAGATGCAGCATCACCGATCGTGACAATGGACTGTTGGAATGCCGAAAGTTCCAAATACGTTTCCATCAAAAAGTGTTTCGGTCGGTCGTCCAGACTTGCCCTCACCCCTTCCATCACCAAGCTCTCTCAAACTATCCATGCAAAATCGTCGCCAAGAACAGAGACTGGAAACGCGGAGGACGAAGAATCAAGGATTTACATGCACTTGACAGGAATGCAGAACACAAACAAAAAGCACCGCTGGGACATGATCATGCTGCTGTTGATGACAATTCATGTCACTCCCCAGCAGCACCGAAAGAGGACCGGGTGCGTGTTCAAAGGGAGGAAACGGGAGCCAAGAAGCGACCAAACAAGCCGACTCCGCTCGCCGACAGCAATCAATCGAAAGCGCGGCTGCCTTGTGCATCATCCACGTCGAAGGGAAAGCAACTAGTACATATACAAAAACAAACAAACAATTTTGTGCGCTTCCAGACACGCACTACGCCTTAATGGTGAGCGGGAGCAGCGCCTTCGGCATAGTCGGCAGGGTTCTTGCGGTGGGTGGCGGCGTTGGCATCGTTTGCCCACTTGTAAACGACAATGCCGAGAATAAGTGCTGGGCCAGCGTTCCAGAAGCCCTCGGAAGCGCGGCGGTACATGTTGCCAAAGCTCTGTCAGGCAGAAAAACAAGCGAGAGCGAGAAGTGCAGAAATGTGAGTGATCAAACAACAAGGCAGCTGTAACGCCCCAGTCACAACGACAAAAAGGTTGAGTAGGTCGACGACCCTTTGTAGTGGGAATGCCACTCGGATCGTGGCACTGTCGCAGTGAAGGCGAGAAGGAGCGTGAACGTTGAGAGATTCGGGTCGCTGCTCTTCCTATCAGACTGCCCCCTGCTCCTCCTATCAGACTGCCCCCCCTGCCTCCGTACCCCTCCATCAACCCCCTGCTGATCTGTTCCAAGGGCTGACCCGAGTCTCTCGTTGGCTGAAACATCATTGCGATCGTTTTGCCTTCCTGTTGTCCACGCTCCCCACACAACAAACAACCGACCGACACCAAAGCGAGCAATGTCTGCAACAGCTCAGACTCGACCAACTTCGGACTCGACCAACTCGGACTCGATGGAACGAGAGGTAGTCAAAGTCAAAGTCAGAGGAAGAAAGAGCGAGATCTTTTTTTTTTTTTTCTTGTTGGTTGTTCTTCCTCTGCTGTCGTTCCAACAAGAGTGGCAGACTGCCATTCATCATCATCATCATCATCATCATCATCATCATCATCCTAAGCATCGGCATGAGCAGCAAGTGCGCTTGGGGGAAAGGAGGGAAGGCAGTTCGGTTGAGGACGGCGAGCTTGCAATCCATGCTTTGCGCCCGCTCTGCGACCGCGCCTCATACAAGGCACATAGGGATGGGTGGAAGGATGGAGATGAGTGTCGGCAATCGCTGCTGTCCGTACTTTTGAGAAGCCGGCGAAGGGGCGCTGCTCGTAGGGAGACAGGCTGTAAGTCACAACGTGGCGGTACTTGATCAGGTTGCCGAAAACGCGATGGCCCATGGTTGTGGAAGAGTTGAGTATGCGAATGAAGACTGGTTGAGCTGTTTTGTATGGATTTGGATGGAACATTATTCGAGGGGGGGGGGCGCTAAAGAGGCAGAGTGGGAGAAAGGGCGAAAGCGAGATTCTGAGAAATCGTCATGTTTCGCTCAGATTGCTCGATCGCTGGTCGGAAGAGCGAGGGGCTGCGATGCTCAGAGACAGTGTATGGACAAGGAACAAAAAGCATAGGGAGAATCATCGGCAGACTTGCCGTGCAAACAAAATCAAACATTGTTTCTTCAGGCTTGAACTCTGGTTCCTGCAATCCTTGCTCCGGCTTCGATCTTGCCCGAGTACAGATCACGGATTAACACGGAATGAGAGGGTACGCTACCAATGTCCAAAACAGCACACAGTCAGCACGAGCACGAGAATCGAGACAAAAAAAAAAAGCAAGAGCCAATTTGCACTCGCGCTCGCACGCACCTGGGTTGTTGCGAACAAGGTCGCCAAACAAGTCAAACACTCGCTCGCGCCATTGGAACAGAACGTCGTCTGTGCCAAGTCACAAAGGGGGGTGAGATACGGTTGCAGGAAGGTCCCAAAAAAACAAAGTCGTCTCTTTCCGGATCTCAAGGCTGTACCTTCGCCAATCAAAATATACGGGCTAACGGTGCATGCCCAAATGAACTGACTTGCCACCAAGTAGTCGGCGTATGTTGGTGCATCTCCTGAAATGACACACAAGGTCAGATCCTGCAGTTTCAGAATTAACTGTTCAGTATTTGTCTGTCAGTCGGGCTTACCAAGCATGAACTTTTTGCTACCAAGCTGGTCGCGGAAGGGCTGCAAAAAGGCGTTGATGGCAGGGCGAGATGCTGGATTGGATCGATGCTGCAAAGGTAATCGAATGAATTTTGCAAATCAACGAAAATTGAGCGCGTCGTGTTCAAGTGGCCGTCTCTTTCCAGACTGGGGACAATACAAACCTGGCTCGTGAATTCTTCCACGCTCAGGTTGTTCCAGTGGCGCGCTCGCTTCTGGATGAAAACCGCGCGATCCTGTTTGACATTCGCGTGCGCTGGTCAACAAAGTGTTCGCAAAAACAATCTCAGCAAGATCCACAAACAACAATGCACCTCGTCGCTCTGCAGGCGAGCAATGTCGCTGGCAATCACATGGAGAATGCACGAGTTATTGGCTTGGATGTGCTGGTTGAATCGGCGTGCAGTTTCTGTGGATAAGCAAAGATGCCAAGAATGAGATGCGACAACTTTCCCAAAACCTCCCATCAGCAGCAATCCAGAGCTGGCTACACGACAAGACAAACCTTTGGCTTCGCTTGTAGGGAACAGCAGTCCCAACCCGGAATTCGGGTATTTGGTGTCGAGATGTTCGGCAATCGTCCATGCATCCAGGACGGTGTCTGCGCCATCGACGAGTACAGGCAGAACGTTCTTCAATAGACAGCAAAATGCAGCGATTCGTAAGTTCAAATGTCTGAGTAAATGTGAGGACAGCTCGGCGGGTTGCTCGTTCCGTCAGCTGTGTGATTCTTACCTGCCCGGTGAAGGCAATCTTGGCGTCGACCTCCGAGAAGCGGCAAGCAATCACATTGGGATGGATGTCTATGATGGCAGTGGCAGTGACAGTGAGTTGCAGAGGAGGGGATCAGCCCGGGCTCGGAGTGGCAAACTCGGAGTGAGTCGCTGCTGCTGCTGTCGATGCTGTCGCTACTAAGGTCAGCGTTCAGTGAAACACGGTGATTCTGACCTTTGTGAGCAAGGGCGAGTCGCGCCGGCCAGCACAGCGGCGAAAACGCGCGCCCGTCCTGAGCGACCAATTCGTAAAACTCGATCGTCATTGCTGTCAAGATTGCTATTGAATGAGGAGTGAATGAATCCCAATGCGACGAAGCACTTCGAATAACGGAGATACTGAACAGAAAAACTCGAAAGAGATTAATAAGAATTTCAATTGAAGAACGAGACAATGAAAAAAACACGAAAAAATTCAGACAGGTGCAAAGTGTTGTGGAAGAGCAGGGGAAATGAGCATCAATCAGCACCTAATGCGTGCATTGGAAATGCATGCAGCGACAAACAATGGACAGGGGTGGGGAGGGGTGGGGAGCGGAAGCCGGAATCAAGCGATCGCACCAAAAAGTCAACAAAAAAAAAAGCTATGCAGGCGATAAACAAAGGCGCAGACCGTTTAGATCTTGCCGGTCGCGAGCAGAATGATCAGTGTCAGAATGACAGCGACCACAATCACTATTATGATGGTCAGGCGGGCGTTCTGCCAGCAAAAGTTGCGCTTCAGCTTGGTGGACGACTTCTTGAACTGGAATGCAGCCTGGTTGAGGTTGTCGGCCTTGTCGACGAGCAAGTCGATGCGCTCGCCACGCTCGAGGACTTTTTCTGCAGGGGTGTGTGTGTGTTTGGAGGAAGAGAGAGAGAGAGAGCACGATTGTGAATAAACATTTGATCGAAATCCGAGTTTGGCTCCCCCCCCCCCGAAATCCACACACCAACTCCACACACCAGCTCCACACACACACACACACACACACACACACACACACACACACACACACACACACACACACACACACACACACACACACACACACACACACACACACACACACACACATACCAATGTTCTGGACCATGACGTCCTTGACCTGTGCAATTTCGTTGCGGACTTGGTTGATGCGGTCCGAGTTGGGGTTTTGCGAGTAGTACTCCATCTGCTGCTTAAGGATGGGAGCGAGCTCGCGGTTGAGGCCGTACGCGAACGCCGTGCGAGCGCGGGCCTTGTAGGTCGACTCGAAGCGCGACTTGACGTCGAGCAGGAAGGCGAACGGGACGCGGCGGCCGAACGCCTCGTCTGCCATGCACAAGTAGACAAATCCGTCCTCTGCAATGTAGTGGAAGAGGTGTCTGTCATGTTTGATTGATTGTTGTGCACAAAAAGCAAGTGAGCATGTGATGAGTGAAAGTGGTGCTCAGAGTGATTGGAGAGTGAATCGTCATCGTCGCTCGGAGCTCAGGTCAGAAGTGCAATGGAAAACCAGTACCAACGCTCCTCCTCGTCATCCAACCACTGGCATTCAAATTCTGCTACGAATAAACTGGTACCAAGGGAAACGACACCCCTTCTGCAGCCAGAGGATGAGCGGAAAGAGAGACGCGCAGGAGTGAACAGCCAAAAGGAAGTGCGGAAATCACCGCCAAAAAACGAACGAACGAACGAACGTTCCACTCGTGAAAGTTCATCTTCAAAGCACAAAAAGAAGCACTTTCAAAAAAGCATTCGAAACGAAGAAGAAACGAAACGAAGAAGAAAACGAAAAGCAAAAAGCAAAAAGCAAAAGCAAAAAAAAAAAAAAAAAAAAAAAAAAAAAAAAAAAAAAAAAAAAAAAAAAAAAAAAAAAAAAAAAAAAGGCGCAATAATAAATTGATAGCCGTGCATTAGAATAATGCATTGACGCTTGGTTTTCGCTTCGTCTGCTTGATTGGGTTTTTCAAAGTGGTCGTGTTTTTTTGCTGTTGTCTTTGTTTGAGAAACGACTCCAACAGAAGAACAGAAGAACAGAAGAATGAACGAACGAAGAGGAAGAGAACGAAGAGAACGAAGAACAAGAGGAAGGAAAAAAAGCCAGCCCACATGACGTTGGTGGGGAGGGCGCTTCAGTCAGCCAGTCAGTCAAAAAGGAGGAACGCGAGCGAACACACGGACATTGCTCAGGAAGCAAGGACGGAGCAGAAGGAAAGAGGCGGGGGGGGGGGCGGCGGCGGTTGGAGCGCGAAGGAGAAGAGAACTGAATGAATGAAAGGGAAAGAACCAGTGAGCAAAGAGTATGGGGGAAAAAACGCGTTTTACCGATCGTAAACATAGGTCATTTTGGCATTCTGAGGAGGAATCTTGTCCAGGATGGTCTGGGTGATGGTGGTAAAGTTGCCTGTAATAAAAAAAACAGACCATAGGATGAGTTCACTAAACGAACTCTAGCTACAAAAAAAAAAATTGGCAATGCTTGGCTGACGGCAGAAGCCACCGTGGACATCAACGTACCGGTCTTGTCAGTGTACTCGGCGAGAATGGTGCTCCCGCAGGACACGAGCGAGTAGATAATCGACATGATTGGATGTCGAACAAGAAAAAAAAAAAAAGGAATGAGCCAGTTACTCAGACCAACAAACAAGACGAAACAAATGCTGAGAAATGCGAACACAAAAAAATTACTTTATAAACACAAAAGGAGCAGAGCGGGGGAAGGGAGAGGGGGTGGGGGTGAGATGGAGCAAGTGCAATTCGAAAGCAAAACGCGCACTCGCTCTCTTCGCTCTCGCTTGCATGAAGGACGGGAAAATCGGCAATAATCAAGCACGAAAATAATCAAAAGATAAGCGAGAAAAAAAAACAAAAAAGAAAGCAACGACCCAAGAACACAACAAAAGAAAATCAAACAACAAAAACAGCCAACTTCAGAGTCGCATCCGAGCGAGAAGCTCCTGAAGTGCCAGCTCTTGGCGCATCTTTTCGAGCTTGAGGATGTGGTCCACCGCAGCAAGCTCGCGTCGGTACTGGCTCAGCGTTCCGTCGTCGATGCTGTCGCTCACAGGGCTGGAGGCAGACTGTCGAAAAGCAACAAGAACACGGTCGCGCAAACGTGAGCCTTTTTTTTTTTTGTTGTCGTTGTTGTTGTTGTCGCTCTCGTCCCAAATCTGTTTGCTCAAGCCCCACATTGCAAAAACACAACAAGCCCCCCCCCCCTAAACCATCGTTGCAGCAAACTCACCTCGGGAGACTGAGCAATGATGTGGTACAAGATGCCACAGCCGTTTTCTTTCGCACGCTTGCCCTTGTTGGGAGAGCTGACGAGCGAGCGCAGCATGGTGCCGTACGCCTTTTTCGCGTACACTTTGAAGCAGATGCGCTTGCGAAGGAGCACAATCTGCGGGAAGTTGACAAATTTGATGCCAACAAAGACGGTGGCAAACACACGCTCGCCGGCCTCCGTCACGCGGTTGAGCACCTCAGAGTCGTGCAGGGATGAGTCCCACGACGCCACCGACTTGTAGGTGTTGGCTTGCGATGCTGAAGACGACGACTCTGTCGACACGGACGCCGTCACGGAAGACGCGTCGTGAGGCAGCTCCGCAGCAGTGTGGAAGCTGGACGACGACGTGCTGGTGAGTGGTCGAGTTGGGGTTTTGCTGGGCGACACGGGAACATGCGGGTTGGGCGCCATCACGACAGCGGTGGACCGCGCCGACGGGATGAACTGCAGCTGGATGGCATCGTCGGACAAGGTGGCTCCGATGACTGGTGCGGAAAGTCCCGGCAAAAGTGCCGGTGCGGGAGCAGGTGACGCGCCAGCCGCGTTGCTGGATTGTGCAGAGGCCGGCTGCATGTTAAAGTAGATGGTGGGAACGACCGTCTCCAGATTTTTCTCGTCGAGAAGGCTGCTGGAATCAACCAAGTGAGCTACAAACGGGTTCTGTCCCAACGTGCACAGTACAAAGCACAAAACAAAACGCAAACAACACAAACCTGGGGGAATCCGAGCGCGAACCAGCCTCCACAGAGTGCGTCACAACTTCATCTCGAGCCTTCAACAGGGCCATCCACTCGTTGATGAGGGCCGCTTCCGTACGCTTGTCCTGCTCTGTCTTGTCTGCACTCAACATTGCACCCAAAGCCTCAAAATGTGAGGTAACCCCACCACAATTTGAATCAACCAGTCAACACACAATCCTTCCACAAAGTCCACGCACCAGTCTTCTCGAGAAGCTTGTGAATCTCTTCATCGAGCTGCACGCGGCGCTTTTCCATCACGACTGTGCGCTTTTCGAGACCCGCAGCCGCGTCCTGGGCATCGAACGTGTTGACGAGAGCGTCGTTCTTGGTCCGCAGTTCGAGAGCGCCCAGGTGCAAGCTGACAATGGACTCGATGGCCAACTCGGGAGCCGGAGCGTGCGATACAGTGACAGCAATGCGGCGCGCGTAGCCTTGTTTGAGTTGGAAGATGCCGCCAGTGGCGACATCCACCTTGTCTTGGGACTCGACAGACACCCACTCGCCCTTGCTTCCAAGCTCGAGCAGGTCGACCCAGAGTTTGAGCTCCACCACCAAGTCCGACCATCCGGCGACACGTTGGCCCAGCACCGACGATGGTTTGCTGGCTTGCACGGCCTGGGACTGTCGACGGAAGGACTTTAGGCCCAAGGGCGACGAGTCCTCGACGGAACGGAGTTCGCTGGAGATTTGGGGCGCCGCATTCGAAGCCACGGCGCGGTGGTGACCCCAGATTTCCACGGCCAGGCACGCAGTCTCGATTTGCTTGACAAAGTTGTCCGTGACGGGAATGCTCAGAATGTTCTCGTGGTCAAACACGGTGCTTCCTTGAACAAGGGAAATGCTCGAGTCGAGCGGAATCATCTCTGGCAAAATGACATCCGTCGACAGAAAGTCGTAGCGGCAGTACGTGTGGTTGCACAAGTCAACAGGCAAACCGGAAGCAGAGTGGACGCGAATGCGGATGGACGCCGTCGACCCAACAACCAGACCTCCGTCTGTTGGGAGACCGGACGGCGTGCGCTGTCGGATTGGGATGCTCCCACTGGCGGTAGGAGCCTCAACTACAGGAGGGGCCAACGCTGCCGAGGAATTGGAGGGCAGGGCAGCAGGCGGGGGAGTCGCAATGCTGGTCGGCAAGGTCGATGACAAGCGCGCAGACTGCCGTGCGGTCGGCGGCTGCTGCTGCTGCTGCTGGCGCGGAGTCGGGTTGGCTGCGTGGGCGTCCAAATCAAACACGCCGTCGTCCTTCTCGCTCAGAACGGTGCTGGCACGAGGCGAACTCAGTTGGCTGCTGGATGGCGAGCCGTGCACATACAACAATGAGTCGCTCTGCATCGAGTCTCGCGTGATAAAACTGGCGCTCCAACGATTCTTGGACTTGTTGCGCTGTTGCTGCATCGGAGATGTGGGCGAAGAAGGATCACTGGAAACCGGAGAGGCCGCAGGAAGAAGAGGTAGGCGTTCGAGCTCGAGCTTCAGCTTGCCGCGAATCTTGCCGTGTTGATCAATCACTGGCGCATCGTACTCGAACGCAGCCGTATGCGCGAGACACGCGAGTTGCATGCTGGCGACGCCGATGAGACAGTAGCCCGGCGGCTCGAGGAACGGGTCGTTTCCTTCGTCCGCTTTTGCGCCGCTGTCGCTGCCAATCGAGATGGACGACGCAGAGGCACGGTTGCTGTCAGACGTGCTGCGAGCAGATTGGTAGACATCACGCATGAGCTCAATCCGCTTGCGGAAGGCCTCCAAGGGCAGCACGTGCTGACGCCCGCCTGCAAGCGTTGCACGAACAACCACCTCCGACCGGCGTTGATCGTCGGGCGAGACGCCATTGGCCGAGGAGGTGATGCACGTCGGAGACAGGCTCGAACGCGCCAGTTGCAGCTTGATGCTAAAGTTCACGTCCTTGCCGAGCTCGCTGCTCATGGCATTTGCTTCGCGCACCAGAATGGTGGCCTCCACCGCCTGGTCGGCAATCCGCTCCAGCTCAACATTGCGACGCACGGTGCCGCTCCGCGGTTTGGACTGCTGGGGGAGGTTCAGGGTTGAAGAAGCGGCGGCCTCCTGGACGGCCACAGCCTCCGCCTCTTGCTGTTGCTTTTGGGCGCGCTCGAGTTGAGCCTGCAAGGCAACCTGCTGCTCGGCCAGCCGGCGACGCTCGTCCTCAAGCGCTTGCTTGGCCTCGAGCTCGGCCTCCTCCTTTTGCTTGCGAAGCGAGGCTTCTGTTTCGGCCTGCTGCTGTTGGAGCTGCAGTTGCTGCTGCATGAGCAACTGGAGCTGCTCCTCGTACTTGAGGCGCTGTTCGGCCAGAGCCGATTCCTTCTCTTGCGAGTACTTGGATTTGAGCGTTTGGATGGCGCCCTGAATGGAGGTGGCGGATGTTTCGGGGGTCGCGCCAGCATCCGTCGCAGCACCACCAGCCGTCTCTTCAGCATCGCCAAGGGCGGAGCGCAAAATCGACTCCATCATGATACCCGCCTCTTGAAGCGCAAGTTCCTTCTGAGCGTATGCCCAGTCCATTTTGGACACGTCGGACGCAGCGGGCAGAGCCGGGTTTGGCTCAAACTGAGGCTCACTCGCGTCAGCATCATTGGTTGTGTTTTTCTTGGCCACGAGCTTTGCGCAGTTGAAACGGAAGAGATGAGTCGCGCCAATGAGCAGTCGATCGCCATGACGCAGCTCGATGCGATCAACGCATGGTCGTCCATTCACTTTGACACTGGCCCCGGCGATCGGAGTCAAAAACACGGCATCGGAGGAAGCTCCACTCTCAGAGGCAGCAACACCGCTGTGAATGATGCAGTGCTCTTGCAGCACACCAGGACCACTTAGCTGAATGTCGCTGTGCCCAGTCACAGGTGTCACAGGTGCTTGGCCGGCTTCGCCAGTAGGAGCCGGACGGCCAACGCGAGTTTCGCCACGTCGCAGGTAGTAGACTAAAAACTCGTTCACTGCAGAGTCCTCGCTCAGGTTGACCAGGTAGGGCAGGGTGTGGTCGACACTAATGCCGCCAGCGCCGACGGAAATGCCCATCTCCTCCAACGCTTGGTGGCGCTTGGTGTGGACGGAATTGGCCATTTGGAGCTTTTCCTCCCAGGTTCGCGTCAAGTCTTGGATGAGGGCTTGGCTCTCGGATAGCTGGCTTTGCAAGCGCTCCAGCTCTTCGTTGCTCGCCGCACCAGCACCACTAGCACCTCCAGCGGCCGCACCAGCACCGGCTGCGCCGTCTGAGCATGAAATAAAGGAGAGGCAACAGAGGGTGAGTCAACCAGATCAAACCCCCCAACATCCACCCCGAAAAAAAAAAAGAAAACCACCCTGCTCACATACCAGGAATCATTGCTTTGAGACGAGCAACTTCAGCCCGGAGCTCGCGAATAATCTTGGCGTTGGGATCTTCGTTGACCACGGCGTGGTTTTCGATGCGCTTGGCACGGTCGGCGTAGCGCAGGGTGCTGAGCGACTCTTCGTGGTTGTCATCGGCAGGACTGACGGTAGCAATCATGACAGTCTTGCTGTTGCCACCAAGATTGTCCTTGAGCAGCCAGGTGAGCACGGAATCGCGATACGGAACGTGACTCTTCTTGCCCGACGAGGCGTCCGCGAGGCCAGAGATGACCAAGCCGAGCGTCGTGAGAGACTTGTTAATGTTGCCGGCCTCCTTCAACCGATCGCCGGTGCCTCCCGTCTTGCCAGCCCGTTCAGAGCCAGCAAGATCTACGAGACTGATTTTGCTGACCTGAGGGGGTGGGGGAAGGAGTTTGTTTTGTTGTTGCAAAAGGCGTGATGTCAAGAATTGAGCGAGGTTGCGAAAAAATGGGCTTGGCAAGAACATGACAAGACACGCGCAATCCAAGTGTACCTTCTCAGTAGAAAGCTTGGTCATGTCATCAAAGGTAGTTTGAGTCAGCAGCAGCGTAAATACTGCGTGGGATCGACTACTTTCTGCGTTCATGTTTGTGGAGGCTACAGCACGGGACTTGTTGCCTTCCTCCATCAAGCGCTACATTGCCAAAAACGAGTCAAACACGTGAGATCATGCGCAATATCCATGTGTGCATGCCAGCACCGAGAGTAATTAGTTACCTCGATGCCCGTAAAGTCAGAGACGGGAAGTTGGGCAAGGTTTTCGACATACGGGCCAAGCACGGGATGCTCACGCACGCGGAGCTTGTCCTTTGTTATACTGAAATTGCAATAGGGAGATGAGGGTGGCAACAAACAAAAGGTGAATAAGCAATCCCTTGTAATGACTCGCTCGCCGGCACCACCAACGACTCGCTTGCCTAGGATTTAACAGATCGCGAACTTGTTCGTTGTAAATTTCAAGATAGGAGACTTCCACTTTGGTGGACGTGTTGGCGTCCTTGGCCGTACGCGCACGTATCCGCTCAAACAGCTCCTGGCACAAGCGAGGGATGACGCCGCGATCTTCGGCCGTGCCCATCATCGTGTACGACTTGCCGGAGCCTGTCTGACCGTACGCAAATATGCATGCATTGTAGCCGGAGAATGCATTGTCGAGCACATCAACGCCAAGCGCTTTGTAGACTTGTGTTTGTGCTGAGCGGGGGGCACGGAAAGAAGGAGTATGTGTGAGTGATGTGTGTGTTGTCATGCTGAGTGTGCAATCGGAAAAGAACGTACTCGCAAAATGCGCGTCTGTGGAATTGGTCGACCAGAAGCAGTGATCGTACGAGAAGGTCTACATCAGCATCGTGTGCGGAAACAAAATGAGCAAATGTAGGAAGCATCAGCATGATGCGGCGTTTGCAGGGAGGTTTGTTACCTTTGAAGTTCCCGCGCGAGCCTTGTCACTGGGGGAGCGTCAACATTACCATGCCGGGAAATTGAGAGTGAGTCGATTGGTCTCAGTTTCTTTTGGTTTTTCCCCCATCACAATCTTACCTGGTAGACATTGGATACTTGAGCGACGTGGTATTGCCCTCCATAGTGACGACCGATTCGCATCGTTTGTCGATTTCTATTGTGCAGCATGATTGTCGGATGTTGCAAACGACCAAGTGAGTGATATTTGCACAATTGGTTGAAACTGTGCCCTCTGAGACTCTGAGACGTTCTTGATGGAGTCAAATTGAGCAAAAAAAAAAAAGCAATCACAAGCTGCTGGACAGCCAGTCCCAGCCTGACGTGTGTGAATATGTTGTTGCTTCCATTGATTTGTTGATCCTCAAAGTGCACACCAAAGCCGAGCAGAGCGGGAAACGGAAAAACCAGCGAGATCTCCGCTTTCATGGACGACAGACGATCAGAGTCAGCTCGAAAGACGACAAGTGCAACGCATCCACAGAGCAACGCAGAGTGGCAACGAAAGGTCACTCGACCGGCAACAGTGTCAGCATTGAAATGGACAACCAGTGAGCGAGTGAGTGAGTCAGTGAGTGAGTGAGAGTGAGTGAGAGTGAGTGAAGAGGGGACGAATTGAAAAATTGAAACTCGTGAATCGATGATCGCCTTTGTGAGGGGAAGGAAAGGGGGATGGGGATGGTCTGGGAGAGCGAATGAAGGCGGCTTTGGTTGCTGGGTGCCTGGGGAGAGGGGAGGCGGGTGGAAGGACTCTCACCGCGCTGGTTGAACGGGCGGACGCGGACGGCGACCTTGACCGTGGAGGACGGCGCAACGGTGACACCCGAATCGTCGGCCATTCACAACAACACAAATCACACTGGAAAAAGCACAATGAAGACTGGGGAAAATGCAGCAATCAGGATATTTTACTACGGAATAGCAGAGTCATGATTTCGAACGGGGAATACATTGAATGGATGATGGTAATGGAAGAGGTTGCTTCGTGGAACGACAGCTTCTCCGTTCCTTTCTCATCTTGCCTGCGACAGCGTGCATATGCGTAGTTGTACTCGCATAATAAAACCAATCAGAAAAGGTCGAAAAACTGCTCTCGTCTATTGAGAAATCAAAACAACTTTTTTTTTCTTTTGTTCTTTTTTTTCTTTTTGGTTTGCAACATCACAACAATACTCAACATTCAAGCCCCCTTGGGTTCAAGTCTGTTACGCAGTCGAGGTCTTGACCACGAAGATGTGACTGTGAGCAATAGTCACGACGTACTGGAACTTTTCAAACACAACTACCAAACGAGCAAAACAAAGGTGAGTTCAAGTTCCGCGTTGCAGCACCATTCCTCCGAAAAGCCATAGCCCGGCTCGCGCTCGTGATGGACGTGTTCGCGCAACAACACTCGCACAACATTCAATCACACACGAGCCACTTACGCGACAAACGCTTGAACGGCTCGGTCTTGTCTCCAGTGGTCAGAACTCCGCGGGTGTCACGGAGAAGGTTGTGAATTGTGCTAGCAGTCTCGCTGGCATTGTCTGCGAGGTCACCGGTGGACTGCAGCGGACCAAAAACGACGAGATTGCCCAACAGCGAAGGCGAGCAAAGTTTCCAAAAGAATTCCAAGTTAGAGACGTCCGCTCGCCGCTCTGTGCGTCAGCCCACAATAGAATCCAAACCCCAAAACAAAGACGCGCGTACCGACACAACAGCGCCGTTGAGGTCGAGGGTGAGCGATCCAGTGAGGTTGGGGATGCGCTCAATGGCGCCTTGCATGGCGGCAACGTCTGCAGTGTCCTCCTACAACCAAAACACAACACCGCAACACAAAAAGTGAATGCACACGCAGCAAGCAACATTGGATCTCAGACCCGTCGTCGGTTCGTCCATCGTCTGCACAGCGCAGCGCGGCGGGCTTTGAGCCTTTCATCACGAGGCGAACAGAACCCCAAGCAGCCTCACGCACCCAGCCACCACTCCGCCACGTCAGTCGCTCCTTGCAACGGGAGAATCGAGCTTTGCATTGCCGTTCGAAGCGCCCGCCGTGCCTGCGACGGAGGACCACTGCTAGGCGGTCAAGTCGACAAGAACTGAGATCTCGCCCTCTCCTCACTCGCTTCCCCACGTCGCCAGCTCGCACAGAGCGACGATGAGGACAGTTGTTTGTTTTGTTAGACATGCACAAGCGCAGAAGTGGGCTTCGGGACTGGTGGCTTGGCTGTGCTGACTCACGGGCATGATGAAGCTGAAAAAGTACGAGTGGTTTTTCATCCTCTTCCTAAAGGCAATGCAGCGCCATAGTGCGTTTAGAGCGGGTCGCTCAGAGTCGCGCTAGAAACGCCAGTCGCGATGTGGTGTCAGTTGAGATGGATTTGGATGTGATAAAACGCGGTTGTGAGATTTTGCAACAAGCCTCAGCTCAAGTTTGGCTGCATTGTCTGAATCAGAAGAACAAACAAAACGTTTCCAATTCTTCCTGTGTATCTCAGCAATTTAGGAAATAGTAGCCATAACAAGCTTCAATTCTGGTTACCTGCAATGTTACATCACAGTTGCCACGTCATGTGGTAGGGTGCAACAGCCGACGACGGAAAGCATTGGAAGGTGTTCTTCAGGATTGAGCAATGCTCACTTGATGATGCAACGCACATCCACTGACGCCCCCGCTGACGTGGAATCAGACTATTTAAGCGCACGATGCTCGACTATTGCAAGGCAGATCAGTCTTTTATTGAATCAAAGACGCAGTGCCAAGTCGCTTTGAGCTAACAGCAAACAAACAAACGCCGAGCTTTTTCTTTTGTTGTTTTTGTTTTTGTTTCAGAGCGAAACACAACAACAACATTCTTCCAAACTTGCCTTGAATGAAGAACAAGTCAAGGTCAACCCCAACCGTGTCCCCAGTCGACGATGCCGTGTGCAGGCTCGAACCCGACAAGGTGGCTGAGGTTTCGATTGCTGCTCAATGCCAGAGCGACGCAAATCTGAGCTCCGAGTTTAAGGAGTTTATCAGTCGCACCCTCGACCCCGATCCCCGCGTGCGCAAGCAGATGCTCAAGGAGATGTGCCCATGCCGCGTGAGAGCCGATATTGATCTCATGTGGGCGAGAATCATCGAACTGACCAGCGACGAGTCTGACATTGTACGTGTTGCAACTTTCTGCTGAAGCCTGCCATTTCACTACGATATCTGCTGTTGCTCATGTGAACTTTTGCGCAACTCTGTTGTGGTCTTCCCGTGAATTCGCACAGGTGCGCGATCAGGCACTACACGCGTTGGGTGACGGATCGCCCCGCGCAATGGAGGCCACGGTCATGGAGATTGCCGAGCGACTGTACAACGACCCATCCGATGCCGTTCGCAGCAAGGCTCGCCGAATGGTCAACGCGTATCGACGGACTGGCAAGTGGAACGTTCTTTGAATTTTCATCAGGACGCATGTCAGTGATTTCGACGTAGTTGATATCTCAGATCAACACTCTCACCTCCAATGGTGCAATAAACTAGCACATTCAAGGCCAAACCTTCCCTCCCCCCCCCTCAAAGGGATTGCTGAATTTTTTAAATTCGAATGTATACATACCGACAAAAAAGAAACGACACCAACAAGTTTATTAAAAAGCAAAAACAAGAAAAAAAAAAAACATCCCACAAGCTGTTGTTTTTACACACCCTTGGCCTCGAGCCAGCGCTCAGCCTCGATGGCAGCCATGCAACCAGTGCCGGCAGCAGTGATGGCTTGACGGAAGACGTGGTCGGAGCAGTCGCCGGCGACGAAAATGCCCTCGACGTTGCTCTTGGTCGAGTTTTGGTTGGCGAGCTTAATGTAGCCGTTCGCGTCGCGGTCGAGAAGGCCAAACGGCTCCGTGTTGGGAATGTGGCCAATGGCGACAAACAGACCAGATGCGGGCAGCGCCTTTGACTCGTTGGTCTTGACGTTCTTGACGTGAATGTGCGACAGGAGGCCGTCGGGGGTGCCAGAGAGGTGGTCAACGACAGAGTCCCAGACCTTCTCGATCTTGGGGTTTTCGGCGACGCGCTGGCTCATGACGCGAGACGCACGGAGCGCATCGCGGCGGTGGATGAGGTAGACCTTGGAGCACATGCGGGTGAGGTAGAGTGCCTCCTCCGCCGCCGAGTCGCCGCCGCCGACCACGCCAACGACCTTGTTCTTGTAAAAGAAGCCGTCGCACGTTGCGCAGGTGGAGACGCCCTTGCCCCAGAAGGTTTGCTCCGTGGGGATTTCGAGCAGGCGCGACTTGGCGCCCGTGGCGACAATCAGCGCGTGGGTCTGGAGCGACGTGCCATCGTCCAAGTCCAACGTGATGGGCGCAGGCTGCGGCGGGGCAGTGACCTTGACGACGTGGCCGTACTGGAAGGCGGCGCCGGCATGCTCGGCCTGCTCCTGCATCTGGCTGATGAGCTCGGGGCCCTCGACGCCGGCCTTGCCAAAGCCGGGGAAGTTCTCCACAGTGGAGGTCGTGGTCAGCTGGCCGCCGGGGTTGTTCCCGTGCAGCACGAGCGGCGCCAACTGAGCGCGTGCAGCGTACAGCGCCGAAGTGAGACCGGCCGGGCCCGAGCCGAGCACAATGACCTTGTGGATTGCCTGAGGGATGCTAGCGCGTACAGAAGAGTAGCATGACAGAAGTGAGCGATAGCGGCTTTGAATAAGGAACAAAAAAAAAAAGTGGTGCCATCAAAGACAAGGAGAAAAAAGCAACAGCAAAAAAGCGCGGGAAGCGGCGAATTTTGGCGCGGAATCCAGCTGATCCATCTCCATCTTCACCTCCACCTCCCTCCCACCAATGGTCCAACTGCAATCTCGCTCGCTGGTGTATGATGTGCTTGTGTGTTGGAATTCCCCGAGGAACCAGTCGAAACCAGTCGGAACGACGCGACCTTGGGATTTCGGTTTAAAAATCTCACCTCATTCTGAACGAATCACAACGCCAAGATGGTAAAGACTGAAACAAAAACGTACGAATTTGGATGGAGAGCAAAATTCAACAGAGTCGGAAATTTCGGGGAGACCACAAAGCGATGAGAGTTGTGGAGAGGAGCGCGAGGTGATTGCCGTTGAAACACACAATCGAGATAAAGAAGCAACATCGAAAATTTGGGTTCATCTCGCTTTTTGTACCGCTTTGCTCGCCGCTTCACTTTTCATTTCGCACAATCATGGCAGACCACAACGACGACGGTAATCCGATACACCATCATTTCGTGCACTGGATTGGCGCTACTCTGGTCGCTCAGAGAGCTCGGGAAGGGGAGAAGACCGGGGTGCAAGAGGAGGGGTTGGAAGGTTGGAATTGAGGTGACATTTTTAGTAAATTGGCCGTAGCAATTTGCATCAAAACCGAAATTTTAAGCGCCTAGTGAAATTCACCAGAAAGTCCAACCCGGGTATATTCTTTCATGGATGTTTGATTTTTCAGTTGACGTTATTTTTTCGTTTATTTTTGCAATTTATACTCTTTCTGACTATTTTTCTGTTCACCAAGCTACCTCTTTTTTTTTTTTTTTCTCCTTTTCCACATGCGACTCTTTCGCCCACGGATCCGTTTCCCTCACCTCTCCCTGCCCCTGGCCCTGCTCTTGCTCTTGCTCTTGCACTCTCTCTCTCTCTCTCTCTCTTGTGCTCTTGACAACACCGCCATCGCCCTTCTCTGTTTGAGTCGACGCCTTCCCCACTCTGCCTGCTGCTGCCTGCTGCGTTCTCGTCCTAACCCTCCCACTCCCTCACTCTTGTCTGTCCCCGACACACACACACAGACCTCGTCGCCGATCTCCTCAAAACCCGCCCCGTGCTGAACAATGGCGCAGACTGCGTGATTGTCGTCGACAACGTTCCCAAGGTCGACGCCGCCAAGCTCGACAAGCTCATGCTCGTCCTCAAGAAGGTCTTTGCTGGCTTTGGCGAGCTCCAGGAGAACGGCATCCACATGCCCCGGGATGCCGCCACTGGCATGACCAAAGGGTGAGGAACACAAGCCACACACTGGCCCGGCGTGTTTCGCTTTGATGTTGCAATCGATCGGCAAGCGACCATCCACAGCAGCTGCTGCATGTGCCACCCCGTGTGTGCATGGAGGTCATGTTTGTTTAAATCCTTGGTGTTTGGCTCGGGGTTTGACGAGTGCGGACAACGTGGCGGGCACTTTGCGACCAAGGCGCATTGACCGTTGGTGCCTCACCACTCATCACCACCACCACCATCCCCCCTCTCGCGTTGTGCTCTGCTGGCTCTCTGAACATTGGCTCACTGTTTTTTTCTTGTCTTGTTTGTGCCATCCTCTCCTACCGTGACAATATTGTCAGATTCGCCTTCCTCGAATTCAAGACAGCCCCGCAGGCTCAGCAGGCCGCCAAGAAGCTGCAGGGATACCGCCTGGACAAGATGCACGAGTTTGAGACGTGCACGCTTGCCGATTTTGAGCGCTACGAGAAGGTTTCGGACAGCTACCAGCCCCCGAAGCCCGAGGACTACTCTGAGCGCGAAAACCTTCGCTCGTGGCTCCAGCACGAGCGCAGCGTCGATCAGTTTGTGCTGCGTTATGGCCCCAAGTCGAACGTGCTGACTGATATTTGCTGGAACGGCCATGACGAGGCTGAGCGCATTCACACGCGCCCCAACTGGTCTGACTCGAGTGTGCTTTGGTCGCCGCGCGGCACCTATCTCGCCACCTTCCACAAGCAAGGCATTGCTCTTTGGGGTGGCTCTGCCTTTGGCAAGATTGTCCGCTTCAACCACCCTGGCGTCAAGCTGGTCGACTTTAGCCCCAAGGAAGACTTTCTGGTCACCTGGAGCAACGAGGCGTCGGACGACCCGGCCGATCCCCAGAGCCTGATTGTCTGGGACGTTCGCACTGGCAACAAGCTGCGTGGCTTTGCCAGCGGCCCCAAGGCATCATGGCCCGCATTCCGCTGGTCGCACGATGACGCGTTCTTTGCCCGTATTTTTGACGACGCCCTCTCCATCTACGAAACGCCCTCGATGCGTCTGTTGGACAAGAAGAGCATCAAGGTTGCTGGTCTCAAGGACTTTGCGTGGTCGCCCACGGACAATATTCTCTCGTACTGGGTTGCCGAGTCGGGCAACAACCCTGCGCGCGTCGTCCTGCTCGCCGTGCCCTCACGAGAGGAACGCTCTGTCAAAAATCTGTTTAACGTCAACGATTGCAAGCTCTACTGGCAAGCCAGCGGCGACCATCTCGCAGTCAAGGTTGAACGCACCACCAAGACCAAAAAGTCAACGTACACCAACTTTGAGATTTTCCGAATGCGCGAGAAGGGCATTCCTGTGGATGTTCTTGAGATTAAAGGTGAGTGGCAAAGGGAGCGAGGCCCCAGGGGAATGCAAGGGTTGTCAAAATGAGCTGTGGACTTTGCTTGGATGAAGACTTGCATTTGCTCAACCCTTTGTTTTTTTGTTGTTGTTGTTCCTTTCACACACACGCACTCACACACTCACACACTCACACACACTTTCAATCTTGCAGATACAATTCTTGCTTTCGCTTGGGAGCCTGTTGGCACAAAGTTTGCTCTCATTCACGGTGAGGGTGTCAAGACCGCCGTGTCGTTCTATAACACGGACGATGCTGCTTCTGGCGGCAAAATTTCCCTGGTCAAGACGTTGGAAAAGAAGCAAGTCAACCAAATCTTCTGGTCCCCTCGTGGCCAGCATGTCGTGTTGGCGGCCCTCCGCACCAACTCAAACAATGTGCTCGAATTCTGGGACACGAAGGACATGGTTTGCACTGCCGTTGGTGAGCACTTGATGGCCACCGACCTCGAGTGGGATCCCACTGGTCGATATGTTGCCACCTATGTCTCCAACTGGCTTCAATCGGTATGTCTTTTTTTTTTCTGTTGTTTCTTGTTTGTTGTTCTTAACCGAGATAGGGAATGCTCATTTTGTTTGCCTTCAACAGCTCGAAAACGGCTATGCTCTCTGGACAGTCACTGGCCGCAACCTGTATCGCCGAAACCTCGAAGCGTTGACACAATTCCTGTGGCGACCACGTCCTCCGGCATTGTTGACGAACGAGCAGCTGAAGGTATTCATCATTTTATTTTACAAGCGAGAGATGTTGGATGTTTATGGGCGTTTCGTTTCTCATCTGTACTTCCCCCCCCCCATCTCACATTCTCAGGCCGTCAAGAAGAAGCTGAAGGATCTTTCGGCAAAGTTCGACCGCCAAGACACGCTTGCAGCAAACAAGGCCTCCAAGGAGGTCATCGAGCGGCGGCGCGCATTGGTCGCGCAATACGAGGCCTATCGAAAGGCCAAGAAGGCTGTCTTCGACGCTACTGCCCAGGCACGTGCCCAGTTGCGTCCTCAAGCGCAAGAACAGCTTGAGGAGACTGAGCAGATCGTTGAAGTTTTCATCAGCGAGACGGTTGAGCCTGTGAACTAACTTTCCCCCCGGTTTCGCGCTCCACTCGTTGTGTGCATTTCCTGATCGTTCTTGTCACATACACATTCCCTTTTTTTCGCTCTGTGCAATTGCGGTTTTGACGCGTATGAATCAGTCTTTTGTTTTTGTTTTGCAGTTTTTGCGATGAGTTCGGCCGGTTCCAAGCCCGCCTTGGTGGCATCTTCTTCGGCTGCTTCAAAGCGTCAAGCAGTGGACTCGCCTGGAGGTCACGTCGATCAGCGTGGCAGAACGGTAAGCGGGCCGAGACCTGTTTGAGTGTACTCTTCTCGTCTTCGACACGAATTCTTTGAACGAACTGGTTCTGTGGTGCCGGAGAGTGGCGAGAGTGGCGAGAGTCGTGAGGTGAGAACACTTTGCTCTCAATGGTGTCTCGGCAGTTGCGCGCCATTTTGTTTGTTGTTGGGTTTTTTCTTTTGCCGACCTTATGTGCGTGAAATTTTTTACAGCAGTGGTGCCATGCTTTGATAGTCTGTGACGATGGCAAACATTATTCTAACCTTGTATTTTTGCTCTCAACAGCAAAGCAACGATGAGGACGACGATGAGGGCAACGATACCCAGCCGGTTTCGACGAGAGCTTGGCTGTCTCCTATTCTGCCCAGTCGCAATGGTATGTGTGTGTGTGTGTGTGTGTGTGTGTGTGTGTGTGTGTGTGTGTGTGTGTGTGTGTGTGTGTGTGTGTGTGTGTGTGTGTGTGTGTGTGTGTGTGTGTGTGTGTGTGTGTGTGTGTGTGTGTGTGTGTGTGTGTGTGTGCTCTCTCTTCACTCATTTCTCGTCTTGCTGTCGATAGCCCGCACGTATCCCACCGATGTTCGCGAGCTGAAGCCTGCCCCAGGCCAGCAACGACAAGCGGGAGACTGGCCTGATCCTGTCGACCCTGTCTACCCACGCCACACAACGACCAAGGAGATTCTGACTGAAATTCACGAATCAATTTTCGGCAACCGCACTATTCGCTCCACATTCAGCGGTTTGCAAGTCGCCACCATGCGCGGCATGGGCAAAACAACCTACGGCGCGAACATTATCACGCACCTCCTCAAGGCTCTCGAGCATCCAGCAGCAGATCTCGGCTTTTCAGAGAAGCGCAGGTCATTGTTGACGAATCTGCTCACCCATCGTACGCAGACCGTCTTCATTGATTTCAACGGTCGAGGCGACGGTCTCGCATCTGCAGATGACTTTGGCACCTACGTCTGGCTTGCCAAACGTCTTGCTGCTCGCGGCCTGCTGGACCTCCCTATCCACAAATGTCGTGATCAGCTGAGTCGACTGACCTACCTCTTAGTCTCAGAAGTCATCCGCGAGCTCTGGCGACGCTTGCGCGAGCGCCAGCAGATTCCTGACGATGAACACGCCCTTCTGATCATCCACATCGACGAGTATCAGCTTGCCCACCGCTTCCTTGCTGAGCAAACAAATGCGGAGGCCGCCACCGGCACGCTGGCCAGTGTTTTGAGCGAGATTCTTAACTACAACTTTGACTCGAAGAAGAACACTGTGGTGGTACTTTGGACTGGATGTTCAACCGCTGGTTTGACCCAGCTTCCGCTTAACGTCCATCGGATGAAACTGGTGCATCTCGAGCCGCTCCCCCTTTCCTCTGCCCTGGATCTGCTCGAGAAAAAGTGGGAATCCGAGGAACCTCCGATTCAGCTTCACGAGCAGTGGCGGAACAATCGAGAGTTTCGTCAGTTTGTTCACGATGTCGGCGGTTCTCCAAAGCTTCTTTCAAGTCTTCCCTCTCATCCTCAGCTCGCACTTGCGCCCAACGAGTATACCATTGTCACGGTTTTGGATCACTTCGCAAAGCGACTCGCGACCGTCCCGCTCAATTTACTCGGTGATGAGCAAGACGCCTCAGCGCTTGTCGATCTCGTGCTGACTCAGCGGCCTGTTGTGCCATCGACACTAGTTGGTCAGTTCACGGTTGAACAGCTCGCCTACCACGGCATGCTGACTCTCGCTCCAACGGCCCATGGTATGGTCGTGGTCGGCTGTCCTATTCATTACATGCACGCCCTGCTCAACCGGAACTTTGCAACGACCCGCGCGTCTGCATTACGTTTGTTCCGGCTCCCTTTCAACGATGCTGGAGACGGGGATATTTTCGAAACCGCGGCGCTATTGTCGTTGACGGCACAGCTCCGCTTGCTCGGTAAAAGTGGTTCGTCTCCCGATGTTGCCAGCCTTCTACACATCAATTTCTTGAATTCGCAACCAACTCCTGATTTTCGCGGCTTTATTCACCTCAACGCTCTCCGCGCCTTCTCCCAGTCTGCTTCTTACGTGCCGATCATCGAGGGCACACAGATTCTGTCCAACAGCAATTCGACCTTCGAGTTCTTCACTCGTCGGGTTCAAGGAAGAAGCCCCTGGTCCCTCAAGCAAGAGGATTTCGGCTCGATGGCCTCCTGTGTTGACACCCCAGCAAGCCGCATTCCGGTAGTTCAGACGGCGAAAAACACTTACGGAGTCAACATGTGGGTCCTTCTTCCCGCTGAGCACAACTTGTACGCACAGACGAAACCCTTGTTGGTTCTCTTCCAACTCAAGCACCATCAAGCCGTGAGTCAAAACGATACTTTCAGCAATCTCCAGGGCACGATCGAAACGACTCTAGAGAAGGTGACCGCAGGTGTTACAGACCCGCAGACCGGCGAGACCGTCTGCGAAGTGCTGATAGTTGTGATGGTGACTGGTACCGCCAGTACACGCCCGAACGAAGCCACTCGTCTTGCGGCAGATCGAGAATGGGCCAAAGCACTGGCAACGTTTAACAAGGAACCCGACCCTCGTGTGATTGTTCTCATGGACGAGGATGTGCGCCGAGTTGTGCCTTTCATGTGGTCGCGCTTTCCCGACACTGGTGACTGGGTCGTGCCGAACTAAGACGATGCGTCCTGCCAGGCTGACGATTTGTCCATCTAGCATACGGATCTGTCCATCCACGATACGATTTGTCGAGCCAAACTGATCATTCGTCCAGTCAAAATGATGATTCTTCCATTAGTCGTTGATTGGTGCCATTGGCAACTGCTGTCTTTCTGTATCTGACACGTCATTTTGTGTGTCGCGAATTTGTGATTTGTTGCATGTTGAATTTGTTTTTTGTTTCAAACCGATGTGTATTAGAATTGAACAGTGCTCACACCGTCATACCAACAAAGTTCGCTGAGCAGCGCCGCTAGTATTGGCGTACAAAGCTCTAGTCAAACATTTGCAGCCCAGATTTTGGTGTCTGGGATGCTAACAACATTTTGGTCGTCGCAGAGGACGAGAATCGTCTTTTGGAGGGTCGGTTGCGAGATTGTTGCCCCGGAGTGTATGGAAGTTTTGTTTGTTTTAAGCCGTCTAAACCTTTATTAAGAATAACAAAGAAAAAAGAACGTAGGATATGGGTCAGTTGAATGTCGTCATAACGCACACCAACGAAGGCATGCGGAGAGAGTGCTCAAAAGCTCACAAGAATAGAAAAAAAGACTGTCCTCTTCTCGCCCAAAAGCGACATCACTCTCAGATCAACCTATTTTAGACTCGGCACGTGCAAAATCGTGCTCTGCAGTCCTGCTCATAGTCGGTGAACAAAACGGAGCGGGAGCCACGACCAAACATTGGATGTTTTATGAGCAGGAACAGAATTGCTGCACAATCGCTCAAAAGAAAAAAAAAAAAACAAGTTCTCAAACAGTGTGTATTCGACATGGTGGCATACGCAAGCGATGGAATGAAGCATGCACGAAACAGAGCAAGACTAAACACAACAATAAGGTCGCGAGCCGACAACGCCACGGCAGCAACGTAGCAGCAAACAAAAACACCACAAGACACGCAACGGGATGTGCGCTTTACACGCCCATAATCTTCTTGACCGAGTAGTTGGGGAAGTAGTACAGGAAGATGAAAATGAAGAGCGCGATGAACAGGATGATGAGGCCCAAGATAATCCACCACTTGAACTTTTTCCAGATGATGCTGATAAGCAAAAGAAGGGGGAAGGGAGGCAAGGTGCGTGAGTGATGCTCAGAGTTAAAATAACAAAAGGAAAAACAAAAAGGAAAAACAAAAAGGAAAAACAAAAGGGAAAGAGGAAAAAAAAAACAAAAAAAAAAGACCGCAAACCCAACAAATCAAACGAATCAGACAACTTACTAGCGGAAGGACTTCCACGGGTTGAGGAACCAAATGAATGAGGTCGCGGGACGCCTAATCAAGCAAGCAAAGAAAACAAAGTGAGCTCATCCGAGAGCAAACCAAAACAAGGCAACTCTGCCAGAAGCCCCATCCAAACTAGTTGCTTACTTTGGCTTCTCGAGGACAGGATACTGGTTGGGCTCACTGTGACCTTGGCCGGCAGGCTTCTCGGCGGCCTCTTCTTCAGTGAGGAGCTCAATCTCGATTTCGACCTTGCCCTGCAGAGTCAAACAGACATGTTGTTGTCCGGCAGAAACAAAACAAAAAAAAAAAAAGTGTGAGCGCCCGTCATCTCCTATGCAACCCCTTGCCACCGACACCCCCTTCCCACAAATCCCCACAAATAGCATCGTACCGTCATCTCAAGCTGATCCTTGGTACCGCGGGTGACTGGAATCCAGCCCTTGACACGCTTCTTCTCAAACAGCGAAATGTAGTCGCCCTCGCTGTACTCCTTGCCGAGCTTGCAGCCAGAGGCATTCTTCTCGAAGGGGATCATCTTGCTCAGGTTGAGATCAATGTTGCCGAGGTAGTCATCGGGCTTGAAAAAGTCATTGTCCCAGACCTGGATGGCGAGCAGCGGGGGCACCTTGGTGGTCTCCTTGTCGAGCGAGTAAAAGTGCGCCTTCTGCTCAATCACCATGACATCCTCAGCAGGCATGTAGCTCAGCGGCAGGCAGCAGCGCCAGTTGAACATGCCCTCGCCATTGAGCGAGCGGTAGTGGACATCGGTGCGCTGCTTGTCCTTCTCCAAGCCGCGCATGTACGCCTTGACGTAAATGTCAGACATTTTCTCGCCAGTGATGGAGACGTCGGCAAAGATGACGTCCTTGGTGTTCCAGATGATGGCACGCAGCTCGTACTTGGTGGCCTTGCGAGGGGAAATGTCAACCGGCGGCTTAATGTCACCCAGGCTCTTGGGGATGACGTCCACCCACATTTGCAGCTTGCCCTGCTCGAGCTCGGGCTGCATCGGGTTGATGAGGCGGCGGGTCTCGACGTGCTCGGGCACGAGGCCGAGCGAGCGGAGCGCCATCAGCGCGCCGTTCTCGTGCGCAAGACCCTTGGTGAGGGCCTGGTCGCCCTTGGCAACAAACTTGCCGTTGCGGATGCCGGGAATGGTCACAGAGTAGGGCAGGTTTTGGTCGTACACGGGCTCGCGCAGACGCATGGTGGTGCACCAGTCCTTGAGGATTTCTGTGGGACGTTGCGAGTCCCTCCACACGTTGATGCCGCTCGTTTGGTAGGTCTGGGGCAGACCGACCGTGCCGCGGCACGTGCTGAGCAGACGGCGCTCAAGATCAATCTTGGTCTCGCCGATCAGATCGTCCGCGCTGACAGCGTCCCAGTCCATGACCGTGATGGTGAGCTCATTGTCCATGGGGAGGGTGGCGTTCAGCTCGTACATGCGGCCAAACTGCGGGTTGAGCGTGGCGGGCACATAGTTGTCGCGATCCTTGATGGTCTTGTTCTTCTTGCCACCCAGCGAGACAATGCAGTACGGGTCGGACTTGCCATTGTCGTCGAGAGCCTGCAGGTCGATGCCGCGCACAATGTACACACGAACGAGCACGTCCATCTGGGCGTTCGACGGGACCCACGGCAGCCAGCGGCCGAGCTCGGTCGGGTCGAGCTGCGGCGCATCTCGCGGCACGGGGTAGATGCGGAAGTTGCCCTTGAACTGACCACACTCCTCCGAGTCGCCGTCGTCCGCCTTGCCGCGGGCGAGAGCAAAGGACTCGAGCGTGTCGTTAAAGTTGAAGCGCATTTCGAGCTCCTCGCGGTAGACTTCGACAATGTCGCCAGTGTACTTTTTGAGGGCGGCAATCTTGTGCTCCTTGTCCATGTCCTTCTTGCCCGTCTTCTTCATCTTCTTCTTGAGCTTGGCAAAGACGCTTGGGTCGGGGTCGTCGTCCATCGAGAGGACGCCAGCGTTGACGTCACTCAGCGGCTCGGGCGCATTCATGCTGGCGGCCGAGGCAAAGAACTTGGTCCACCAGTCGACCGACGAGTCTTCCGGCTTGTCCTCCTCCGAGGGCTTCTTGACCTGGAGCGACTTGTCCACGCTCGCCTCGGGCGCGAGCACATCGCCACCCGCACCGCCTGCCACGACGGGCTTGACGCTGGCAGCGCTCGCAGCTCGCGAGGATCCGACATCGATGGCGACAGCGCCAATGAGAGGAGCATTGTCGTTGTCAACCTCCTCCTCGTCGGTGGCGATCGCACCTGCGCCGGGCCCGGCGGCAGCCCCTTCCACAAACTCGATTGCGAGCTGAGGGCTGTTGTCCTTGCGGCGATAACGCTGCAGGGAGTGGATGGAGTGGACGCCGACCAGTGGCTTGCGGCCAAACTTGCGGTTGTCGTACACGCGCACGTTGAGCGGCGGGGCGTACACCTCCTCGATGGGCAAGTCGACCTCGAGCGCAAGGAAAGGCTGAGCAAAGTTCGGGAACTTTGACAGGTGACGCAGACGCTCGGTCGAGCGCGAGATGCCACCGCACTCAAACTCAACGTTGGGCGAGTCGACGGTGAGCAAGCGGTACTTTTTCATCTGACGCAGACCCCAGGTGAAGACTTCGACGCGGCAGCGCTCCATGACGGGGCGCACATCATCGGGCAGGCGACGAATCTGGCGAGGCTTGTTGGTGAGCGCCTCAAAGACGTTGACCTTGGGGGGCAGCGGCAAGTTCTTGCCCGTTTCGCGCATCGGAATGACCTCAAACGCGGCCAAAATCTCGCCGGCAGGCTCTCCAACGCGGGAAAGAGGAATCCACTGAAGCCGAGCCGAGGTCGACAGACCGCGGTGGACCGAGCGGAGGACGGGCTGCACGAACGCGCGGCCAAGGAAGTCGTCCTGGCCAATCTGATCAAAGTCAAACACCTCGATGCTGACCTCGGGCAGCGAAGCAGCAATCTCCTGGGCCGTGCCGTACAGCATAATGTCGTCGAGGACGAGCAGCTGGTCCCAAGTGGGCGAAATGTTCTGCTCGATGAGGAGGGACTTGGCCGAGCGGTTGCCAAAGCAAATGCGCACGTAGGGGTCGGACAAGCCGCTCTTGTCCTCGCCAATGAGGTCGCGCGCCTGGTAAATGTGCGCACGAAGCTGGAAGGTCTCAGACTCGTGGAAGGACAAGCAAGCGCCAGCCGAGAAGCTGTTCTTGATCGGAGGACCGACAGCCGGGCTGCCGTCAACCAGAATGCGCTCGCGGCGCCAGCGACGGCGACGAGCCGTGTCGAGGGTGCGGTTTTCGTTGTGGAACTTTCGGCTAAAGTCCACGGCGTACTGCCAGCCGTCGCCAGTCTCGGCCAGGTTCTTGGAGCGTTCGTTGGCGCGATCGAGCGTGCGCGGGTCAAAGTTGGGATCGCGCTCGCGGGTGCGAATCCAGCGACGACGACGCACAAAGTGCACCTTCTTCTTGGACGGGTGCCACTTGTTGTCAAAGGTCACGCCGTACTCCCAGCCAAGCTCGTCGACAGCGCGGTTTTGGTCCACCTTCCACTCGCCAGCCCACAGCCAGCCCTGCTTGAGGGTAAACTTTTCGCGCTGCAGCTCCTCCTGGCCCGTCGTGTCCGACCAGGTCGGGCGGTCGGTCTTCATGACAGAGCCCCAGCCCTTGAGCGGGTAGTAGCGCTCATTCTCAAAGGTCTCCTCAATGACGACATCTTGGCCAGAGTCCGTGTCAATGTCGAGCGTCTCGGGATCGAGGAACCAATCGCCCACCCAGCTCCAGCCCGGAGGCAACTCGACCTGATCGGGCTGGCGCGCCTCCTTGCCGGCCTTGTCAGACCACTTGGGCGGGTCGACAGGCAGCAGCATGTCCGACCAGCCCTTGACGGGCAGGTAGCGCTCGTTCTGGTACGACTCGGCGAGCACGACCAGTTGGCCGCCGCCGAGGTTGTGCTTGCGCCACTTGACCTCAGAGTCGGCAGCACCAAACCAAATCTTGAGCTGGAGACGCGCGGGAATGACGCTCTCGGCCTTCTTCTTCGGGTCGGCGGTCGGCGAAATGAGCGTGACGGCGCGCGCCACACCAAAGAATTCACCACGCTCATCGACGCGATCGGCAAACAGAACGTCCGACACGGGGATGCGAACGTACGCCTTGCGCTTCTTGTCGCTAATCATCCAGATGATAATGTCGGGAATGCAGGCCTGGCTCTCGGTGGCCGTGTCGCTGAGGCGGGCGGCAATGTCGCGCAACGCCTCGATGGCCTCGAGTGGGGTGCGAAGGTTTTGCGACAGGGCGTCACGCACTTCTTGGGCATTCTCGGCAGCCAGAATCTTCTCGTCCTCGCGCAGCTCGTGCACGTAGCGATCGAGCAGCGTAAAGCGGCCTTCGGGCAGCGCCGGAAGCGGGACGCGAGCTGCGGTCATGAGCGAGTTGCAGACACTGACAATGGATGAGACGAGGCTCGGCTCGGCAAGGCCTTCAAGTGTCACACCACTGTGCTTGATACGGCTGGGGCGACGATCACCAGAACCATCGGCGCGACCGCCAGTGGACATGACCGACGTGCCGAGCGCAGCCTCCAACTCGCTCTGGCGAATCAGGTCGGCAAGCACTGCAGAGGCCTTCTCAATGCCCTCGTTCAGCGTGCGCACAATGAAACGGACGCGGTTGAGCGACTGGAAGCGGTAGAGAACGTCTTCCCACTCAGAGTTGAGCTCGACGCATGGCTTCTTGCTGTTCCACGGCATGTACGAGTAGTGGACGCCATCGTACAGCGCAGTCTCGTTGTTGGTGGTGGACTGCTGACCGTTGGAGGCTTCCACGTCAAACTTGTTGCCGACGTTACCCATGCTCACCTCAAATTCGATGGGGTGCTTGGCAGCATCCTCGTCAATCATGCTGCCCTCCAGGAAGGCAACGCGGAGGCAATAGTCGCGACGCTTCAGGAAGCCTTGCACACGCTCCTCATCGGCGGGGAGGATGGGGCTCTTCGGGTCGGGCAGCTCGCTGGTGGCCGGGTTGCCGGTGATTTCAACAAGGACACGGCCACGGTAGGCGCAACCGGATTCCATGCCCTTGTTCATCAACTCGGCGTGATCGCTCTCGAACGTCTCAAACTCGCGCGGGGCGCCGTACAGGTTGATCCATGCAGGACCAAAGGCCGGCAGGAAGCCCTTGTCGGGATCGGTGGACGAGATCTGCGTGAGCGAGATGAAATGGGTGCCGACAATGTCGTCCTCGTTCAGGACAATGCCGAGGTCGGAGTCCATCACCTGCAGCTTGATCTTGTCGCACATGGACGGGATTTGCATTGGAAGGTGCAGCTCCTCGTTGAAGGTTGGGAAGTACGAGTTTTGAATGACCTCGGTCTTGGCCTTCTTGCCAGCAAAGCTAACAACGCAGTAGGGGTCGCAGTTCTGCTTGCCCGCCTGACCCGTGAGCTTGTCCAACTTTTTAATGCCAAGCTTGAAGGAAAAGTCCATCTGGGGCAAATCTTCCGCTGCGTAAACCTTGACCGCAAGATCGATCGGCTCGAGCTCGACGCCCGGAGGCCGAAGCAAGTTGTCTTCAATATCCTCGTCAGCATCGTAAACGACCGTATCGAGCACGGGCACCTCGTCACCAGGACCGACCACAAGAATGGTCACCTTGAGGTAGCCCATCGAGCCCTTGCCGCGGTCGTTGGGATCGGTGAGCATGACCCACTTGCGCTGCAGCATGTGCTGCGGCTCGTCGTAAATCATGCCAATGTCGAGCTTGAACGAGCCGAGGAAGGCGTCCTTGCGGACGCGGCGCGCATTGTACACGGACAACTCGATCGTGTCGTCAAACAGCTTGGCAGGCGACTCGAAAAAGTTGAAAAAGAAGAGCTCATTGTAGAAGGGGTGGTTGGTCGACTTTTTCACCTTGCTCTGCTGGCGCTGCTTGCTGCAGGCAATCTTCACCACAGGGTCCAGCGAGCCGATACCAGGCAACGAGCGGGCCTCGATAATGTTGATGCGGATTTGGTAATCTGCAGGCTTGGTGGAGAGTTTGGCACCGCCCGCCTTGCGCTTGCGTGCACGTGCGCTGTCAAAGAAGAACGATGAGTCATGGGAGTAGTCGACAAAGAAAACGCAAGACGGCGCAGACAAACAGCAAAACAGACCAAAAAAAAAAGAGTGGGTGGGTAAACTCACCGTGAGGCGCGCTTCTTGGCTGCGACAGGGTCGGTGGGATCGACAGGGTTGCCTGCCTCATCCACATCATAGTCACTGCCTTCCTCGCCAGCGGTGGTCTCACCGGCGGCGTCGGTCATATCAGCATCCGAATCTGCGACAGCGGCAGCAGAAGAGGACGAGCTGGCAGCCGCGGCGGCGGCGGCGGCAGACTTGCGGCCTCCAGTGCCGTCGTCGTACTTGAACGAGACCTTGATGCGGCCTTGGGTGGGAGCGTTCCCCTTGTCGAGGAGCGAGTACCACGCCTCGTGCTCAAACTTCTTTGCGAGGAAGCCGACCTGAACGTCGACCTGACCGAGCAGGCGGTTCATGCCGACCTTTTCATAGTCGCTCACGCGCAGCAAGACGGTTGCGCCCGCCTCCAGTGCGCTTGTCAGAGGGAAGTCGAAGGTCTGGTTCCACTGCGGGTTGAGGTTTTTCTCGACCACCTCCGTGCGCTGCTTCTTTTCTGTTGGTGTGTTGTTGTTGTTGTTGTTGTTGTTGTTGTTGGGAGGGTTTCAGGCAGTGAGTGTTGGCACGTTTGTGGCAGACCAAAAAGTTGTGTGGGATGATGAGTGAGTGAGGGGGGTGCGTTGTTGTTTCGCTCGTGTCCCGGCAAGCCAATCCATTCATTGGAACATCCATTGAATGTTGAGCAAAAAAAATCCACAAGAGGTAGGGTGGACATGGGTCATTGGGTCATGGGGTTTTGTGCTTGAACGAACGTTCACAAAGTGTGAAAATAAATGAGAATAAATAAATAAAATAAAAAATAAAATAAAAAAATGATTTTGAAAGAATCTTCAAATAAACAAAGAATCATCAGAAAAAAAAAAAAAAAGAGAACAAAGGAGAAGGAGAGGACGACCGAAGGGGGGGAGATGGAAGCGAAACACCCTCCTGAAATGCGAGATCGTGGAATAGAGCAGCATTATCATCAAGAGTGGAAGGGCGAAGGAAGATGAAGGATGGCAAAAAACAACGCGATCGAAACGGACAAAAAAAAAAGTGAAAGAACATTGAAGAAAAAAATTGAGCGAGATGATGAAGATCAGCACACCCCAGTCAGCAGAGCGGCGGGGGCGGGGTTTGGATGGAAAGCAGCACTCGACAGATGACACCGCCGTCGCAGGGTCGAAAGCAGTGCATGACAAAAGCCAGCGAACGAGAACGAGAACGAAAGAAAAAAAAAAAAAAGTCGAATGCCAAAAAAGAGAAAAAACGCATCGATCGAATCACACTCAAACAATCGCAATGCAGCAGCGTCTGGAGAGAGAGGCTGGGGGGGCGGGTGCAAGTGGGAAGGGGGAGGGGAGGTGTGGAATGTGGAAAGACAGCTCGGAGAGTCATAGAGAGAGCGAGCAGAGCGCAGCACGAGCGGGGGATTTTGAACAAAGCGAAGCAAAGGAAAAAAAAAAAAAAAAAAAAAAAACACCCTCCTCCACACTCGCTCCACTCAAATAAATCGCTTCGATGGAAGTGCAGCGTGTGCGTGTGTGACAGACACGGAAGGAACCCGCACCTTGGAACGTGACGGAGCAGTAAGGGTCGCTCTTTGCCTCCTTGTTGAAAAGCGTCGACTCGACGTTCTTCAAGTCCTCGGCTTGGATCACCGTCACTTTGAGCGAGAATGGCATTTTGATTGAAAAAAAAATGAAAAAAAAAAAAGAGAAAAAAAAAAAAGATAGAGTGAAGAACAAAAGGATTTCAGCAAAAACTGCGCAACTGCAACTTGAAAAATGGTGTAAAGTGCAATGGAAGCAAAAAATACCACAAGGTCAAAAGGACAAGTCAACGAAGAGAAAAAAAATGATGATGGGAGCTGACTGGGAGGAGATGATTGAGCGAAAAGTGAATAAAGTCGAAGTGTGGAGCGCCAGACTGACTCACTCTCGCTCAGCTCACACGCCTTGTCGTCAAGCACGCGACATAGGGATGGATGGCCCTACCCAATACGACGAAAAGTCACCCTGGCAGATTGGCGACGCCAGCAACCGCCAGCAATGATTGGAACGCGTGCTTTTTTGTTCACAGCGCATTTGCAATCATCAATCTATGTCTTTGTAATCTCGACCAAGCGTTGAGCAGCACAAAGCAGACCTGAGCTTTTGTTCAACTTTCACTGTAGCAGTCTCCCTTTGTTTTGCTTTGCTTGTTTTTGTGCTTTGAAACTCACAGCGCATGACGTCGTCCGAGCTGCAGCCACACGAACTGCACGCAATGCTGCAGCACCTGCGCCAAGGCAATTGCTCCTGCGCTCTTGTCCCACGCAACGCGACGTTCTGTCGAGCTGACCGAATGAGGAGCGGATGCGTTGGGAAGCAGTGCTCTTGTGGGAGCTGGAGTGTTTTGGCGCGCAACTCAAATGAACGCAAATCTCGCATAGATCGAATTGCACTGTTGTCTAACGGCTCGCGATCGTCTGACGCACCATAAAACAGAAACGCTTCAGGCACGCGAGCAACTTGTTCAGGAGCGGGCGACCTTCCGCAAGATGGACAGCGAGCGACTTGCTGCGAGTGAGACCAAACGAAAGCCCTTGCGAGCGAGCTGTTGCTTGCCCTTGCGATGACTCGATCTCAACACTGCCTGATCTGAAATGCACGGATGCAGTACAACACGAACTTGACGGCAAGGAGGCAGTGGTGGCGTCCCTTGAAGGTAGGGAGCACTGAGTTTCAGAATTCCGTTTCAGTCTGAGTCTCACTTTGCTTGGCTTGGACAACAGAGACCAATGCAGCCTTGCAAGGAAGATACAACGCTTGTTTGCAACAGCACAACATGTGAGCTGCTCCCTGGTTCATTGGGGGGGGGGTGTGCGTTTGTTCGCGATCTGAGTGCAAGTCTCGCTTTGTCTCTATTTAGGTTGCAAGGCGACTGCGAGCAACGCAGAAAGGCCATTACTGACCTCGAACATCAGCGCGCCGCTGATAAGACCGCGTTGTATGCGGCACGGTAAGCCAGCGGGTTGCCAAACGCACAAAACAAAACATTCGACGTGCAGGTTTCTCACGACCGCCGCTCAGATCTCGATACAAGGAGCAGATGAAGCGCCTCATCGACCAGCAGCGCCAACAGAAGGCGCGGCAGTTTGATCCTTCACTGCTCGTTGCAGCGAGTGCAGCTGTCCAGGCTGACATTCTTTCGGTCGAAGCCCCATGTAACGCGGCTTTTTTGTTTTTTTCTGTCGTTGTTGTTGTTGTTGTTTGTTGTCCGAAGCACCGCTGACTGCCCTGACAGACAAGGAGATTGTAGAACAGCGGGCACGCTTTGACCACTCATTGCAACCAATCTCCCTGGAGGCGATGGAGCCAAAGAGCCAAACATTGGCCATCATCTTGTCAGTGATGTTGGATGAACTTTGAGTATTTTTAATTGTCTCCCATTTGCTCAACATTATTCAACAATCACTTAGGCGCCACCTGCAAAAGATTTGACCAGGCTCGCAGTCCATCGTATTCGGCAGAACGTTCAGTCACTACCAAAAAAAAAAAAGCTTGTTGCAATGGAACTCTCTTTGTCATTCGTTGTTCAAGAATACAAATCAAAATCAACGCGAGCAACTGAATTGTACGCAGCAGAGTTGTCACCGCCAGCAACATACTTGCGAACAAAGACGGGCTGACTGTCAAAGTACCCAGCGTCCTTCCACTCCATCATTTGCGAGTTGGCGAATGGCCCGTGCACGTCAGCGTCAGGGGTATTCTGCATCTTGTACTCCCAGTGGACCTCGTCGGATAAGGTCGGCGGGGCTTGAGCAGGAGGGTTTGCCACGGCCTCCTGCGCTGGCTGGCCGGCATCCTTTGACTCTTCCGAGCCATCGGCACTCTGCCCGAAATCAGGAGCGTGGCCATGCTGTAGCTGATGCTGGATTGTATCGATGGTATCATCGTACACGTTCGTATACCCGCTCGCAACGAGCTGATGGGCTGTCTCGATCAATTCGAGCATGCGGCCTTTTTGCTCGGCAGCGGAGGCTTTTGCTTCTTGCGAGACGGCGGCCTGTTTAGCCTTGTCGCTGTAATGCTTCTTTTTGGCGGTTGCAGAATTCTTGCCACCAAGGCGTCGCAGAGCTGCCGCCACAGTTTCTCCGGGCTCTAGGAATTGCAACAACCGCTCGAGCAGCTGCGTTGCCGATGGACGTGCCGCGGCATCCTCGTCGTCCTCGCTTTCAGCGGCGCTCTCTTCGTCTGAGCTCTCCTTGCTCTTCTGCGCCTCCTTGCGCTGTCGCTTGGCCGCTGCAACTTGTAGAGGATCCCGCTCGTCATTGTCGTCGTTCATCAGCACATCACCGACAGGATTTCGATCGTCCTCCGATTTGTTGTTGCGTTGGTTGCCCTTTTTGGACTTGCGGGCCTGCTCTTTGGCCGCCAACCCTTGCCAATCCACGCTGTCAGCCCAGGCGTCGTTTTCCTCGTCCTTGTCCCGCTGTAGTTCGTGTGCGATGGGTCGACATGCAAAGTGAATAGCCTTGAACGAACGCAGTCACAACGACAGAGTCCACTCCCGCCCACCCACACAACTCAACAATCAAACCCTATTCTTTGAAAACGACCAAAACGCCGCACCTTCTTCACAGAGTAGTTGCCTTGCTCGTCGTAATCACCCTCAGCCATCTCGTCGTCGAGGTTGAACGGCGTAAACCGGACGCCTGTGCCGCCAATACTGACGCCCTCGGCCATCGATTCGCGCTGCCCGAGCAGATGCGCCTCCTGCAAGTAGTAGCGCTTCATTGCCTGCTCGTCGTCGCCGTCTTCCTCGCCGTCGTCGTCGTCGTCGTCGCCGTCGCCACGATCGCGCTCGTCCGGGTTGTCAATCTGCCCTGCTCGCAATCCGCGGTGCTGGTACCGCGCTCGCCCGTCGTCCGCCTCGTCTTCCGTCGCATGGCTCAGTCGGTGCAGTCGTCCATGTGCAGCGGTGTGGTCCGGCGGCGCAGCGTCGTCCTGCTCGTGCTCGGCTTGATCTGCAGCGAATCGAACGCGGCGCTCTGCTCCTAATGTCCACCCCAGCCAAACCCAGCCAAACCCAGCCAAACCAGTCGACAAGTAAGAAGTTAGGCGTCAACCAGGATGATGGGTCAGTGACGAAACACGAGAAACGCAAGGCAGCGTTGTACCGTTGTCGTCGTCCAGATCGTCTTCACGAGGACGCTTCTGAGAAGTCATCGTCTGAGAAATCAAAAAGTGGAAATAAAGACTACATTTGGTAACTATTGGACAAGGTGGCAAAACACGGCTATCGTTCATGACATAACTTGCTGGGATGTATGTAGATCGAAAAAAGGGTCGTGATATTCATCATCAAGCCTTCTTAAAACCGTGAAACAAGGCGAGCGCCTGCACGAGGCTGCCAGTCTGGCACTGCTCGAAGAATCAGACGATCAATAGACAAGACGAGGAAGATGCCATAGAGGTAAAACCAGGTTTTGGCAGGAGCCAGGACAACAGCCCATCCGCCGTAGCACATGTAAATGGTTCGCACCGACGTGAACGCAAACAGGGCGAGAACGCCATAGATGACGCGAGAGCCCCACAGCGCAAGAGTGCTCGACGGTGACAATCGCAGTGGGTGGGATTCGAGCCAATTGGCGCTGCTGCCATCGGCGTCGAGTTTGGGCAAAGCTGTGCATGGAGACTGCGGACGGGTGTGCTCGTGTGTGTGTCCTGGCTGGCTGCACGTCTTTCCATGCTTGTGAGCGTGGTGGTCGGCCAACGCGAGGGCAGAGTTGTTGCCAGCATGCTCGTCAGAGTCGCTGGCGTCGTCGTCGTCGTCACGATGGTCGTACCGGTGAATGTGCAAGTGCTCCAACAGTGCGTCAATTGGCACCCGAGAGGCAAGGTAAGTGACGAAAGGGAGCGTGGTCAGGAGATGCTGGAAGGTGAAAAAGTACGTGCCGAGCTCCGTGACGGTACGCCCGTTAATGACCATGCCGTACACAAAGAAAAAGCCCCAGTGTCCGCGAACAAGCTCGCCGACGAACAGGGGCAGAGCGATCAATGAGACTGCGTGCGCCACGAGCGCATACCAGACGGCAGGAATCTGGGCAAGAATGACCAGCCGGAGCAAAAAGATGCGAAACAGCAATGGAATGGAGTGCTTCATGTTGAGCCAGAACATGATTGGAACACGAGTCAGGCCGCGCGACGCAGCCTGGCTTGGCCGTGGGTGGGCCAGATCGACCGCTCGCCGAATTTGGTGCGTAATTGTCAAGATAAACGCGTCGTAGTGCTGATTCTGTTTGTAGTGCCGAACCAACATCTTTGGGATGACCAGAAGTGCTAGAAACAGAGCAAAAATGCCGTAAAACCCGACGCGAAGCTGACACAAATCACACACAAAACAAGCACCCAGAGTGAGGACGACTCAACAACACGCAAACTCAAAACCAAGCCAAACCAACTCGAAAGCCTGCGTTGACCATTACCACAAGGGAGAAATCGGTCAACATGACATATCGCGCCATCCAGCCAATCTCGGCCAAAGTGCCATCCGTCGAAAAGGATTGGTGAATGGTCTGCGTGCGGCCCGCAGCGTCTTGAACGATTACTTTCATTTGGTGCACACCAAAGAAACTGCGCGGCTTCCAGGGCACCACCCAGAGCGGTCCGCCGGTGGGAATGGCTTCAGGCTGCGCAATACCGTCAATGAAAACGCGCACACTGGCAATGACTGCAGGCGAAAAGGCAAGCACGCGAATGTGTGTGGACCGTTCGATGCGCCCCAGCGGCTCGTGCGCCCCCAAAAGAAAGCGCGCATCTTTGGGGTTGGAGACAACCACCACAGGCCATTGGTCGAGTTGGACATCCGCAAACGAGAACATGTCGTGATCAAATACCACCACTCGGAATCTGTTGAAAGCCAGAGTTTTGTTTTTAGGTTTTTTTTTTCCCCGTTTGGATCAGTAAACCAAGTTGCATCAAGCTCAGCACCATCCAGCAGTCTCACTTACCTTCGGTTGTCTTTCCAGTCCCCAACTTCCAGCTCTGCCAATTCGTTCCTGTGGCGCATGTGCAGATGAGGAGCGTAATCGAGGAGCGTGTGCAGGTGGCCGTTCAGGAAGAGGGTGACTTGGCTGGTCAACGAGCGAAGCGTGGCACCAGACGCTGTTGTTCTTGAGCTGATGGTTGAGAGAGGATAGTGCGCAAACGCGACTAGACGGTTCAATTCAAAGGAAGCAGCTCGTGAGAAAATCAAACACCACCCGAAAACCAAATCCACAGTAACAACAAGCAGTAGCACTTTACTCGTATGATTGTACTGCTCGGGTTGCGCAAGATCACGCTCCAGCTTGGTCATCGCTCGAACATCGAGCGATCCGAAAAAATTGAAGGGACGACGCGGGCCTGGTGTTGGGCAAGCGTCGACTGCAACAAAGCGGTAGCGACCAAATGTTGTCTGGTGGACGTGCGTGTAGGACGTGTTTTTCGAGACAGAGTACCGTGCAAAGAGATTGCTGGGGTGATCGAGGCCGGCGACATCAAACGCATCGTGGTTGCCGCGAATGTCGAGCCACTTGACTTTGTCCAGGACTCCAGAGCGGTCTAGTGCAGCCGCGTAATCCTGCCACTCTTCTTGGTGCTGGCCAGAGTCGATGAGGTACTGGTCCTTGGCGTCGGTCAAGTCACCTGAATCAGGGAGAAAGGACAAAAAAATGTTGACATGAGATTTCGTTCCTTTTTGGGGTTTGGGTTGATCAAACCCTCTCGCCCATTCATATCCAAAAATCCAACATGCCAAATAGGCGTGCAAGTGACGAGAGGGTCGAAGCGTAGGTGCGAGTGCGGAAACGTAACGCCGTGCGACAAATTTGACCCCTAAAAATCTTTACCAGTGACCACAACAACTGGCGGGGCGATGACTGGCACGACTTCCCGGCAAAAGCGCTCAAAATCCGACGTTCGCGTTGGATTTGCATATCGCGATATGTGCAAGTCTGAAACCTGTCAAACAGACCAGAATTCAAGAGAACTGAGAATCTGTACTCGTGTCAACAACCAACCCGATCCGCCGAGTGCCCTCCGTGCTGTTGTACTGCAGCACGACCTACATGGATAAACCAGAATACATTGTCAAAGACGTCGTCGGGGCCTGGTCGAGTGAGCTCGTCGCTGCTGGTCAGCACGCGTCGGAGGTGCGCGTCTGGGGATGCCCCCATGGCAGTGCCACTGCCGCTTGTTGTCGGCAGGGCGTACAGCGATGCAAGTGTTGATAGCAGCCAAGCAATCAGCAGCACTGGCGCTGCGAGCAGCACGACAAAGCGCAGCGATCCTCGCATGACCTTCGTCGTACTTTGAGCTCAAATCTCAGAGCAATGGGCCAGTTGGCAACCAATGTGAGGCTTGGAAAACTGAAGACTGAGCCTGCATGTCTTCGTTGTTCGTGATGGTTGAATCCCAAAATACGAGTACGAGTCGTGAATCTGACGTGGCGGAAAATCCGAATCCTCTGATTTCAAACGTCTCTGAGCATCCGAGTTCTGAATCCGGTTCCATCCAAGCATCAAAACAACCGTAACACTATAATGTCGTGCATTTTGCAATCACCATGTCTCACTCTCTGAGTCACGTCTCACTCTCTGAGCCACCATTCCATTTTTTTTTCCCATTGTCAGTCCTAATGCAGCACATTCGCAAGGGAGGCAACAAGGTCACCGTCTTCCGGGAATACCCGCACAAACTGTCCATCTACCCGCTGCCGCCAATCCAAGAGGTGTCGCTCGAGGAGTTTGAGACGTTCGCCGCAGACCGCTTGAAAGGTGAGCGACGACAGAAAGAGAAGCATTGGGTTGAGGAGGCACTGGGTTGAATCGATTCGAGCCCAGCGTCGCCGCATCTGGCATGTACTCCTCTGTGTCTGTCAAGCGGTTGATGTGTAGGTGGAGAGAGCAAGTCCTTGATTGTGGTGGCGCATCGACCGACCTCGACGACGCGCTGTTCGAAACAACAAGGTCAAACAAACTGAACAGAAACGCTTTCCCGCCAAAATTTTCTTCCCGCCAAAAAACAAAAAAAAAACAAACAATCCCATTATCTCGCTTTGCGACCGACTGCTGCTTGACTGACACAACATCCCTTGATGATATTGCAACTAACCACACAATCTCACTTTCGCTGTGGTTGTTGTTGGAGCAGTGCTCAAGGCGATCGAACTGGCCCGAATCAAGTTCCCAAAACGCGGCGTCGAGTACAATGGCTTGGTCAACGACGCCATCCGCAAGTATATGCCGCTGTCTGAGAACGACCAGGGCGAAGACATTGTAAGGCAGAGCACATCATTCGAACAGAGAGTACTCTGGGTTTTGCCCCCAGTTTTGTCAATTGCTCAACATTTGCCCCTCTCCATTGGCTATCTGCTGCAGTGCGTGGCCGAACGTCGCAAAGACCACATCTCCCATTACATTCTGCGTCTCGTGTACTGCCGATCGGAGGACTTGCGCAGATGGTTTTTGATGCACGAGCTCGAGCTCTTCCGATTCAAGTTTGTCGCCGAAACCCAAGCCCAGATTGTCACCTTCCTCAAAGCCAACGACCTGTCCTATGTGCCCATCCCCAATGAAGAAAAGGCGCAGCTGTTGCCTCTGCTGCAAGCTTCCGCAGGGCCGACAGTGTCGCCCCAGGACATTCTCTCGGAGGACTACTTTAAGCTGCCATTCCTGGCCGCCCTTGAGCTTGTCCGCTCGCGTCGCGTGTATCTGCAGGGCGGTGCAGTGTATGTGCCTCGCCGCGAGCTTGTTAGCATTCTCTCTGGTGTCTACCGCTCGCGTCTTTCTTCAGCATTGGCGCAGACCTCCCGAGCGCTGCCCAACTTGGAGGAGGACGAGCGTCTCGTGCCGCTGCTGAACGCGCTCGCCAAGCAGTACCTTGGCTCGGACTATCTGAGCCAGCGAGGACAAGTGACCGGTAACATTACCTCCGAGCAGGTGGACGGGCTTTCCACCACGTCGTTTTCGCCTTGCATGCGGAATCTCCATCAAGCGTTGCGCGGCAACCACCATTTGCGTCACGGCGGTCGTATGCAGTATGGTCTGTTTCTTAAGGTGAGATGGGGAGTGGCGGGCAGAGGGTGGAGTTTGTTGCCTTTCCCGATTGTGCGGTGCGTCGCTCACCTTGTGGTGCGTCGGTGTTTGTAGTCGATCGGCCTGCATCTGGACGAGGCCATGCGCTTTTGGCGTACAGAATTCACCCGCATCATGGGCGCGGACAAGTTTGACAAGAGCTATGCGTACAACATTCGTCACAATTATGGTAAAGAGGGCAAGCGCACCGACTACAGCTCGTACAGGTAAGGATTTGCCTGCTTCAACGTTTTGCAGTGTTTTCACACGTCAAACGACAGCTTCATCCTCTCATTGTTTTTTATATTTGATCCATCTCCAGCTGCGCAAAAATCATCACGTCGAACAACCCAGGTGTGGGAGACCATCACGGCTGCCCGTTCCGCCACTTTGATGCCGAACACTTGCGTCAGAAAATGTACGAGTACGGCGTTGCGTCGGGTGGCATTAAGGAAATCATCGGCTTGGTCCAGGGCAACCAATTCCAAGTCGCCTGCACGCGCTACTTTGAGCTGACGCACAAGCTGCCGCAGGGTGCATCGCCCATGATCGTCTCGCACCCGCGTCAGTTCTACGATGAAAGTCGCAAGCTCCTCGGCGGAAACGACGAGCAGCAGCAGCAACACCGATCACAGCTCTTAACCATGCGCGAGAAGCGCGAACAGTTCTTGGCCGCTCGCGGCTTGCCCACCAGCGGGTCTCCTGGCGCGCACATGTCCATCAGCTACGACGACAACTTTGATGAGATTGGCGACATTTCAATGGATGCTGCGACCACAGAGGTTCTCGCTGCGGCCGAGGCTGCTGCAGACTTTGACGATGCCGATGATATGGACTTTGATTGAAGCGTGTTGTTTTTTGCGTGCGAAATGTCCAATAGTTTTGAGTTTCATTGCCTGATTTTCGACTGCACACGGCGCTGAGACAGCAGTTCAATTTGAGCGGAAGGGTCAAGCAAGACGGTTTTGAGAGTGTGGAAAGGGGGGGGGAATGAAACGTAGGTGTGCTTGGTAACAACATTACGACGCACCAAACAACAAATACAAAAACACCGACAGCATTCACAAACACGAAAGGAAACACACACAGGCTTGACAGGTTTTTTTCCACCGACAACTTTACGAACAATGCTTTACAGTTGCATGACATCACGATCTGTCTGCAACTGCTCAATGTCGGCGCTCTTGTCAATGGTCTCGGTGAGAATAACTGATTCGGAAAAAAGAACACAAGTGAGACCATCATGAGAAACTGTGGCAGGATTTCTCATCCTCGACCGTTCTTCCAACTCTGCAAACCTCGACCACCCACCCCAACTTTCGTTCATTTCACTCATCTCACCTGTTGCGCCGCGCGGTGGCCGGTAGCTTTGTTCTTGTGGGGGCTTGACGTTGGCAATCTCGAAGGGTCGGATCATTTGCGTCGAATCCTTGGTGAGAATGCAGACGTCGACGTTGCTGCCAGAGCCCAAGTCGTTGAAGATGCCGGCTGCGATGGCGTCGCGCACAAGCTTGACTGCATCCGCCTCCTCCATGTCGGGTCGGTAGCCAGCCTCGAACACGGCCATGGCCGCGAGTGAACCAGAGCCCATCGTGACGTAAGGGAGCTTGTCTGTGCTGCCGTGCGGGTGGATGGAATAGAGCGTGGGGCCGTTAATGTCAACGCCGCCGAGCACAAGGGCGGCGCCAATGTTGCCCTGGTACTTGAAGAGCATCTGCTTGAGCAAGCGGCAGGCCGTGACGACGCGCGACTTTCGGCCGGTGGTCAGGCGGTGCAGCTCTAGTTGCGATGCAATCATCTTGGTGCTCTGCTCCGTGTCTGCAGCCGTGCCAGCGCCGCAGCAGTAAATGTTGGGGGCAATATAATGGATCTTTTGGCAGTTCTTTTGGGCGACAATCGTGTCGTTGGTTGCTCGCGTGTCTGCGCCCAGCACCACGCCGTGCTACAATACGAAGAAAGGGTAGTGGGGAAGAAAGATGATGTGAGATTTAGCATCAGGAGAACATGAAGTGTGTTGGCAGGGGATTGACCGCTCACCTTGAAGATCACGCCGCAGATGGTTGTGCCTGTCTTGGTGGCCTTGGGCACCTTGTATCCAGTCTCGCTGGATGCCAACCGAGCGTTTCTGTCAAAGCCAAGCACAAAAGCAGCAGCAACGGTCGTGGCAGAGTGAGTGGCAGAGAACGAGTGACAGAGAAGTTGTCCGTGTGTTGCCGCTGTGTTTCGTCCACACCTCAGCAATTCAATGGCAAAAAACAAGCGACAACAGCAACAAAACGCAACAAAATGACAACAACGCAAAGCAACAGTTGGAGTTGGAAACGGAAAACCAAAAAAAAAAAAAAAAAAAATCGAGATCGCGAAACTTTGGCTTTTTCCATTGCTTTTTCCATTGCTTTTTCCATTGCAAATTGTAGGATGGTTGCTAGTGCTGTTGTTGCAGCGGCTTCCGTTGTGCGTTTTTGCGCCACTCCACACGCTGGTGAGGATGGCTTAGCTGAAGAACTGCAAAACGGCAAAACGCAGCAAGAGCGACGGCGTTGAATGGAAGGCGAGAGTTCTGGAAAAAAAAAAAAAAAAAAAAGGCGTCCTCCGGCGCAGGCTCAGCTGGCTCGGCTCGGCTTGACTTGGCTCGGGGATGGAGGACCGAGCGAGTGGGATCAACGATGCAGTGATGATGATGATGGGGTGGGGAGGCAAGAAGAGGGGCTCGGACGGGGAGGAGGCGTTTACCGTGCAGTCAGATCGAATGTAAAGCCGCCGACTGGCTGCTCAATGGAAGTCTCCATCTTGAGTTGTGTTAAGGAAGGAAGAGTGAGAGTTTAGTTTTGCAGACTGAGAGGGAAAATGTATTGTAGTGAGATGCTGGGGGGCTCTTGCTAATTGTAAAATGACTAAAACTTTACTCGGTTGGTGTCATGTCGATCATCGAATACACAGCCATTGCATGTGCGACAACAGGGCCGATCTCGCCATGTCGATGTCGAAGACTTTGTGCAATGCTGGCGGTTCCAGCGGCCATGGCGGTTCCAGGTCAGCGGTCACGGCGTTCAAACTGCCGCATTGGTCAAAGTTTGGTCCGTGCCACATCGCCAGCGGATGTACTGGCCGGCACGAGGACTGCAACGACATGTTGTGTGAATCGCATCTTCACATAGTACGCCACAACTGCGGCTGCTCCTGATGTCAATGCCCCTTGCCCTGCGACATGAACAAAACTCGCCATAACGCATTTTTTACTCGTAGGTAACGCTATTCAGCAACGTCGTTTCCCCACTCTGCCAACCTTGTGCACGTTGTTGAGGAAAGTCGTCCACGCTTCTATTGGGAGTGACTGGACAACCTGCAGGCGAACGGTCAAGCCAAGAACACGCAAAAAAAATCTTGCTCGACATGTTCCGCCCTCACCAAACCTCAGAGGCCGATTGCTCGCCGGACGTGCACTGGGAAAGTACTACTCGCGCTTGTATGGTGTGACATTCCACCGATCTGGATGTTCTTTGCTTGGGGAGAAGAGCAGCGCTGCGGTCTGGCATACCGATTGCTTTTTTGGGGTTCGATGCTTTCTTGTCTAATTTTTTTTTCACATGCGTTTTGGGGGTTTTTTTGCTTTTGCGTTAACGTTCGGCCGATTTGTGTTACACACGAAAGGTCTGCGTTTTCACGGCGGTTTTTGCGTTAAGGTTCGGCCTGTGCCACACTCGAGGGTAGAGAACGGAAACTGACTCAGAGGAGTCGGCCTCACTGATCCCTCGACTCCTGTCACACCCAAACCCACAAGCGAGGTTGTTTTGATGTTGACTGACTATTCGCATGATGCACTTTAATTTGTACACAAAGGATTGCGAGCCAAACTGACCCGCACTTCTTCCTTTTCTGCGCGAGTTGCCGCAGATGGATTTGGATCGTTGGCACCTGCTCGACTATGGCATTCAAGCGAAAACGAAAAAACCAAAAAACGTGGACCGGCTTCAAACCGTCGAACAGCATGCCGAATGCCAATGCCGCGATAACAGGCATGGCGAACTTGGCAGCTGCGAAGAGTGGAATGAAGTAAAGCCCAAATTGTCGCACATGTCCACTTGTCAGGATGGTGCTCGCTTGCCTTATTCAGCGTCCCCACCTTGAATACAAGGCGCAGCTGTTCTCAAATGTGCAGCTTGTCGCTAGGGAATGTGTTGGGTACCTGTCGCACCCCCATCATCTGGAAAGCGCGAGATTCCGGATGATGCACTTTTTCGATCGCGATCGCTCCTGCCCCTGTCTGCCTGTGCTGTGCTGTTGATAGGCTGTTTGCTCACGCCGTCCATTTTCTGCAATCCTTTCCACAAAGAGCGGGTTTTCGCGGGTGCTAACCACAGGCTCGACCGACCAACACAACAAAAGAAGAAGAAGATCGCGCTCGGTTGAGGCGGATTCGCTCGCCCACTCGATCTCACCCTCCACCACCTCCTCCAGTGCCCCGACCCCTCCCCCATCCAACCTCCGTCCTTCGTTTGATTCCATGTGAATGAGTTGCGGCATTCTTCCTTCGAAACAAAGAACGACAAATTTGCAGAACAACCGCAAAAAAAAAAAAAAAAAAAAAAATCGGTTGCTTTAAAATGCGAAACCACGAAATTAAACAAAACTCAGTCCTTTTTTTTTCTTTTCCATTTTTGCGTTTTTGTACAAATTCATTTTTTTTTTTTCGTTTTTCCTGTTCGGTTTTTGTTTTCGCTGTGTTTCGTCTCCCTGCACCCCCATCTGTGATCTGTGTTGTTTGGCACATCTTGTAAGTCATCGTCCGATGTGTGCTTTTTCGTGTGCGTTCGTCTCGTTTCATTTTTTGTGGGATTCTTCGTTCTTTTCCTTTTTCCTTTTTTTTTTTTCTTTTTCTTTTCGTTCCGCTTTCTTCGTTTCCCTCCTCGTCATTCCTTCGCCGCTTCCTCTTTCGTTGTGGCCGCACTCGCTGTTCGTTCAGTGGTGGATCACGGGGTGATGCGGGGGGGGGGCAAATAAAACCCGACGAGCGTGTTGGCAAGTCAACCCGCAAACTGATTCATTGAACGATTCCCGCAATTGCCTTTCTTGATCGGATTTGACACGCTCCGTTCTCGCTCGTCGTGTCGCTCTTCGTGTCGCTCGCTCTTTTCTTTCAAAAACTCTTTCGTTCCAAAAATCAACGGCAACTGCAACACGTAAATCCATGTTTGCAGACGAGGTTGAACTTTACTTTGAAAGTGGTTTTCTTGTGAGAACGAACCACAAAACGAAAACCGACTTTAAACCGCAATTTCTGTTCCATGAAATTCTTTTTTTTTTTTTTTTTTTTTTTTTTTGGGAAAGAGGTTCTTTTTCTGAAACTCCAACTTGTAGTAAACCGCCGTTGCATTTACTGACTTTGTTTCTCTTTTGATGGTGTTATCGTCGCAACAGAGTTTTTTTTTAAAATCTTTCTTCCTCCAAAAAACCATGAAGCAATCGCTCATCGGTCGCACGACGGCAACGCTGCTCGCAGTGGCCGTGTTGGCGATCGCGACCGCGGATGCCCATTCCTGGATGACATGTCCGAATTCACTGAACGTGCAGCCTGGACGCGGCGGATTTACCACTGGCCCTTGCGAACCAACCACCCCTGGACAGACTGTTCCCGTCACGAACATCAAGGCCGGCGAACGCCTCAAGGTCGGCTGGACCTCGAACAACCACGGCGGCGGCTATGTGCGCTTGGCGCTTGTGCCCGACGCCCAGTCTCTCGACACGGCCGCGTATGCAAGCAACGTTCTCAAGATGGCCTGCTACGGACACGACCAGCGCCCCGGCCGGTACCAGTATGGCGACTGCATCCACCCTTGCAATGGGCGCGGTGCGTGCGCGTACCAGTCTGAGATTGACGACGTTGAACGCTATGACACAACCATCACCATCCCCACCAACCTCGCTGACGGCGTGTACTCGCTCCAGTGGGTCGGTCTTGTTGGCAACGCTGGCACGCCCTACTACTCTTGCGCCAAGCTCAAGGTGACTGGCGGCAACCCTGCCATGTCCTGCCCGGCGCCTGCCACCATCCCTGCGTACACCTGCCTCAAGTCGGAGTCTGGCGCGCCTTCGTCCGCCATCATGACCGGCACCAGTGCTGGCTCGTTCTGCTACCACAGCAGCAGCCAGGGTGCCATCGACGACAACATTCTCCAAGTGCCCATCAACGCCAACTGCGAGCCCCGCCTCACTTGCGCGCTTTCGGTCAACGCTGCCACTTGCCAAGCCGAGTTTGCCGGCGTCGCTGACGAGACCAACCCGCAGCGCACCGACTGCGGCGTCATCACCCCTCCCCCAGCACCCACCTGCAGCGATGGCATTCAGAACCAGGGCGAGCAAGACGTGGATTGCGGCGGCACTCACTGCGACGCATGCCCTCCTCCTCCCCCGCTTGAGGGCAACGACCCCACCACCGTCGAGAATGTCGTGTACAGCGTCTCTGGAGCGTTCTCTGGCGGCTGGAGTGGCAGCATCACCTTCACTGTCGCTCGCGAAATCATTGGCGGCTGGAACGTTACCATCATGTTTGACCAAGCCCTGACCAGCATCGAGCCTTGGAGTGCCGTCTACCGCTCGAAGAACTCTATCGGCAACATTCTCACCTTCAGCAACGCTGACTGGAATGGCAACGTTGCCAAGGGTAACTCGATCACCTTTGGCTTCACTGGCTACTTTACCGGCATTTCTCAGCCCATGCCCATGACGTATGCCCTCGTCTGTCTTGGCTGCCCTGCCGTCTCTGCTGCCCCTGGAGCTTCGTCCGCGACTCCTGTCGTGAAGGCGTCTTCTGCGACTCCTGTCGTGAAGGCTTCGTCTGCCACCCCTGTCAAGGCTTCGTCTGCCACTCCTGTCAAGGCCTCCTCCGCTACACCTGTCAAGGCCTCCTCCGCTACACCTCTGAAGGCCTCTTCTGCCACCCCCGTCAAGGCTTCATCTGCCACTCCCGTCAAGGCTTCATCTGCCACTCCCGTCAAGGCTTCGACCACCCCGACTGGTCCGGTCAGCACTTCGACCAATGGTGGCGGTGTCATTGTTGGCTACTACCCCGCTTGGGCCACGTACGACCGCAATTTCCAAGTTGCTGACATTCGTGGCGATCTCCTCACCCACATCAACTATGCCTTTGCCAACATTGCCGGTGGCAAGTGCGTTCTTGGCGACCCTTACGCTGACACTCAAAAGACCTTTGCTGGCGACGCTTGGGACGAACCCCTTGTTGGCAACTTCAAGCAACTCAAGAAGCTCAAGGCAAAGTACCCCCATGTCAAGACACTCATCTCTCTTGGAGGCTGGACTTGGTCTGCTCAATTCTCGGACGTTGCTGCTACAGCTGCTTCTCGCGAGACGTTCGCCACCTCGTGCGTCCAGTTTATGGAAACTTACGGCTTCGATGGTATCGATGTCGACTGGGAGTACCCCGTCCTCGGTGGCCTCGATGGCAACATTCACCGTCCTGAAGATGCCTACAACTACGTCAAGCTGCTCGCACTGTTCCGCACCAAGATGAACGCTCTGGGCGGTCGCCTCCTCACGATTGCGGCTCCTGCTGGTCCTTCAATGCTTGCAGCCCTTGACATTCCCGGAATCGCTCAAAGCGTCGATTGGATCAACTTGATGGGCTACGACTTTAACGGTGGCTGGGATGTCTCGCACGTCGCCCACAACGCGCCTCTGTATGCCAACCCCGCCGACCCTTCGTCTTCCCGCAACTCTATGAACGTCGATGCCGCTGTTACCGCGTACCTCGCCACCGGCATGCCATCGAACAAGCTGGTTCTTGGTGTTCCGTTCTATGGTCACAGCTTTGCTGGCGTCGGCTCAACCAACAACGGCCTCTTCCAATCCGGATCCAACACTGGCCCTGGCACTTGGGAGGCTGGTTCTGTCGATTACAGCGACATTGAGAGTCATTACATTGGCAAGAGCGGCTATGTCCGCTACTGGGACAGCGCTTCCGAGGTGCCGTACCTGTACAGCCCTTCCACCAAGGTCTGGGTTTCGTACGATGATGCCGAGTCGCTGACTAGCAAGTGCGTCTACATCAACACCAAGAAGCTCGGTGGCGCCATGGCCTGGGATCTCTCCTCCGACCGCAACGTCGTCTTGCTCTCTGCCGTTCGCTCTCAACTGAGCGCTGGTACCACGACGTCCGCAACCCGTGCCGCGCCGGCTGGCACCAGCACGAAAGCCGTCGCTGCTTCCTCGTCCAAGGCTGCCACTACATCGCAGGTCAAGTCCACTTCGACCAAGACAACTTCGACGTCCACCTCGACCAAGACCACATCGACATCCACCTCGACCACCACCACCACCACCACGACTCCTGGAGCATGCGACTCGCGTTGCGGCACCGGCGTCTACCACGCTACTGGCAAGTGCTTGTCCAATGGACGCTGCGCTTGCATCTACGGCTGGACTGGCCCGAACGCCATCTATGTCAACAGTGCCAACAACGTTCAAGCAGACTACTGCTCTTGGGGCTGCTACTACTCTGCGGCGATGGCCAACAGCCAGTGCGCAGTCGATGCCTCCAAGATTGTGAACGTGCCCACGAGTGACCAGGCTGACGACTTGACCAAGTACTCGACCTTCTCGACCGAGATGAACGACAAGGAGTCTCGTGGCGGCCTCACCAAGCCCGACCAATCGTCGGCTTCTAGCAGCACTGGTGCAGTGGCTGGTGGTATCGTTGGCGCGCTCTGCGTCATCGCCATCATTGCCGTTGTCGCCACTGTCATTGTCCGTCGTCGCCGTGCAGACCGCAACCGTTCCATGCACAAGGGTCAATCGCTCGAGTCTGTTCTCGCCACATCGAGCTCCCACCAGCTGAGCAACTTTACGGGCTCGACTGACAGCATTACAGATGCGTAAACTGACAGCGTGCTTTCTCCGGTGTCCGAATGTTAGACTTGCGTGCGAGTTTTTCTCGGATACTCCACCTGTATACCTTATCCCCATTATTGTCCGTCCATGTGTGTGTGTGTTTTGTCTCTAGCTAGCGTTGCATTGATTTCGCTTGGCTTTGTAACGTGTTGCCTGTACTTGCAGCTTGCTGGCATTCTGCATGAAAACTGTATAACAAAAAAACAACAAAAACATTCTGATCACTCCTTGTTTTCCTTTTTCAAGTGTTGGTCGAATCAAGCATTTGGTAGAAACGTAGTGCGTCGCAGTGGATGGTTGTACTTTTGAGCAGTGCATTTGGTAGAAACGTAGTGCGTCGCAGTGGACGGTTGTATTTTTTGAGCAGTGCATCGGTGACATCCCCTCCAACAATCAAAAACACAGGGTTTAATCAAGCGACAGCTCGAGTGGGTGGGGAGCAATGTAGGCCTTCTCGTTAAGAACCGCCAGCGCAACAGCTTTAATGGCGGCATCCGTGGTTGCGCTGGGATTGGCAATGTCGTGCAGAGCGTTGCGAATGCGCTGGGTTGCGGCAATGCAGAAGGCGTTTGCCAGAGTCACCTCGTGATCTGCTTGGGTTGACTTTTGATCAAGCGAACGCGATGCGCGGCTCAAGACAGAAGCCATGCCGTACAAATCAATAGTCACGTCAGCCATGCGCTTGAGAATCATCTGTTCGTTGATGATTCCCTTGCCGTGCTTGATGACGCTCTTGTCAACGAGCTTGCCAAAGTCAACAACAAGGCGGGAGTACTTTGTGGCGTGCTCTGCAAAGCGAGGGTGAAGCGACTCGGACAGCTGGACTGCGCTACGCTTGGCGCGAGCGCCAGAGAAGAGACGGCGCTCGAGCTCTTCCTTGATCTCGTCCAGGGCGCCCGAAGCGAAGGGGTTGGTGGCCGCCTTGCTGAGGCGCTTGAGGCGCTCGCCAGCGTACTGCACGCCGTTCAAGGCAATGAACATGCGCAGAATCTCGTTGGTGCCCTCAAAGATCAGCAGAATGCGGCAGTCGCGCATGAAACGCTCGAATGGAAGCGACTTCATAAAGCCAATGCCACCGAGAACCTGCACCGCTTCGTGGCAGTTGGTCCAAGCGGACTCGGAGCCGTACACTTTGCAAATGGCTGCCTCAACAGCCGTGTCTGGCTCGCCGCTGTCAATCATGCCGGTGGTCATGTAGGCCATCGACTCCATGGCGTAGGAGCTCACGGCCATGTTGGCAAGCTTCTCCTGGATGAGGCCGAACGAGCTCAGGGGTGAGCCAAACTGCTTGCGAGTGGAGGCATACTCGGATGCCAACGCCAGCAGGCGCTTTGACTGGCCAGCGGCGCCCGCGCACTAAGAGATGAGATAAACAAAAAACAGGAATCAATGGGGGAATTGTGGTGAGAAAGGTGCAAAAGAATGAGAGCAGGTGTGGAAAGAGGAGCAGAGGCCGGGGAAAGAGAAGGCAAACAAAAATGCCCATCATCTGCACACAACTGGAACCGAAAGCAAACAAAAGAAAGAGGTCAAAACCACAAGAGGGCAAAGGACTTACCAAACCAAAGCGACCACTGTTCAAAATGTTGACGGCAACCTTGAAGCCTTGGCCAGGCTCGCTGAGCACGTTCTCGATCGGAACGGGGCAGTTCTCGTAGTGCACTTCGGTGGTGTTGGAGCCGCGGATGCCAAGCTTGTCCTCTGGCTTGCCGGAGGTGATACCGCCGAACGCACGCTCGACAATGAAGGCAGTGATCTTGTCCTTGGTTTCGCCAGTCGTGGGATCACGAATGGCAGTGCGGGCAAAGACGGTCATGATCTGAGCAGTGCCGCCATTCGAAATCCAGCACTTGGAGCCGTTGAGGAGGTAGTGCTTGCCATCGGGGCTCAGTGTTGCGCGCAGTTGGATGGACGCAGCGTCCGAGCCCGAGCCGGGCTCAGTCAGGCAGAAGGCTGCCGTGTGCTCGCCGGTGGCAAGCTTGGGCAGGTACTTTTCCTTTTGTGCGGGCGTGCCGTACATGAGAATGCCCTTGAGGCCGATCGACTGATGCGCCATCAGGGTCACTGCGATGCTGTTGCGAGCAAAAAAGTCAAATGCGAGAGAACGCCATGCGATAGATAGGGTTTGAAAGACCTAGCTGGAACTCACCTGCCATCAATAGCGATCGCTTCCACGACGCGAGCATAGCTGGTGTTGGACAGACCAAGGCCGCCTACCAACAAGCAAGAGCAAGGCGAGTTGATGGTGAGAATTTGAGTGTGGTGGCGCCCCAATCTCAGGGCGAAAACAGTTGACAGCGTTTCAGATCATGTTAGGGAGTGCAGAGCGATATCAACCCCAGCAGGCCTCGGCAATGATTGCATGCCCAGCATCGTTCGTTTCCAACGACATGGCCAGTGCCCTACTCGGACAAAACTCCAAAAAGCTCTGACCGCCGAAACTGCAGAAGCCTGCTTTTTGTCTTCATTACCATATTCCTCGGGAATCTGCAGACCGTACAGACCGAGCTCCTTCAATCCCTGGAGGGTCTCCTCGGGAATCTTGGACTCGACATCAATCTTGCGCGAATCGACCTTTTCCTTGAAGAATCTGATCATCATCAAAAAAAAAAAAAAAAAAAAAGTGAGATTTAAACAATTACAAGCACCAATCTTTCCAATGGTTGGAACGTCTTTTGAAAAAAACCACAAAAAGTCGTCAATGTAAAATCGCGGTTTCTCAGACAACAAAGTGGAGGCAAGGAAAAAACACGTGAATGGAGCGATCTCGGCTTTTGTGTTTGTGTTTGTTCGTTCGGTTAGTTACCGCTCGACAGGCTCGACCAGTGCGTCGAGGGTCTCCTTGCCGTCCTTGGAGAGCGTGGTTGGGAACGGGAAGACCTTCGTGTCGAGCAGCTTGCCGCCGTAGAGCGCCTTGCAGAACGAGTGCGTTTCAGCAGCAGCAGCGGAGGCGGAGGAGGACGCTTTGGCCTTGGGGGAATTAGCCGCCGGCGATGCACCAGCACCAGCACCAGCACCAGCACCAGCACCAGCACTAGCAGAGGCAGAGGCAGACAGGGCGAGCGAGCGCGTCAGGAGAGCAGCAGCAGCAGGTGCAGCAGCGACGCGCGGGGCAGCAGATGCAGCGAATCGACCAACAGCAGCGCTCAGCATGATGACAGATGATGGTGATCTCGATGTGAGAACAAATGAAAAGACTGCAGACTTCGTCCCTTGGCTTTCTTTTTCCCCTCTGGGTCTCTACACTCGCCAATGTTCAAGTCGTTGTTTTGCTTTCTTAGATGTTTAGTGTAACACACTTTTGACTTTTTGTTTCCATTCTGAGTTTCGTTCGCTTGCTCTGCTCAGTTCACTTTTTTTCTGTTTCTTTTGAGCAGTTGCAACAATGAGCGTCTTCCACGACGAGGTCGAGATTGAGGACTTTGAGTACGACGCCGAGAGCCGCATTTACATTTACCCGTGCCCATGCGGCGACAAGTTCCAAATCACACTGGTAACCAACAGTCTGAGTGTCGGAGAAGTCAGAGTTCGCAGAATGACGTCAAAAGCACTCGTGCTGACGCAACTTCCCCCGCTCAACGACATGTTGCTTTGGTTCTATTCCTTGCTGCTTCGCTATTTTGCTCATAAAACAGGAGGAGCTGCATGACGGTGAGGACGTGGCGCGGTGTCCGAGCTGCTCGCTGCTCGTCAAGGTCATTTTCAACCCCGTAAGTCTCGCTGCTGCTGCTGTCGCCTCTTTTCCCCCAATGCCGGGGTTGAGTTTGGGTTTGGTCTTGGCCGCAGTCACAGCACACATTGCGCTGCGTTGCTCTGTGCTCTGTGGAGAGTGTCGGAGCTTCAATGCGCTGCCCATGTGCGACTTTCACCCACAAACTCATTCACGACCGTTGCATTCGAGTCATGAGGTGTTGCTCACTTTTGTATTGCATTTTACTGTGTTGTGGTTGTTATTGTGGTTTTTTGGCTCGTCGGGGTTTGGGTTGCATTGTTATTAGGACAACTTGCCGGCGCTCGACGACTCAGACGCAAGCACTGCGCCACCGAACGCGCCCGCTCCAGTCGCCGTGCATTAGGCAGCATTTGGAAATTGGAGACCGCGCAAAACCCCAACCGACTGTTGGTGAAAGGCTCGTTTCCGACGTGATTTGTACATTATTATGTGGATTGCTTGAATTGAATCGTTTGAGTGCTGAAAGAGTGTTGGGGATTCAGAGTATTGAGTTCAATAACAACCCAACATTCTTCCTCTCCTTCACCGTCGCAAGAGTAAGACAGAATGGGGGAGGTTGGTTTGAAAAAAAATGGTACTGTTTACAAGAAAGAAAAAAATCTGCCGCTCAGAACTTGACAGAAATCGCTTCGTCTGCTCGGTCTTTGAGATGCTTTGCAACCCGTGTGTTCATGAACAAGAGCTGGCCCTGTGGAATGTACTCGTGTATCAAGCCGCCAATCTCCTCTGGCTTGAGCAAAGCCTGTGCGCCAGAGAGAGAGAGAGAGAGAGAGAGGTGAGCGACTGCAAGGCCAACAGACCCGAAATACAATCACACTACAACAACCCGCTAGCTATACCTCCAGCGGTTGCTCGAGAATGGCTGCATTCTTGAACAAATCCTCAATCCGGGAGGTGACGGCGGCCAGCACCGAGCCAGCAAGAGTGCGGTTTTCGTGCGAGTCCAAAATCAACACGGAAGCGAGACTGTTGGACAGACCCATTCCGTCAAACGCAAGCAAAATGAGGGCATGAGTGGGTTGATGGGGAGGAGGAAGCTTCGAGAAGCATAGTAGGGCTTGTACCTTGCCATGCATTGCCATACTACAATCTTGGGCTCGAAAAACAACTGGCTGACCGGTAGCGAGAACAATCCTTTCTCCCGGCGTCTGCAAACACAGCAATGAGAGATGAGCGCGGCTTTGTTGCACCCCAAAACAATACAATTCTTCAACTTTATTTCGGTTCCAGCTCTTTGACTTACTTGTCTGAGTCGGCAGTCGAAAACTCGGGAGCTGATCCACCCAGAATTTCAGCCGCAGTGCTCGTCTGACCACCGCCTGCACCGCTGCCCGCTGAGAATCCTGCAAATCCGCCGCTTGAACCACTCGACGACGCCGAGCACGCCCTTCGGAAGACGACCTCCGACTGAAACACAGAAAACAATCGTTCAGGATCAGAGTGAGAGAATGAAACCCAGAATCAATTTCCCCACGAATGCTCCACAAACTCAACCATACACCGTATCGTGTATGTGTCTGTGTCTGCGTGGTTGGTTACCTGAACGCGACGAACGACAAGAGCGACGCGCTGCTGCCAAAGCGAGGCGACGGAATCAATGACCGCCTGTTGCGGCTGCTGCTGCTGTGGATGAGGATGAGGATGATGATGCTGCTGAAGCTGGATCTGGGGCTGAGGTTGCTGTGATGATGATGAGGATGATGAGGATGAGGATGAGGATGGGAAGAGCGGCTGACTGATGGGCGATCCGGACGAAGCGCCGTCCCAGCCGAGTCCGCCGACGCCGCGATGGCCAACAGCACCACCACCAGCAACAGGGTTGGCGCCTGTGGTGGCGGCGGCGGCGGCGGTGGCAGCAGCAGCAGGAAGAACGAGCGGCGGCAACGCAAAGGTCAGCTCGCGGTCAAAGCGCTCAAAGTGGACGCACTCTGGCGGCTCTGCTGCGACATTGACGAGCAGAATGGCAACCACCATTAGTTATTGTAAGAGTCGAGAGGGGGAGAGGGCGAGGGCGAGGGCGAGGGCGAGGGCGAGGGAGGAATCAGTGAAGGCGGGAAAACTGAGATTCTAAGACTGAGTAAACAAAATAAGAGTGGGGGGGTTGGTTTTCAATGTTAGAGAGAACGAGAGCGAACAAAGGGGATCATTCAAATCGTGCATGGTAACTCAGTATGAAAGGGTCACTGAATGGATCAACTCTTCCATTGTGAAAAGACAAAGGACCCCAATTCGCCACCCCCCCCCCTTTTCGTTGGAGGATCGTCATTGTGCTGCATATTGCCATTCCCACAACCCCCAATTCTCCTTTGTTTTTTCAAAACAAAAACCATCACACGACCGCTTCTGAGACGCTCAGTCCCCATTTCAACTGCTTCCTTTTCTTTTTGTTTCCCGCCTTCTTCTCACTGCGGCTATTTTGGCTTATTCCTATTGTTCGTGGTTGGTTGATATTATTGTGAGCCAACGATGGCTGCGGCTGCTGCAGCTCCGTTGTTCCTGAGCGAGGCTGGAGCGCGCGGATTCGAGCTCTTGTTCCGATCGAGCGTCTACTCTGAGACTGCACTGGGATCGCGCGTGCTGAGCCCAGGCGACGCGACTGCAGAGCTCCTGCACGTCCTGCTTGGCATCCCGACATTGCATGTGCGCATTGCGTGGCATTCCACAGCTGACGACCTGATTGACGACGACAGCAACGACAGCGACAGGGACGGACGCGCTGAATTTGGCGCCAATTCGCGCCAGAATGAAGGCTTCCCGCGCTTTGTACTCGCTTCTGCAGCGCCGGGGATGCCGATCGCCCGATCACGGATCAAGGACGGGATGGTGGTGATGGGCTCTGATTCACAGCCATCACCGCCGGAGGGTCATGATGATGAGGACCCAAATGCCGCATCCGTGCGACTGGAAGGGCTCAGCGACAGCGCGTTCGCTGGAATCGTCCAGCCAATCCTCAACCATGGCTCGCTCGTGCTGTACCTCGAGCAGTTTGTAGCACGTGCGTCCAGGGCTCGTCGAGAAAGCCAGACCGTCGAAGCCATGGGGTTGGCCGTCGCCCAATTCCTCCAATGGCGACGTGCTGAGGTGCTGCGCGCCTTCGGACTCGATCCAGAGCTGGGCCGCGCTGTCAATTATTCCGAAGATGTGCAGATTGCTGGGTTGGCTGAGGCCGTGTCGCTACAACGGCTGCAACATGCCGCCGGCTGGCGTGACATGACCCCGTTCAAAATTTCAACCTCGATGCACGCGTTATTCCAACAGGTAGCAACTTCTGAACACACCACGGGCAAACTCGGCGCTTTATTTGTCATGAACTCATTCGTTGGTTGTATTGTCTTGTGTTTGTGGAACGGAGATAGACTCAGCAGGTGTGCCACGACTGCCGGGCAGCGCTGCAACTGTTAACAAACCGCCAGCAATGGCCTCCATTGGGATGTGCCGTCCTGAGCGCCCTCTATACCAATGTTCTATTGCTTCGAGCCATGCAGCTGCCTGGAGCGACCGCCAACCCTCGGCTTGAGCTCGAGCGTGCCGCGTCCAGGCCTTTTTTGCACTTTCTGAGCGAGTGGATTTTCCGTGGATGTGTGGCCGATCCTTTGCAAGAGTTTGGGCTTGCGACATCGGAAACTGGCAGCGCAGCACAATCCGAAGTGTACTGGACGCACAGCGTCACCTTGGGCCACTTGGGTCAAGCGCAAAGTGGCCAGGTGTGGCTGCCATCGTTTGCGGCTGAGATTGGTGCGCAAATTCTGCGATCGGGCAAAAGCATACGGCTGCTGTCGCGACTGACTCGCGGCCGTCATTCCTTGCTTGCTGATGGTGCCCTTCGTCAGCTCAGTCTAACTCCCGACAGCCGGCATGGCAAGACTGCTGCTACTGCTGCCACCTCCGCGCGGCCACTCGAAGATGCCGATAGTTCAAATTCGTTCTTGGACACGGTGATTGAACCGGCATTGTTGAGCAAGCCCATTTCCACGGATATTGACTGGCTCGCTATTGCTCGAGGCGGTCGGACTGACGCACTCGAGGACTCGAGCAGCGCAACTCCACCTCAGGGTTCCGACGCCCCGTTGTTGTTGCCGTATCTCCCCGTGGTCACGGCAGCGATGGAATGGGGCGAACGGGTCAACATCGCCCTCATTCACGAAATGTTTGCCCAGCATTCCCTCGATCGTGTTGCAGCGCAGCTCGTCGACTTGGTTTTGTGTCGGAAGGTTGACTTTTCCGAGGCACTTCTCAATCGGCTGTTTGAAATCGCAACAACGCGCCCTCCCGATGTACTTCGGCCAGCTATTCTTGCGCAGTGCCTCGATGATGCATTTGGAACTGCGCCATCTCGTGCATTGTCCGAGCAGCGAGTTCGGCAAAGTTGTGTCCTGTCCGTCCAAGCTCCGCGCTTGCTCAGCGACATGCATTCCTACGAAACGGGCGATGCCTCGCCGCTCGTAGCCTTGCTTCGGATTGAACTAGTCCTCAGTGCTGGTTGGCCTTGCAACCTGGTCTTTACCAACAGCGTCATGATGGCGCTGAGTCGCTGTCGCTTACTACTCATCCAGCTGAACTATGCCCGATGGTGCATGTCGCGCTGTGCAGACTTTTTCCGCTCCGTAGAGCACAGCTTTACCCGCGACAACAAGAGTGCCGCTTCAAAACAGCAGGCGCGACTTTCTGTGCGGCACGACGTGCGCATGCTGCACTACGAATTGCAGCACTTTGTACAATCGTTGTTTGCTTTCTTCATGACTCGACTACTGGAGGTTACCTGTCAGCAGTTTGAGCAAAATTTGAAGCTGTTTACTTCCCATTTTGACGCTCTCCGTGACCTCGTGCATGATTGGAGCCAGGCGTGCGAGCGAAGGTGTGAAATGTTGTCGCTTTCGTGTGTGATGCGGGTCATTTTGTTGGTGGTTTTTTTTTTGTTTTAAACTGACTGTTTGGAGTGGGTATTCTCGATGCCCAGCTGTTTTGTCTCTTCCGAGGCAGCACCCGCTTTAAAAATCCTGGATTCTCTCTTACGAATGGTCATTCAGTTCCGCTCGCTTGTGATCAATCACAAAAACGAACCACCCTCTCCCGCGGCGATTCAAGACTTGCACCAAGAGTTCCGTAAATATTTGCAGCATTTGATATCAGGTAAGTTGCATCGCGCAGGTGGACTGGCAATGACTTGACATGGGACCTCACCAGAGCACGGGACTAGCTTGCGGTACTTTGACAGCGTCCGGGTTTGATGTCACTCCGCTCGAGAATCTGCTCTTGTGTTTGGATTTGGGTGATTTCTACCGACGAAACTGGCAAGCGTAGGCCAACTATGGTTGTTGTTGTGCTACGCTTCGCTGTTTCTGTGTGATGTGCAAGCGACAGAAGTGCACGACTTTTTGTACATTGGTGTATTTGTAATATTTTTAAAATCCAGTATTACGATATCAATTGCAGTGTTCGTTGCTCAAGCTCACGATGGGCAAACACTGGCAGCACACGCGAACCTTGTCCTTCATATCGAACTTGAGAATCGGAATAAAGCGAGACGAGCAAGATCCTCGGCAAACAACACGACCACAATACCGGCAATGATGCTAACGAACACAGCAAAAAATGCGCGCGCTCAGTGAGTTTTTCAAGTCGACACAAAAAAAAACAAGCGGAAAAATCGACAGGGCTTTGTTGACAACCAGAGAGATGACGGCGAATGATTGAATACTATGCAAGTAAAACTCCTTACCCTTCGGTTAATGACAGTAAAAGCGGATCGGCAGATTTGGCAATTGGGTGCGGCTTCGTCAGGAATCCAGTCGGGCAGCTTTTGGATGTTTTCGAGCATGATATTGCGAAGCGCAGGATTGACATCGAGTGGACACAGTTGCTGCTTGTTGAAAACGTTGACGACAGCGCCACCGTGGAGCAGACACAAGACACCCTCAATGTCGTGTTTTGCAGTGCACAAGTGCAGTGGCGTTTGTCCGGTCTCGTCCTGGGAGTTGACCAGATCGCACGTTGCAGGATTGTCCCGCACAAAGTTGATGAGGTATTGCAGCAGATCGAGGTGTGCAGTGGTGCCTCCAGCAGCGGCGACATGCAGCACTGTTCGCCCCGCACAATCTCGCGAACTGACATCAAAACCTGTCGACAAAAAAAAGTGCCAAAAATGCCAACGCCGGCCAAACGAACGAGATTTAGTGATGCCCCAATGCCATGCGCATACACATACACAGTGTCAACAGCTCATCTCTAGCACCATAGCGACCACAAGGGGGTTGATGCGCGTACCTTGCTGAACGGCGAGTTTGACTTGGGCCAAATCGCCGACCATGACATCCGACCAGACGTCGATGGCCGCCTTCCTCGGCGTCGGAGAGGCAGTGAGCGCGGTCGACGCTGATCCAAACCGTCCCCCGACGGAGCTTCGACGGATGGACCACGGCGACTGTGCTGGCGACGAACCAGCCTGAATGGCTTGAGACTGCGCTTGGACGCCCGCAAACGCGGCCTGGCCATTGGCCCCGCTGCTGCTGCCAGGGGACATGATGAGCGGTGACAGTGACTGTCCGACCAGCGTGAGCGACCGCCGCGGGGTCGTTGGGTTGGAAGACGGTGCGGATGGCGGGGGAGATCGGACTTGGGCCGCTCCAGGCGAGCTCAACCCAGCGCCACCACCGTGCAGCTGATGTTGCTGCTGCTGGTGATGGAGCTGGTGCTGCTGCTGTTGAGCGAGGCTCGGGTCGCCTCCGTCGGGCAGTGCATGAGCGAGGGATTTGAATGCAGTTCCATTGTAGCCTGCCGCTCCATTGCCAACGCCAACGCCAACGCCAACACCATTGCCAGTGCCAGTGCCATGGTGGGTGTTGTTATTACTGTAGCTGTTAAATGCGGACGAGTGCTGGTGGTTGAGCGAGAACGGCGAGTTGGACAGGACGTGAGCAACGCTTGGCGCAGCGCCAACAACGACGGTCGTCAGCGAGCCCGTCGTCGGTGAGATGTAGTAATGGTTTTGCTGTTGTTGCTGCTGTTGCTGTGTTGATGATGATGATGATGATTGATATTGGGTGAGGTGCGTTGGCTGAGCTCCATTGCCGTAGCCGCTCAGCTGACTGCCAGTCATGCTGGTGGATGGCGGACTCCCCACCGTCATCACTCCGCCACTCGTGCCTGTAGTATGAGTTGAAGCAGCAGCAGCAGCAGCAGTGCGATGGTGGATGCTGCTCGGGCTCATCAGTGTCGCTGCGTTGGCTGCAGCAGTGCCTTGCGTCGAGTCCATTGTTGTGGTTGTAAAGTACTATGAACGCTCTACGTCGCTCAAAGGTCGCTCTAAGTCGCTTCAAGTCGCTCTATGACACTGTGAGATCGATGAGTGACGTTGGCTGTATGGATGAGGACTGGAAAAAACAAAAATCCAACTTGCAACCAAAGCGTCAATACAAAGTTCTAAGACCATTTTCCCCACCACACTTGTTCGCTCACAGTCTGAGTTTCGACCCCTCAATGCAAAAAAAGCTCACTCTATATTTCTTTTTTCTTTTTTTCTTTTTCTTTTTTTATTCCAGCCAACAATGACTCTGAGTGATGGTCGTCGTCGTGGTCATCAGCAGCAGCAGCAGCAGGGCAGTGGCGGTGCATTGCGTTTGGCGCTCGTTGTTGTCGCTGTGGCAATGCTCCAGGTCCAGGTCGCCCGCGCCGACGACACGCTCAACAAGCTCAGCGACAAGGTCTACCAGAGCATCCCGCTGCTCGACTTTTGCGCCATGCTGCTCGACAGCGACGGCGAGGTCGGATGCGCAAGTACGAACGAAGCAGTGGCTCGTCCAGTTCCCATACTACCACTCACTCACTCACTACCACTCATACACTATCACTCACCATCATACTAACTCGTATGAACTCACTTTACTCACTCTCGTCACTCGGACCCAAAAAAAAAAACTTGTAGCTTGTTCGCGTTCTTGAAGGCAAATTTGGAGTTAGATCAAAAAAATCAGTAACATTGGTCGCTTCTGGTGATTCTTTAGTTTATACTGTTTCTTCACTATTCGGTGGTCGTTTTCCTACTTTTTTCCCTTTGTTTTGTGTTTTCTTGACCTTTTTTGTTTCTCTGCTTCTTCTGCTTCTTCTTCGATTCGTGTGGCCTTGACGTTGCACGTCGAGTTGCAGAGACACGCCATGCATGGCTCAGCGGGAAGGCGCGGAATGGGAGAAACGCGAGCGAGAAATGCGCGGACAGTATGAGAATTGTAGCATCTAAAACCAAAGTTCATACCCTCTTCTCCACTAACTCCCCCCTTTCCTGTACCATTTTGTTCACTGCGCGTCTTTGCCTCTCGCCTTCTCACCGCTTCCGTTGTTGCAAATGCTTCACAGGCAGCTTGTCGGGAAACGTCGGTGTCTTGTACAGCATTCAGTCCGACGCCGATTTGAGCTTCTTCATCCACTCTGCGGAACGATCACCCTACTCGGTTGTCACAACTCCCGCGTACTTTAACCTGTAAGTCACTCACTCACTCACAAAAAGAATTGCATGGATACGATCGAGTCAAAAAGCATCACTGTGGCAAGCCGCATGTCGCTCAACGACGCCTTGCACACCCTCAGATCCATCATTGAACAGCTCGAAGCGACCGGCAAAATGAATGGTCTGATCATTCTGTCAGACGCAACGCGCCCGACGCAGTCCTCGCATGCTCCCAAGTGCCCCAACTGCAAGCATGGACTCTATGCCAACACGGACGCTGCGAATTACGCCTGGAATCCCGAGGGCAGCGGGCTGACCCATCGTCGATTCCAGTACCCGATCTACTGGCTTGGCTCGACGAGCGCCGAGACGATTCGCAATGTAGGTCGCATTGAGCAATGGCGTTTATTTACGGAGTTGGTTTTCCAATGCACAGCATTGGTTTGGTATTTTTGCATCCCCTTTTTGTTGTGGATGATTGTTTTTTGGGTCTGGTTGGCCTGCTCTCACCTCAACGCCTCTCGTTGGGACGCGCTCTTCCTTGTGTATCTCTCGTTCTTTTTCATGCCCACTACAACAGCGAGCCCTGAGCAATGCACCCAAGAGCGGCGTCGAGCCGGATTATCCGCTCTGGGCTGTCGAAATGAACTCGTTCATGTACGCTGGCGGCGATTCCAACATCTGCCTCCGTCGTGGCAGCACATGGTGCGAGCCACTTGGAAGCCAGAGCATCTGGGGCTCTACTCGTCCCATCCGCAGCGGCGACACATACGTTCTGGCCACCGCGGCAATCGACGCCTTGTCTCTCTTCCACAAACAATCCTTTGGCGCTGAAGCGGATGCTGCAGCTGTTGTCGCTTTGTTAGCTGCTGCTGATGCATTGGCCAAGGTGAGTTTCACACGCATGCGAAGAGGATGGCTTATTCTGGCCCAGCTCGTGTTGACTCCTCTCTAACTTGTGTGCCCTGCTTTGTCTCGCTCTCTTCCTGGACTTAGGAACCCACGACAATCACTCTCCCCCACAACATCATGTTCATGCTGCTGAATGGCGAAAAGTTCGATTACACTGGCTCAAGCGCCATCGCCAACCAAATCGCTACTGGCAACTTCCCTTCCGCCAGCAAAGCTTTCGGCTTTGACGACATTAAGGCGGTGTTGGACGTCGAACAGGTTTGTGACTGTACTTTCCTAGGTTCCGTTGTTGATCGCCATGCACTCTTAAAACCAACGCTTGCTTTTTTTTTCTTCTTCTTCTTTTTTTTTTTTTCCTTTTCTTTTCTTTTTCGCAGATCGGCCTGCTCGACTCGGCTACCGGCCCCATTTACTTGCACATTGACAGCAACTCGACAGACCCTGTTGCTGTGGCCAACGTTGCAAGCATTGTCAACGCCCAAGTCACCGCGACAGCTGGCTTTGCTGCCAACATTATCAACAACACCGCCACTGGTCTTCCGCCAGCCTCGCTGCAAGCCTTTTTGAAGGAGTCGCGTGGCATTCCTGGTGTGGTTGTGACTGATCACGGTCTGACCTTCAACAACAAGTGAGTAGTGGAGGTGTTGATTGTTTGTTTTTGGTGAAATTTCGTTTGCGCGAGTCTCACCCCCTGCCGATTCTTGAAACCAACGCGCGTTAAATAATTGCGCCCAGGCTGTATGGCACGCCATTTGACGACGCGACCTTGGTGAACGCCTCCGATGCCGCAACGGTGAACAACATTTGCAATGTCGCACTTGCCATTGCCAATTCTCTCTATGCGCTGGCTTCCGACAACTCTGGCAGCGTGCCCGCCATGACCGTGAACTGCACATTCGTTCAGTCACTCCTCACGTGTCTGACTGTGAATGAAAAGTGTGCCTTGTTCCAGCAGACTGGCAATAACTGTGAGTCGTTGCGTTGTCTCGGGTTACGCTGGCCTCTCGCCTATGATGTCGTTACTTACTTCATTGCTGCCTTTTTTTTGTTCAATGTCTCTTCCCTGGTAGTGCCATCCAATCTGCCCTCTCGTTACGTGAGCGTCTTCCGCACAAACACCATTTTCGCCTTCATCTATGCTCTTCGCGACGTGTTGGCCGTCGCTGTCGCATCCGACAGCCAGCCCTCCTTGTCGCAAAAAGCTTGCAATAATGCCAAGTTGACGTACATTGCTCCGGGCCTCTGCCTGAACACGACTGTCGCGTTTATTGATGCGCTTTCGCCTGGCTTTGATTTTGACAACTTTGCCATCAAGAACCAGCGATGGAATTTGTGGGCAGAGTCCGTGTAAGTGGCATTGGTGCATGATGACTGAATCGTCCTGGCAAGATTTCGCACCTCACGTTCGATGGATTGTTTGTTCGTTTTTGTTTGTTTGCATGTTTGTTCGTTTTGGTTGCTTCCAGGTGGGGATCCGACCCGAGCATGAACCTCTTCCTGCGTGCGAGCTACTCAAGTGAGGTTGTGATTATTGTTGTCGGCTTTATCATCTTGGGCATCAGTATTGCCGTGGTTTGGCCGGTGCGACAACTCATTCATAAAAAGTATGAGTGAAGCGTCAGTCTGCTTCTAGAAGCGTTTTGAAATACACTTAGTTCAAACTGATACGAAATACAGCTCAATGTGAAGGCGCGCTGTCAAGAGAACAATGTTTGCAATTGTATTTGCTTTGGTCTTTCTTTTTTTTTTTTTTTCTTTTTTTTCTTTTAATTTGTTTCGGTTTTTCGTTTTCATTTATTCTTCTTGACAAAAATTAGCAAACAAACAAGCTACGACAACGACATGATATTTGGGGGAAATTACGAATTGAAGAGAGATTGAAAAAGACAAAAAAGAGATCCACCCTTTTTGTTTTAGTTCTTGTCCTTCTTCTCCTTCTTTTCCTTCTTTTCCTTCTTATCCTTCTTGTCCTTCTTGTCCTCTTCCTTGTCCTTCTTATCCTTCTTGTCCTTCTTTTCCTTCTTGTCCTTCTTGTCCTCGGCGACCTTCTTGGCAGGTTGTTGGTCGTCTTCGCTATCGCTCTCATGCTTGCGCTGTTGTGTGAAGGAAAACAGAAGGGAAACGAGTCAGCACACTCGAGCAACAGAACAGAAACCACCACTCCAGTACATTCACATACCTTCTTGGGCTCAGACTCTCGGATTTCTTGAACAAGCGGCTTGGGAGTCTTGGCGGCAGCCGGTGCGTCGGTGGTGGCGGCGGCGGCAGCGGGGGCAACGGCAGCATCCCCTCGGTAGTCGACGTACTTCTTGGTCCAGTCGGAAGGAGTCTTCTCGTTGGTGCGGCCATACTTGTCAAGACGGCCGTCCTTGATGAGCTTCTTCTTCTCGACGGCGTTGGGACCAAGGCCCCAGCGGCGCGGGTAGGTGCCACGCTCCATGATAACGCGCTTAATCTTGGCAACAACGCCGTGGTCGCATGTTGACATGACGGCGGTGGTCATTTGGGCAATGGCGAGGGCAATAGCCTCACCCTTGGTGGTCATGAGAACAACCTCCTCGCCGACCTCAATGCCAGACTCGAATCGGAGGAGACCGGGCAGCATGAACTTGGCGCCAAAGCAGATGGCGTTGACGGCCGAGTCCTTGACCACGAGGCGCTTGTGCTTGACGAGCAGCAACTCGAGGGGCTTGACGACGCGACGCAGGTAGGACTCGTCGCGGTTGTTGTCGAGCTGCCACTGGGCGTCGAGAATGTCGTGCATGGTGACGAGGTGGTCGTTCTCGGTGAGGACACCAGAGCGAACGCGACGCAGCTCTTGCATGTGGCCGCCAACGCCGAGCAGAAGACCGAGGTGGACGCAGAGGGTACGAATGTACGTGCCAGCTTCGCACGAAACCCAGAAGACACCGAGGTGGCGGGAAGGGTCGTACTCGATCAGCTTGCTCTCGTAGATGGTGCGGATGCGGAGCTGACGCTTGACGGCCGAGATGAGCGGCGGGCGCTGGAAGAGGGCGCCAGTCAGCGTCTCGATGCTGCGAGCAAGCTTTTGCTCGTTCTCGATGGCGCCGTGCAGGCGAACAATGCCGAGGTACTCCTTACCGGCGCTTTGCTGGGATTTGACGAGGCGGGTGGCGCGATCAATGCACACAATGAGGCAGCCAGTGACCTTGGGGTCGAGCGTGCCACTGTGGCCCGTCTTTTCGACGCGGAGGATGCGGCGAATCCAGGCGACAACCTCGTGCGACGACGGGTTGGCGGGCTTGTCGAGGTTGAGGATGCCGTAACGCACATACTCGTCGATCGGGCGCTTGAGCGGCGAGCAGCCAGACGGGATTGGAGTGTAGTGACCAGTGCGCACGTTGAGCTGGTCATAGTTCTTGAGCAGCAGGGGCCACTTGCTCGTGTCGAGCGACGGCGCCACCTTGGACGGCTGCAGGTGGTAATCGGGGATGTGCGCGACGGCCGCAGCAGAGCCCGACGTGTCCACCGAGCCAGCAGTCGGCGCTGCAATCTTGGTCGCCGACGACTTCTTTGCGTGCTTCTTGTCAGCTGGTGTTCAGAATGGGAACAAACAAACAAACAGAAAAAGACATTGACAAAAAGTAAGTTAGCATGTGGCGATGAAGGTGAGGAGAAAGAGTTGAAAGTCAATGGAAAAAGCATTGAAACAAGAAAAAGAAAGAAAAAAAGAGAAAAGAAAAAAAAGCAACGTGGGTGATGGATTTTGGCTGAAACTGCATTGCGGGATGAGAAAACGATCGACAGCCCCCGCTTGGTGCAACGGTGCCGCCTGACCTCTTTGTCAGCTTGTTTCGGTTGCTGTAGAGCGTCGCGTGTCGAGAGAAGCGAAGGAACGAAGGCACTGCTGTCGTGTGGGGCTGCGGCCGACCTTTTTGGCTGAAACTGCATTGCGCGAACAAAAAAAAACGGATTCAACTTCTGGCTATATCGCTCTGGCGACAGACACGGTGCGTTGGTGAGAAGGGTGGTGATGAAAATTCGAGTTATTTTCTGAACGGCCATGGGGATGTGCTGGATCGGCTGATGAGTGCTCTGCTCTCTGAACTCTGCTTTGGAAAATCAAAAAAAAAAAAAAAAAAAAAAAAAAAAAGCGGGATCCCTCGTTTCTCGCGGCTTTTTTTTATCGCTGTTGGCGGCTTTCGTTGGGCGGTTTGGCGATGGGCGGATGGACCGTGTTGTGTGGCGATGCATGGCTGGTGCGTTGCTGATGGGGTGGATGCGCGGAGGTGGCGCTATTGAGGCGCTAGAAGTGGAATAATAGAAAATCACACAAAAAAAAATCGACATACACATGGTCAAAGAAAAAAGAGAGAGCGATCAATGAAAGAGAAGGAGAAGGGGTTTTGGTGAGAAGAGTACTATTGCGTTGGAGGATGCGAGATCAAGCAAAGCTCAAGTATTGAATAGGCAAATATGAAAAAAAGGCGATTGCAATGGGGGCGAAAACAAGGAAATCAGAGAGCTGGAGGATTTCGAGGTGTTGAGCGAGGTTGAGAACTTTTGGAAACAGGGTCGGTCTGGCGACAAGGAAAACGCTCGGATGAAAGACAATGTCGGGATCTGGCGGTGAACGATGGAGAGAGACGGAGGAAACGTAATAGGAAGGAACAAAAAGATCAACGAAATCGATAATGCGTTTTTTTGTTAAATCGGACAAAGAAGAAAGACACGTCACGAGAGCCGGATAAATAGAGCATGCGTGGAAGTACTCTCACCAAAAACAATCAGACATGCTGTCCAGTACTACTTGTGCGTGGGTGGTACAGTAAGGAGTGGATTGACCGACCAGCGTTGGAACTGGATAGTTGACGTCCAGCGCTCGAAAGAAGCTGCCTGCCGTCTTGCATGTACACGCACTGCAAGGCGCTCATCCGCGAGCACCAGAACCACTGCATATTGACTACCGACGATTTGCGTAGGAAAAAAACGTCGAGCGGGCCATTTTGTTCAGAAAACCTGAGAAACCGGCGTTCATCTTTGTTCTGGCTTCTTTGACCCCCCCCTCTCTGCGCAGCAAATATGCATGGGTCTCTCTGTGTAGCTCTTTTCCTTCTCTCTCGTTTCTGCGTTGGTGTGCTTCTGTCCTGCCATTCTCGCCTTTTGTTCAAAACCAAGACAAACCAAAAGCAGTCTTGATTTTTTTTTAATTTTTTTTTTTTTTTGGCTGAGATTTGCATTGGATTTTTTTTTATTGGATTTTTTGGAATTTTTTTTTTTTTTTTTTTTTCGGGAAAGCAAATGCCAGCCGATACAAGCACCCCGACTGGTCGTCGGGTCCGGCCGCATCCCTTGCAGTACGTTGTTCCAAGGCTGCTGTTGCTTCTTGCGTGCTTATTTTTCTTGGCTCACTGACCTCGAACGAATGAAAAACCCATCACAAAAAACAATTGCAATTTTGGCGCCAACTCTCAATTTTCAGCGAGAAGACTTACTTTGAGAAGGCAACGGACTTTCTCAGCGACTACATCCCGGCGGGTGGTCCTGCTGCCTGGACGGCGTCGCTGACTGCGGCAGTCACGGGCACCACGCCAGCATCCGGCGGCAGCGCGTCTGCCCAGGGCGCAGCGGCAGGCGCTTCCGCCGCTGCCAATGGGCGCGAACAGGTCAGTTTTCGCTGTTGCTCGGCTCCTGTGGACTGACTCCTTGGGAGTTGCTCCCCGCTGGCGTACTGGACCTCTCTCGTGTCTGCTCGCTTGGAAGCAAGCGGATTGAACGGGCAAAAGGGGCAAAAAACACAACGAGCCGGAAAATTTGATGACCGAAAATATGACCTGGCATTTTGAGCGCTATTGCCCCCCAACACTGTGGTGCAGTGAAGCGTCTCCTGCCACTACGTTGCATTTCATGTGATACGCACTGGGTGGGACGGGGGGCGGTGCGGGGGGAACACGGCAGTTTGGAACATCACCCAACACTTTGTGTTGTTTTTGTATCCTTTCCAACTTGAGTTCTGAGCGCAATTCCAACGTCACAAAAAGGGGTCGTCGCAAATGACAAGGAAGTCAAGTCCCTTGGAAAGTTCCCTGTGCTCGCTGCCTCACTTCTGTTTTCTCTCGCTTGGTTGGGGTTGGTTGGGGAGAACCGAGAGGGTGAATGTTGTCAAGGGTGATGTCAAGTTGGTCATTGATTTTTTTTTTTTTTTTTTTAAGATGGGTTGAAATTTCGCAACAAATGTTCGTATCACTTACCTCTGTCGCTCTGTTTGTCTGCTTGAATTTGTGCGACTAGGTTCGATGGGTCAAGATTCAAATGGGCGACTCGGGTGTTGTGGACGATATGTCCATGGTTGGCGACCGCATTTTCATTGTCGTAGGACTTGCCAACGGCATCCATGTCTGGGACGCTTCCAACAGCCACGACGGCATTGTGGAAGTTGTGTCGCGTCGAGACTGCTTTGTCAAGGTACAGCAGTGCAGAGATTTGCTCGAGTCATCTTTGCAGAGTGTGTGTAACTCACCATCCATGCACCCTCACCCTGCACAAAAACACCTCAGACTGCAAGCATCCTACTCAATCCGTCACAGCGCATCGGCACAGACAAGTTTGCGCACGTACGACCGCTCATGGCCATGGCTATCGATGCTGCGAATGAGCCGGCAATGGCTGGAACCACACAGCAGCTTCTTTCGAATGGTGGCGTTGATTTGCTTTCGACAGAAAACACGGCGCGCTCCTCGGCACCCAACAACAACGCGGTTGGATCCGCGCGCTCTGCATCGACGGCACCTCTCGGTAGTCTGGGCGAGTTTCTGCTCTTCTTTTCGTTGGAAAGCCATGGCGTGGTCGAGCGACACCGTTGCCGTTCTGCCATCCAATCCATCCAGTCCAATCGTCGTGTCATTGCCGTCGCCTTGATTGACCTGGTGTGCATTTTCCACGCTCACGACCTCAAGCCCTTTTTCATCATCCCGCAAGTCTTTCCGTCGCAGGGCCCAAACTTTAATCCCATCGCGCTGAGTCCGCGCTGGATTGCGTATGCCACAAACCGACTCTCGTCGCAGCCCATCAAGCCGAACGGCACCCCCACGCTTTCTCATATGGCCACCGACGTTGCCAAGGACATGATGGCCTCCCTGCTTTCGCTCGGTGAATGGAGCAAAGACACGGTGACTGGCTACGTGACGGAAATGCTTCAGCAAAAGAACGCTTCTGCTTCCTCTGCAACCAAGAGTGGCAAATCCGACCGTCTCAACCACCTGTCTCAAAGCCAGCGCGATCAGCTGAGCTTCACGTACCAGCAGGCGCTGGTGCAGCGTGCACGGCTCGCTGACGCCAATCCCGCTTGCATTGGAGCCGTGGCTGTTCGCGATGTCGTGACCCGGCACACGGTGGTCAACTTCCAGGCCATGCGACATGAGATTGGAGCCCTGGCCTTCGACCCCTCTGGCACGCTGCTGGGCTCTGCCTCGCACCAAGGCCACAGCTTTAACGTGTACAAAATTTTCCCAGCCTACCGCGCCCCGAGTGCTGCCGACACGGTGTCATCGAATGCGGGTGCGGCCGTCGACGAGCCTCCGCGCCAGTTTGTCGTGCGCCAAATCTACAAGCTGAGCCGCGGACTCACGGCGGCAACCATCCAGGACGTCTCGTTCAGCTCAGACTCGCGCTGGGTGGCGCTCACGTCGGGCAAGGGCACCACCCACGTCTTTGCCATCAACCCTTTTGGCGGGCAGGTCAATGTGTGGACGCACGCTCGTGCCAACGGGCACGGGCCGGCTGACGGCGCCCAGGCTTTTGTCTCAACGCTTGGCTCGGGCACTGCCCAGTCCATGGTGGACGACTTGCTCAAGCAACAGGTGGCGGAAGTCAACGCGCGGGCGAGTGCTGTCGCGCCTGCAAACACCGCTTCCGCCAACAACCCTTCTTTGGGCTCCTCGGTTGTGGCAGCCGCCACCGCCGTGATGGCAAGCCTGTCGTCGTCGACGCCCGCCGGCGCTGCGGCGGCGACATCTCCAAGCTCGAGCTCGACTGGCACCTCAACGCCGGTGGCTTCGGACGGCAGTGCCCAAACGTCGCTGTTTGCCCGCTCGCTCAACACGCAAGCCACTGCTGCCCAAATTGCGCAAATGCAGCAGCCGCACTTTGAATCCGCCTACGCCATGTACACGAACATTCTGAGCGGAATTTACCGTCAACACTTGCAACGGGGTATTCTCGAAGGCTACGTGCCCCCGAATCTCGACCCAGAGCTGGTCAGCCGAGCGGACACTGGTGGCTTCCCCTTCCCTCCGCACATGGACAACGTGCTGCTCTTTGCCATGCCCAACCTCTCACTTGATCCATTGGCGCGGCTGTGGAATCCTGCTGCTGCCGCCTCGGATCCCGCGGCCGTGACTGACGCTGCGGCTCATGTGTCGACCAGCAACAAGCACGGCAAGCCAAGCTCGACCCGAACAGGGATGACGGCGCGGCACCAATTGCAGCAGAATCTTGGCGTGACCACTTCCGACCGCTCGACCACGATGACTGGAGGAGCGGCTCCGGCATCATTCGCCGCCGTGTCGACCATGTTCATGCCAGCGTCCTCTTCTTCCAGTGGCGTGGTTTCCCTCGCTGTTGTCACCCATGCCGGTGCCATGAAGACGTATCACCTGGCGCCGTATGCCAAGGAGCCTGCGAATGGTCTGATTGGCGCGTCTGCGTCCGCCATTTCCACTCTGGCGTCGGGTCTGATTGGCGCGCCGATGGGCAGCGGTCGCCCAGCCCACTCGGGTGGAGACTCACCCGGTTCGGTGACATCCTTTGCCGACGACGCATCCATGCTTGCGCTTGATCTGGTTCCCGCCCAGGAGTGGGACTTGCTCCGGCATAGCGATTGGCCGGTGGTTGCTTGTCCCATCCGGCAGCTGGCCGCTCCAGTCAGCCGCAAGCCCATTCCTCCACCGCTCATGACTCCGACGACGCCGATCGCAACACCCAAGTGCGACGAGGCCGTTTCGCCAGGACCCCTTTCGCCCCGGGAACAAGACGACGCCAAGTGGATGTCCAACCTTGAAATTGGCTCGTACTCGATGAACGAGCGGCCTCTGTGGAAGGGACCGCAGTTTTCCTTCAAGGTGTACAGCGTGGCGCCGCATGCAGTGTTGCAGCCGTCCGCGGTGGACTTTGGGAGCACCACTGAATACATTAATCCGCTGCACGAGTCGACGCCCGTGTCGCTGACCATGGAGGACGAGCTGCTCGCGCGCAGCGTCACCATTCCGAACGAGGCGCCAATCCCCTTCGAGCCGTACATTGAGATGGCATCGAGTGAGTACCTGTTTATCGAGAGCGATAGTACAGGAAGTCGGACTGCAGTCAATGGCGGCAATACTCGGGCTCCACGAGCTGTGACGACAGAGAGATCGCTCGAAGAAAGCCTCACTGCCGCCATGGTCGACGCCGACGCAGACGCGCGCTCTGATTTCATTGCCGTCTCTGGTACAGTTGTCCCGGACGATGAAGGCGCAGCTGCCCCAGGCGCTGTGTCCAACACCGTTGCTGGTGCTGCTGCTACTGCCGCTGGCTCGAGTTGGTCGAGTTGGGCGTCCAACATCGCGAATCAAGCTTCTGGCAAGCTGGCTGGCCTGACCACTGGCTTTTCCGCATCAAAGCAAACGCCCGACGGCAGCAGCTCTGCGTCTGTCCAACAACAACTACAACAGCAGCAGCGAAAGGACTCGACCCCGGTTTCAGCTCAGCCAGTCGCCGCTCCTCGTAAGCGAACGTCACAGTCGTTTTACCCGGATCAGCTCTTGAGCGAACCCGAAACGGCGTCTGAATTTGACCAACAGGACGAAGAAGACGGCGAAGACCTTGGCGATTTGCAAACTGCTGCCTCACGACAACAACACGCTCCCCATCCCATGATGGAGGGTTCCATGTATCCGATCGATCCAAAGCAAGACATGGCTCAAGCTCCATTGGTGCCTGACAATCTCACGCTGTTTGAAGCTGCTGCCAGCCACCATTCCGGCATTCTTGGCAATGCGAATGACGGTGACGACGATGACGACGACGACAACGCTGTCGCTGCTGGTGACCGGTCTCCATCGCCGCCTTCTCTGATTGAAGAGGCCAAAGAAGAGTCTGCCATCGCGCCAAGCGGCGCGGCCGACCCTGATGAATGGGTGTCGGACATTGCCACCACGGCCGACGACGACGTTGTCGAAGCTGGACAAAGTGACTCGGAGGCGTCATCGTCACCGCCCGATCTTGTCGGCGTCACTGGCAACTTTAGCGGTGACCTGGCTGAGCCCGCGGGCTGGTCGAAAGGCGAATCCGAGCACAGCTCGCCCGCAGACCCGATGGCATTGTCGCAAGATTCCGCGCCCTCTCCCCCTCAAGATGTCGAGTCACCTGAGCATGATGACCAAGACGAGGGTGACGAAACGCCAGAACAAGCAAACAATGCTGTTTCCAGCGGCAGCAGCAACAGCGCTGGCGGCGGTGGCGGCGGCGGCTCCTCCTCTGCAAAACATCGTGGCCACTCTTCGCGCAAATCCAACAAGAAACGCTGTGCGCGTCGTGGAGCGTCAAACACCACCAAAGCCTAAAAAAACTTCAAGTTGAAAAAAAGCCAACCTACATCAAGGTTTAAACTCAACCTACCTTCGAAAGATTAAAAAAAAAAAACGTTTGTCGTTTGTGTTGTCAATGTGCGCTTGAGCTCACTTTTTTTTTTTTGTTGTTGTTGTTGTTGTTGTTGTCGTTGTCGGGAATGTCGGTGTGGTTATGTGTAACTCACTGTATGCTTAGCAGAAATAATCACCGTGTACGTTGCATTCGACTCGAATACTTTTTGAAAATAAACGAACGAATCAAATCATTTCAACAATGCAAAAAGAGTCTGTAAATGTTTATGGCAGATGAAAAGGGGTGGGCCAGGACAACAGCTTGTGCATGCAAAGCAATAGCGACGACACGAGCAACACAAAGATTGCAGCCAAAAAAAAAACAAATGCCGCAACTATTCGCCCAGTCGAACAACGTTAATCCAAATCTCCTTTTCCTTCTGTCGAGGTCCGGAGCGGGTGGGCGGAGTTGCCGGGCGCTCTTGTTCCTCTTCCTCAACCATATCTTCAATGAACAAGGAGACGTGCTCGCGGGTTGTCGGATGCACCAGCACATTGCGATCGACATTCAGCAACATCTCGGAATCCGGCACGGAATGCGCAAAGCGGCTCGAGTGCAGGATGTCGATCGCTGGGTCGCCTTCAGAACGGAGACCACGACCGCTGTCTTGTTCATAAAAGTCTTCGCTATCCATGTCATCCATGTCAGCGCTTCCCTTTGTAACGCCGACCGCTTGCTGGATGTCCGAGAGCTGCTCCTCGACCTCCTGCACTTGTCGCTTGAGATCTGCCTCAAACTCGTCGTTCTCGGCATCCTCGCCATCGAGCTCGCTTCTGTTGTAGGGCTCGGTGCTGGCCTCGAACTCTTCTTCTTGGTCTGCTGCTTCCTGCATCATATCGAACGGATCGGCCATCTGGGACGATGCGAGGGGGTGCTCCTGCATGGCACTCAGGGTGGCGGGCATCGAAACGCGGGCGACATGCGCTTGACGCTGAGCACCAATAGAATCGGCAATGACGGCTTGCAACTCCTTGGTCGACTGGATGCCCTTGAGCAGTTGGTGGGACGCATGTGCGGCCGGCTTGAGCGACTTGTGCAAGGCTCGCGGCGGGCGGCCCGCGGTCAGCTCTGGGTGCAGCTGCATCGATGTTTGTACAATCTGCTCCAGGTTTGCAGCTCGAGTGCTGCGCTTGGAGCCCTGGTGGCGGGCGATCGTACTTGCAAAGACGCCAACGACGCTCGCGGCAGGCACTTGGAACCGCGCCAGGCCGAGCGCGGACGTTGGCTTGGTCTTTGTCTGGCCCTGTTCCGCCTGCGTCGATGTGGAGGATGATGATGATGATGAAGGGGATGAAGGGGATGATGGAGAGGCGGGCGGCGTGGTGGTCTTGCCGCGGGATGAGGCCTTGCGAGGCTGCGCCTTGGTCTGCTTCTTGTTGCCTGCTGCTGCTGCTGCTGCTGCTGCTGCTGCTGCGACTGAGGCGACCGGCACTGTGGATGACGATCGGGTTGCTGCAAGTGTGGTGGCTGCTGCAGTGAAGGTGGTGGTGATGGTGGCAATGTGCCGTCCGCTGGTAAGGCAAACTCGAGCTCTTGCTGCTGCGAGAAGCATGGTTTGGAAAAAAAAAAAAAGAAAAAAAAAAGTGGGAGAAAACGATTGAGAGACTGAGAAAAAAACGGTTGAGATATTGATGGATTGATAGATTGATAGATTGATAGATTGATGGATTGATGGATTGATAGATTGATGGAAAGAAACGGAGATGGATGGTACGGATTTACTGTATAAGGGGCTGTTTTTTTAAAAAGGTAGAATCGCCATGTCTTTCACTCCCATCGCGTCGCTGAGCTCTGCAATTGGTTTCCCCTGCCCTGCAACCCCCGCCCGAGAGAGTAGACCATGTGTCCATGCCACTCGGTGCATCAGACCACACGCCGCTGTCTCGCCGGCGCCTGTACGGCCGCGAGAAGGTGTGACGGTCAACGCAACCTCGTCGCAGCAGATCAGTGTCAGCGGGCTGCCACACCACATCAAATAATTCTTTAGATCGGAGATCGGGACAATGGCTGGTAGGGGCAGGAGGAGCCGGAAGCTGAGAGAGTGCATAAAACAGTTCAGCACTCGGTTTGGACATGCAAGAGTTTTTTTTTTTTTTTTTTTTTTTGTAACCAAGTGTGCTGGGGCTAATCGCCCTCTACTGCGGCCCGATTATTGTTGGACAAGATGAACCCGCAACAGAATGTAGCAGTGGCACAGATTGAGGGCTGGGAAAAGCTTGGCTGAGAAATCACACCGCGCACAAACCGCTCCTTTTCTCGCTCCGCCCCGCCGCCCAACGCACTTCCGCTGCGCCCCCGACCCTCGAGCACACTGATGGCATGGTGTAAACCACACAATCAGAGCACCAGCGACGGAAAGCGACGTAGGACACGGTGGTGGATATGAACGACATATTTTGGGGGGTTCACTCTACCTTTTTAAAAAAACAGCCTCATAAATCTGAGATGAATTGGTGAAAATGCATGTTCTGAATCGGCGCTTCTGCTCTGTCGTACGTTGCCACCACAGTATTTGGAAAGAGTAGAGAAGACAAAAACAAGTCGCACTGGGATGGTCGATGAGGGGACAGTCCTTGTCGTTTAGCTGTGTTTGATTTCAAAATGCTGGCTTATCAGAATATGAATCAGAGACAGCGTCAGTTCTATGATCAAGTCAAGAATGCGAGTGGACAGCTCAAGTAAGAGAGAAGCCCGAGTTGATTGGAACACAGGTGTTGACAGCGCGAGTGTGTGTGCTGACGAGAGTGGAGGGGAACAGTCTGGAAAGGAGGCAGATTGGCGATGAAGAAGCGAAGGCGATTGCTGAGGCACTCAAAGTGAACAAGACGCTGACTTATCTCGAGTAAGGCATCTCATTTTCAGTGAAGCATCTGAATGGGCGATCTTAACAGAAAACATAAAGAGTGCTCACTGATGGAGGGGCCCGACAGTCTGCACAACAATCAGATTGGCGATGTTGGAGCGCTCGCTTTCGCTGAGGCACTCAAAGTGAACAAGGCGCTGGCTGAGATCCGGTAAGTCAACTCACTCTTGCTGGTGCATGTGAGTGGGTTATTCAGAAGAGTGCTCACTGATGGGGGGGGGGAGAAACAGTCTGTGGGCGAATCAGATTGGCGAAGTTGGAGCGCAGGCGATTGCCAAGGCACTCAAAGCGAACACAACGCTTGGCACGCTCTAGTAAGGCATCGTACTCTTGCTGGTGCATGCGAGTGAGTGATTCAGTAGAGTGCTCACCGATGGAGGGGATGTGGACAGTCTGGGTGAGAATCAGCTTGGCGATGCTGGAGCGCAGGCGATTGCTGAAGCACTTCAAGTAAACACGACGCTGCCCAAGCTCTAGTAAGGCATCTCACTCTTGCTGGTGCATGCGAGTGAGTGATTCAGTAGAGTGCTCACTAATGGAGGGGATGTGGACAGTCTGCGTGAGAATCAGATTGGCGATGTTGGAGCGCAAGCGATCGCTGAGGCACTCAAAGTGAACAAGACGCTGACTACGCTCTCGTAAGGCATCTCACTTTGACTGATACATGAGAGTGGGTGAATCAGAAGAGTGCTCACTGATGGAGGGGATAAATAGTCTGTACCAGAATCAGATTGGCGATGTTGGAGCGCAAGCGATTGCTGAGGCACTCAAAGTGAACAAGACACTGACCGAGCTCAGGTAAGACATCTCTTTTTGACTGTTGCATGAAAGTTGGTGATTCAGAAGAGTGCTCACCGATGGAGGGGATGGACAGTCTGTGGCAGAATCAGATTGGCGATGTTGGAGCGCAAGCGATCGCTGAGGCACTCAAAGTGAACACGACGCTGAAGCAGCTCTAGTAAGGCATCACTTTGACTGATGGATGAGAGTGGGTGATTCAGAAGAGTGCTCACCGATGGTGGGGATGGACAGTCTGTGGCAGAATCAGATTGGCGATGTTGGAGCGAACGCGATTGCTGAAGCACTCAAAGTGAACAAGACGCTGACAAGGCTTGAGTAAATATCGATCGCTTCACGATGCTCTGACAGCCGTTAGACTCATGCTCCAATCTGACGATGTAATTGACAACAACAACAGTTTGTACAAGAATCAGATTGGCGATGTTGGAGCGCAAGCGATTGCTGAGTCGCTCAAAGCGAACACAACGCTTGGCACGCTCTCGTAAGGCATGACTGGTGCATGTGAGTGGGTGCTTTCAAGAAGAGGGCATTTAGATTGGCTCACTGATGGACGGAACGGTCAGTCTGGGTGACAATCAGATTGGCGATGCTGGAGCGCAAGCAATTGCCGAGGCGCTCAACGTGAACACGACGCTGACCGAGCTCTAGTAAGGCATCTCACTCTTGTTGGTGCATGTGGGTGGGGAATCAGAAGAGTGCTCACTGATGGAGGAAATGTGGACAGTCTGGGTGAGAATCAGATTGGCGATGTTGGAGCGCAGGCGATTGCTGAAGCACTCAAAGTGAACAAGACACTGACAACGCTTCTGTAAATATTGATCGCTACAAGATGCTCTGACAGCCGTTAAACTCATGCTCCAATCTGAGGATGTAATTGACAACAACAGTTTGCACAGTAATTTCCTGACCAATGCTGGAACCACTGCACTCAGGCAAACTGGCAGTACCATTTGTCAATTCGAGTAAGACTTTGCAATCTCATCGAGTTCTTGCATGAAGCAACCGCTCACTTGTCTTGGTGAAAATGTAGGTCCGCGTTTGCTCGTCTCGACCAGCAACGAACCCCATCGCCTGCCGACTTGGCTCAGATTGCAGCTCGTGCAGCAGCAAATGCTCAGTCTCCACCTTCTGCGACCCCTGCATCCGAGATTCAGCAGTTGCGCTCCGAGCTTGCTGCCAAAGATCAGGAGCTACAACAACTTCGCTCCGAGCTCACTGCCAAGAATGCTCGGATCGACGTACTTGAGCGCAACCAAGCTGCCAGTGAATCTTTATCAAATTTTGACGGACCCATCCCACAAGTGCCTCTCGCCACTCTCATCTCCGCCACGAACAATTTTGCCGCTGATTCTCTGCTCGGCGAAGGAGCATTTGGTCGCGTGTATGGCGCCAGTTTGCCTGGACCTCGTGTTGCCATCAAAAAGCTATCCGCCGAATCGATCCAGCACTATGCAGCGTTTCAGTCAGAGTTGAAATCTCTATCTAAATTCCGTCACCCCAACATCATTGTCATGCTGTCCTATGCAGAAGAAGGCGACGAGCGATGCCTGGTCTACGAGTTCATGCCGAATGGTTCTGTTCGCGACCGTCTCGCCCGCAAAAACAACACCCCTCCACTGACATGGTCTCAGCGCCACCGCATCGGGGCTGATGTTGCCCGCGGCATGCACTACGTCCAGACAGCCTTCCCCGATCATGCACTGTTCCACCTCGACCTCAAGACGGACAATGTGCTTTTGGACGCACACTTCAATGCCAAAGTCTCTGATTTTGGTCTCGTCCGTGCTGCCCAACACCTCGATGACAAGAGCTATCTTCGTACGCAGACCGTTCAAGGAACCATTGCTTACATGTGTCCGGAGTTCTTAGAGGAAGGTCGCATGACCATCAAGACGGATGTCTACGCCTTTGGCATGATTCTGCTGGAACTGCTGACTGCAGCCAAACCCGGCGCTCGGCTGAAAAAGGATGCGCGAAATGCTGTGAAAAACCAGAACGCAATTGGCATGCTAGACTCGGCGCTCACACCCACCGAAGCAGAGCGAGAGAGCGTCGGCAATCTTGTTGCGCTTGCTCTCGAATGTCTTGACGAAGAAGCGAACGACCGCCCCTCCTTTGGCAGCATTCTCGTTCAATTGGATCCGTGATGACAAGCAACGGTTGTATTGTTGTTACAATATCAGAGTTCATCGTGTCAATTCTTCGCTACAAATGAGGGTTCAGTTATCTTTTGTTGTTTGTTTTCCGTTTCGCTTTTGACACTTTGCCACATTTTTCCATTCCACTTTCCACCCTCTCTCTTTTTCTCTCTTTTCCTTCTCTCGCTCTCTCGGTTTCTTTCTCTTTCTCTTTCTCTTTCACACTACTGCTCAACCTCAGCACCCAAGCACAATGGCGACATCCCGCGCGAGCGCTCGCTTTGGGGGCGCTCAAATTCAAAATCGCCTTGCTGTTTCAAACCGTCTTGCCGGAAGCAATCTCACCACTCGCCTCGGCGCACCAGCTGCAACCTCTGGCCTCACACGCCCCGTGTCTGCATCAACCTCCCAAGCAGGTCAGTCGATTGCTTTCTCAAAGACAGTTTAGAATGGCGCAAACAAAAAAAACCAGACCAGAAACCAACAGCCCAAAAATTTGCTGAATTTGGCTGAAGCCGTTTCTTCATTTTTTTTTTTTGATTATTTTGAATTGTTTTTCGTTTCAAGTTTTGTGTTTCAAGCATTTTTTTTTTTTTTTCCTTTTGCTTTCCTTTCCTTTCCTTTTTTTCCTTGTCGCGTTGCATTTTTATATTCAGAGTCGAGTTGTTATTCGTAAGCATGATCTGAGCGTTCAGGAACCCAAATACTCACATCGTGTTGTTTTTCCTCTGATATTTTCGACCATCTGCTGTAGGTCCGTCTGCCAAACCAACTGCAGTCATTGCACACGCTGCTGCCGCTGAAGCTGCGTATGGCCACGAGTTGGACCTTGACGAGGAGGATGCAACTATTACTGCCTCTGCCGGACACGCTCCAATTCCATCGAATGCCAGTTTTGACACTGAAGAATCTGCCACATACGAAGACGAGGATGAAGACGTTACCATTCGCGGCGGTGCCGTCATGAAAGCGCCATCCCTCACGTCGGTCGCAACACTTGTGCCAGAGACTTCAGTGGCCGTGGTAGACCAGGAGCAATCCAGCCGCGACGAACTCGACCACGTTCTGCGGGGCATGATCGAAGGCTCTACCGATGTTGTCATGCGACCAAACATTTTCGACGGTCCCATGGGCATGTTGTCTGGCTTTACGACTCCCGTCACTGGCTCTCCAGTTCAGGCAAGGCGCGCATCTCGTGCAGGCACCTCGAGCGCCTCGTCGTCGCGCCGCAACTCGTTTGCAGTCTACCAAGGCCGCGACAGCAGTCGCCTGTCCATCTCCTCCATGCACCTGCCCGAAGGCGAGCGCAAAGACATCCTTGGCCTACTCCCTCCGGAGCTCGCTCTTGTGATTCTGAGCCAACTTGACGTCCAAGATTTGTGCAGGTAAAAGGAACAATGTTGAATGCTCGTTTGGGACCAGGAAATCGAGTCGAATGATCACAACTCGACGTCTAACATGTAATCCTTTGGGTTTTGCGTTTTCTGCTTGGCCAATCTTTAGAGCGAGCGCCGTTTCCCGCACGTGGCGTAATCTGTGTGCCACTCCCCGCTTGTGGCAGCCATTTTGCCATGCCCTGCTCGGTGGCGGCATGAACTCGATCGCGGCAAGCACGACAGACTTGCGCAGCATGTACTGCCACATGCAACAAATCAATCACCAAGCACAGAAGACGCACTTGCGTCAAACTGAAATTGAGTCGAACATGCAGCGGCTCGGCGTGGCTGCTTCGGTACGCAAAAAAAGAGCGGCTTGTTGTTGCTATTGTTCAATTGGGCGGGGGGAATTGGTACGTGTATTGTTTTTGCTGGTCGCTCATGTCGGAATAATTGCTTGTTGTCTGCTTGCTTTGTTGCGGGCTCTACAGCCAAGCTCAAACTCGGCACTGAGAACGCCATCCGTTCCGTCGGCTGTGCGTGCGCGTCAAGCTCTGCTTCCCTCGAACGACAACAGCGGGGCAAGCGAGCCGGGCAATATCTTGCAGCAAATGATGCCTCAGTCTGCGACAACCGCGCGCAATCGAATGCTTCGTCGACCCAACCAAGAGAACACCATGATCACGCCCATGCGATCCAATACGTTGGAGGCACCCAACAGCGTGACTTCGACTCAGCGCATGGCGTCGCGCCTTTCGATGGGAATGACTCCTGGCTCGTCGTTTACCACTCCTTCGCGAGGCATCGATGCCGACGACTCGGAGCAGGTTCTCTCCGTCACTCGCCCGCGCATGGGTCAAGTACCTGCACAGCGCTTGTTCCAGAATCAGCCATCGAATGTCTCGGTTCCCATCCCTGGATTTGGTGGCGCTCTGCACACACCTGGCCGTATTGGCTTGTCTGCGCAGATGCCGAGCTCTGCTCATCGCGCCGGCCGCTTGCACCAAGAACAAAGTCAGGATGACTTTTTGCATCATGCACGCATGCAACCTACCGCGCAGTCGGCGACCATCACCATGGAGTCGAACGACAATGTCTCCGCGGCATCCGATCGTATCTGGGCTCGCATCCGACAGGACAAGCAGCAACAAGAAGCCGCCAAGACCCTTCCCGAGATCACTGGCTCACTCTCGCGTCCTGCATTCACCTCGTACCAGCCTCGCACAGCCCATTCCACAAACATTTACATGGACGCGGGTGTCTCCTCCAACGCTCCTCGATCTGGTCCCGCCGCTGGTGTTGGCTCTGCTGCGCTCAACCAAGCACTGCATAGCCTGCAAAACAATCTGGCCAACACTGCGCCTGTTGGTGGCGCGACCCTACCTGTGGATAAGCCCGTTATCTTGACCTCGGATGCGGACGAGCCTCGCTCACGTAAATGCCCCGTGTGTCCTGATATGCTGACCCGCGATCCGACCACGCAGGGCGTAGGCTGCTGCGCTCAATGCAACAAGCGATGGTGCTGGAGCTGCTTGCGCGACATGGTCGCTCACACGGCATGCACTTCCACCAGCTATCAGTCTCCCAGCAAGCGACTTGCAGCGCGATCCGCGGCGAGAGTGAACAACCAGTCGATTGCTCGCCAACTCCACAACCACGCTGCTGGCGAGAATGCGACGGTCAGTGCCTTGCCCAGCCCAGCCGTCTCGCGACCTGTACGAACTGTTGCGCGCCCAGAGCTTATTGGCACTAGCGATAGCAAAGCCCGACTTCGCCGCATTTAATTCAGTTATCGTCGTTTTGTTGCAAACTCTGTACAATGCCTTTTGCTTCACCTCACCACCCCCTCCCTCCTCCTCCACCCCGCCCCCCCCCACCGCCTTCTCGGCCACTCTTTCATTTTGACGAATAGTTTGTTGCCTGTTGACCCTTTGATCCCTAGTTGATGTAGACGAAATACAAAATGTGGACTTTTTTTTTGCTCCTTCTGTTTTGATCATTCTGGTTTATTTTGTGTGTTTTGACCTAATAGTGGACTTGTTTTTTGTGTTGTCGATGTGCTTAAAACGTGTTATTTCCAAAGCCATGTGTCATCCAGGACAATCGGGCAATAGCGAATCACTTTTGACAAGTAGAAAATTACAACTGTACATGTCTGCTGTACACGGCATGCTCACACTCGCGTATCAGAACGGGTTTGCTCCTTGTAGTGAAATGGGAGCGAGCTCTCAGCGTTTGGTGTTGTGGCTGCCGTGAATGTGTGTTGGAAGTCGCCAATTATGTAAGACTGAACCAGGCAGCGACAGACTGGGCAAGCCTCATGCCGATCCAGCAGTTCCTGAGCGCATGCTTCGCAGGTGGCCGCGTGTCGGCAGGGGCGCAACTGAGCGTTTGTTGGCGCGTCGCAGCAGACGACACACTCGCGACGCCGCAGCTCCTCGAGAGACTGTGTTGGGCAAGTTGTTGCCGAAATGAGATCAGCGCCATTCGCGTGACCAGACTCCACCACTTGGCTGAAAAAGTGGACGAGCGACTTGAAGGGCGGTCGATCGAGGCGCGACTCGTCGACGCAGTCCATCGCGACGCGAGCCGTAGCAAGCGCCACACTGCTCTGATTCGCCGACAATTGGCCCAGCTTTGGGTCGAGCATGGCTTCGAGAGACCGATGGAGCTTCCACTGGCGTCGAGCATCCACGCGAAGGTTGGCATCGGCCACTCGCCCCGTGAGCAGCTCGAGCAGAATGACACCGTAGCTAAACACGTCTGTGCGTCGCGACACTCGACCATACGTGAGATACTCGGGACAAATGTAGGCCAGCGTCCCTTGGAGCTTTGGCACTTGCGAGAAACTATCTGGGCCATCAAGCGCAAGTGGCACTGCTCGAGTCAAGCCAAAGTCCGCAATCTTGGGTGCGAACGCTCCGTCCAGCAAAATGTTGGCAGACTTCAAGTCCAGGTGGAACATTGGAAGGCGAGGAATGGCGGACTGCAGATACTCCATGCCCTGTGCCACGCCGAGCGCAATGTTGACGCGCGTCGACACGGTGAGTGGGTCGGTGCCAGATGCACACATCAGGCGTTCGGAAAGGCTGCCGTTGCACAGACGTTCGAGCACGATAAACAAGTAGTCGTCGTCCTTTGCCAAACCAATGATTTGAACAATGTTTGGATGGCGAAAGTAGGACAGTGCCACCAGCTCCGCCTCAAACTGTGCGATACTGGCTTGCGTCACGCGCTTGACGGCCACATCCGTGCCAAGCAGCTTGGCCTTGAACACGGTTCCCCACCGGCCTTTGCCAATGATGTTGCTTGCAGCAAAGGACCCGGTGGCTTCGGCGATTTGGTGGGCCGCAAACGTGACCATCGAGGACTCTGCCCGGCGAACTCGCGTAGAGTTGTCGTGCGTTGCAAACGACAGATTGATGGGCCGGTGCCGCCCAACCTTGCTGCCTTGTTGCGACGATGCCTTGCTGGCCGGGGCAGTCAACGGTGATGATTGCTGGTGACCATTGGGGGTGCCAGTCGATGACATGGCAGCAGTAGACGGAACATGGGCTGCAACACTTGCAGCGTGCCGAGCAAGCTCCATCTGCTGCGCAGCCAGCTTCATGTTGTTAAGCTCGGTGGTCAACGCCGCGATCTGCGCCTGGGCAGATGCTCGTTCCAGAGCATGTCGGTCAGTCTCTGCAAGCAGTCGCTGGTGAGTTTCCGCAAGCTCGCGTCGGAGATCATCGATTGTCGAGTTGGCAGTGCTAAGCAAACTGCGTAACTGCAAGCGCTCCGTCACCTCATCTTGCTTCTGGCTCGCTTCTGTCAAAAGCCGAGGCAGTAGAGCCTGCAGCGCGTTGATGTTGGAAGCCAGGCTCGACGCAATCGACGGTGACACCAGCGAAGGCAGAATCGATTGCGAGTGGCCACCACCCATCGATTCGGTCGCGCCCGACAGCAAGGCCGTGCTGCTGGATGACGCTCCGAGGGAATTTAGCCAAGCAGTCACGTGCCCAGAATCAGCAGGACGCGATGGGAGCGTTGCCGACCCCGTGGACGAAGTTTCGGATTCGCAAGGCGCCGAGGGCTCGGGAGACACAGCAGAAGGGGCGGCAGCAGAGCTCCAGTTCGTCGTGTCGAATAATGGAGTCGACTGCTGCTTGCTCATCACGGTGGTCGAGTTTCGGTGTCGGTGTGCAGCTGAGGCGGATGCAGCGCGCCGCTTTCGGAACATGCCAGCGGGTTCTTCGTCGTCCTCCCGATTGGTACTGAGAACTGCGTCGAGGGACCGTGCAGTGCCCTTCGGTGAGCAGACAAGCGAGCCTTCGGCCGAGTCCGTGCGGGACAATGGTGGTGTGACTTGCAGGGGATGGGGGCCAGAGGCGAGTGTGCCGGCAATCATGTTGCGATTTCGCACCAAAAGCCCTTCGAGGACGTTCTGGATGTACAGCGACTGGGAACCACCGAGAACCAGATTGAGCAGCGTAGTATTGTGCGTGGCAATCGAGTTCAAGATGACGGTGAAGCCGGCATCCGTGAAACGGGCAAGGGGGAGCACGAGCGAAACCAGCGACTTGTTCAGTGCCAAAGCTTGTGCAATGGCGGGTGAACATGTGTCGTTGATGGTCGTATCGGACCCAGACGCTGAGGTGCTGAGGATGTCGGAGGCGCTTGCCGCTCTGCGATGTTTGCTTGTTCGAGGGGTATGAATGCTGTCAAAAGTAGGCGAAAGTACAAACGCGGATTGTGTGAATACGCGTGTCAGACATGCATGAAACACGACGAACAAGGACTTACTCGACGTAGGCCAGCACGCGGTTGTGCACAAGCATGGAAGCAAGAGCTGCCACAGTCTTGTTGTCGATCGCGTTGCACGAAATGCTAAAAAAAAAAAAATTGGAGACCATCGATGAAAGTGGGTTTAGAAAGACAAGTGAGATTCTGCTGTCGCTCAAGATTTGAACAGAGTACATTGAAACAAACCGCGGCATACTCGAGTCGTGTAAGAGAGCGGTTTGAAGCAAGCGACTCGAGCAGGCGAGCAATGACATCGGGGGAGATTGCCGTATCGGTGATTCTGTTCGAGTCAATCAACGCAATGATGAGTGCACTGTCGCCTGGTGCCCTACAAAACCATAAAATGCATAGCGCCGGCACAGAGAAAAGGAAGGAAAGAATTCGATGACACCTGCAGCTCTTACAGAAGCGTCTTGATGGAGCAGGTCGGCGAGAGCAACGCCGCTCGCACTTGCTCAACCTCAGCGGCCGTCGTTGGCTGAGCGAGTGTCACGGTTGCGTTTGACATGAGATTTTTCTGGGGCAAAACGTTTGCTTGTTTGCTATGTTTTCTTTCTTGCAATGCAGCAGCAGAACGCGAGGAAAAAAAGAACAACCAAAACAACAAAAAATGAAAACTGAACAACCAAACGCTCCAAATTCAGCAACTTTCTTGACGAGGAATTTCTTACCGCAAAACCAAACCGACAACAACACGAGGCGGGAAAAAAACCACAAATGCATGCACCAAAGTGTTTGATTCTGTGTTAGTTGCCAATATTGGTGGGTGACATCATAGTTCACAGGACTCTGTTGTGAGAGGCAGCAATTTAGCAGAGTGTTGGTTGATCGTCTCCCACAATTTGGCAGAGTGTTGGTTCAGCGGCTCGCTCTCACCAAAAAATAAGACCAGCAAGCAGCAAGCAGTGTTGATAGCTTTATACAATCATGTGTGTCAGTACCGGCACCGGCAGTTTTAGGGGCGCGCAGGAGTTGCTCGAATAGGCATGTTGTTGAATGCTTTGCGGGTTTTTGTGATTTTGCCGCTTGGACCCAATTCAAACACTGATGCCGCTCCGATGGAATGGATGGTTTCAAAAATCAGCTCTCTGTAGGTGAAGTCAGCAACAAGAAATCACACGACCTTGGAACCTGATGATCTTTCTGTATGGAATTTTACTTTGCTGGAGTATTCATAGTTCAAAAGCTGAATTGCCCTGTTGAGTTTTCGCGTCGTCTAATGGTTAGGACGGAAGACTCTGAATCTTCAAATGACGGTTCGATCCCGTCCGTGAGCTAATTCGCTTTTTTTTGCTCTTTTTTTTGCCTTTTTTTTTATTATTATTCGTTTCTCTCGCACCTGCCTTTCTCTGCTCCCGCTTGTTGCTCCACTTGTCATGCATTGTGTACATCCATCGATTCACACAAGGTCTGTGCACAGTCGCAAACGAGCAGTTTCGATTGCTTTTTTTTTTTTTTTTTTTTTTTTTTTTTTTTTTTTTCCTGGATCGCGACCTTGCCCCGTAACTGAACCTGAAATCACTACTGAATCGCGTACAATGAATTCGGAAGGATTGTTTACTGCAGATATCGTAAGGAATGAGGGAAAGACCGATTGGGTTTGTAACATTTTTCGGTTCTCGCTTCCTCTTGCCCTCCCATTGCTCGTGCAGCGCATGAAATTCAGCATGTTGGCACTCCATGTATAGATGCGTGTTTTAAAGGGGAGAGGGTGAGCGTGTGTAGCTTGGTTGCACGATTTCCATTTGTCGCTGGCGAGAAACCTGGAATCAAGAAAACAGAGCTCTCGATACTTGAATGACCAAACCGGGAGCGAACTTTACTTTTGTCATGTCTGCATCCAATCTACAAACCAACCTCACAAACATTGAAATCTTTATCATTCAACATTTCAAATGATCGGCCGCAAAGATACGGTGTTATGTGATGACATCTAGCCTCGCACAAGGACGCAAGACGTTCGCTTCGCAACAATTTCTGCCCAAAGTCAGTAAACCAGCTATTGGACCCAACAAGCGATTCAAAACCATATTTTCAATCAGTTGAACACAAGTAGGACGGCATGGGTGGCTCGATGTACTGTGGTTATGAGGGCGATTTGGCATACTTTGTGTGCCGCGCCAAGCTTTGTCTTCTTTCAGTACTGCTGCCTCGCCACCTTTCACAAAAGCTTGCTCCGAGTACAACAACATGACATCAACACGAAATATCTGACTAGGCGGCTGTATTAGCCCTCCAATACAACTATGGACGGTTGTTTAAATTTTGAAACAAGTACAATGAGCTCCAACGCCACAATAAATGCAATCTCGTCCATGCCGGTAATAAATATCACAAAGTAAAAACATTCACAATCTTCACATAAAGGTTACGGTTCATACGTGCGTTGCCTGGCCACGCCGCTCGCATTCACACCCCAATGCATCACAATATTCCGATTGCTGCAAGACGAGCCTCCAACTGAGCGCCACGATCAAGATTGGAAACACCAACCATGCCAACGGCCACCGCGCCAGCAACATTCTCGGGCTTGTCATCGATAAACACACACTCGCCGGCGCGCAAATGAAATTCGTCCAGCAACCGCAGGTAGATTTCGCGCTGCGGCTTCATCAGCGCCACTTCAAAAGACATGACGGCCCCACTGAATGGCTCAAACACTTCTGGCCACAAGGTGCGCACAGCTTCATAGTTGTCGCGTGGAAAGTTGGACAGAACGAGCAGTCGGTACCGTTGCTGCGCATCCACTCGGCGCAGCGCGGCCAATCCGGCCGGAATGGGTGTCATGAGCGCTGGCACTCGCAAGCCAAAGTCTTCAAACAGACTTGCCAGGTCTGACTCGCTTGGCAGCGCGCAATTTCCGGCGGCGGTCGTCTCAGAATTGGAGCGTTTCGCTTTGGCCCAATCCAGCGCCGCTTGTGTCAGCGTCGCCGTCCCACGGTTGTACGCCTTCCATGCAGCTGAGCTTGTCATGCCCTCCAAGCATGCTCGGCGTGTTTGCGGAGTGAGGTGGTCCACAGCAACGCCAGACCGAGCAGCAATGTCGTCGCCCACTTTCGCTTGACCTTGCACGGACGCGTGCTCCGCAGTGACGCCGCTGTGATCATGCGTTAACGTTGATTGTGACTCATGAAGCGACTCGGCGTCACTGGGCGAGTCTGGATGGAGAGCTGCAATGAACTTGGTCGGATTCCACTCGAGCAGCACTCCTCCTAGATCAAACACGACAGTTGTGATTTGGTCATTGTTTCGTGTGGTGGCTGAATCCAGATAATGCTGCATGAACAAGCCAGCACATACAGCCACGCTTGCGAGAATGCCGGCGGTCATCCAGAATCCATTGGACGGCGGCATGGTTTGCACGATTGTGGACTGAGTTTCATTTGCAAATTCAGACATTACATGGGACACAGGCTAGGTTCAGAGAGACACACAGACACACACACACAGACAGACACACACAAGAACAACACGGACGGAATTAACGCAAGCGCGAGCGAGGTTTGCCAATTGTCGCAGCAATCTTGAGCAAGTCGTCAAAGACACCCATCGCTGTGGCGTCGGCACCAGCACCGGGGCCCTGGATGACAATCGAGTGAGGATATCGCTTGCTGGTGATGCCAACAATGTTGTCTCCTCCTCGAAGCGAGGCGAATGGATGGCTCGTCGGGTACCTGAAAATTGCAGAGCAAACAAACGACACAAGTTCCCAATGTGCAGATTTTGTTGAGTGAATGCCCAAAAAGCCAACATAAATACAAAAAAATCAATGACAACCACCAAGCCGGCGGAAGCGTACTTGCGCAACTCGACACGGGCTGCCTTGTTGGCAACGTCGACAACGCCGACAAAGCGCAGCACTTTGTTCTCGCGACTCGCCGCAGCGTTCAGCTCCTCAAAGTAAGCGTCAAAGGAAGGCAGGAGCGACATGAATTCACTGGCAGAGTTGGTATTGAGGAGCTCGTTGGTGAGGATTCCAGCCACTGGAATGGAGTCCAGCGAAACGTCCAAGCCACACAACCGAGCCAAAATGCAAACCTGAAACATAAACATCCATGCCAGATGAGCGCCAAAACCACAAACGTCCGCGGCACAAAACCCCTCCTCGATTTACGGCAAAAGAATTGCCCCCCTCATACCTTTCGAGCGACATCCGCTCCAGTCAAGTCATCCTTGGGATTCGGCTCCGTGTAACCAAGCGCCTGTGCCTCCTTGACGATCGAAGAGAAGGCCTGGGCTGACGTGGACGCAGCAGCGCTGGCGCCGCTCGAGAACTTTGCAAAAATGAACGACAGCGTTCCACTGAGAACGCCCTCGACAGACTGGATGACATCGCCAGTGTCAAGCATGGTACGAAGCGTGGCCAGCACGGGCAGCGCGGCACCCACCGTGGTTTCGTTGCCAATCAAGGTCGCGTTTTGGTTTGCTGCTTGGTAGATGCTTCGGTAGAGCTTGGCGTCCCCCGAGAACCCGCGCTTGTTGGGCGTGACAATGTGAATGCCCCGCGCAAGCCATTCCGGATAGAGGGCGGCCACGGCATCATCCGACGTGCAGTCAACAATCACTGCGTGGTGAACATCCAGCGAGGCAATGTGCGACACGAACGCCTTCAAGTCAAGCGGCAGCCACTGTTGCTGCGGGCCCGCGACGACCTGGCCATTTTCAACGGCAGCCGGCTTGCTGGCTGACAGCTCGTCCAGCACCTGCTGCAAATTCACGCCCGAGGCCGCGTCGGTGCGAGAACTCAACAGCATGGATTTCGAACGAGCAATGCCGCGAACGACCAGCTCTGCGTGCGAGGTGCTTGCACCAGCGGTGGCGGTGGCGCGCTCAAGCATCTGGCGCAAGAGGGCACCGCCAACCAGCCCTGGACCAATCACACCGACCGAGATTGAGTTTTGCGGGACCGTAAACTCGGCGCTGAGCACGCGCAAGGCGGTGGTGCAGTCCTTCTTTTGGAGCAGAATGCAGATGATGCGCTCGCCGTTCTGCGCGATACCCAGGACATTGACGTCGTAGCGAGCAAGCGAGGAGAAGAACTTTGCAGCAATGCCGGGAGTCTGATTGATTTGGTCGCCGACAGCAGTCAGGATGGCAAATCCGCTGTGAAATGATTGAAAACCGGGGTTATGGCGAGAGATTTTCAAAGACCGAGTGAGGTGGAATCATCAAAGCGAATCAGACGCTCGCTACTACATACCGGAACAGCTCAATCGAGCTCGGAGTGTGCAAATCTCGATTCTCTGAAAAGTGTGCGGTGATGGTCGATCGAGCAAGCTCAGCGCTGTCTTCTGGGACGCAGAACGAGACCGTATGCTCTGGTGCGGCCTGCGCCATCATCACCAAGGGGACTTGAATGTTCTTGAGGCTGTTGAGCAGGCGGTTGCGGATGCCAAGCGGCATGTACTCGTTTTCGCCAACATTCAGGAGCTTCACGTTGATGAGTGCAATGTTGTCGATCGAGCACAGGCCACGCACGGCCTTTGAGGAATCTCCGACGACTAGGTGAGGGGGGTGGCCAGTACAATCAAACAATCCAATAGAAAGGACAAAAGTCAGCTTATGGGGTGTCCACAAACACTCGAAAAGGTCCACAGAAAGCGTCAACAGACCTGCAGAGGGAGACGTTGCGCCTGAATAAATCTTGGTGCCGGGGCACGATGCGTTGAACGTGTTGCGAATGTAGATGGGAATGTTTTTGGTGACGGCTGGAGCCATGGTTTTCGGGTGAATGATCTTGGCACCGTAGAAGGAAAACTCGATGGCCTGAGAGCCAAAGTAAGGCAGTCAGCGTGAATAAACACGACACCTTCTTACACAGACACAAGTTTACGCTTTCGATTCTTCGGTGATTGCCTACCTCCGTGTAAGTGAGCTCGTCAAGAAGGCGGGAGGAGGGGACACGCCGAGGGTCTGCACTGTAAACGCCATCCACATCCGTCCAGATGGTGATTGCCTGCGAGTGTCAGGGTCGGCTGGTGAGTTGGCTGATTTCGTTTTTCCATCCGCTAGTACCGCCACCCTCACACTTACCTGTGCATCCATCAGATTGCCAAAAATGCTGCCCGAGTAGTCACTGCCGTTTCGCTTGAGGGTTGTCGGGGCGCCGGATTCGGTGCTGGCAACAAAGCCCGTCACAACGACAACGTCGTATTCTCGGCCCTTGTGCTGGAACCACTCGCGGTACTTTTGGCTCGACACGCTCCAGTTCACGGGCGGAGCCACCGTGGATGCCGGGTCGCTGTCCACCACCAGGACTTGGCGGGCATCCAGCCAGCCTGCACGTCGGCCAGTGCTCTGCAGATAGGCGTGGAGGATTTGGGTCGACCACAGCTCGCCCTGGCCGACAATGAGCTCGCGGTAGAAATCCGAGCAGCTCTTGGACAAGAACACGGCGCGAAGCAGATCGCGAATGTTCTCTGCATCGCCGTGGATGACGGCGAGTAGGTTGGAGAGCAAGGCGGCGTTTTGTTGGCAGAGTCCTGATGGCAGGAAATCGCTGGACGACGACAAGGACGCCGAGGAAGACAGGGACGCCGACGCGGATGCACTTCCTGACGACTCGACGAACGGACGCGGGGAGCAGTGCGGGGTGTGCGCAGGGTTTGCGCCAGACGAGCATCCCAGCAGCTCCGTTGCCGCTGTGACGTGTTTGGCAACGAGCTCTGCAAACAGAGTCAGATAATCGGTCTTGGACGTTGGCGCCTGTGCTGCCGCAATAACAGCCAGCAGGCCATCGGTGACTCCGGCCATCGCCGACACGACCGCGCCCTGTCCGAAATGACCGGAAGGAAGGAAAAAAATTTGAGGTTGTGAGACAAGCAACGAAAGTTCAACGGAAAAATGCAACGACATGTGATTGAGGCCAAGTTTGTGAGGTTGCATTTTGACTATTGCCAACCATTGATGGCACCACCACCAATCCCGCAAAGCGTGATACGGGGGTCACGAACCTGACGAAAATAGTCACAGTTCAAACAACCCAACCCAGCCACAAACAAACACAAAGCCAGTTTCATGGGACGACCAAACCAGTATTCCGTGCTTTTGTGGCCCGCACGCTGATCGAGGGCGCTTGGCTTACCTGATGCATCTTGTTGGCACGATCGCTGGGCGACAAGGACTTGTCAAGAATCTCCGCAACTTGACGCATGCACGCCGCATTGGCCATGCTCGTGCCGCCGAACTGCAAGCAGAATGAGAAAGAGCAGACACAGCAATGACAAGCAATGATGCGCCGGTGAGAACAGAGCGAGGCGCAGGACCAAGATCGAGCAAGGAGGTCAGCGGAGGTATAAAGTGTGATGACTTCATTCTCCAACCAAACTCAGGCTCAAACTGTGAGGGTTGCAATCCGCCTCTCGCCCAAGTCACTGCACTGCTGCTCGGAAAAGCCAAGACAAGGCCGAAAAGCAAGGCAGCATGGAATCCGCGGTCGCTGCTTTCCGGGGGACGGGGTTTGATCGGATTGGACACTTGGTGATTGGAGCATGATTTTGATTCAATTCTCCACACCTTATGCACAGTCCATTGCCAGTTGGTCGATGAGGCCCACGGCCAGAAGGAGCTCGACGGAGTCGACATTCGCTTGGTTTTGGTTGTTGAACAAATGAGAGTAGGTTGTCCAGATGCTTGTGTGAGATCAGTTTGCTGCAAAGATTGCACCAAACACAACTGTGAGACTGAAGTTGTGGCCAAGATTGGTCGTTGTTGTTGCTGGATTCATTTTTCCAAATGCACAGTTAGCAACGACCGACAATCAGCAACCTCCAAACTCTCAGTTTTTTTCCCCCAATCGTTGTCGATTTAGCTTTTGATGCTGCATTTTGAAATAGAACGACAACCGAATTTGGGAGAGAGCACTCTTTTACAGGTTTGTGAAAAGAAAAAAAATCGAACGTGACTTGCTTCCATCTTCCTTCTCGAAGCCGATCTCGGCCCATCCCCGCTTGTCCCCTCCTCCCCTCCTCGCAATCCGCTAGACAGTGTCTCTGCACACTGGATTGCGGTGCGCGGGCCATCCGATGCCCCTTTCCTCGGCCTGGAGATGGACGTGAAAGTGGAAAACGAAAAACGCGAAACAGAAACATGTGGTTCTTTTTTTTTTCTTTTTCTTTTTCGCCTTCGGGCTTTTCTCTCTCGCTTCCTCTTCTCCGCTCTCTTCTTCGCGCTCTTTTGCCTCTTGCGTGAGATGCTCGTCTTGCAATCGTCTGCCACTGCTGCGCTGTCACGATCGATCGCATCGGACAAGCCGTTTCTGTTTTGAAATTTAGAACGTTCTGGAAAACAACAAAAAATTGCCTTTTTTTCACTTTTTTCTTTTTTCGTTTTTTTCCCTCTTCAACACTTCCTCCAACTGTCGTTCTGCGTTTGTTCTTCGCTCTCGTCGTGCACACTCGGATTAGGATCCATTCATCCCCATCCCCTTGCGCATTGCCAAAAACGAGCGTCGAAACGCGAACGTCAGCGTGGGGTGTTGACGCCGAACCCCACGAGTGTTTTTTTTTAAAATGCTGTTTCATCGTTTTCTTCCTTCTCCCCACGTGCAATCCTGATTTAAATAATTGTCGCTTTTTGATTTGGAAATGCTCACTCTTCCATTTTTTTATTATTTAACACACACAGAACAACCTTCACAATGGGCAAGGAGAAGACTCACATTAACATCGTCGTTATCGGCCACGTCGATTCCGGCAAGTCGACCTCGACTGGTCACCTCATCTACAAGTGCGGTGGTATCGACAAGCGCACCATCGAGAAGTTCGAGAAGGAAGCTCAGGAAATGGGCAAGGGCTCTTTCAAGTACGCCTGGGTCCTCGACAAGCTCAAGGCTGAGCGCGAGCGTGGCATCACCATCGACATTGCCCTCTGGAAGTTCGAGACCTCCAAGTTCTACGTCACCATCATTGACGCCCCCGGCCACCGCGATTTCATCAAGAACATGATCACCGGTACCTCGCAGGCTGACTGCGCCGTCCTCATCGTTGCCGCCGGCACTGGTGAGTTCGAGGCTGGCATCTCCAAGGACGGCCAGACCCGTGAGCACGCCCTGCTCGCCTACACCCTCGGTGTCAAGCAGCTGATTGTCGGCATCAACAAGATGGACTCGATCAAGTTCGCTGAGGAGCGTTACAACGAAATCGTCACTGAGGTCTCGAACTACATCAAGAAGATCGGCTACGACCCCAAGACCGTCGCTTTCGTCCCCATCTCTGGCTGGCACGGCGACAACATGCTCGAGGCCTCCGAGAACATGCCCTGGTTCAAGGGATGGACTATCGAGCGCAAGGAGGGCAACGCCTCCGGCAAGACCCTCATTGAGGCTCTTGACGCCATCTCGCCCCCCAAGCGCCCCACGGACAAGCCCCTCCGTCTCCCCCTCCAAGACGTCTACAAGATTGGCGGTATCGGCACTGTGCCCGTCGGCCGTGTCGAGACTGGTGTCCTCAAGCCCGGCATGGTTGTCACCTTCGCCCCCAGCAACGTGACCACCGAAGTCAAGTCGGTCGAAATGCACCACGAGTCCCTCCCCGAGGCCAACCCCGGTGACAACGTCGGCTTCAACGTCAAGAACGTTGCCGTCAAGGACATCCGTCGTGGCAACGTTGCCGGCGACTCGAAGAACGACCCCCCGAAGGAGACCAAGACCTTCACCGCCCAGGTCATCGTCCTCAACCACCCCGGCCAGATCTCCAACGGCTACGCCCCAGTCCTCGACTGCCACACTGCCCACATTGCCTGCAAGTTCCAGGACATCAAGGAGAAGTGCGACCGTCGCTCTGGCAAGAAGCTCGAAGACGCCCCCAAGTTCGTCAAGTCCGGCGATGCCGCTATTGTCGAGCTCCTCCCCACCAAGCCCATGTGCGTTGAGGCTTTCTCTGACTACCCCCCGCTCGGCCGCTTCGCCGTCCGTGACATGCGTCAGACCGTCGCCGTCGGTGTCATCAAGGCCGTCGACAAGTCCGCCAAGGATGCCAAGGCTGATGGCAAGGACAAGAAGGCTGCTGCCCCCGCCAAGGCTGCCAAGAAGTAAATTTTGTGTTTGCCAAGACACATTTGTTTATTTCAATCATTTCTAAGACCAAAAAGGGATTTCATGATTTTTGTTGCTTGCATTGAAGTTTTTTTTGGTTGTCATTTTTTTTGCGTTGGTTATGAGCGCAATATATTCCATTATGGCAAGAAACACGACGAGTTGTTTTTACAGTGGAGGGATGAGCAAGGAATGGGGAAATGGAGAACAAGTGGAATGAAATGGTTTGACTTTGTGCGGCGAAAGTGTTGCCATTTTCAATCATGCTGCGCCTGGCACCTAGATGCGTGTGATTGCTCATTGCTAGTGCTGTTCTCACCTGTGCGAGCAAGCAACCAGAAGCGACAAGTGCGTCTCAGATGTGAACAAGAGCGCCGCAAAATTGATGCGAATCTTTCATTTGGCGCTGAATCTACTTTGCTCCATTGTCTGTTGCCCATATCATACAAGCTCATTCTCAGTTTTTTTTTTCGAGTCGTTCATCTTTACTCGTAGGTGACTGACTGACTGATTGACACAAATACGGCCAGGCAGTGAGGGCAGTGGGAGCTGACTCCTTGCAGTGCTCAGCCACTTTTCCCCCCCCCCGTCCCCGGCAATGGTCCACTTTCCCCTCGCTACATCAGAACCCCACCCCATCGAATCAGAAACGAAGGCAATCCAATCAGCACTGTCGGGGATGAGTGAGAGCGATGGGAAAGCAAAAGAGGAGGCGGTTTCATTTTTCCAACGAACCTCTCTGCCCCTCGACACGCAGCACCGCCGTCCCCAGCAGAGCGCGAGAGAGCGATGAGAGCAATAATAAGAAGGATTACGTTACATCGACGCTCGACTCGGGTTTGTCGTGTTGTAGCTGGGCTTTCTGTTCTCAACGCCAAATGCAAAAACCCAAACAAAACCCAAACAAAAACCAAAAAAAAAAAAAAAAAAAAAAAAAAAATAAAAAAAATAAAAAAATGATTCTTTGTGTTTTGAATGCAAACATCAATGAAAAGGGGGGAAAAGAAAAGTCTCGACTCTGAGCGACCAACGTCAATGACACTCTCTGCGCTTCATGTGCAGCGTTGAGCTGTTGGCGGCAAGCTGGCCATTGAATGGGGGAGAGCTCATTGGAACGAACGAGAAAAATAAAAAGAGCCGAGCTCTTCGGTTCTCTATTGAGCGGTTGGCACTCACTGCGCTGACGTTGGGAGGCCGTGCTACAGCAAGCGATCTCACAACATGCACTAGGACAAGTGGTCGACGGCAGAACTGCGCGAGACGAGGAAGGAGGGGAGAATCGTTGGCTCAATACTCACGTCTCATGCTGCACTGACTCTTTTGCTCTCTCTGCGCAGGTCCCATCGCGTGTGTGCCGAGTCACTCTCACAAGGAGGAAGGAGGAGGAGGAGGTACATTGCCGTGTCGAGGGACAGAATGGCCGACGAGTGGACGGCGGACGACAGCTCGGCGGTCGATTTCTTCAATCCGCACGCACTGAACGACAGCGACGAGGATTTGGACGACGGATATCAAGATTCAAGCAGTGTTGTTCATCAGGAAGACAGCGACATTGTAGCACACGAGGATGGCTCGTTTGGATGGTCGGCACCCGCGAATCAAGCGTCCGACGGAGAGGACGATCATGAGGAACAACCAGACGAGCACGACGACGATCCAACCGGATTGAATGCGCTAGACTCGGCACTGGGAGAGCTGGAAATAGAGGCCGAAGCAGCGCTGCAGCACGAGGACGTCAAGGCAAGCAACGCGTCATTGGCGGACGTGAGCTCCCAACAACAACATCACCACCAGGACGACACTGCCGCTACCACTGCCGCTGCAGCAGAGCCACCAACGCCCGCAGCGCCTGCAACAGTTAATTACGATATTAGCAGGTACTGGCATGACTCCGCGTCAGGCTGGTACTATGATCACCACAAGAGCGAGTACACAATGACGCCCGAGCCGCTTGAGCCCGAGCCTGAGCCCGAGCCCGTCCAACCCGCCGAGCCCGAGCCCGAGCCCGTCGAGCTGCTACACGCTCACACACACTACGTCCCTCCAACGCCCATCTCACAGCATGGAGACGAAGCCCCAGAGAAAGTTGCTGCGTTGTACCAACATCATGTGGAAGAGCAGCAGGTATCAAAGCCCACTCGAGACGCTGGTGAAACCCAAGCATCAGCAGCGGCTGCTACCTCGACGGTCGCCGTGTCGGTGGCAGCAGCAGCAGCAGCAGCTGCAGCGGAGCGGATGCAGCGACAAGACAGCATGAAATCAACGCCTTCGTTTGTCATGACCGTCACAGAGGCGGAATCATTGCCAACCCCCACCTCTGATGCCAAGGCGGACTCTGTTAGTAGCAACAATAACAACAACAACGACGACGACGATGACTGGGACAAGCCTACCATCAAGCGCACAGGCAGCCTGAGACGATCGCTCCGCCGAGGCCGAGAATCAACCGACGCCGACCTTGCCATCGATGCCATCACCATGCGACGCCGTTCCATGCTCAACGACTCGGACGAGGAGCAAGAGCTAGAAGAGCAGGACCGGCTTGCAGACAAAATCGACCGTGAAGAAGAGCAGCGACAGCGAGAGCAAGAGCAACGGCGGCTTGCGCGCGAGCAGCAGCAGCAGCAACAAAGGCAGGAAATTGTCCCTCCAGTCGCCGTCGCAGCCGCAGTGCCTCAGGCAGTGCTGTTAACCCAGCTCACGCACGCCAGCACCAATAGCATTGACAGCATCGGCAGCAATATCGCCTCCAGCGACAGCGGCAGCGTATCAAACCTCCCCCTTCCTGCCAGAGTCCTCAGCGTCAGCAGTCTGCACCGCCTGGACGATTCGCCCTCCGTCGAACAACGCTCTACACTTCCGCACACACTGGAGCAAGACGAAGATCAAGAAGAAGAAGCAGAAGAAGCCGATGCCGACGAAGCGCAGGCCGTCGCCCGACCACGACGCGCAACCTTCCAAGACAGCGAGTCCTCAACCCACCTCAATGACGATGACTTGGAGGAGCTCGACCATGTATCCTACCCATCCATTACCTCCATGGCGTCCATGGCGTCCATTGACCCCGCACTACTTCGCACGGCCACCGTTGGCGCGGCTAGCATTCAGCCAGCCATCAGCATGCAGAGCGTTTCGTACGTCGAGGACGACGAGTCGGCAAGCGCAGCAGGGCACTCGTACTATGAAGAGGCAAGCGCCGGCGGCGAAGAGGCTCAGCCCGAGACGTCGTTGCCAGCAGCGTCCGCTCACCTGCGCGGATCGAGTGGCGCAGCGGCCGGCGACAGCATGACCTTTGATCCGGACGATCCGAACGCCATCGACTCGGTGTTGGACGGCTTTGATGCCACATTGAAAGAGTTTGACACTGCCAGCTTGAACGATGACTCGCGGGCTGGCTCTCGCTCCGTCTCGCGGCAGGTATCCATGTCACTGCGCCCGCTTGCCCCAGTGCGACGCACCTCCATCTTGCGGCCAGCCTCCATGGTTGTGCCCAGCTCGCACGCGCTCAGCTCTTCACCGACTGGCACCACCATCTCCGCCGCCTCGAGTGGAAGCTGGAACAATAGCAACGGCGAAATTGCCGCGACCATGTCGTTGGCCAGCATTCCCTTGTACGAGAGCGGAGATGGCGATCTCATGTTTGTCAACCCGATGGCCGACATGACCACGGACGACGAAGCGGACGCCGCTAGTGTTGCGCCTTCGACGTGGAGTGGCCGTCGTAGCCACCAATCGGAAACGGGCACCTTCATTCTTCATCCTGACGACGACATTCTGTACGCCAACGGTTTGCGGGTCGCCGAGCAACGTGGACGTCGCGGCTCGGCAGTCAGCGCCGTGAGCAGCGGGACTTTTATCCACCACTCACAGTCGCCGTCGGAAGGCAACGAGCAGCCGCCAATGTCCCCGACACACTCGCATTCGCCTTCAGTGATGACGACCGTGCTCGTGCAGTCGCCAACGCACTCGGCTTCGCCCAGCGTTGTTTACAACGACCATACGGATGTTGAAGAGGACGACCCTGAAGAGGACCATGGACAGCTGACCATCACCAACCCCACAGCAGCGTATGCTCTGATGCAACAACGGCACAGCGACAGTCGTTCCAGCCTCATTAGCTCCAAAGCTGCACCACCCCCGCCTCCGGTGCGCAACCCATTCACCGTCCTCGTCCCTTCCGCCAGCGTCACTGCAATGGCTGCCCCGCCTCCGCCCGTCATCACCGTCACAAACCCGACCCGCCCACCGTCCGTATACACGGATGTGTCGCCCCTCAACGTGTCGGCGCTGCCGCCCACTTCGACTGGCCTCTCGAGAGAGCTGTCAGGATCAACTACCAGCATGGTGACACTCATGGCAGGAGGCGGCGGCGCAGGCGGTCCAGGCATGAGCGAGAGCTCCCAGCAGCCCCTCTCGCGCTCCCACAGCATCCAGCTCGACGATGAGGCGATTTCTGCATCCGTTCACGTGCCAAAGCTGAACGGCGCGAATTCATCCAGCGGCCTCTTCCGCGTCGGCTCTGTGGAAAGCGCGCATCCCAAGCGTACGCGCACATCGAGCGGCGGCGACCGCACGCTCGTTGGCATCAACGCTGTTACTGGCGCACCAATGCAGCCGGTCGCGTCAACGCCCACCAGCGGCCCGGTTGCCCCCAACTATGTCCCAAGCCCGCTGTCTTCGAACGCCCAGCTCGCTGCGGTGCCCGAAGATGATGCTCCAGCTCCTGGCCAGCTGGTGCGCTCGTTCTCGTCGTACTCTATTTCCGGCGTGGCCCTTCCCATCACTGCCAGCATGATTGGCAGTCGATCCGAGCTCGCTGGTCCGTTCGCGCCTGGCCCTGCTCTGTTGGTCAACCAAGAAGAGCAAAAGCACTTGGTGGGACGGCAAGCGCATGCTAGCAGCACGACTTACTCGCGCCATTCCTCATCCTCCTCCGTGCCTGATCGCGTTGTGCATCGCGAGCAAGATCCTCGGCGCGAATCGGAACGCACTCGCGAGTCTACGCGTGATCGCAACCATTCGCGCGACCAGTACCGAGGTGATGCACACCGCGACCAGTACCGCGATGGACCGCGCGACCGGGAGCGCGACCGAGAACGCGAAAAAGAGCGCGATCGGGAGCATCGCTCATCACGGCCTCGCTCTCGCTACCGCGACTACCATTACGACGAGGGCAGCGACTCGACCAGCACATCTTCGTCCGAATCGTCCTCCAGCTCGTCGTCTTCGTCGAGTGACGAGCCTCGCTACCAAGATCGCGATCGTCATCGCAAGCACCGCAAGCATCGTCGACACGGCAAGAAGGCTCGCCGTCATTCCAGACGCCGCGAGCGTTCCCGTCGCCACCACGGGCACCAGCAAGTCGTCCACGCGCCTGCCATTCCATCCGGTCCCAACCAACGGCGCTGGGCCGTCGAGGGCAGCGTTCCCACGGGCTTTGAAGTTCGCGTGGATCAGACCACGGGAGAGACGTTCTACTTTGACGCGGCCACCATGACCTACTACGACCAAGGGTATATTGAACACGCTCGCGCGTCGCCGTCCACTCTGCCCATTCCGCCAGGCTGGAATATGCGCAAAGACCACCGCACGGCCAAAGTGTTCTTTGTCAACCACAACTCGCAGTCGACGACGTGGGTGGATCCTCGTGACCGATTCACACGGCCATTCACGTTTGCCGAGTGCGAGGGCGACGAGCTCCCGTACGCCTGGGAGCAGGCCAGTGATGCGGTTGTCGGTTTGTACTTTGTCAACCATTCTACGCGCACGACGCAGATCGAAGACCCGCGTATTTCTGCGCACATTGTCCAGCAGCGTATGCTGAAGGACTTTTTGGAGACGGCTCAAGCCGACCTGACCCGAAAGCAGGAATTGCTCGAGCTCAAGAAGCGTCGTCTTGGCATTGCCGAGGAGGAAGTGGCGTATCTCACCTCGCGCCTCGACCGCCCTCAAAGCGTCGCCATGCCCAGCTCTGCTGCCGCAGCGGTGACTGCTGGCTACCAACACGGTCTGGTGCACAATAACAGCTTGCAGCACCTGAGCGGGGGCTTGCACGCCTCTGGCAGCTATGCTCAGACGTTCGACCCCGACACGCTGAAAGTGGACATTGCTGCCGCCAAGCAGCGTGTTGCCAGCCTGCGGCTCGAGATGGAGTCGCTTGACAATGTCGTGCAGTACGAGCGCGAGGGTATGGAGATTCTGCAAGACGTCGATCGCCGCATCGATGCCAATCCCGATTACCAGCTGGACGACGCGCGCCGAGCAATCGAAGAGCTGAATGCCATGCGCGCGCTGCTGCGTGAAAACCAGGCCGAAAAGGCCGAGCTGCGCCGCCAGCTGGTGCAAATGCGTGAAGAGTATGTGACCAACTCTCGCATGCAAGAGTATCTCGTGTACAACGAGCTGGACAAGCGCCAGTTCAAGAACGAGTTGGTGCAGTGGCTGGCTGCGAACGTTGTCGACCCGGACCAGATCAACAGCGCTGTTGCGGCTCGGCTCGAAGAGCACCTCGACCAGCGTGAGCTTGCCTTCGACGTGGACGAGCTCGCGGCCTCCCTCACCTCCATTTGGCCCGCCATTACCAAGCTCGAGACGATGATTTCGCAAAGCGAGCAGTTTGGCGACCAGCTCAAGTCGGAAATCTCATCCATCTCGTCTGGCGTGGACTCGCGTGTTGGCAGCCGCAATCCTAGCCGCCACGGCACGCTCGAAAAGCCTCGTCTGGCTCGTGCGAACATGGCTGCATCGGCGGCGGCTGGCCAGCACCATCCCCACCACCACCACCACCACCACCAACATCACGATCACCAGCAACGGCACCACGATGCGTACACCGCCCCTCCACCCGCGCAGTTTGCCTCGAGTGGCTCGGCACACCCGGTCCGTGCTGCTGCTGCGCACTTTACACAAAACGAGCTTTTGCAGTCGGAAGAGGACGAGTTTGCCGACTCGCACATTCTCAAGGCAAAGGTCGAAGAGCTGGTGCGGATGCACGAGCGGGAGAAGATTGAGTTGCGCAAGATTCTTGCCGATGTGCACGAAAGTGTGCTTTCCCGCCAGTCGCTGAAAACGCTGCTGCAGCGCCAGGAGGAAGAGAAGGAGAAGCTCAAGATTGAGCTTGCGAGCGTCGAAGCCAATTACATCCCAATCGAGAGGGTGCAGGAGGTGATTGCGACGCACGAGCGCGAAAAGTCCGAGCTGCGGGCCGAGCTGCAGGTGCTCAAGAAGGATCTCATCCTTGGCAACATGCAAAACAAGCCCGTCTCAAAGTCGTCTGCGCTGCCGCCCCCACCGCCCTCAGCCTTCCTACCTGCAGACTTGTATCCTGAATCCTCCACGTTCGTTGATGCCATGATCTCCAATGCTCACGGCGACAGCGATGCCAGTGCGACGGACGAAGTTGTGCACAACTCTGGCGAGACGCCCATCACGCGTATCGATATTGAGCTCGAGCTGGCCGCAGCCAAGCGCGAGATTAGCGGCATTCAGCAGCAGATTCGCGCGCTCAAGGACATGCGAACCGAGCTCATGGCGGGTGGCAGTGGCGAGGCTGCTGCCGCGGCTCACAGCGCAGGAGCGGCTCAGAGCGCTCGTGCGGCCACCTCCATGCCGCGCCCCTTGAACGCGAGCAAGGGTGGCGTCGCCTCGCCTAGTCTGCCCAGCGATAAAGCTGCCTCGCGCAGCACAGTGCAAGAGCGTGCGCCAGCCGTTACTTTTGCAGAGACTCCTGCTGCTGCTGCCGTTGCTGCGTCTGCTGCGTCCGCCGACGTGGTCAGCCTGGACTCGATGCCGCGATGGATTGACGATCCTGTCATCCAAAATCTGCTGCAGGTGGATCCCGAGAGCTGCAACACAAAGAACACCCTTCGTCGCCGCTCGCAGCACAAAGTGGCCCAGCTCCGCACCAAGGCCAAATCCGGTGGCGTTGATCCGCTGTCCTTCCAAGAGAAGATTGCCTACTTTACGACCTACGACATTGCTCTTCCGCTTCCCCCGCCTCCGCCGCCAGCCCACTAGATGAGTTAAAAGGAGTTGAGTTTTTGGTTTCTAACGAGCGATATCATTCTGCGCACTCCCGCGGGGCCGTTCTTCCGATCTGGGTTGTTTTACTTGCTCTTGATGTCTTTATGTTTCTTGTGTATGTATGTGTGATTTTTATTTTGAATTTTACCATGTCCTTTTTCCTTTGACAAGAATGAGAAGAAGCGGCGGCCTTTTGTCAAGCATCCGCACTCCAAAGTTCACCTTTCCCATTTTCCCCATTTTCCCCATTCTCACTTGGTTTTTTCTCAGTCTATTATTTCCATCTTCTCAGAAAAAAATGTCGTTGATGGATGCTGTTGAATCGCCAAACCTGAGCGCGCCGGTCATCACTGGCGGCGTCTCCAACTCGTCCGGCCTCGATCAGGACGCCCAGCAGCTCGGCCAGGAGCTCACCTGCCCCAACGTTGTCTACGGCTGCCCCTTCCGCGTAAGCACCCCGACGACTGGCCTGACCTGACCGAGCAAAAGGGAGGCGGGGGGACGTAGAAGGGAGAGGTGGCAGCTGTTCCTCTGCAAAGCCGTCGGTTTCTCGCGCTGGTCCCGCAGCCTCGTCGTTTCTCTCAATGTGGAGACCACGAGCAAAGCAACGCGTCTGCGACCTTGTCAATGAGTGAACACCGTCTGATCCGCGCGCGTTTCGAGTCATCGCGAGTCGAGCGAAAGGGCAGCTGACGCCTTATTCTATTGCGAACAATTTTTCGTTTTTTTTCTCTTTTCGTTTCCTTTCGCGCTTTGGGCCGTCGGTTTTATGGCTGATGCGAGTGAATTCTGGGCTAATGAATGGAGTGAAATGTGTTGGCGTTGTTGATGTTCCAACAACTGTGCAGGAATTGAAAGAAAAAGAACCGACAAACAACAAACGAGAAAAGCAGAACAAACCAAAAAAAAAAAAAAAGAAAAAAAAAAAAAGAAAAAAAAAAAAAAAGACGCAGTTTTTGGTTTTTGGCTTTTCGTCATGTTCGCTTTCAATGAAAATAAACCAACGTCAGAAAAGGATGGAAAAAAAAAGTTGGGAAAACAAAAACCAACGCGAGCTAAATGTTGAACGATGAAAAAGGATTTTGGGAACGAACGAATACGAAGGAATCAATGATACAGAGCAAGAGTGATTTGTGTTTTGACTCGGCGTTCTGAGATACTGGGAAAAAATGCTCAGATTTGTTGATCGACCCGGAAAAAAAACGAAACTCACAAAAAACCCTGCTCCTCTTTTGCAGTCACTCGCGCCGGCCATGGACGAGCACCTCCACTTCCATTGCGAAAAGCAGCAGCTCAAGGAGTACATTCTCGAAAAGGAAGCAGAGGTCGTCCGCCTGCGAAACGAGCTCCACATCAAGGAGGCAGAGCTGGGTAACCTGCGCAGCGCACTCGGCGAGCCTCGAACTGGCTCCAAGCTGCAGGAAGGTTTTGCAAAGGTCAAGACCGAGTTCAACGAGGTTGTCGAGAACATTAAGAACTCTGAAGCGTACGTTCTGTGTTTTGTTGAGCAGGAGATGCGTGGTATTGGCAACTGCAAGAATCTCCTCATTCCAATCTGTTTCAACCACAGGCTTGCCATTTCCAAGCAAAAATCCGCTCAAGCCGGCCAAAAGATTCGTGACGCCTTTGCCAGCTTTACCGCCGCAGCAAGCAAGAGCATTGACGATTTCAAGTGAGTGATCTCTCTATTGCGGGAACCTGTTCTTCTTGTGATGGTTGTTGCAGAAGTGTCGCTTGGATTGTTTTGTATCTCACGTGCGAGAGCGAATCAGGGAATCAAACACGTACAACTCGGTCGCCGATGGCGCTCGCCGTGCCAGCATGAAGGTCAAGGAAAGCGTTCGCCGCACCTCTGCATCGACATCGGAAGCTGCCACGCCATCGACATCGCAGGAAGCGCCCATCCCGGACGCTGAGCAGCCACCGCAGTCTCAATAACAACCTGCATTGCGCTGCATACCTCATTTTGTTTATTTCTTGTTGGTTGGTGCATGTTGACTCTGTTTACACATGAATTGGAAATCAAGCACTTTTGCTTTGTTGGATTCGTGCAATCGCCGAATTTCGGTTGGAGGCGGGGGAGAAACGGCAAATGTATGATTCGAACAAGCAAGGATCACGACTGGGTTTTGAATTCTATTCAGTATGAATCATGATGGACGGCTCGATGTCGACAACATGGCAATCATCCGAAGTGTTGTCTTCATGAACCAACACGGCAAAATCTGCCCAAAAAAACAAAGAGCGCGCGACGCGTGAGTTTCGCTCTACAAATCAGAGATACTCAGCACATGCTGCATTCCACGGTTACCTGTTGCATAATCCAGTGCTACCATTGGATGATGCCAGCAGCCTGCATCATAACTAATTCCTTGCGTGTTGGTGGCGATGAAAGCGGCCAACGTTGTCAAGTCCGGCCTGTCGTCTGCAGCAGCATTGCCAATGACAAGGCAGTACAGCAAACAGAGTGAAACACACACACGCATTCTACAACACTCCAGATTGTGCAGATCACGCACAAATCCAAATCTCACTAAAAAACTCAGAAATGACACAAAAAAAACCTTACCAGCGCCGTTGCGCGCGACAATGACCAAGTAGCGCTTTGATTCAGCGGACATTGGAATGAATGCTTGGGTCGAGTACAAGTGTCGCTCAATGAGCTTCATCTCGAACGGCATTGCTCGTGGAATGGATCGAAACACGCACATATTCGCCTTTGCTGAATCTGGCCTACAAAACCCGAGCAACAACAGAAAGGGGTCAGACCTCGGGTTTTTACGTGAGTGGCATATTCCTGGCACTTTAACAAGGCATGAATCGTGAATACGCAAAAAACGACGGCGGCGTTGGTCATCGTGGATGATGATGGATTCACCTGAGATTGTCAACTCTCGCGACGTAGTTGATGCGGGTCGCGGTGCCCTGGTTGGCCGAGACGCCGCTCGTGCTTGGGTTGGACGGCACAGCAATCACTTGGCCGTACGGCGCAAACCCTTCTGGCGTCAGCGGCTGCGTCTGCAGCGTCGGAACCAGCGCTCGAACAGACCCGATCGACATAAGGGTCAAACAGCTGAGATTGACGGGTCGAAAATTATCAAAGAAACGACTGCGTATCAGAGTCAGATTGATTTGCAAGTCATAATGGTATCATCAATATATGTACGAGAGCGAGTGTTGTCATCGGTCGAGTTACGGGGTGGAGGGGAGGAAGAGGAACGGTATTTCGAATCTGTGCATTGAAGGCACTGTTGGTTGGTGCTGAGCATTGGAAACGAGGCAACGCAAAATCAATCCATCTCATGTTGGTGAGAGTCTATGTTTGAACGTAGTTTTCTTGGAATGGCTTTGTGCTGTGTGAGTGGACAGTCTTCTTGTTTGTTTAGCTGTGTTTGAATTCGAAGATCTTTCAAAATGCTGTCTTATCAGAATATGAATCAGAGACAGCGCCAGTTGTATGATCAAGTCAAGAATGAGAGTGGAGGGCTCAGGTAAGAGAGAAGCCCGAGTTGATTGGAACACAGGTGTTGACAGCGCGAGTGTGTGTGCTGACGAGAGTGGAGGGGAACAGTCTGGAAAGGAGGCAGATTGGCGATGAAGAAGCGAAGGCGATTGCTGAGGCACTCAAAGTGAACAAGACGCTGACTTATCTCGAGTAAGGCATCTCATTTTCAGTGAAGCATCTGAATGGGCGATCTTAACAGAAAACATAAAGAGTGCTCACTGATGGAGGGGCCCGACAGTCTGCACAACAATCAGATTGGCGATGTTGGAGCGCTCGCTTTCGCTGAGGCACTCAAAGTGAACAAGGCGCTGGCTGAGATCCGGTAAGTCAACTCACTCTTGCTGGTGCATGTGAGTGGGTTATTCAGAAGAGTGCTCACTGATGGGGGGGGGGGGAGAAACAGTCTGTGGGCGAATCAGATTGGCGAAGTTGGAGCGCAGGCGATTGCCAAGGCACTCAAAGCGAACACAACGCTTGGCACGCTCTAGTAAGGCATCGTACTCTTGCTGGTGCATGCGAGTGAGTGATTCAGTAGAGTGCTCACCGATGGAGGGGATGTGGACAGTCTGGGTGAGAATCAGCTTGGCGATGCTGGAGCGCAGGCGATTGCTGAAGCACTTCAAGTAAACACGACGCTGCCCAAGCTCTAGTAAGGCATCTCACTCTTGCTGGTGCATGCGAGTGAGTGATTCAGTAGAGTGCTCACTAATGGAGGGGATGTGGACAGTCTGCGTGAGAATCAGATTGGCGATGTTGGAGCGCAAGCGATCGCTGAGGCACTCAAAGTGAACAAGACGCTGACTACGCTCTCGTAAGGCATCTCACTTTGACTGATACATGAGAGTGGGTGAATCAGAAGAGTGCTCACTGATGGAGGGGATAAATAGTCTGTACCAGAATCAGATTGGCGATGTTGGAGCGCAAGCGATTGCTGAGGCACTCAAAGTGAACAAGACACTGACCGAGCTCAGGTAAGACATCTCTTTTTGACTGTTGCATGAAAGTTGGTGATTCAGAAGAGTGCTCACCGATGGAGGGGATGGACAGTCTGTGGCAGAATCAGATTGGCGATGTTGGAGCGCAAGCGATCGCTGAGGCACTCGAAGTGAACACGACGGTGACGCATCTCGAGTAAGGCACCTCACGTTGACTGATGCATGTGAGTGGGTGATTGCAAGCAGAAGGCATTCAGAGTGCTGACTAATGGTGGGGTCCTACAGGCTGGACCAGAATCATATTGGCGATGTTGGAGCGAACACGATTGCTGCAGCACTCAAAGTGAACAAGACGCTGACTTTGCTTTAGTAAATATTGATCGTTTTAAGATGCTCTGAAAGTCGTTAGACCTCATGCTCCAATCTGACGCTGTAATTGACAACGACAGTTTGTCCCAGAACTTCTTGACCAATACTGGAATTAATGCACTCAGGCAAACTGGCAATATTATTTGTACCTTTAAGTAAGACTTTGCAATCTTATCGAGTTCTTGCATGAAGCAACCGCTCACTTGTCTTGGTGAAAATGTAGTTCCGCTCGTGGTCGTCTCGACCAGCAACGAACCCCATCGCCTGCCGACTTGGCTCAGATTGCAGCTCGTGCAGCAGCAAATGCTCAGTCTCCGCCCTCTGCATCCGAGATTCAGCAGTTGCGCTCCGAACTCGCTGGCAAAGACCAGGATCTTGCTGCCAAGGATCAGGAGCTTGCTGGAAAGGATCAAGAGCTCGCTGCCAAAGACCAGGAGCTGCAACAACTTCGCTCCGATTTGAATTCAGCCCTTGATCGGATCGACGTACTTGAGCGCAACCAAGACGCCAGTGGGTCCTTATCGAACTTTGACGGACCCATCCCACAAGTGCCTCTCGCAACGCTCGTCTCCGCCACGAACAACTTTGCTGCTGATTCTCTGCTCGGCGAAGGAGCGTTTGGTCGCGTGTACGGTGCCAGTTTGCCTGGACCTCGTGTTGCCATCAAAAAGCTATCGGCCGAATCCAAGCAGGGCACGGTCGAATTCAAGTCGGAACTGGACTCTCTTTCGAAATTCCGTCACGCGAACATTATTGCCATTCTGTCGTATGCAGAGGAAGGCGACGAACGATGCCTTGTTTACGAATTCATGCCGAATGGATCGGTTCGCGACCGTCTCGCCCGCAAAAACAACACCCCTCCACTGACATGGACTCAGCGCCACCGCATTGCGGCCGATGTTGCCCGCGGCATGCACTACGTCCAGACAGCCTTCCCTGATCATGCACTGTTCCATCTCGATCTCAAGACGGACAATGTGCTTTTGGATGAGCATTTCAACGCTAAAGTTTCGGACTTTGGTCTCGTCCGTGCTGCCCAACACCTCGATGACAAGAGCTATCTTCGCACGCAGACCGCTCAAGGAACCATTGCTTACATGTGTCCCGAGTTCTTACAAGAAGGCCGCATGACCACCAAGACGGATGTCTACGCCTTTGGCATGATTCTGCTAGAATTGTTGACTGCAGCCAAACCCGGCACTCGGCTGAGAACGGAGGTGCGAAAAGCTGTGAAAAGCCAAAACATCCTTGACAAGGTGGACTCACACCTCAAACCAACCGAGGCAGAGCAGCAGAGCATCAGCGAGATTGTCACCCTCGCGCTCGAGTGTCTTGACGACGATGCCAACGATCGCCCGTCCTTTGGCCAACTCATCGTTCAATTGAATCCTTGATGGAAGGTCTCTTGCATTGGTTTTTTAGGCTTGATCATGCCGAGCAGCCGTCATTCACCATAAACGTCCTTTTCGCACACGTCTAGCATGTTCATCCTGGTTGCTTCTTGGTTTGCTTGTTTGTTCTTCAGTGGACTAGTCGTGCAATTTCTGAGATTTCAACCTCAGTCTTACTTTTTTTTTTTCTTCTCTTTTTTGCAATGGCGACGCATACAATCAATCGGGACACGAGCATCCCTGCCGAACAGTCGCGCACGCTGCAGGACGTCACTCGGCCGCACGTCGACGCGTTCAACTTTATGATCAAGACTGGCCTCGATCTTGCCGTCGCGGTGCGTGACCACACAGACAAAAGGGGATTGAGAGATGGAGTGCATTGAGCATTGAGCATTGAGATTCGCCGCGTTGCGATGAAATGTCGCTTCCCCCCCCCCATCCCGCGGCTGCCCTTGGTCATTCGCATTGCCGAGAACAAGTCCAAGTGATGACCGAGCGAGCGGCCTGGGATTGCTGACTGCCAAATGCAATGCTAGAGGCAATGGGAAAGAAAGGCAAAGAGGGAAAATCCACGTGGAGGCATTGGACAGCCAGAGGAATAAGCCAATGCACGACCGCGTCCGGGGAACCGTTCCGACAACATGGCTCGAATCGATTGCGATGGGCGTGATGAGGCAGCTGGCAAAGCGGCGGGTGGATGGGAGCAAAAGCGCGGGACGGGGCGGAGGGGGCGATGGTGTGTATGGCTGGGGTGAAACGAGGAGAACTTGCCATGTGCAACCCACGACGAGTCAGACGGGGAGCGCTGTGCTCCTACCACGCAGGTTATCAGTCTCAATGAATGCAATATCGAATGAAGGGGGAAGCCGTGGACAGGGTCGGAGGCCTCCAAAACCCTCCACGAGAACCGCGCTGCACATGCTCAATGCAAACCCCACTCATCCCCCTCAAGTCCAACCCCCCCCCCCCGCCATCAATCCTTCACTTGCATTCTGATGTAAAAAAACTCACCATCCATGCATGCATCTTGCCCCCCGGCCTTGACCTTTGAGCAGGACCTCGATCCCAAAATCATCACCGACCGAGATGGACACAAGCTCACCGTGTGGATTGACCAGGCCAAGGTCGGCTACCCGCGCGTACCAGACAACGAGGCGCGACGAAACCCAGCAGTCTTTCCGACAGAGTGCCGCGAGCGCGCATCGACGTACAAGAGCGATCTGCACGTCACGCTGAAGTGGAAGGTCGACGACGGTCCCGTCAACCAGACAGAGCGCAAGCTGGGCCAAATCCCAATCATGGTCAAGTCCCAGCGATGCAACTTGCGCGACCTGTCGCCCACAGAGCTCGTCGCCAACCAGGAGGAGGCCGAGGAGATGGGTGGCTACTTTATCATTAACGGCATCGAGCGCATCATGCGCATGCTCTTGTTGCCTCGTCGCAACTATGTCATGGCGCTCGATCGCCCGTCCTTCCGCAAGCGCGGTCCCGAGTACACCACCTTCGGCACCATGATTCGCTGCACTCGCCTCGACCAGACCAGCCAGACCATCACGGTGCACTTTTTGCAAGACGGCAACTGCATGGTGCGCTTTTCATACCGCAAGAACGAGTATCTCGTCCCCGCCGTTCTGATTCTTAAGGCGCTCGTCACAACCACCGACCAGGAAATCTTTGAGCGCATTGTCGGCAGCAGCAAGCTCGATAGCTTCCTCACAGACCGCGTCGAGCTCATGCTGCGCTCGGCCACCGACATGCACGTCCACAACTCAAAGCAAGCGCGCGTCTTCCTCGGCGAGCGCTTCCGTATTGCGCTCGATGTGCCCGAAGACATGTCGGACGAAGACGTTGGCCGCCTCCTCTTGCGCAAGCTCATGCTCATCCATCTCGACAACGACCAGGACAAGTTTGACCTGCTCGTGTTTATGATTCAAAAGCTCTACAAGGTCGTCAGCGGCGATTGCTGCACCGAGAATGCCGATTCGCCAATGAACCACGAAATTCTCACCTCGGGCCAGCTCTACCTGATGTTCCTCAAAGAAAAGATGGAAGAGTACCTCACTGCGTGCAAGGCCGTCGTGGCGCAAGACTTGCGTCGCAACCCAGAGCAGGTCAGCTTCTCGGCTGGCTCGCAGTACTTTACAAAGTCCCTCAGCAAAAACCCTGTGGACATTGGCCGACGCCTCGAGTACCTGATGGCCACTGGCAACCTCGCCTCCGCCACGGGTCTTGATTTGCAACAAGTCAGCGGCTTCACGGTTGTTGCGGACAAGCTCAACTTTTTGCGCTACCTCTCCCACTTCCGATGCATTCACCGTGGCGCCTTCTTTGCTGAAATGAAAACCACCACTGTGCGCAAGCTGCTGCCCGAAGCGTGGGGCTTTGTCTGCCCCGTGCACACGCCTGACGGCGCTCCTTGCGGTCTGCTCAACCACTTGGCAGCCAAGTGCTTGGTTGTCGACGAGGTTGCCGATGCGTCGCGCGTCCCTGCCATGCTCATCGAGCTCGGCATGGCGCCCATCGACCACAAGATTCATTACCCGTCCGACTACCTGAACGTCCTGCTGGATGGCCGCATCATTGGCAAGCTGGCACCCGAAAATGCAGCGCAAATCACCGCCCACTTCCGCTACCGCAAGGCCCAGGGCCACAAAGACCTCCCGCGCTACATGGAGTCGGCCCTCGTTCTTCCCTCCGAACGCGGCCAATTCCCTGGTCTGTTCATCTTCACCTCGCTTTGCCGCATGGTGCGTCCCGTTCAAAACCTTATTGCCAACACTGTCGAGTATATTGGCTCGTTCGAGCAAGTGTACATGGACATTGCTGTTTTGGAAGCCGATATTGTTCCTGGCGTCACAACGCACCACGAGCTCTCTCCGACCGCCATGCTCTCTGTGAATGCCCTCATGACTCCTTACAGCGACCACAACCAATCACCGCGCAACATGTACCAGGTAAAGCAGCAGGCAGTTTTTTTTTGGTTTGGGTGTTGGTTTTTGTTTTTGCTAGATTGGCGCCAGACTCGTTTTGAAACACGACTCTCATTCATGTTTTTGTTGTCCCCCCCACCCCCACCCCCTCTCAAAACAGTGCCAAATGGGCAAGCAGACCATGGGAACGCCCGCCCACGCCCTCCAGCATCGCTCAGACAACAAACTCTACCGCGTGATGAATCCGCAAGCATCGCTTGTGCGCCCGCAAGGCTACGAAGACTACAAGTGCGACAACTACCCAAGTGGCACCAACGCGGTCATTGCTTTCGTCTCGTACACTGGCTACGATATGGAGGATGCCATGATTATCAACAAGGGCTCGTACGACCGCGGCTTTGGCTATGCCACCATCTACAAGACGCAAATTGTCGATCTCGCCAAGCTCAAGCCCGGCAACCGCGAAAACTCAAAGCCCACCCTGTACTTTGGCACTGTCCGCAACCAGCGCGAAGTCACTGAAAAGCAGGTCGAGGCGGACGGCTTCCCTCCACTCGAGACGGTGCTCAAGAACGGAGCCCCGATCTGCTCGTACGTGGACGAGACGACCAACATGGCACAAGTCGTCAAGTACAAGAGCTCTGAGGAGGGCTACTTGCACGAGATTAAGCTCATTGCCGGGGAAGGCAGCGACCAACGAGCGCAGCGCGCCATCATTCGCTTCCGTCTGCGCCGCAACCCCGTGATTGGCGACAAGTTTGCCTCCCGTCACGGCCAAAAGGGTGTTTGCTCCCAGCTCTGGCCCTCCGAAGGCATGCCCTTCTGCGAGTCTGGCATGGTCCCCGACATTCTGTTCAACCCGCACGGTTTCCCGTCGCGCATGACGATCGGCATGTGGATTGAGACCATGGCTGGCAAGAGCGCCGCCCTTCACGGCGTTGTTCACGACGCGTCTCCGTTCGTCTTCAACGAGAAGAGCCGCGCCGTCGACTACTTTGGCGAGCAGCTGGCCAAGGCCGGATACAACTACTATGGCTCGGAGCGCATGTACAGTGGCGTGACTGGCAAGGAGTTTGACGCTGAAATCTTTATGGGCGTCGTGTACTACCAGCGTCTTCGTCACATGGTTCTCGACAAGTACCAAGTGCGCACGACCGGTCCTGTTCATAATTTGACCCATCAGCCCATCAAGGTTTGTCCCGCTGCGAGCAATTTGCGCGTTGCTTGTTGTTTTTGGGGTTTCTGTTGGAGTATGGAAGACTTATTTGTCGTTTTTTTTTTTGGACTGGACAGGGTCGCAAACGTGCTGGTGGTATTCGCTTTGGTGAGATGGAGCGCGATTCTCTTCTTGCTCACGGCACCGCCTTCCTGCTTCACGACCGTTTGATGAACTGCTCGGATTACTCTTATGTAAGTGTGGGATTGAAGATGGTGGTGCTTTGGTGGCATTTGGAATTCTGGCCAAAAACTCAATCTGACTTCTTCCCCGTCTAAAATCACAACGCAGTCGTACGTGTGCAAGGCGTGCGGCAGTATTTTGTCACCAATGCTCGAGCAAGCAACTCAAATTTCTGGCAAGCGAAACGTCAAGTGTCGGTCGTGCCAGAGCTCCAAGAATGTCGAAATTATCGCTGTGCCATACGTTTTCCGTTACTTGCTATCTGAATTGCTCGCGATGAACATTCGCGTCACACTGGATGTGAAGTAATTTGTGTGTTTTTCCAAATTATACATGGTACTACTCGATTCTTTGTGCTTTTAGCAATCCGCCCTGCTGCCTCAACGTGAGAAATTATGAAGGGTTGCTGTTGGATCAAGAATAGATGTAATACAAGAGAATGCTCAACAAGATGTCACAAATCGCTCCGCTCTCGCAACAATTTGGTCACGTTCTCGTAGACTACAAAGGTGATGCAGGTGGCTGGCGTCACTCGAAGCAAGTTTGGTCCCAACCCTTTGTAGAAGCCCAAAAAGCCTTCGGTGCTGCAACAAACATTGTAGCACAAGAGGTGAGCATAATCAGACGATGGTGCCGCTTCGTTCGATCATTACAAAGCATACCTCCAAACGGTTCGAACCAGAGCTCTGGCGTTAGGATACTGTATTACACCACTATGACCTTGGTTCTGTCAGAGGGTAGAGGGGCGAATCAGAATTCCAACAAACAAAAACAAAACAGACAAAAATCAAAACCACAACCAACAGACCGTACCTGTAACCGTGTACGTGCAAGTTGGAATGGATAGGCGGCTATCGTAGCAAACATCTTGGAAGCAGCAGCCATGACTGTGTACTCCAAAGTGCCCTAATTGAAATCACCAACCCAAAACAACCAAAGTCAACCAACGAGCATCAAGCCATTGTTTCAAATGTTTCCTCCCAACCATCCTCACAAGCTGAGAACCAAGACCGTTCACATACCATTTCATGGCGATGGCTCGCATAGGCCTCGCGCCGAGTGACCCACTTTTTCATCTCTTCGTACGCCATGAATTGGAGCGAGCCGTGCGAAACGCTCAGCAACCCAGGAAGAATCCCTCGATAAAACCCAGCAAGCCCTTCTTGTCGCCAAATCAATCCCAGAGCGTCTGCATGGAAGAGGGCGGCGGCAAATTCAGACACTTTGACCCGACAAAAAGCGCAAACAACAAGGCAGGTCACTTACGTGAAAGACTTCGGTACTGGAGTGGCCCTCCAGCAGATATTGGGCTGCTACACATGCGCGTTTTAACAACCCAGATTGGGTTGGTGAGAATTTGCGTTCCGACACCTGAGAGCAAAACAGAAGACACAAAGATGAATGAAATTCAAGTCAGCAAACAACCGCACCACCCCACGGCATCAGCTTGACAAGAATCAATCTCTTCCTCAGTCAGGAGTCTCTCTGCATTGCAAAACAAAAGTGCTGTCGTCAAACCTGCAGTAACGGCGGCGGCCATGTTCTCAGCTGGTCCGAGCTCCTTCATGTTGAGGAAGGACTGCCACTGCGACTTGGCAATGTTGTAAATGAAAAAGTACAGGCCCCAGGCAGTCGTGGATCCGACCAGGTTTGGCGTCAGACCTCGGTACAGTGCCATTGGGCCTTCGCGGTACTTGATGGACTTGAAAGCATGCCACGACGATCGGTAGCGCTCGCCTCGCTCCTTGGTGCCGTCATGCACTAGTGCATACATGAATAAACGTTAGCCAACATAATTTCCGACATGGCCGGTTCCAATGCAAGTGTAAACATGTCAAACGAGTGAGGTGAGCTGACTCAAATCCGGACGGACGCACTGAGGCTTGCCACGCTTTGGTGTTTCGATGATTATTCATCGCGATTTTCTTTACCTTGCATGCGGATCTTGATGAGATCGAGCGGGTGCAGCAGCGTCGTTGTGACGAGTCCAGCCGCCGCTCCTCCAAGCAGGTGGATGCACGTTGGCGGCTTGCGAGCGGCCTTTGCTCCTGCTCCTGCTGCTGCTCCTGCTGTGGCAGGGTCTGTGCTGGAGTGGCTTGATGAAGTGGTTGTCATGGCCGTGTCGTTGGCTGGGTTCCGTGTGGCTGCGTCCGACCGATCGCTTCCGCTTCCTTCGCCATGTGAGGAAGAAGCGCCCATCGTCGCTCGCAGCTGCTTTCACTGTAGCGGATCCCGAGCAACCACTTTGATTGATTAAAGTGTAGTAATCACAGTTTGTTAGCAAAAGTCGTTCTTTGAGATTTGTCGAAGAAATTGCAGCAAAACTATAAAAGCGAGAGTGAGGATGGAAAACAAAAAAGGAAATTCACAAAAGCAGGCAAAAAACTCAGAACAACAACAACAACAACAACAACAACAACACTACGTAAACCAAACTCAGATCAGATCTACTGTAATGTGCTTTCACCAACAACACGGAACTTGGATCCATTGTGTTCTCACGCCGAGCGAGGACCAGATTGGAATCGTTGTCGGTGTTTGTTCTCAGAACCCGGATGTATTATTCTAATGAGAGCTTCACTACACACCAAGTCAACCAGCAGCGATATATCAAGCAAGCGCGCTGCAGCATACCTGCACAGTGTCGAGGCAGGTCGAAACCCGCTCTTCAACGTTGCTTCTTGTTCGTTTCCCCCCACAAAATCGTACAAGCATCCAGTCCCTTCACCCCCATTTCACCAAGTCATCCATCTGTGGTGCAAGATCTCTCTTCTCCCAATCACTGCACAATCTCGTTGTTGCTCCGGCAAACCAAAGCTGAAGCCAAGCCGAAAGCAGTCCTTTTTTCTTTTTTGTTCCTCCCTTCCTTTCTTCCCATCCATCATGCAGAGCCGCCATTCGGTCGTCGCCCTGCTGGTCCTTCTGCTGGGCACCTGCGCTTTGGGCGCCAAGCTCGAGCAAGTGCACATTGCGTTTGGCGACACCCCCAGCGCCATGACTGTGATGGCAGCGAGCGATGCAATGCCCGCCGCAGCGACCGTCCTGTACGGCACGAGCGCCACAGCGTTGAACATGAACCAGCCTGCGTCCGACGTCCGCTTCTTTACTGCCGGCAATGAGCTGGGTCTGCAGTACCACCTCGTCTTTAAGCTTCAGGTAGCAGTTTTTCCCATCGAAAGCGAGATAGAGAGAGAGAGAGAGAGAGAGACAGAGAGAGGGAACAAATTGGAAACGTCTTCCATCTCTTTCCTTCCCAGCTTCCGGCTTCTTCTTCTCCCCCCTTCCCCCTTTCCCAAGCCGCTTCCACACTCGTCCACACTCATTTCTCTTTCCTCTCTCTTCTTTCTGTTTGCCCGTCTTTTGCGTTATTTTCTTCTTCTTCTTCTCTTCTTCTTCTTTTTTTTTTTTTTTTTTTTTTTTCCCGCCAAACTCCTCTTCAATTTGTACCAAATGTCATTTGTTGACGTGTGACTCTGACGTCTTATCGTCATATTTTGGGGCTCATATGTGACATCACTATTATTCATACAACATTGTGTGAGCTTTTATTATGGCTTGATTCGACTTCAAAAATGATTGTACAGGAATGATTCTGTTTAAAATTATTATTATTGTGTGCTTGTTGGTCAAATAGAATGAGGGATTTGCGCCTCGTGCTTTACGCATTCATTCGATTTGAAAACAACGCACACACCCCGCTCACCTCCCCATTCGAATGTTATTGTTGTTGTTGTTGTAATAATTACTGATCTGAAAATAATCGAAAAAAATGCTTGAATGAATCTGTGGTGGTTGCAGAAACTCGTTCCGGATACGCTGTACTTTTACCAAGTCCGCACCGACACGAACGCGACCGCCGTCTTCCACTTTGTGGCGCAGAACGACAATCTCGACCACCCTGCCAACTTCCTCGTCTACGGCGACTTTGGGTGAGCCGCCACTGAACTACAGCCGTTTTTTTCTTTGTTGTTGTGATCAACTGAAAGTTCACTTTGAATGGTCGCTTCACTTGCAGTCTGCCGAAGGGAGGATTCACCCTGCCGCGGTTGGTGGCCGAGACCAAGACGGGCAAGTTCGATGCTGCCATTCATGTCGGCGATTTCGCATACGACATGTTTGACCACAATGGCACTCGCGGCGACAATTTCATGAACCAAGTTCAGCAGTATGCTGCTTACCTGCCCCTCATGACTGCCGTTGGCGTAAGTTCACCGCCAGGATGATGCAATGACCGTTCTCGCTTCAAAACAGCAGGTGGTTGTGCCCATCTCATCGTTCTATCCTTGCGTTTGGCCAACAATTAGAACCACGAGACTGCGTTCAACTTTAGCCATTACCGCAACCGCTTTGCCATGCCCGGCAATGGCGCTGCGTCCGACAACATGTACTTTAGCTGGGACATGGGCCGCGCTCACTTTATCGCCTATTCCTCCGAGGTCTTCTTCACCAACGGCCCTGTGCAAGACCAGTACAACTTTTTGAAGCAAGATCTGATTGGTAAACCAGCATTGGGCAGAGTATTGGGCAGAGTATTGTGCCGCAGAAACATCTGCTCTCGAGGGTTGTTGCATTGGATTTCTGGAAAACTCACTCCTCCTTGCTCCTTTTGACTTGCCTCTGCAGCCGCCAACGCCAACCGCGCTGAACGCCCTTGGATTATTGCCTACGGTCACCAGCCCTTCTACTGCTCAAACCTTGATCACGATGACTGCACAACCTCTCGCTCGGTCGTTCGTGCTGGCCTCGAGGATCTCTTCTTTGAGTACGGCGTTGATCTGGTCATCGAGGCTCACGAGCACTCGTATGAACGGTACGTCAGCGATGGGTATTCGGTGTTGTGTGTGCTTGTTGTTGTCGTTGTTGTTGTTGTTGTTGTTGTCGTTGTCGTCTTTGTTGTGTGCAAAAACTCACCCTGACCACACACCATCTCATTGCACCTCTGCAGCCTTTGGCCCGTCTACAACGAGACCGTCACCCAGCACGACTACATCAACCCGCGCGCCCCGGTTCACATCATCGCTGGTGTCGCCGGCTGCAACGAGGGCGAGACGACGTGCATCAACCCCATCCTTGGCTCCAAGGGCCCGTGGTCTGCCTTCCGCACCGCGTTCTTGGGCGCATATGGCTACGGTCGTCTCGAAATCACCAATTCGACCCACCTGCACTGGGAGCAGGTGCTTGACATTACTCGCACCGATCTCGACCAGATGGTTATTGTTCAAGAAAACCACGGCCCGTACAAGCCCTTGTAAAAGGGTGTTGAAAGCCTGGATTTTAGGGTGTACACGAAAACCTTGACCAACCGACTTTCCCGTGTGTAGTGGTGGAAGGAAAAAATGCGTGCTGTGCACTTTGTTCCAACAAAGTAGAATGATGATTGTTTATGATTGAAACGAAGGGCGCTTGTTCAAAACCACAACCCACAACCCCCTACTACTGCTTCCATCATGTGCTACAACCGAGATGGCTGGACTGAGGGGGATCGAGCACCTGCACTGCTTTGCAGCTTGGAAAGTCGGTCTCGCGCAATGTCCAGCATGGCGCGCATCCCAGTCGCCACCTCAGCCTCGCGCGTGGACGATGCCAACCGCTGTCGGAATTCAGGCAACAGTGCAGCGCGCGTCCGTCCATTCACAAAGATGACAAACTTGAATCCGTACTTGGCTTCGTACGCAACGTTGAGCTGAGCGAGCTCGGCGAGTGTCCGTTCATCGATGGCTGGACTCGCTGCGCCGCCGCATCCACTCGCGTTGACGGTAGTTCCTACGACAGCAGGGACGCCCTGTTCGCGCTTGGACAGCGCCGAGAGCGATGCCGTTGGCGCGCCAATCCGCGGATGGGCGTTCAGAATGTCAATCTTCTCGTCGTCGGACAGCGCGTCTGTGCCTGTCGCCGCAGCAAGAATCGAGTGTGCAGCGTCAATCAGCGCCTCGTACGACGCGAACGGCCGCTTGGCGAACAGCCGCGCAGTGAGTGCTCGGGTCGACTCGAACAGGACGCTGGTCGCCTCGAGCAGCTCCTCTGGCCGCGTCATTGCGTTGACTTGCTCGATCGATGGAAGCACGCTGGCTGACATGAGATGGGATGGTACAAGAATACGTGTGAATGATTGATCGACAAAAACAGGCGGGCTCGGGGTTGAGGTCGGGTTTTGTGGGTGGCTATTGGTTTTGGTGGGTGTAGCAGGCACTCAGACACTAAGACTGCGCTCTTCCATTTTCCTCTGATGGATGGCTTGTCTGTTAGGAATCTAACAAGCGAAAGGAGTCAGGGTTGCTTGATGCACATGCCGGCGTTCTCTCTTTGAGCGTCGATTCAACGCCCCTCGTCCCGTCCCCATGGCCTTCTCTGCCCCCCGGGGATCGCATTCACCATCTACGATCGCAGTGTCTCTTCTGCTGTTTCTGAGCACAAGCTGTCCCCCCGAAGCGATGCGCGCTCTCGCTCGAATGTTGCAATGATCAACTCTCCACTTCAATTTCCCCCCCCCCCGCTTCGTCTCACCACCCCCCCTCCAGCCCCCATTATTCCTGCTATTTTGTTGTTGCAATCTCATGTGCTGATCTGCATGATGATGATGATGATGATGGTCTATCTTGCCAGTCCTTTTTTTTTTTTTTCCCAACAACTTCAACACAACATCATGTCGGCTGCTCCAGCAACCCACACTCCCGCGGCCGCCGCTGCTGCTGCTGCTGCGCCCTCTGTCGCTGCGCCCTCTGTCACCGAGTCCAGCAGCAAGCGTGGCATCCGCGCCATCCTCATCGGCCCTCCCGGCGCCGGCAAGGGCACTCAGGTTGGCCGCAGCACGCTCCCTCTCGCTCTTTCGACAACACGTTCTTCTCCACCACACGTCACACATCAACAACCACAAATCGACGCTCGTTCGTCGTTCGTCGTTCGTCATCCATTTCAAGAGAGCGATTCAAACAAAAAACAAAACGATCAAACAAAAAAAAAAAAAAAAAAGATCTTTTTAATTTTTATTTTTTATTTTTTATGTTTTATTTTATTTTATTTTATTTTATTTTATTTTATTTTATTAGTTCCTCGTGGCTTTGTTCGAAAATCCGACTGTTTTTCTTGTCTTCTTTCTTATGACAAACGAACACAACAAACGAATGAAAGTGAAACAAAAACAAAAGGTTCACTGAATGAAAAAAAAAAAAAAAAACAAAACAACCAGAAGCGAGGTTGCAGCGAAAGAAAAAAGCGAGATGAAAAAAAAGAGGTAGAAGAAGTCAAGGTGCACTGATAAGTGAAGCAAAGACACTGATGGCGCTGTGCTGGGCTCGAATCGAAGCGATTTGAGAATGAGACGAATAATGCAACAGCGAGTGAGATAAACATTGGAAGAGAAGGAGAGAAGAAGAAGTGAGACCGAGACAGAGAGAGAGAAGAAGAGAGAGAGAGAGCAAAGTCATATGGACAATGATGGGGGCAATGATGCAGCAGTGGTTTGAGGAACGTGATCCGTCGTCACTACTGCTGCTTGCCCAACAATACGCCACAATGAAAGAGAAAAAAGCAAAAGAAAAAAAAAAGATGATCCAAACTGATCACAAACAAACACAAAAGAGAAAGAGAAAGAGAAAGAGAAAGAGCGAGGAAACCAATGGACGACTCTACTCTGCTTCTCTCTACATTGCATGCATTGCATATGGGAGAAAAGTCGCATTCATTCATTCATTGAAACCGCAGAGAACAGCGTGGGGAATCGCGGGATAACGGGAAAAAACCCAATCGTCTCACTCAATCTTGTCTGGTTGGATAGGCTCCCTTGCTCAAGAAGGAGTTCTGCGTCTGCCACCTTGCAACTGGTAAGCAAGTCGACACACTGCATTACTGGCACATCTATTAGCGCTCGCTGATCGTGGTGTTTCTGATGTCGTTGTTTTGACCAATTCGACACTCACTCTCATTTCACCCTTTTGCTTCACGAATCAGGCGACCTTCTGCGCGCGGCTGTCGCTGCTGGCACCGATGTCGGCAAGAAGGCCAAGCCAATCATGGACGCTGGCAAGCTCGTTCCCGACGAAGTCCTGATCGACCTCATCCAAGAGAACCTGGTCAAGCCCGAGTGCAAGAACGGCTTCATCCTTGACGGCTTCCCCCGAACGGTTACCCAGGCCGAGAAGGTACACAGGGCGATTGAAAATGGGAGACGTTTCTGCTCTGCTTTTTTCCTGCGCTTGGGTCTCATCTCTTTCTCTCCCTACTTTGACACAGCTCGACGAGATGCTCGACCACAAGAAGCAAAACCTTGACCGTGTGCTCGAGTTCAAGATTGACGATGCCCTCCTTGTTCGCCGAGTAACAGGCCGCCTCATCCACTCTGCCAGCGGTCGCTCGTACCACGAAGAGTTCCACCCCCCTAAGGTCGCCATGACCGACGATGTATGTTTGATGCAAACTGTTTAGGAGTTTGGTTGCTGTTGTCGTTGCTTTTCCCTTGTCTCTGCTTTCGTTCTCCACGACTCGCTCATCTTGCCCCTCAAACTCCTTGGTGATAGATCACCGGCGAGCCCCTGGAGCGACGATCGGACGACAACGCCGAGACTCTTAAGCGACGATTGGCGGCGTACCACCAACAGACTGCCCCGCTGGTCGAGTACTACAACAAGAAGAACATTCTGTCCACTCTTGACGCTTCGCAGCCTGCCGAGCAGGTGTGGTCTACCATCCGTGGCATTTTCGCCAACTACACCAAGTATCAAGACAGCAAGCAGACTCGTGCTGGCGCCAAGCTTTGAAAAGCGTTCACGCTCGAGTTTTCTTTTTTGTTTTCTGAGCAAAAACCAATTCTGAACAAAAAAAAAATTACCAACCATTTCACCCACTTTGTCACATTTGTAGCTGTTTTACATTTTCACAATCTCCGCATTCGACAGTGGAAAGTGTGTGAGGAGAACACATCGGCAATCTCCATCTGCAATCGATTACAGCCTGCCCGATGCAGCACTGCACAAAGCTAAACACTCATCTCCCTGTGAATACCATCATCTCCCCCATTCAGCATTCATTCCTAGGGTTTGTGATGATGGCTCTGTCAGTTAATGCCATTCGACCATTCCAATTTTAGATTTTGGTTCACTCCTGCCATCTCCACTCTTGGAAAGGGGGAGCCAATATCAACCACCACCACCAGCCCGCGCTTCACACACACACACATAGATGACAGACGCCGCTACCAATCAACCTGGCCCGAGCGAGGCCGTTGCACAATGCAGACCACCTCCTGCTGCTGCTGCTGCTGCGGACGCCGAGTTGAGTTCCGTTCTGGATCAACTGGCCATCCATGTGTACGAAGGAGACGCCGTCAATGTCGCCGACAAGCTCCGGATCTTGGCCAAGCTCGCACAAGACGCCGGTCTTACACCATCTAGCAGTGGTCGCGGGTGGCAGCGACGACCAGGGACGCTGCGGTGGAAGTCGCGGTCGCCCGAGCCAAAACCGGATTTCACGTCATCGCTCGGCTCAGAAACGCAGGTGGTGGATGCATTACCAGCACCAGCACCACCAGCACCACCAGCACCACCGAAATCGATCGAGTCTGTAGCCGTGCCGCTGTTGCCCCGCGAAATTGCAAGCAAGCTCGACCAAGCGACGCTGGACGTGCCAAACAGCCAAACTGCCGCAGGAACGGCGTTGGCAGCGCTCATGCGCGTGAACGTGCCGTATTCGCTGCTCGCTCTGGCACTGGCGCGTCGCTCAAACGAAGCTGCCGCAACCCAGATCGCCGAAATGCTCATCCATGCCGGTGCAGATGTGCGCTCGACGGCCTTTCCAACGGGCGTTGCCGAAGAGCCGACCGATTCCCAAAGCCTTGTGCAACTGTTGCGCGCATCTCCTTCAGCAGCGGCAGAGCTGGGTTATGGCACTCCGTTGCATCTGGCCTGCATTGCCGGCGATGCCCACATCATCCGGCTACTTGTCCAGCGAGGTGCCGCGGGCGAGCAGTGTCTCTTGCTCACAACGAAGGCGAGCCAGCCGCAATTTGTGCTGCCGTTGCTGATGGAGCTCGGGTTTTCAGTCCCGCACCAGCAGCTCTCTGACACGCTCAAGAGTTGGATGCGAGACGGGCAAGTTAGCGGCGTGGAAGCGCTACTCAGACGCACCGCGCTCAATCGCGGCCAATGGCAACGCGCGCTGTTGGACCTCATCACGTCGGTCAAGTCGGAGGACGCGTTTCGGATCGCCAACCTCATCATTGAGCGTGCAGGCCCTAGCGTACTGAACGAGCCGATCGGTGGCTCCAATTTACCGCTGGACGCATGCGCACAGAGCGGCAACGAGCACGTGGCACTGGCGCTGCTCCAAGCCGGAGCAGGGGTGAACAACACGACCAGCGCATTGCCTCCCTTGATTGCTGCCATCCGCTTTGGCCACGAGAGCACCGTGCGCGTGCTGCTCGCTGCCCGCGCCTTTCTTGGTCCACGCATCAACGGCAGTGCGCTCCAGACTGCCTGCTTTTTCGCGCGACCGAGCATTGTCCGGCTGCTGATCAATTTTGGCGCAGACGTCAACGAGCGCGACGACTGTGGGCTTTCCCTTCTGCACTACTGCATGGCTACAGGGAGCCGCGGCACAGCTGCCGACAAGGCCTCGATGCTCGCGTCTCTGCTGAAATGCGGCGTCAACCCGGACTGGACCTCGCATCCCAAGCGAGCCGATTCCCTCGCCGCCGCTGATGCTGACGCGGCCTCCAGCACCACAAGAGGCAGCAGCAGCAGTTCCAAGCTCCTTCGCCGTGCATCTCGTCTGACTCGTGTTTGACCACATCATGGTTGTCGATGTATATATATTGTATAGTAAAAGCGTTTGCCCATGTTGAGCGTTTTTTTCTGCCCACTCTTTCTCTCTTGGCGAACCTCCCTTCCTTTTTCATATCCATCTCAGACACTTGACACACTCTCCCATTCGCGTCATCGCGTCTCCGTCCGAGCTCAGTCTACTGAATGCGTCTGGCCACTCTTACTGCTCCTGCCGCAACGCATCGACTTGGTCATCTCCTCCTGCGCCCAACCATCGCTGCTTCTGCCTCTGCTGCTTCTGCTACAACTACAGCTACAGCTACTGCTACTGCTACCGCCCGTCGATCCATCTCTTGCTCTGGTCCAGCCAAGCCAAATCTGACTCGTCTCGGTCTTGGCAGTCGTCCCGCGTCACTCTCATCCGTCTCCGCTGCTGCTCCTCCTGCCGCCGCCTCGCTCGTCAAGCCGTACTCCCCAAGGTCGATTATCACTTGGCCCACTGTCGCATTGGCTGCTGCTGCTGCTGCTGCACCTTCTGCATTGAAACGCAAGCAATCGTCGTCGCAGTCTTCATTCATGTCTACTTCGCTGGCGACTTGCTCAGCGGCCGAGCTGCTCGCTGCTGCCGATCGCGTTGTTGCTGACGCAGTGCAGCACATGAGTGGCATTGTCACCACCGGTCGCGAGGTGACTCACTCTGGGCGCTGGTTGCGCTCGGGCGTTGTCAAGTATACCGTCCCGATTGTTGCCCAGCAGGAAGGAGGGTCGTCGTCTTCATCAACGTCGTCAAGTGCGTCCGCACGCTCGTGGGAGTATGCCGAACGCACCACCCGACTGGCCGATGTGGGCGTCGACGGCGTCGATATTATCGCGCTGATTGGCAGCAGCAAGAATCCCGGTGAGTGCTTGTCTGTTAAGAAACTCTGAGAAGGTCTGAATGTGGTGCTTGGGGTTGCGAACCACAGGCGGGTTGTCGATCATTGATGGAGTCTGACCGCTTGCAACATTCTCACATGCTATTGGCAGTCCGCGGGTCGGAAAAGTCGCTCGTCCTCGTCCTCAACTACCGTCCTCCTGTGGGACGCCCAAGTCTCGAATTTCCTGCTGGGCTGATTGACAAGGGCGAGACGCCGAGCCAAGCTGCTGTAACGTTTCATTTTCGTCTTTGCTCTTTTTTGACAAGGTGTGTTTGAGTCACATTTTCTCACTGGATGTGGTTCCTCTCCCTTCTACCTCAACCCCTACTCCTCTCTTGTTTCATGCAGTTGCGCGAACTCAAAGAAGAGACAGGGTTTACTGGCGTCATTCGCGAGATTTCGAAGGACATTAACGTGGATCCCTGGAAGTCCACCGAAAACTTCCACCTCGTCACAATGGACATTGACTCGGATGATCCGAACAATGCTACACTCAAGCAAGAGTTGGACGAAGACGAGGTATGCGTTGTCTCTTCGCCCGTGTAGCTGTCGTCCACGATCCAGTATCTCATGTTGCTTTTTTTTTTTTTTTTTTTTTTTTTTTTTTTTTTTTGGCTTGGGGACTTCCGTCCTCAGAACTTGGTTCCGATCATTGTCCCCGTCAAAAATCTCCTGCAAACCATCATCCGGTACAAGGAGCTGCATGGCGTTGCTATCGAATCCAAGTTGTACGGGTTTGCCAAAGCCCTGGAACTTGCGAGCAGCGCTTCGTGGTGACTCGAACTGGAAGAGATTATGTTTCCGTTTCGTTACAAATACAGTCTGGTTTGAAGATGTTTCCTTCTCTGCAAAACCCAATCCGAGCAAATCAAAAGGACGCTTGGTGGTGTTTTACAAGCTCTCGCCGTGCGAGCGACCCGTTCGCTGCACCGCTTTCGCCGCTTCAGCATCTGCCTGCGCCTGGACGAGAGTATCCATAATCTTGAGACCCTGCAAGACAAAGCCGTGACAGAATGTCAGCGTATGTCGGCCATCTTCGACAAAAGAACGAAATCACCCCCATGAAAAACACTTGCCTTGTAAGCTCCGTGCGTCAGAAATTTGGCCACAATCGCCTCAACCGTGCCTCCAGCGAAATCAGGGCACTTTTTGCATTCAAGCGTGCCGGATTGCTTCATATCCGTCCTGCACAACCCCCAACAGCATCATAAAAAGGCCAGACGCAATTTCAATTTCGAGCAAAACTCCCCCTCCAACGCTGCAAATAGCAGCACATCACTGTACCATTGGGGATTGTCTGCATGTCGTGTGTAGGTCGTTCGTTCCACCATCGCTGCAGTGTCAGCCCACGTCACATTGTACGTGTGCGTGCTGAACATGCGTTCCTTGACATCGCGCACGACAACTTCCTCCATAATGCAATGGCCCGGAATAAACTATCCAATACAATGCATCGACAGTCGATCAGCAAATAGTTAGCTGCATACTGATTGGGAGTACCGAGTCAAGAGCGAGTGCAGCGTACGTGAGTGCTTTGCTTACGAATTGAAGGTACCAAGGGACGATGTTCTCCAGGACGGCTCTTCGCTTGACTGTCTCGACGCCATTCTGATCTAGTACCAGCAACATGGACGGAGAGTGGATTAAAGTGAGCCCCCCTCCTGTCTCATCTCCATCTCCAGCTCGGTTCTTCCATTCTTACCAATGTGCCGCTCGAGCACATCGATCGACTTGATGTTGGGATCGCGTCCGTCGGCATACTTTTCAAAGTACGTCTTGTAGACAATCTCAACGGGGAATCTGGGTTTTGACGAGGCGGCGGACGGTCAGTTTGAAGGAAGAAGGGGTTTTGGGTCAAACGAACTCTTGTTGCAACTCACTTGAACAAGTGGGTAATGGTGATCTCGCGCATGGCTCGAGCAAGAACGACAAAAAAAGTATGACTGACCGTCGCAATGTAGGAATAGAGAAATAACGATTGGACAAGGATTGCCTATGATCGAGGCGAAAGGAAAACGATTCACATGAAATGGCAACTTGAATGCAAACTGAACAAGTGGAGTTGGGGGAAAAGTATATTTGCAAAATAACCTAAGATTTTTGTGATAATAAGGAGGAAAAAAAACATGATAACACGAGCGCGGTGGGGAAAGGGGGGAACGGATTACAACTTGGAAACGGGCACTTTCGCTGGAGCGCCGACGTGCGCCACAATAACCGTCACATCATCCGGTTTGCTGAAAAGTGGACAAAGCAATCCCAAATAAAACAGTCAGTCAAACTGACAGGAAGCCAAATCATACAGAAATCCTACACGGGCCCCCTGTGACTTACCCAGAAATTGCCATTCCGCCTCGGAAGCCAAACGGACTTTGGCCTTTGCGCGCATACGACATGTGCGTGGCCATGACGGTCAGGGCCCGTGCAACGGCGACGGGGCCATCGGCGCTCACACGCTGGACAACCGAGAGCATTTCCTCGTCAAACAGATTGTCGAGAAGACCATCGGTGCCGAATACAACCCAATCGCCGGCCTCGAGCTGGAAAGAATGCGCTTCAGCGAGCTCGGGCAAATCGTGGATGGAACCTCCACGCATGTGCGGGGGAACCACCGACAGTTGGTACGGTGCATTGAACGTGTGCTGCTGCTCTTCACTTCGGTAAAACACCTTCTGCTGACGAATGACGAGGAAGCCCGAGTCACCCAAATTGGCAGTGCGGAGCGTCCAAGTCTTCTTGTTGAAAATGGCCAAGCATGCCGTGCTGCTTCCTGTGATGGATTGAAGCAAAACATCATCAATAAAGGGAAAAAAAAAAAGTCAGCAAAAGCACCATTCAAAAAGCACCATAAAACGAGTCACGCACCTGCTTCCACCGTCTGTTCGCGAATAAGCTTGGCGTAGGCCTTGGAAAGCAGCTCCTTGGGCTCATAAGGAGCCATTGCGGGGCGGGAAAGCGCCGAGCAGTTGTTCATAAGAGTCCACGAGAAAACGGCAGGATCGACACCCAGCTCGGCCCAGCCGCCAACACCGTCGGCCACGCCAAGGAAGGTGCTTTCAGTAGTGTCATGTACAAAGAAGGCATCTTCACCGCAATCGCAAGTCCAGATTTTCCGGGCGGCAGAGTTGGCGGCAAGCCCGTTGCGCGAACCCGTGCGACGCTTGCCAGCACAGGCATAGCCAACTTCAAAGGAGGCGGCGGATGGAGCAGAGCCCGCCGATTTGACAGAGCCCTGATAGCCAATAATGGACGACGAACCAGTTCCCATCGTGAAGGCCTGCGGCGGGTCGGACTGCTCTGTAGGAGCCGCGGCGAGCTGTGCAGAATCAGTCTGTTCGGCCTCAGCAACCAAGTTGCGCGAGGTTTTCGAGCGCTTCATGGAAGGACCATCGTCAGCACTGGGTGCACCCTCCTGCTTGCTCGTTGTTGGCTGAGACTCGGTGCCGGCATTTGTGGATTGGAAGGTAAAGTTAGTGCCCTCCGATGATTGGGAGGACGAAGAGGAGGAAGAAGACGACGATGACGACGAGGAAGAGGAAGAGGAAGAGGAAGAGGAAGAGGAGGAAGGAGAATTGGCCGCGGTCGAGTTGAAGGACGCAGCTCCAGAAACAAGCGCTGCAACATGAGCGCCGAGAGTACTCGCTGAAACGGACATGGATGCAATGTAACGCACAGGAGGAGCTGCAGCGGCCAAAATAGAGGCTACGAAGGTCGGCTGCGGCTTGGACACGGCTGCTGTAGCGGTGGCGGTGGAGGGCGTTCGGGCGTGGGTGGAGAAATACGCCGCGGGAATGGGTGCAAATCGAGCGACCGGGCCGGACAAGAAGAGCGACGCAGAGGATGCGGTAGAAGCAAGGAAACTGCGGCTGCTTGTCAGCAAAGTGGGGTACACGGACGCGCGACGCGTGGTGGAAGAAATCCGCGACGCTGCAGAAACGGATGCTGGAGTCACCTTGCGAGCCGTTTTGAGCAGGACGGAGGACATGCCGAGGAGCGAACGTACGAGAAGAGGACCAGACGACGCACCGGCAGATGCAGCAGGGGTCATGACCGAGGACGCAGCGCCGGCGGCCGCAGCAGTCGAGGCAGCAGCAGCCGCGGCAACGACAGCGACAGTGGCTGGAGGCGCAGGTGCCATTGTCACCATGGGTGCAGAGACAAACGAACTGGCCATGATAGAGGGAGCTGCATTGTCGCCGAGGAAGGGCAGCACAGACTGGCGGGCAGCAGGAGGCACAGGAGATGCCGTGCTCAGCGTGTCGTGATGGAGCGACGAGAGCGCATGCAGCGAGTCAGTCGTGAGGAGAGCGTTGGGCGTCGAGTTGGACGTGCCAGCGGGCGTCAGGGACATGGGCAGCGCGCCGATGGGCGCGGCACGGTGGCTGGACAGCATGGCCGAGGCGAACGCGTCCATGACAAGGCCGTACCATTCGTGGGTGAGGCGGTCGTTATCGCGACGCAACAGGCAAAGCATGGAAAGAATCTCAATGAAGCTGGCCTCGGAAGTGGAAAAGAACGGAGCGTCTCGCGACTGAAAGTGCTGTTCTTGGCGGACATTTGCGGGAGGGGACAGATTGCTGCGCGAGCCGCGGCGGGAGCGCCAGGACGCAGCGTTGCGCCGGGCTGCGCGCCATTGTTCAGCCATCCGGCGCCAGAACGGCTGCTGCGATGACGTTGGCGAGACAAACGAAGGTCCGACCGAGGCCATGCGCGAGAACGGCGAATGTCGCATCCTGTGAAAGTCGTCCCGGCCAAACTCGCGCTTGGCGGACGACGCGTTGAAGGAGGACGCCGAGGCCGAGGCGGCGTTGTTGCCGGCACGGGCGCCGTGCGCGTGGCCCGACCCTGCGCCAGCATGCGCGCCGGCGTGCTTTCGCTCATAGTAGTAGGTGAGTGGCCGCGGATGCGACAGCGGCTGGTTGTACGCCGAATGCTGGCGCCACCAGGCGTGTGTGTGTGTCCGGGAGGGCTCGTGCGAGCTTGTGGCCGAGCAGTGGAGGAATTGCGAGTGGCTCGCCATCCACGCGAACGGTGCCGTTACGGACGCGGACACTGTCTGCTGGACGCTCGATCGCGGGAAGACTCCGATCGGCGGCATGACTCAAATGAGTTGTGCACGGTGAACCAGGGTGGGGGCGGGGGAAAAGGGGAGCAAAGCGATGACGTTGAAACGACGAGCTTTCCAAAAAACACAATCTCCGAAAAATGTGACACAAACAGGCTTGAGGAAGAAAGAGAATGAAGAGTAGCGTAGAAATGGAAAACCAAAAACCTGTGTGATGCATAGGAGGCGAGCGATAGGAAGTAAGTCATCACAGGACGGCACATCAATCCAAACTCAAGCAAAAAACAAAACAAACAAACAAAAAAACAAAATGCTTCAACACAAAATCCCCGTTCTGTTATGAGCCGAGAACGGCCTTTTTTTTGGATCCGCTGATTGTTTTGATCCAATGATATTTAGGAGAGCTGGAGAGCTGGAGCGCGGGAAGGAGCTGAGAAACGACTTTTGTGGATTGTTGCATCATTGAAAATTCAGAGATGCCCTGCATTGATCCGATGCTGTGTCGCTCTTTACTGAATCTCCCCCCCTCCCCATTGCTTTGATCATAGCATGTCCTGAGGGGCTGGAGCGCGGGAAGGAGCTGTGGCTGAAGTCCTTCCAATGAAGCTCTTCGGATCGCTCTTTGTTCTCTGTTTGCCCTCCGGCAGCATGACTGCGAACCCCGTTGTTCCTCATAGCGTCATCTAATTTGTTCCCCCCCCCCTTTCCCCTTTCCCCCTTTGTCCACTGCATTCAACAGAAGAGCAGCAAATAGGAGGAGCGACGGGGGGAAAAAACGGAAAAAAAGGAAAGCAATGCTTTTTCTGTGGTTTTAAATTTTGAATCCTGTTTTTTTTTTTCTCTCTCTCTCTCTCTGTTGTTCCTGTTCGTTGCTGTTGTTTGTGCTGTCATCCCGCTACCTCTAAAACAGCCGATACACCACACCACCAGCATCGCGAGGCACAGACTCGGACTGGCGATGGTGACATCAGAGCAGCTCCCCATCGGCAGAGATAACGAGGCAGTTTCCGCCTTTTTTTTTTTTTTTTTTTTTGCTCCTTCTTTGAGTTTCTCTTTACTGTCGTGTGTAGGGAGCTCAATGTGAACAATCCATCGAAAGATGCACGTTGCGCCACCAGATGCGGCTAACAGCGCGCAAGAGCAGCAACGAGAAGCGAGAGAAGGCACAGAAACAACAGCAAGCTCAAAAAAAGAAAAAAAAAGCCATGCTGCAGCTCTTCCATTACCGCGTCCACACTCGCTGCTTCCACACATCCCCACACGCACCCACACATCCATGTACATAAACACGCAAGCAGCGAGTGGTCTGTGTCATCCACTGGCGATCGGCAGACGGAGAAAAGCAAGAAAAGCCTACCGTATTGGTTTTGAATGGAAACCTCAAAGAAAAAAAAAAAAAAACGAGGAAAAAAAAGAATGGACAGCTTTGACATTGTTTTTCTTCTTTTTTTAAAACCGTCTCAAGGAATAACAAAGAAAAAAGAACATGGGATATGAGACAATTGAATCTCGTCATAATAATGGAGGAGTGCTCAAGAGCTCACAGAGGAACTCGACAGATGATCAGCCGAGCTGACGACGGTGGAAGGATCAGGCTTTCCCACATATGTGTCGCATGTATGGCTCTGTCCAAACATTTGAAACTATCGATTGCCAAAGACCCAACGTGTTTCCATAGCGTGTTGCGAATCAGTTGAATGGAGCAACAAGACTCGAGAGCAGTTTGAGCAGACAAACAGTCACCAATCATCATCAATATATTGTCAAACAAACAACAGACACACGGAACCTCGAATGAACAGCAAGCAGCATCATCACTCGTCATCGTCATCGCTGTCAACAGATTCCCCTTGCAGTCGTCGGTACAGGGTGCATTTCCGTCGGATTTGGTTGGCAGTGTGTTGCAAATAGTTGAGCTCCTTGTCACGAGCCATGGCCTGTCGATGGAGAGATATTTCAGAATGTTAGCCCAACTACAAATAAAAGAGACCAATCATGGCACCAGGGAACGGGTACAAACCTTGTAGTTGGTGCCATGTCGCTCCATCAAAGCTCGCACAAACTCTTGGACGCCTGGGGGCTGATGAACCTGAGCTGATGCAGTCTTGGCTGCCTTTGCTTCGAGTGCTGTGGTGTTGTGGTTGCATCCCACAGGACAGGGTGTGCGACTCAGTGATCTGACACATCGAAGAACACGCGTTCATTGTCGCTCAAAAGGTGGCGCTCACCTCCATCAACTGACACAGCTTCGCTAACTTTGGGAGTGCCGGCAGCTGCTTCTGCAGCATCGGCAGCGGCTTGAGCATCGAGCGCTAGCAAGTCGACCGATCCAGGCGCGTCGCCGTTGCTCAGCAATCCCCGGCTGGCAGCAAGGTTGGCTTCAGCGCGCAGCTGCAACGTCGCGTTCGGGTCGACAACCAGGCCAAGCGATGCAAAGTTTTCCTTGAGTGTCTTGTTCTTGTCCCACGCGGCCTGCACATCCGGGTGGAGCACCGAGACCTATCCAACGACGATCATGGAAGCGTTTTTGTGTGAGAATGGGATGGCCTTTTCCCCCCCTCTTCCCCCTCCCCACAGCGCTATCGCTGCACCGCAAAGAGACTGGCGCAATGTTCGCCTTGCAGATAGTGCTTTGAGGGGGGCGGGTCGTGGAAGTGGGGGGTTGGACGGATGTGTGTGACCAAATCCTCCGAAGCTCCACATGGTGTGTGTGGATTCAGTTGCTTCGAACTCAGTCGTCCCTCAATCCCAGCATCCCAACCGAATCATCAAGAAGAGCCATTCCATGATGAAAGCCACTTTGCTGTACCTTGCGCAGATTGCGAGCGGTGCGGTGCTTGACTTTGCTTGAGCTGACCGCGGCGCGGACTGTGTAGTGCTTCTTGCGCTTGGACGACTGGCGACCCATCTCCTATGAAGAAGAAAAAAAAGAAAACTGAAGCGACGAAGAGTAGTAGTAGTGAGTCCAAGTATTCGTACTTATTCAGTCACATTATCGGTTGGCTTCTCCAATGGTTTGGATGACGCACGAGGCCAAGCAGCAGTGAATATGTGGAAGAGGTTTGAGATTGAATTGGAAGGCTCATCACGCAACCCTGTATCCTCTGTCAGGCTTCGTGACTAAGTGTACATCGATGCATTAAGTCTCATTTTCCATTTCTGAGCATTTTCTCAGTCCTTTTTTTTTTTTTTCAACTTTAGATGCCAAACCTCGTTCAGGCGGGCGTTTCGCTCATCTCGCGGCGGTCGACCGAGTCTGAAGCCGAAGTCGCTGCCGAGCAGTCTGCCGAGGAGATCCATGTCGCGACTTCGACAAGGTAACCACTCGTATGCAAAGTTGAGGGGTGGGGTGTCTGTGTCGGAGAACGGCCGCCGAAACGGAGGTGTTCCACGGATTGCCTTGGATGGCGGTTGGATCAACGTGAGGGGGTGGGGATTGGCAAAAGTATGTCTTCATACATTGTAGACAGCGTGTGAAAGCAATCGCAGAGTGAAAGCGTCAAAGAGAAGAAAGAATGACGAACGAAAGAACTGGAAAAAAAAAACAAAAAAAAAAAACAAAAAAAACAGGAAATGAAAAACCGGATTCAATGCAAAATGCATTAGAATAAAAAAAAAAAAAAAGAACTAAAAAAAAAAAAAAAAGGTTGAAGAAATGCATTGAAACGAGGAATGAAGAAAGGGAGCGGGGAGGAGAGCGGAAGCGGATGACAGAGCGAAGAACTACAATCAAAAGCAACATACGTCCAACATGACGAGCGGAGGTAGGGGGTGGGGGGGGGCAAGGGTGGATGGGAAGAGTCGATCAGAGAGGAGCCATGCGACTCCCGCCCCATTTTTGAACTGCGGCCCTGCGATGTTGTTGCACCAGCGACGGACGCGACGGATGGCTGCTTCGAATGCTGCTGTTGGAGTATGGATTCCGCAGTAGCAGAAGTAGCAGCAGCAGTGGAAGTTGGGAGCGAAAAACCAACGCAAGCATATAAAAAAAGACAAAGAAAAAAAGATAAAAGAACCTGCTCTCAGTCAGTCGCACACACACACACGCGCGCTGTCACACAGTCACAGTCACACATGCATCCCAATCCACTAGTCGCAACGAAGGAAGGTTGGGATCAGCGAGCGATCGTGCGATGGAAGCAGACGATCAAACAGTTCGCAGCTCAATGCATCGGCCATTCACTTGAATTCTCCATGCATCCACGCTCCACCACCCTCAACTCGACGTTGTCTCATTGCTCTGTTACTCATCACTCAATCATTCATCAAATCATTTCGCAGTTTGCTGCTCCTGCTGGGCTTGCTCATGCTGACCGTCATCACGGTCTGGATTTTCCACATCCGCCACTTCCGCTTTGTCCACGAAACGGGTCTCTCCATCATCTACGGTAGGTTTGAGTTGGTTCAGTTCAACTGCTTGGCTCTCTGCCGAAATTGCCCTGGTTCATGCTTGCTGCGGATGGTACTTTTTGCTGGAAACTCACTGCCGCTCTCCCAATCCATCTTTCTCAGGTGTCATTGCTGGTCTCATCATCAACTACGCACCAGGCGACCACAGCATTCAAAACCGCACTGTGTTCGACTCTGAAATCTTCTTCTATGTGCTGCTCGTCCCGATTATCTTCCACGCCGGCTATTCGCTTAAGCAGGTGAGTCCCAGCTGTTCGTTCAGTACACAATTCGTGATATCTGGGAAGTGCTCTCTGCCTTCACTCACCAAGTGCTGTTCTCGCTATCTCTCGTTTGGCTGTCTTTTCAACGCCTTCCCAGCGCCACTTCTTCCGCAACATTGCTGGTATTCTTGTCTATGCTTTGATCGGCACGACGATTTCTACCTTTATCTTTGGGTATGCTGGTCCATTCTGATTTCCATCTGTGTTATTTGGAACCACTTTGTGAACTCGGCATGTTGGTATACTGATCACCCTTCTGACCTTTTTGTGTTTTCATTTTTTTTTTTTTTGGCAGCGGCATCATGTACTGGTATGTGGCTGCAGGCAACGAGAACATTGACATGGGTATCGTCGACTGCCTCTCGTTTGGTGCCCTGATCTCCGCCACCGATCCCGGTACGACAACTGTTTGTTGTGCTTTTGCTGGCAGCCCCATGGATTCCAGCACGCTTGCTCATTCTTCTCCTTTCTTTGCTTTCTTTGACACAGTCACTGTGCTCGCCATCTTTTCTGAAATGCGCGCCGACGTCGATTTGTACGCTCTGATGTTTGGCGAGAGTGTCCTCAACGACGCCGTCGCCATCGTGCTCTTCCGCACGATCGCCTCCTACCAACCCGGCCTCAACAATGCCTTTGATGCTGCCGGATTTTTCAAGTCGATTGGCGTCTTCTTGGGCATCTTTGTCGGCTCCATGGCTATCGGCCTCGCTGTTGCAATGGTCACTGCGCTCTTCATGAAGCAGTCCACGATCAAGCACCACCCGCTCTTGGAGACGGCCGCTTTTGTTCTCCTTTCGTACAGCAGCTATCTTGCTGCTGAGGCTGTTGGCTTGTCTGGTGAGTTGGATGTGTGTGTGGGCGGGGGGTTTCACCGCATTCTGAGCCTTCTGCTCGTACGTTTTGCTCACCACAAATCACGGTTGAATCTCTGTTTGTGATAGGCATCGTGTCTGTGCTGTTCACCGGCATGGGTCAAGCCCACTACACCTTCAACAACCTCTCCGAAGAGTCCCAAAACCGCACCAAGCAGTTCTTCGAGCTCCTCAACTTCCTTGCCGAGAACTTTGTCTTTTCTTACCTCGGTCTGTCGCTCTTCACCTTCCCCAGCCACGTCTGGCGCCCAGGCTTTATCATTGTTTCCATTGTAAGGATTTCTTCCATTGTTCGAGCGCATCCCCCCCCCCGTTGCCAGTTCAATCCACTCACAACCTCACTTTTTGGCCTCGCCTTCCATCGTCACAGCTTGCATGCATCCTCTCGCGCATGTGCAACGTCTTCCCTCTGTCGTTTGTGCTCAACCTGTTCAAGAAGCCGTACAAGCGCATTCCCCTCAAGTTCCAGCTCATGATGGTGTGGGCTGGCCTGCGTGGCGCCATCGCGTTCTCGCTTGCCTCGTCCGAGACGGTCACCGAGGCTCAAAAGATTATCTTGACGACCACCCTCATGATTGTTCTCTTCACTGTGCTCGTCTTTGGCGGCGGCACGACCATGATGCTGCAATTCCTCAAGATTCGCGTCGGCGTTTCGGATGACGACGAGGTCCCGACCAGCAACTATGTCTCCAACAGCAAGCAAAACCCGCTTGCCAACCACCAACCCCAAGAAGGCCAGGCCAGCTTGGTGCGCCGCTTCCTCAACTTTGACCAAAACTACCTCAAGCCCGTGTTTGACAGCCGCTACGTTGACGTAGCAGAGCCAGACACTGGCTTTGGCTCTGTTCTGGCATCCTTCAAAAACCGCAAGGGCCCTCGACCCGTGCCGGTGGTGGATGCCAGCCCCGACGAGCTTGCTGCGAAGGGAAAGACCCGGCTAGATCGCGACGGCGATGACGAATCGCTCGACGACACACCAAAAATCAGCGGTTCCTCGTCTGTCAAGCTCCAGCTCGGCGATTAGACGTGAATTTTGAGGATTTTCATTGTTTGGATGTGTTGTTTTGTTTTGACGTGAATGTTTCGATGTTTTCTCTTTTTGTTGTTTGTGAGCTTTTCGAGTGTTTTTGTCTGTCGATTGATGTTTGTTGCACACCTTTCTTGCGGCACTCCGAGTACTATTTCTTTTTCGAATTACCTGAAATCTCTATTGAAACATGTGGAAGAGTTGTGCGTGTTGAAGAAGTTGTCTGTCTGGGTTGAAGCGTTGAATGTTTCAAAATTTGCTGCAAAATTCTACTCTCGCTCGCGATCGAGTCGGTCTTGAACGCGTTTCCGCCAGCATTCCTCGTGCATCTTCTTGTATCCCTGCACGACGTACCGCCCTGAAAACCCGGCTTCGCGCTTCTCGACAATCACATTGAAGCAGTCGTCGCACCGCGGCCCGGCGTAGTCGCAGTAGCACTCCCAATGGTAGCACTTGTCCTGGTAGTGCAGCCATCGCCCGGAATATCCCTTCTCAGTGTCCTCTGTGAGCGGATCCAAGCACTGCTGGCACTTTGGCGCCACCTTCTTGACGTAGCACTCGTAGTGGTACAGATTGTGCGGATTGAGGGCAGGAGCGCACGCGTCGCCGCTCATCCCGCGCTGCTTGTCCGGCTTGATGGCGTCAAAGCACGACGAGCACCGCGAGCCCGCCTTCACTTGCATCGCAGGTGTAAAGACAGAGGCAGAAGCGGTCTGCGCAAGCGAACTCGTCGCGGTTGAACCAGATTTGGATGATGACGCTGCGCCACCAGTGGTAGTTGATGAGCCACCGCTGCCGGGTTTCGGCTTGAAGTTGACAGGTTCTTCTTCAGTGTAAGGCGGCGGGAGAATGTCGGCGCCGGCGTACGAGGACGCGGCGGCGTCGGTTGGAGAGTATGGCGGCGGTGCTTCCGCCTCGAGCCGTTTGGACATTTGGATTTTGGGATGAGTGATGGATCAGATGGAGAAAGTGAGTGAGGCGCATTCGAATGCGGAATGTATTGTACAAGTAATCCTGGAAATGCATAGCACCGTGAGAGTGTGGGGAAATCAGTGTGTGAGTTCTGGAGAAGATCAGCTCTCCGTCTTCCAATCGAGGTCGGATTGGGAAAAGCATCGGAAGGCGCCCGCAGAGTTGTTCGACCAGACAAAGCGCGTGCTGTTATGATTGAGGGCAATGGAGATGCTGCGGGTTGCGGCCGCGGGTCCAACGGGAGCGCTTCGTTTGCCCGCGTTTGGAATGTGCACCACTCGAGGCGCGAGTACATCTGCGGCAAGCAACCGAACAGGACGGTCAACCATGGACGGATGCGTATTGAGTGGGTGCAGTTCTTTGTTGGATCAACGAGTCCCTTCCCTTCCCCTCCCTCCGCCCAAAACCCCAAAACCCCGAATGATAGCAGTAGACTCAACTCGAAGTTCGAAAGCTTTCGCGTGAGCCATCATCCATCCAGCCCGTCTTGACAGAGTGCCCAAACAGGAAGGACGAATCCCAAAACTCGAGCGAATTGTCAGTCTTGGCAGCAACAAACAGGCCGTTGTCGCGCGAGAGAATCGGACAGACGCTTCTTTCGTCGCGCCCTCGCATGGACGAAGTTCCGCTAAAGGACGACGCGTGCTGGTGTTGGAGTGTTAACAAGCCTGTCAAGAATGCAAAAACCCCCAAAACAAAACATAATCAGCTGTGCTACAAGTGGTGTTCGAGTCTACGAGACCAGTACCTTTGCAGGTCGAGAGATTCCAGGCCTTGTGCTCGCCCGTCACGGTCGAAGTGATTAAAAACCGTCCGTCGCGTGAGACATTTAATGCATCAATATGAGCGTGTGGATCGTGGCCAGTGAACGGTCGAACGTACCTGGAATAGGCATTCAGCCAAAAAGTGAAGGTGAGTTTGGAGAAGCTTCTCGAGACAACCCATCCCCATTGCGCCACCTTACATTTTGAGTGCCTTGTCATACTGCTCGTCCGTGGACTGGTTCATGTCGAAGAACTCGCCGATATGACGGGAGCAGGGCGCGACGTGCGCGCCTGGAGGGGCTGGCATTGAGGCGGTGCGTGAAGTTGTGAGCCACGAAGCCGTAAATCTCCTGTCGTCGGTCGGTAGTGCTGAGAGGTGGTCGTTGGAATTCGACGGAGACAAAGTTGGAGAGCGCGCTGGCGGCGACCGGGTTGGCGACATCGATGAGGGCGACCACGATCTGTGTGCTGCTGCATTCGGGCTGGCGAAATTGGGCGAAGGCGATCGCCCTCGGCTTGCAAATGCTCCAACCTCTGGAGACATTTCTGTGCTGCTGCTGCTGTGTGTGCGGGCGTGTCGAGAAGATGGAGGGCGCTGTCCAAACGATGCTTCTTCCGTCATCGTGAGTGTAGCGAGCGGCAGTGCAGACGAGCTGTCGCGTGATTGCAAAACGGGTCCGGAAAGGTTGCGAATGTCGAATAACAGCGCACTCGATCCGGCAGTGCACACTACCAGCTCATCGCTCCCAGGCACGAACTTGGCAGCGGACGAAATGAGGCCTCTACCGAAAAAGGTTCAATGGAAAGAGCGGGTGAGCAAAACAACGAAAGCCATCAATCAATGCAACAAACGAGGGTTTTGTGATGGCCAACCTTTTCAGTCGAATGGTCAAGATTTCTTCAAAAGAGCGTAGGTCGAACATGCAAAGTGTGCTGTCGGCGCTATCCACACCAAACACACAGCGAAGGCAACAGAAAGAACCAAAAAATTCAGACTGCATTTCAACAACCCAAACACAGCTGCACGTGCAAATACGTACCAAGAAGTTAACACTGCAGTGGCCTGCTCATTGACTTGACAATCAACAAATATCGAAGGGTGGCGGAGATCGTTGAATGGCGGAGCTGCGGTAACTGAAATGTGGAAATTGGCGCGGTATCAACAACAAGCAGAACAGTTTCGCACGGTTCGTTGAGAAGGATGCGGAATTGTTTCAAGTAGAAGCAGAGTGATGTCTAGTACTACTTACTCGCACAATGCTGCAGATCAGCAATGACCAACTCGCCGTGATCGCCAGTGCAAACCATCTGGTGCGAGTTGGCCCATCCGTAACACGGTGCAATCAAGCTCACGTTGTGGCTGAACGTAACCGAGTGCACATCCTTGGTAGAAGACCTGCATGCCCACAGATTCAACATGAGTTTGGAGTGAGTCGAAACGGTGCGATTGTTTGACCGAAAACACAAATCCTGAACTTTACCCGGACGTCTGGAAGAGCGCGACAACCGGTCCGTCGTGAACAGCTAGGAGATCGTCTCGAACAGGCTCGCATACAAACGTGACGCTCTTTGGCAGCAGCGGAGGCGCATCCGGCAATGTCCACCATTGCATTGCATTGAACGTCGTTGGCGGCGGATGACTCGCGCCAGCCAACTCCGCACCCGCCGCAGCCGTGGTGCCAGGCGCACTCGCACTAGTTGTTGCAATGCTTGACGTTTTTGCCAGTCGCTTTGCAGTCGATGCAACGGCCGCAACCAATCCGGCGTTCGTCACTGCGCCAAGCCGCTCCAGCATTGCAGTGCTCGTCGCGTGCTGGACCGGCGCGCAGCACGCAGCGTTTCGTGCCGGCGGATACACATGACGCTGCTGTGCTCTCGGGGCTCTTGTCAGCGTCGGGAGGCGGACGAACGTTCTCGGCAGGCCATTCGGCGTCGCGGGTTTGGCTGGACCTGTCAAATCGGATGCCGGGTCGTCGTCCGTTGCCCGTGCTTGTGACTGTGCCTGCGATGACTGTGGTGCTTGGGGCGGAGGGACTTCGATGGGCCGCTGTGACGCACGGAGCAGCGACGAGGCGCCATAGCACGGCTGAGCGCTCAGCTCGCGCGCAACGAGCAGCTCGTGCAGCAGATTCGCAGGCGAGTCAGGCGATCGAGGCTTCATTCATGAGGCACAACAATGAGCAAAACAAGGATGGAGAACAACGACAACAACAACAAAAAAGGTTGAGAGGAGAGAAACGACGTGCTCAGTTCAGACTGCAGCGTCTGAGCATTCGAGTGAAAGAGAAGACTGGAGGCAACGGGCATAGAATTAGAATAGACTAGACGAGAAGGAGAGAGAGAGAGGTGCGACCCCCCAGTGACCAGTCTCATGTTGAACGCTTCAAAGCAGTCATAGATGGGAGAAGTGAAATGTTCCAAGTTGCTCAGATCAATGGCTTTTCTTCTCTCTCTCTCTCTCTCTCGCTCTCTCTCTCTCTCTCTCTCTCTCTCTCTCTCTCTCTCTCTCTCTCTCTCTCTCTCTCTCTCTCTCTCTCTCTCTCTCTCTCTCTCTCTCTCTCTCTCTCTCTCTCTCTCTCTCTCTCTCTCTCTCTCTCTCTCTCTCTCTCTCTCTCTCTCTCTCTCTCTCTCTCTCTCTCTCTCTCTCTCTCTGTCTCTCTCTCTCTCTTTTTCTGGCTCTCTGAGCTTCTCCTTCTCAATTAGCCACCGTCTCAATTGCTTTTTAATGACATTCCGGCACATTTCGACACCTTTTCCATCTTTGTCGTTTGACTTCTCCTTTTCTGGGTATCTCCGACTCAGTTCTTTTTTTTTTTTCTTTCTTTCGTCCTTTCTCAGAGTATTTTCCTCACAATCAAACACACTTTTCGTTCATTCCAACAGTCGTAGCAGCGTCTTCCTTTAAGTTTGTGGGAGTGAGCGAAAAACCATGAGCCAAGCAGCAGCAGCAGCAGCAGCAGCAGCAGCAGCGCCCGAGCCGAGCGACTTGGTGCAGCTCGATCAGACCGTGCTTGGAAGTTCGGACGGCGCTTCCGTCATTGCCACTGCGCTCCAGCGCCGCTTTGCCGCTCAGCAGTACTCGGTAAGCGAAACAAGCGCGCGCATGCTCCTTGCAACCCACAACGCGCGTTGGGGACGGGGAGGGGGGCGTGGATCCGCAAAACGAGCGAGGGTGTGGGATCATGAGGTTTAGAAAGAGTGACGCTCTGAAGCAACAAAATGATACCCTCGGTGCTCTCTCCCAGTGATTCTTAAAGCGTTTTAAGCGATTGTTTATTTTTTCGTTCATTCCTCCATTCTCTCGCTCTCTCGCTCACCATCGCCGGTCTTCCAAACCCGCGCCATCGAAGCAGACACACAACCGAACATGCACGCATTCGTGCGTCATGTCATCATCAGTAGCAGCAGCAGTTGAGTGAGTGAGTGAGTGAGCAAGCATTGAGCAATGCGATAAGGCAATATTATTTTATTTTGTTTTATTTTATATTATTTTTTTAAAATTGTGTGTTTTGATGTTGAATCGTGGAATCATCCGACAATGGAAGCGAAGGGAAAGAACAACAACGAAGAGAAGATCGAAAAAGCAACCTGGCGCGGAGATGAACGAGCAGAGGCGGAAAGTGGAAAAGCGGAAAAAGTTTGCTCGCGCGATACACAAAATACATGTCACACGAGGCACAATGCACAACGTGGGCGGCGATCAGGCAATGAGATGAGCAAAACAAGCAAATTGAAAGAATTGCGGAAGGGGGGGGGGGAAGGGAGGATGGCAGGGATGGCAGGGATGGCAGGGTGTGTCGGCAACACATCTCAGACAACTGTCATATCACACCCTCACAAAAAGTGCGCGTGCATCCGATTAAAAAAAACACTCACCTTCTTCTTGTTTCCCTTCCCCCTTTGTTTATTGCTATTGCAGACTTGGGCTGCCGAGTCACTGGTCGTGGTCAACCCGTTCTCGGATGCGACTGGGTACACGAACGCTGCGATCGCAGTCGGCCGAAACAAACCTCTATCAAAGCGAGCAATCGCACTGCAGCAAGGCGGATTGTGCCGCTCGGGCGGGAAGCCATCGGTCGCTGCGGCTGCAGAACAGGCATTGCGCTCTGCCCTCCAGTCGGGCGAATCTGGCTTGGTTGTGATGCGCGGCCAGGCTGGCTCTGGCAAGTCACGCGCGGCCGAGGCAGTCATCAGCCACCTTATTCGCCGCTGTGCCACGCCTCGCATCGACTATGCCAAGCGCATGGAGCAAGTGGAGATTGTGTTCGCCGCCTTTTGCAATGCGCGCACGCCCAACAACCCCGATTCGACCCGCGTGGCCCGATTCACCGACATTTCCTTCACCAATCGCACCCACTCACAGGCCGGCGCTTCGGTGCACATCTATCTCCTCGATACATGGCGGGTCGCGGACACGTTCGCCTTCCGCGAGCACAACTTTCACATTTTTTACTACATGGTGGTTGGCATGGGCGCCAAGCTGCCTGGGCGTGCGCTTGCATCCCACATTTCCACCTTCCGCTACTTGCACCAGGATGCGCACACGCAGAACTCCCTCGACGTGGCGGCCTTCCGCTTTCGCGAACTCACCTCCGCCTTGGAAGCCCTGGGCATCCCTGCGAGCGAGCAGGACGAGGTCTTTGCCGTGCTCGCGGCCATCCTCTACCTGGGCGAGCTCAAGTTTGTGCCATCCGAAGCGGCCGGGACGGGTAGCGCGTCCTCCATTGCTCTTGCACGCATCGACAACGAGGCCGGCACGGTGCCTTCCTCGCTGATTGCTTCCTTGCTTCACATCCAGCGCCAGCGACTGGACGACATTCTGCTCTTTGCGCCAGCCTCGAGTGCTGCACCGTCTGCAGCCGGCGCGGCGATGGCAGCCCGCTCTGCTGCCAACAGCTTGCGCCCCATGACTGTTGAGCAGTGCAGTGCAAACCGCGATGGTATTGCCCGATCGCTCTACGAGCGACTCGTCGCGTGGATTTTGTACCGCGTCAACGCCACCATTGCCCCTCGTCCACAGCGCCCCGATGATCGCGAGAAGGTCTTGTCTGTTGGCGTGTTTGACATGTTTGGGTTTGCCGCGCCAAACATGTGTCGTTTCCAACACCTCAGCGTGAACATGGCCAACGAAACGCTCCGTCACCTCTTTGTCGAGACTGCGTTTGGCATGGAGCAGGCTGACATTCAAGCCCTCAATTGGGAGCCGCTTCACATCAACTTTATTCCAAACGAGCAGTGCGTTGCCTTCTTCCTTGGGCGTCCCAGTGGTTTGCTGGCCATGATTGATCACGCGTCCTTGGCGACCAGCACGACTTCAGCCGGCTTTGTGAGTGACTTGGACCGCGCTTCAGGAACGCACGCGTGCTACGTCAAAAAGGCTGGCGTCAAGCCTTGCTTTGGCATTGTCCACTATGTGGGCACGGTCTTTTACGATGCTGCAAGCTGCATTATTGTCAACCGCGACTACTCGCTGCCCCAATTCCTCAACCTTCTCCACGATAGTGACAGCTCCACCGTGCAGCAGCTCGGGCGCATTGCCGTTGCCAGCTCTGGCTCGCTCAAGATGAATGTTCGCGGTCACGAAGCCGCCGCTTTGAACAATGTCGGGCGCTATCGTGTATGTACAATTGAAGTCGATCCTGGTTGGTTGGTGTTGGGACAACTTGGGTAAGGGAAGGATGGGATACTCACCTGCGGGTTGTTTGTTTATTTTTTGTTTTCGCTGGGCGTAGGCATCTCTGCGACAGCTGATCAACCGCGCAAGCTCGCAAAGCGTGAGCTTTGTGCATTGCATCGGCGCCAACGCATCTGGCACTCACGCACAGTTTGACACCTCGTTCGTCCAAGGCCAAGTCATGGCCATGTCGCTCCTCGAGCTGACTTGGTCGCGCAAGTTTGGCTATCCTGGCCGCTACCAGCACGACCGCTTTCTTGCACGCTTTGGCATCCTGAACCGCCAGCCGGTTAACCAGTCAGTCGTCCCCATTGACGCCTGCCGCGCTCTTGTTCAGCGCTTCGGTCTTTCGACTGCTCACGTGGCCCAGGATATGGTATGTGATGGCAGCCGAGCCAGTGCATGCGACCTTGCTGTTGGGAGTCGCTTGTTGCTCATTGTTTCTTTGGTAATGATCACAACGCCCTTTCTTTTTCTTGTTGGGTGGTGTTTGTTAGGTTCTTCTCAAGCTTGCTGACATGGACAAGCTGGAAGCTGCCTGGGTGCGCCTCAACAAGGCCGCGTTGCTCTTCCAGCGAGGTATGTGTCGAATCATGTGGCGAAAGGAATCTTGCTGTTATTTTTTGTTTTGGGTACTTTTGTCGTGTTCTGACCCGCGGCCTCTCATAACTCTCCCCCTCCACCCAACCACAAAACCCACTTCTAGTGCTACGACGACCGATATTCCGCCGCAACCTGAATATCGCGCGTGCAACGAAGCGAAACGCGGAAACTGACTCGTTTGTTACATCGAAAGGCCCGTCCCGACCCAAGCCGCAGCTGGCGGACGGTGTTGTCGATAAGCCCGACGCGTTGTCGATCGAAGATCTCGGCCTTCGTGACTACGAAGAGATTGAATCAGATGCGTCAGACGACGAGTACGAAGAGCAAGCTGCTGCCGACGAGGCAGAGCTCGTCAAACTCGGGCTGGACCCCATCTCCTCGGCTCCGCGTCCAAAACGCACCTGGTCGACGAGCAAGACGGGCTCTTCTGAGACGCTCAACACCCGGACCCAGAGAAACATTCGGGCCCTGATTACCGGTCTGCAAGTGGAGGCCCCAGTGGCGCATCGGCCGCCCGTGCCGCTGAGACGGCCAGGCAGTAACAAACCCGAAACGGCACCCCCGCTGCCCCCGCGTAATGCGTCGACGTCCGGACCTGGCTCCGCGGATAGCATTACGGGCGAATTGAATGCCCCCAACGTGTACGAGGGGTCGCCTCACGCAACACCTCATGCACCCGTTTTGCATCGCGTCAGCCCACCCAGTGTCGCCCCGCGCGGCCCGTCTCCTCCTACTCCAACGTCTCTGTCCAGCAATGCTCCCAACAAGGCGGCCGACACCGGCTTTGGCGACGGTGCGAGTCGTGCCAGCTTCCGCCGTCAGCCCAGCATCCCGCCTGCCACCCATTCCCGGCCAGAATCGCCCAGCCTCGCGGCCACTGCTGCAGGCGGCTCGATCGGTGCAACTGCCGTCACCCTCAATACGCCTGTCGGTCTGGTTGAATTCCCGACGGGTTATCACGGGAGCATTTCTGGCAGTCAAGCCGAAGCGCTCCTGGCAAACCAGCCCGTGGGCACCTACGTGCTGCGTGATTCTTCCAGTGGGAACAACTGGTCCATCTCGCTCAAGGCCACGTCCCGCGTCAAGCAGTTCCACGTTGTGTGCGCGTCTCCCGGCCAGTTTTCCTTGAAGGGATTCTCGGTCTTCTACCCAACCATCGGCCTGCTCTTGGAGCAACTTGCCCGCGTTCCCTTCACGGAAGACGGCGAGCTTCTTGGGCGGCCGCTGCCTGGGCCTCACGACAACCGTGCTGGGAACACCGTGCCGCCTCCCCGCTCTGTGCCCGAGTTTGCGCACGAGGCCCCCAGGTCCCGACCTGGCTCTGCTACCGGTAGCACCCCACCTCCGATTCTCACTTCTCGTCGCCCAGTGTCCAGCGTAATGGCGCAGCCCTCGGCGAATGCGACCCAGATTTCTGCGCTGCAGCAGCAGTTACAGGCGATTGACGACCGAGAGCGCTCGGCCATGCAGGCGAAAATTCGTGGCCAGCTTTCTGTTGCGGAAATGGGCGTTCAACTCGCAGAGTTTGCAAAGCAACGCCAACAGCTGAAGATGACCATTTTGGAGTTGGAGGCATCCGGTTCTCGTTGATCGTGTTGTAGTCCGTGTTAGTCCGTGTTAGTCTGTGTAAAGGGGAGTCTGTTTGTTGGAGTCCTCCAGCGCTCGTCAATCGGAGTTGTCTGTGTTAGTCTTTCCAAAATGAAATGCCTGTTTTTTTTTATTGCATCGAATAGAGCAAGTAACTCGCCTATTCTTTCTTCAAAACATGACACCTGCAAACAAAAAGTCAAGCCCAATCCATCTCTACTCGCGGGCAGACTTGCACTCCTCCTGGAAATTGAGGGGGAAGTTCTGGGCAACCACCTCGGCAAACTTGTCGAGCGGGCAAAACTCGCCGGCCTTGTCGCGCGCGGCTCCTGCGCACCCGGGCATGGCGAAAGGACGGTTGTTGTAGAGCACGCGCACAACATGCTTGCGCGCTTGCGTTCGCTCTTGGAAGAGCTCGAACGCAATGTTGCTGGCAAATCCAGGCCACTCCTTCAAATCGTAGCCAAGAGCAATCAAAGTCGGGGCAAGAGTCGTGTCGTGTCCAGAGAATGCCATAAACTTGAGGGGGCTGGGTCCTGTCGTCTTGGGAGACACCGATGCGGACGCATCACGCTCAACTGCAACCGTCGAAAACTCGGCGAGAGCTTGTGTTTGCTGCTGCAGTGCCACGCTGTCGGTGGGTGCAGCAATGTGAAGCATGTCCGCCAAGACTTCTTGCATGAAGCGACCGATCGCCAGGCGGCGATAAGGCAGGGCTCGCTTGAGGTCGGCAAACCACCACTGGACGCAAAGCAGCTCAATTTCCTTGATCATGTCGCGCGTGACACCAGTCGGCAGCGGTAATCCGTGCGCCTCTCGCGCCACCAGCTCGTCGTAGATGCCATGCAGGGAGGATGACAGTTGAGCAGGGTCAATCCCCATGGCAGTCGCCGTGCGGACGCGCACTTGCTCCATTTGCTTTGCAAGCTCGGTCATTGGCGGGGCCGCTTGCATCTCCTTTTTCATCTCGCCAAGACGCCTGCACGCCGAGTAGTTTGGGTACATGGTTTCGACCTTCTCGTGGAGCGTGTGAATGTCGACGACGACGGGAGATGCGCTGGCTGCGGTTGGGACGCGCGTGCTTGGCGGGTACAAGCCCAGCATCAGGTTTTGCACAGACTCGATGGCGCGTCGAATGGTGGTTGACCGCACATAAATGTCATTGACATTGCATTGCGGGCTGAGGAACTGGAGGCGGTCGACGTACAGGTGACGCAGGTTTTGGCCAAGGTCGACCAGCTGCTGGCGGCCGTGCGCTGTCAGCTGACCCCAGTAGCACGTGCCAATCAGCGGCTGGCGACCAGGCACATGCAGCAGGCGGTAAAAGGCAGCAGGGCTGTGTTCCATCGTCGTGGGATCGGGCTGGGTGATTGCGTCCACGGTCGCCATATCCGGCGTGCACGTCCACGTCGCCGGATGGTACTTGTCCAGCCTTGCGCTGACCGCCGTGCGAGCGCCATGGCGATGCACCACCTGCACCAGCTTGAGCTCCAAGTCGGCGGGGTATCGACGGGCAATCTCTGCGTCCGAGATTTCTTCGACTGTCAAAGCAGGCAGTGTGAGTGACATGGTTGCAAAACAAAAAACCCAGACCGACAAACGAGCGAGATCCGACAAGTGCGAAATGAGGTGAGGTGTGAGTGTGAAACGCGAGTAGCAAAAAAGTTCGAGCTCCAGATGAGTATGGAAACAAGCACAAGTCCCAGAGGAGGACTGCTGGATCCCAATCCAATCGGACCGAGGTGTTGATGATTGATCTTTTTTTGCTTTCATACTGCATCACGCGTTGCATGGTATGAGTGTGCTCCATCGTCCGAAGCAAAGCGCGCGCGTTGATCATCCACGTCAATCCAATCCAAGGTGATTCGACCAGTAGTTCTTGTCCATGCGTTTCGTTTTTATGTAGAACGATGATGATGATAATGATGATGATGCGAATCATCCAAACTCCGAGAGTCTGTTCGCTGATCACACCCGTCATACGTGTCATCACTGCAGCAGTGCATTGTACAGTATACGTGTCATAGACTTGCATCGGGTTGGGGGGGATCTGCGCCCAACCACCGCCGCGCTCTCGGCCCAATCCCAGCCAAATCCCACAATAATGCCATCAGTAATCCCCAAGCAACACGCCCCCACGAGCACGTTTACATGTTGGGATGGACGGCGGCTTCTCGCTGGCCATGACTTGATGAAGAAGCCGCGTGGACGGACTGCCGCGTTCAGCAGCAGCAGCGGAGGTCCAGCAGCGTGGATCGGTGGTGCCAGAGCAGTCCTTTGATGAGCTGCTGCTGCTGCTGCTGTTGCTGTTGCTCGGGTTGAATGCGGCGACAGTGGCAGTGGCAGCAGCGGCAGCGGTGATGGCAGCAACGCGCAACCTAACATCACACACACACACACAAAGAAGGACATTGTATGATTGTCAGAATATTCTCAGAATCATAGAATCATAGGTGAGTTGTGCAATGGAGGCAGCACTAATAACAAGCGATCGCTGTTGAGCTGTTGTTTACATTTTCAGAGTTTTTGACAAGTATTCTGAGACTTGAGACTGAGCTGTCAAAATAAAACAGTCAAAACCGAATGAACATCACTCAATGGACAGTTCTACTTGATCTCTGTTTTTCTGTGAACAGTTGTTGAAGAATGACTCACTAAACTCGACAATCGTTCCTTCTTCTTCTTGCTTTTTTCCTTTCACTTTCATCCGTTTAGTTAGCAAAACTCGTATTCGTTTTTGTTTTTCTAATTCCTTTATTTCAGTCCTTCTTCTTTCTTTTCCTTGGTTTTCCCAGCTACTTCTTCTTCTTCTTCTTCTTCGCTTTTATCACTTTTCGTCCCCTTCTTCTTTTTTCTACTAACAACCATCATGTCTGGGACTGGTCCTCCACCGACCTCGACCTCGACCTCGACCTCGACCTCGACCTCGACTATCACTGCGTCGTCGTCCGCTGTTCCGCCAATCGCCCGCTCTCCGTCCGCGCCATCCAACTCGGCCGCCACTCCGTCCTCATCATCATCATCATCATCAACTTCATCATCCTCATCCTCAGCTTCAGCTTCAGCGACGTCGCCGTACAGCAATGCAGCTCGCTTCTCGACGGGATCTTCGCCTGCGCTGATTCCCGCGTCCTCCTCCCACCACGCCGCCGCCACGAGTACCACTACTCCTGCATCTGCTGCATCTACTGCTGTTGCTGCTGCTGCTTCCTCAGGGGCGGCGGGCTCCCGGCTCAATCCCAGCGCCTCGTCACCCGCGCCCGCTCAGTCGACCACTCCGTCCGCAGCGCCGTCGCCGTCCGCGTCAGGCGCATCAGTGGTGGCAGCTTCGTCGTCGTCGTCGTCGTCGTCGTCGTTGACAGGTGCCACTGCCGCGCACAATGGTGACCGGTCGGGCAGGTCGCCGGGCAATCCCTCGTCATCCAATTCGAGTGCGAATGCTAATTCTCAGAATCATGGCAATGCGAATCTGGCTCAGACGACCAACGCAAGCTCAGGCTCAGGCTCAGGCTCACATTCAACCTCAACCTCAACCTCAACCTCGGGAAGCCTCCGACCAGACTCGCCCCAAGGCCGCGCAAGAGCAAGCTCGGGCTCGGCCAACATTGGATTTGCCACGTCCGGGAGTCGAGCAACAACCACGGCGGCACCTGGAGTGCAAGGCGGAGTAGTGCCGTCATCGGCCGTCCTGTCGGGACCCGGGTCTGTCACTGCAGGCTCACGACCCTTCTCTGTAGCGCTGTCGGGATCGCCGCCCGTCGCGGCAAGTGTTGCCTTCCGTCGACGAAGCATTGGCAGCCAAGCAAATGAGATTCCTGGTCGGCGTAAGTCTGTCCATGTTGTTTCGTGTGCATTGAGTTTTCGAGTGTCGGACGATGCTCTTTCAACGTATGTTATGTGGCTAAAAACTCACGCTTCTGTTCTACTTGCTCCTCCACCGATTCATCCTCATCCTACAACTCAGCCTCGTTGGACTCAATGTCATCTCCTGATGCATCCAACTTTTGGGACGATGGGGACTCCCAGTGGATGCAGGAAATGTCGGAAAAGACCCGCCGAAGACTGCTGGACAATGGCTCACCGGGCGTCGCTGGCGGTCGAGAAACCCTTTCTGTGCGCTTTGCAGACATTCTAGCGGAGCCTCGTCGCTCCGAGCTGATGGTACGTGACATACTTGCTCTTTGAAAGAACCACTTTTGTTTTTTGGTTTTGGTTTTGGTTTTTAACGTCTCTCTGCTCGTTCACTTGCACACAGAACAACAAAAAATACCTCGAGGTCCTGGCCAAGATTGACTCGATCAAAAAGAAGATTGAAAACGAAGTCAAGGTGCGCGAAGGCTTTGACAAGCTGGAGGAAGCATACAACCGGAATCCAGCATTGGTCGATGAGAAATTCCAATCCAAGTTTGAACGCAAGTTTGTTAAATCCGACACGCGCATGCGAGAGCTTGAACGTAAGCTGGCCAAGTATCAAGCCATCCACACGGTACGATTTGGTTGTTTGTTTTTTCCCTATTTATTGGGTCGTTGGCGTACGCTTTCCCTGACCGGATCTCCGCTCCTTCCCATCACCCTCCCTTTCCCCCTCCCCCACCAAACAGGCAATAGAAAACGGCGAATATAGCGATGACGATAACAGCTTTGACTCGTTCAAGGGAGCAGCCTCGGAAATTGTCACCTCGTTGCAAAAATCGACGGGAAATCTCATTCGCAATCCCGTCCGATACATCAAGGGCAAAACCAAGACCTTTGGCGAGCGCCTTGGCCACATTGGTGGTGACAGAGCTCAAGACGGCCGAGAGCGCCGCAAATCCATTGACGATCTTTCGCAATTGCAAGATCCCGACTCTCCGTCACCAGGCGATGGCCCTTCGACTGGCATCAACAACACCATTTCACCCACCCTTGCCGTTGCCTCGCCCGACAACAGCAGCGCTGTCTCCCCGACGGTCACCGACAGCCATTCCCCAGCACAACAATCGACAACCTCCAGTGCGGCTGCGTCCTCCAGTCTTGACTCTGGCACTTTCACGGCAAAAAAGCAATTCAGCAATGCTGCTGATCAAGCCGGTATGGCCATTCGTTTGCTTGAGGTTTGGGAGTGGGCGGGGTTGGGTTGTTTTCACTCACCACGCTGCTTTACTCTCCTGTTCGATGCGATGGCGACTCCTCTAGACTCGAGCCCGAGTGATGCCGAAAGTGTCGTGCTTACTCGCCACTTTGACTCTGACCGCACTCCCGAGGACTTGACCGACTCTGAGGACGAAGATGGCCCTGGCATTCGGTACGTTTGTTCGTTCGTTGCGTCTGACTTACCATGAGCATTTGAACGAGCGCTCACGCACATGCAATCATCCACAGGGAGCTGGCCAAAGCCATGCAAAAAGATCGTCGCTCTGCCCATCAACACCAACTCATCATTCAGCAGCTGAAGGAATCGCTGGTTCGAGTCGAGGTACAATTTCTTGTCGATAGTCGAAAAATGGGGGGTGCTGGAGGTTGCTTACTCATCTGGCTGAAATTCGAAATGCTTGTAGGCCTCGCTGGCTGATGAACGAAAGTCGCGCCGTCAGTTGGAGCAAGAAATGGCCGATGACAAGCAGGCAATGCTGGTACGCAGTGCATTCTTGCGCCCAAAAATAGTGTTTTCTGCTTGCGAACTTTATTCTCCCTCATCTATTTCTTGTAGCAATTTGCACACGACACGCAGGAATCATTCAGCGAACTCAAGGAATCTATCGCATCACTCCAGCGCGAAATGGACTACCGATACCAGCTCACTTTGCAGCAGACAGAGGAAGCTCGGGATATCATTGGTCAATTCCACGATCGGGTAGGCGCCATTTTCGTTTGGTGTGGTTGTTAGATTGACATTTTTTTTTTGAAAAGCACACTAACCTGCGGTGCTTCATCTCAACCGTTGCTGCACGCCTCCAGATTGGCGTGGTCGAACACAGCGTCAACACATCCCGTCGAAGCGAAACCATCAACTTTATTGGCCAAAAATTGAGCTATGTTCTGGCCGCCGTGGCAGTGGTGGTCGTCTTTATCACCAACATTGTCTTGCTGATCCGCAACAAGTTCTTTGCGCCCGTGCCCTTGCTACCAGCGCCCAGCCTCACAGCTCAAGTCGACGATTTCTCGTCCTCGTGGTCTGACACATTCACAGAGCCTGTGCCTCCAACACCCTCGATGCTCGACTCGCCCGAATTCTCAACACCGGCAATGTCCCCCACTACAACGCCTCGCTCGGCTTCGCCCAACTCCACCCCGACGACTGTGGTTCCTCCGCGATCCCCAAAGCGTCCCTCTCGTGGATCCGAAAGCTTGGCCAAAATGGCGTCCGTGAACGCGGCGCTCGCTGCTCAAGCCGGTAGCGGCCGCCTCCTGGCTCCGACGAACGGTGCAGGCTTTTCTTTTGAAAGCGCGGAACCGAATGACTCTGAGCAGGAGTCGTCGACAGATGGGAAGAAGCACCAGTGATCTATCTCGTGGAGTGGAGTGGAGGCTTCCTGTTTCTAGCCGTTCTCTTGTTTTAATTTTCGATTTGGTTTTTCGTATTGTATTAATTTTATTGGGTATCCACGTTTTTTTCACAACGTTCGCCGTTCGTTTATCGACCAGATAATGCTTTTATCTGCTTTGTAACCAGAGTCATCAGACGGTGACGACCTCACCGTGCTTGAGCACAAAGAATGCATCATCGGCGAGACCGGCGGCTTTGGCAGCATCCGCCATGCGCTTTGGCGGCTCCAAGTAATGCTCGTCCGTCAGAATAAACGTGCCCCAGTGGATGCCAAGCGAGCGGCGGGCGCGCAACTCTTGATGCAACAGCACTGCTTCTTCCGGGTTGATGTGTTGCGGTCGCATAAACCACCTGAAAGATTCGAAAAGAGTAGAGTGTCCCGCAGGTGAGCGCAACAAGAGCACAATGTCGAGCGAAGACAAGGGCGGCGCAACCGACATTGTTCTTTTTACCTTGGGTCATAGGCGCCAATGGCAATCAACGCCAGGTCAAATCCACGCTCACCGCCGTACTTGGCGCCGATTTGGCTGAAGGCTTCGCAGTATCCCGTGTCACCACTGTCGCAAATTAATTTGAAGGTGAGACGGATTGGAGCCTGAACACAAGCTGTTGTTCCATCTGCAACCCCGTTGTTTACCTGAAAAAGATGCGCTGGGTAGCGCCGAGCATGGCCCAGCCTCCCCACAGAGCCTTGTTCATGTCTGTGGCGCCTCGGCGGCACCAATGCTGGACTGGCGTGCAGGCAAACTTGACCTTGTCGTTGAATTGGTGTTCCTGCCACCAACCTAGTTCGACCACCTTGTCCTGCACACATCAAGCGTTGTTGTTGGTGGTGTTGTTGTTGTTGGAGCAAGACAAAACTTGTGAGACCACTCATACACCTAACTTTGAGCGTTGGAAAAAGAGCCAAACGAGCAAAACGTACCGCGGGGATGCCGCACGAGTGAAACCACGCAGCGTTGCCAAGCGGGACATAGAACGTCGGAGCAAAGTTGCGGTGCAGCTGCATGATGGAAGCGTGATCGAGGTGATCATAGTGGTTGTGACTAATCAGCACGACGTCCACCTTGGGCAGCTCGGCAATGGCGCATGGCGGCTCGCGGATGCGCTTGGGTCCCGTAAACCTTGTCGGACCGCACCTGTGCGAGAAGACCGGGTCGGTGATGACAGTGACGCCGTCGAATTGAACGAGCACGGACGCGTGTCCGACCCACATGACCTGCGTCGCGTCTGCCTGCGGAACTTTGGCCAGCGCGGCAAAGTCCGGGCGGAGGATTGGCAGCGTGCGGTCGAGCTCGGCTGCGGTCTTGGGCACGCTCGGCGAGGAGCGCTTGCCACCGAGCATCCACTTGAAGACGTCGGTGAATCCGCGCTGGGCCCATGTCGAGAACGGGTTGTCAAAGCGGCCGTCGGGCAGTCGCACTGGCTGGACGAGCTCGCTGTCGGCAATCGACGTCAGAACCGTCGGCTTTGGGATGAAGTTGTCGTCCCGCGCTGCCGCCGCCGCTGAGCCTTGGACTTGAGCTGCGGATGAAGTGCTTGCCATCGTGTGTGTTGCTCGGCTGGAGTAGTAGGGGTAGCGGTGTCGCCAAGACGGGAAATGCGGCGCGTTGTTGTTGATTGCTGAGAGTGAAGAAGACTGGCTGCGATGCGACGACGCCTGCGACTGACGAGCGGATGGCAGTGATGAGAGCGATGATGAGAGCGATGATGATGAGGATGATGATGAGAGGGGTCGGTGGGGTGCAGCAGCGGCGGCGAGCAGTGGCGTTGCTGTGGCGCGCAGCAATGGCAGCAGCTGCAATCGAGAGCAGCGAAGCGACAGCTTGAAAGAGGAGAAAACTCAGACAACGAGCGAAAGAAAAAAAAAAAAAGAGAAGTGCGGAAAAAATGATAAAGTTAAAAGTTAAAACATTGACGAGAAACGAAAAACAGGGTGCGGGAAAATTGGGGCAAACAAAAGTTCCGCAGCTGCTTCGAAGGTCAGCGGAGAGGGGAAAGAGGGGGATCGAAAGTGACGCGTGTGCAAGTGGTTGGGAAACGCACATTCGGAGGACGCATGGACATGCACATGTATTGGGTGGTACAGAAAAAAGAACATCAACAACTACTCGCGAACGCCCCAGAAACGAGCACGACCATCCTCGCAGCAGGCGAGAAATCCGGGACGCTCGGGATGCGCAGCAATGTTTCGGATTTGACTGGTAAGACCTGCATGCATGCATGATGTTGTGCCCGTTGAGTATCCAACAAATGACACAAGCTGAAACCCCTGAGCTCCGCGTGATCTCACCTGGAACTGGATTTCCGGGATGCGATCGTACACGCTCGCCAGATCGCGCGTCCCACACAAACATGCCAACGGTCGCTTCATCGTTCGCGTACACAAAGCGTTCGTCGTAACTGAGAGTAACACCAAAAACGTCCATGGAAAGTGAGCTGCAAGCTCGTTCGCATCAGAACCTTTCGGAGCTGAATGAATGCAGTACCTCAAAGCAACGCGAGTCGGCAGCTGAGTGTTGCGGCTGCCCTCGTAGTTTTGCAACACATTCACGGCGGCAACGTCCCATAGCCGAACGGAGCCGTCGCTCCCGCCGCTGACAATATACTTTCCGTTCTTTGAGAAGGCTAATGACGTGACCTGGAGACATTGGAAGAGCACAAGTGAGTGAGTGAGTGAGTGTGTGTGTGTGTGTGTGTGTGTGTGTGTGTGTGTGTGTGTGTGTGTGTGTGTGTGTGTGTGTGTGTGTGAATCACAGCTGAAAACCCAACGTCTTCCAAACCATACCTCAATGTCGGTGCCGTGTGCTTTCGGCAATGTGAGGACACACCGACTGCTAACAGTGTCCCAGACCTTGATGGATCCGTCTCCGCTGCACGTGGCGTACACGTTACACTCGGCCGCATACTGGACCTGTCGTTTGATGGCGGGGCGAAAAGTGTAGAACGAAACATTTAGGTCGATCCATCAACTGGAAATACCCTGGCTCCAGCACCCCCTCTCTCCCCACCATCGCTTACTTTGTGAATGCCGGACAAGTGATGATCTGCCGCATTTGCTGCGACATAGCACTGGAAGGTTTCCAGATCGTACAAGCGCACCGCTTTCTCGTCCGTTCCGACCAGCACAAACTGCCCAGAAGGATGGACAGACAGCGAGCGGATGGCACTTGCGTCTTGAATAAACTTGAACGCGCGCTTGATGCCCAGCTTGTTGCAGTTAAAGAGTTTCACCGTGCCGTCCTGCAAGTTAAACAGGTGCAACAAACCAAAAGCAAACCGTTTGAGTTGCTGCGACCCTCAGCACCAGCAACAACACTTGGAGCTCAAGAGCAAGTCGAAAACAATTGCCGACAAACGCTACCTTGGATCCAGAGAGTAAATACGGCATCGTGGGATGGAAGGCGAGATCCGTCACATCTGCTGCGTGATCGTAAAACGTTCGCTTGGTGCGAGGCTCGTCGTCTTCTTCTCCTTGGCGTTCGCCTGACAGTCGGTTGGCATCCTAACAGAGCACGTTTCGGCATGGCGACAGCAATTGCCATCGCAAGGTGAGCGCCACACCGATAGATACTGCAAGTTCGAGCGCTTGATTTCTCACCAAAAGCTTGATAACGGTGTCCGCAGAGCCTGTTGCGACCAGCGACGCATCCGAGTTGAATGCAGCGACAGTGCACGGGCCTTTGTGTGTTGCGCTGAACGTCACATAGAACTCTGGCATGGCAGGCAAATCCGTTGGCTGCTCGAGCTCGAAATCAAGCAGCTGGCCGCCGCCCATCGACGACTCTGCAGCACCAGCGCCGCCATCGCGATCCGCGGCGAATCCACCATTATTGTTGGCGTCCGACGCGCCTGCAAAGCCAGCCGCTTCAGCCTGTGTGCGTGCCAAACGCGAGAGGACAGTGAGCTCAATCCATTGCGCGCACACACGAGGCTCGACGTCCACACGAGACTCCAGTCAATCAACAACAATGGCATAGCAGAAGAACAAGAAGAAGGAGGAGCGTTACCTTGAGACCAAGTTGGATGAGCGATTCCAGGCGCGAGGATGGCGTCGCAGCGACCGACGGGTGGAGATTGACTGCCTTGGCGAGATTCACAGCCAGCGACTATGAAGGGGGGACCAAAAGTAAGTCAGTATGGAAGTCAGTATGGATTGTCAAGTCTTGACAAAGAAACAACAAGAAAGCTGCGTCAAGTAGGATTCACGAGAGACGAGAGACACGCACGTCAAATCCGTCGAGGCGAAGTTGGCCGACAAGCAATCGGTAGAGCATATTGCGATCCAGCGTCGCAGACATGATCAAGTACTGTATGAGTGGAAAACTAGAGAACTGAACTGAACTGAATTGATATGGATACTGAGTCAATAAACGGTGTTGTATTGTATTGTACAAGGACTTAATAAGTTTCACAACGAAATTGGAACTCAAACGATTGAGCATCCCTTGATAGCGCACGTCGGGAGGGCAACAGAAGCAATGAAAACAAAGCGAAAAAAAGCGAAACAAAAAAAACAAGGCGCGAACTGGGTTGGTCTGACATTTTACACGCGGTCGGCGCGCAGGATGTAACCGCGGTGCGCGGCAATGCTGCGGCACTTGATCTCGGTCGTGTAGCGCACAAGCCATCGAGGACGCAACTGGGACGAGCCCGAAGGATCGACGTAGGAGCCAATGACAGAGTCCAAGGCAGCGCTGCTGAGAATCGGGATTTCGGCGTCCGGGTTGGACAGCAGCGCAATGTTGTGTTGTTTGGCCAGTTGTGCGAGAGGTTGGCTGAACTTGCCTGTGGAGATTTGATTGACCGAAGGAGAAATCTGAGGTTTTGTTGAAAAGTAGTCCAAACAAGACACACAAACAAACAAAAAGTGAGAAATCACAGCGGTTTCAGTGTTCGAAAGCATGAAAAATAATAAATCAGCAGAAATACTGACTTGTGCTGTGGAAACAAAGGATGAAAGATCTGCGCTATCGAAATTGGTCACGCCAATAGATCCGAGGACGCCGGCAGTGTACAGGGACTCTGCAGCATGCCAAAGTCGGTCGGTGGATGCTCGGTTGGCGGCATCGCTGTCAAACTGCGGAGCGAGAATGAAGGAATCGATGCGCTCGAGGGCAAGCTCGTTCCTGACTTGTGCTACGGCGTCAATGAGCTCTGCCTCTGAAATATCGTCGAGGACGAAGAGCTTGGCTGTAATTGTGGAGATCAAGGCACACATTGCGAACGGGGGGGGGGGAAAAGGCGGGAAAACCCCATGTGAGTGGTCATTGAGTTCCTCGCTCGTTTGCGCTCAAACTCTCGTCGATGGCACTTGCCTTTGGTGGTGACTGCCTCGCCGCACGAGCCCGCACAGTCGGACGCAGGCGACGCTGGGGACGGCGATCGCGCCACGTGAACGAGCCCGTCGCTCTGTCGCTGCACTGAAACCGCCGCAGCGCGCACCGAGCTCTATAGAAGCAGAGACATAATGCATCCAAAAGCACCAAAGCAAGTGAGTTGCGTCATAAGAAGATCTCTACTCTCCAAAATGCTCAGTCTGACGAGTGAGAGTCACAGAGAGAGAGAGACAGAGAGAGAGAGAGACGTCGGGGGCGGTTTGAAAGCCCACGCGTTCGACGCCGTCCCCATTCGTCTGCCGCTCTTTCACTCTCTCTCTCTCTCTCGCTCTCTGTCTCGCTCTCGGTTCATCAATGCTGCTGCAAATGCTTTACCGTTGCGTCTTGAAATGCGAGCGAAAGTGCCAACAAAACCTAAAAACAAAAAAAAACCAAGCAAACAAGATTTAGAACGGAAAAAAAAAAAGTTCAAGAAAAATCGCCGTCCAATCGTAAAGCAAAGGATTGACGAAAAGCGCAGCGAGGTGGAAATGAACAGCATTGGATGAAGAACGTGAAAGAGCGAGGGAGCTGCTTTTGTGAGTGTGGTGTGTATGAAGCGAGGGGGAGGTTACCTCTTGGACGGTGTTGCGCGGGGCTGCGACGTCGCCGCGGCGGGAGAGCGCGGGACTGAGGAGATTGCCCGTCGAGACGAGCAGCGACGTCGAGGCGGCGAGCATGGCGCGCAGCTGCTGCTGGTCATGGATGTCATGCTGCTGCTGCTGCTGCTCCTCATGCTGTTGTTGTTGCTGCTGCTGTTGGCGCTCGTACTCGCTGTCGTGGTGCGGAACAAAGTGCGGGTGTCCGCCCCCAAGCACGGAGAGATTGAATTCGCCGTGCTGACGGACGCCACCTCCTGCAGCAGAAGCAGTGCCGTTGCCAACAGACGACGACGATGATGATGATGATGTGGCAGTTGTGTTGAGGCCGGAATGGTCGGCGGGTGACGCAGCGTCGCTGAGCAGAACTTGCGCAGTCGCCATGATTGTTTTAGGATTGTGCAAACTTTTAAGAAAAGGAAGAGTGAGTAAAAACCACAAAAGCGGACGAAGAGGCAAATGCATGAGCAAAACGTGCAAAGTCATTTGCAGTGTGCAGTACAGCTGCTGAGTGTGCAGGAAACTGCTGGAACTGAATTGCAGTGTGGGGAGAGAGAGAGAGAGAGAGAAAGAGATGAAAATTTCAAAGAGAAATGTTTGAATTTCCAGCAGACAGGAAGCCTCCTTGCGTAAAATCGCAGATACATCTCAAAAGGTCGGTGGCATGAGTACGAAGCGAGTGATTCATGGGCAAAATCCAAAACAGAATGACCGACGGAAACGGAACGAAACTGCAGTCTTTTTTCTATCTTACCGTTTCAAACTCTCTCTCTCTCTTTCTCTCTTTCTCCTCAAATACAACCCCCCCTTTCTCTCACTTTCATCATGAGTCAAGCTGAGAACGGCGCATTGCGGATGACCCGCTCCCGTGCACGAGCACTGGCGACCATCGCTGACGCAAATACTGACAGTAACTTGAAAACATCCAAAAAAAAAAAAAACCGCCAACCCGCCCTTGTTTTGACGTTTCGCTCCTCGCCCCTCGTTTTCCTCCTCGTCCTCGTCTTCCTCCGAAAGGCAGCAACACACGCTTGATTTCTGCTCGTGTCCATGCGGAAATCCAAACTCCGACACCAGTTTCAGCGTTCCAACAAACATTCAACGGTTTTTGATGTTGGTTTCAGAACTGAAACACAAAAAAGTTTCCAACGGTTTTTCTTTTTCTTTTTTCTTTTTTTTTTTATTTCTTTTTGCGCCAAGTCGAGACTTTGTGGCAAACGAGGCATTGTTCCTTATAGTTGTAGATTGAAGAGACGTGCAGGAAGCAATACTAGTTGTAGATTGAAGAGACGTGCAGGAAGCAATACTAGGAAAGAAGCTCATCGTTTTGCGTGTATATGTGGATGCAGACGCCAAGCCATCTGCCACTGCTTCTGCTTCTGCTGTCAAACCTGCCACCAATGCTCGGAAGCCAGCCAACCCGAGCAAGAACGACAAGTCCAGTGCCAGTACCAGCACCGCCGTGGCAGCCGTCGCAGTGCCCGAGCCACGCACTCGCGCGACCCGCGCTGCCGCAAAGGCCGAGAGCGTCATCGAGTCAAAGCCAGTCATCACGACCGCGCGCCGCTCAACCAAGGCGACCACTACGAATGCGACTAGTGCTAGCGCAAGCACTGCTGCTGACAACGAGCCCAAGTCACGGCGCACGACTGCCGCCAGCAAACGCGCTCAAGCCAGCTCGGTCATCATCGAACCGACGCCGCTGACCCCTGCTGCTCCTGCACCTGCTGCTCCGGTCGTCCTTGCGTCAGACATTGATTCAGTCGCCCAGCAGGTCGCGCAGCTGGAGGTCACACCTCGGAAACGAAACCCAGTCTGCTACCGCGCACCGGAGTCGCTCTCGCCCGAGCCGTCGTCCACAATGCTCGTCGTTGAACCAAGCATGTACGAGCTCGTCCTGCCTGCCAACGGCGCGTTTGGCATTGCAGATGATATCGCCGAGGACCACGCACGTTTGCCGCAGGAAGAGGTCAGCAGGGACGAATTTGTCACTCCGATGGACTTGGAAGCGGACGAGCGCTCGTCGTCCTCCGACAATGGGTCTGCTGAGAATGCCACCCACCAGTCCAGCCACGGCGGCCTGGGCCTGAACGAAAGCATGGACGAAACCGTGTCTGGCCTGCTTTCGATGCCGGCAACACCCCCCGCGCGCGTCTCCGCTGCGCAAGCCTCATCATCGCCGTTGTCTGGCCGTCGTCCACTCTCCGCGTTCCGCCACAGCACCGTCGCCAGCTCAAGCAGCGCAGGACCTTTAGCGGCGGCATCGAGGCTCGGAACGCCCATGCGTGTGCCAATGACGCCCGCTGTGCTGACCGAACCGCGCTGGACGCCTCGCACGACCACTCGCCGCGTTGATCCCGCGGTCGATCTCATTGCAGCGCTGAAAGTCGTCACACTCTCTGACGCGCCTGTGGCCTTGTTCCCCGCGTCTCGCTCTGTCCCAGGCCCCGGTGCGTTGGTGGCCGCCACCGACGGCGATGACACCAAGTCTGCTGCAACACAGCCCGCCTCGACAGCCACCGAGACTTCTACCACTGCTGCTACTGCTGCGTCAACCTCTTCTGCTGAGAAATCTGAAGAGCCTGCGACGGAATCGGCAGCTGGCAGCTCGGCAGCACCGTCTGCAGATTCCGAAGTCAAGGACGGTCACTACTGGCGCAACGTCATGCAGTCTTGCAAGAACAAGCTCGCTGCTCATTGTGCAGAGTGGGAGGCCTACCGAGCGGAGCACCCCGAGCTAACGGATGATTGTAAGAGCGAGAGATTTTCCGTTGTTTTCGTTTTTTGCACGGTTGTTGTCAAACACGAATTCTCACAAAGCATCGGTGTGTGGCGCTTTTTCTTTGTGGTTTCTCTTTTAGCGTTGGGCTCAATCATTGCCGCCATTGGTCAAGCCAATCTGTTGATGAACAAGCGATTCCCCCAGTACGCCGGTCTCTGCCAGGCTAGCATCGATCAGTCGGGCGAGCTCAAGACCCACGCATCAGATCTTGCTGGCTTCTGGGAGGTGATTTACATTCAGGTCGAGAACATTTACGACCGCTTTGAACAGTTGGTCAAGCTCCGCGACAACAACTGGCAAGAACTGGAGCCACCAAAGCCCAAGACGTCTGGCGCTCCAAAGCGTCCTATTGTGAGCGCGGCATCACGCAAGCCCGCAACCGCATCGTCGGCGGCCTCGACTGTAAGTCTGGGTCCATTGTTGTTTTGTGCTTGTTTGGCTCAGAATTCACTAACTCCAACGAGGTTTTTGCTTTTCTTTCCTTTCTTTTAGAGTGGCGAAGCTGCATCGTCTGCTGCATCAACCAAGGCTGCTGCTGCAGAGGCGTCGCGTGAGGCCGCTCGCGCCCGCCTGGCTGCCGCAAAAGCCGCAATGAAGAAGGGAGGAGCTCCTGACGCCAATGTGCTGAGTCTGGGGGGAACCAGCTCGCCTCGCAGGAATGCTGGGACCGTAAAGTTGCCCTCAACGCCTTCTCGCGTAGCTGTCAGCCTCGAGGGCTTCCGATCATCGCCACGTAGCGCTGCTCGCAAGCGAATGGCTGGCGCCGCAGTCGCGATGGATGCGGAGGCTGAAGTCGCACCTTTGCTTGAAGATGCTGCTCAACCAAAGAACACAGATAAGGCCACCGGTATTCCACGAGGTGAGTTTTCCTTTTTGAGGATGTAGAGGTAATGCCGCTCCTACTCGTACTCACTTTGACACTTTGATGTCCGTTCACAGAACACCAATTGGATCTCCCCTCGACCCCAACTCGCAAGAGTGGACGCAACACACCATCCAAACAATAGGGCGAATTTGGACACGTTGTGGGAGGGAGCGGGGCAGGTTTGTGGGGCCCCTTCCTCTTTGTCGCATGAAGAACATTGTTGAAAGTTTGCCTTGTTGAAGTCGATTTCGGCAACCGCGTTGAAGATTGAGAGACGTTGATAAAAAGTGTGAATGAATGTAGTTGAGTTGTATGGATTTGGTTAACAACAGAAATGAAAAAAAGTTAAAAGAAAAATGGCTTGATGCTTTTGCAATTAAATCAATCACTCGACACGGCGCCGTTTGGCAGCGCTTCCGTCGGCATCTGCCGATGTGGAAACGGTCGTTTCATCGTCTTCTGCTGCGTCTTCGTGTCTTCGCCGCGCAGAAGTACGAAAGCCTTCTGAAAGTGGCGCTGCGGCGGCAGCCTGAGCGGGGGGCTCGGAAAATTTGCGGCCCAACACATGATGCATGCACAGCGGAATATTGAGAGAATAATTGAGCAACTCGGACAGCACGCCCGCATCTGGAAGCGGAGCAGTCGGTGACGGGTCCGAGTCGCGAATGGCGGCAGTGATGTTGCCACCTGATTCGATACGAATCGTCAAATTGGCCATCGACGAAGAAGCTGGGCGCTCAAACACTACCGAGATCAATCGGGGTGGTTGGAGTGCGATTTCAAAGCGCTGATGTGGCTCTGCAAGTGCGAACACGCAATAGCCAGTTTCCAACAGAAAGGGTTGAGCAACGACTCGGATTTGTCGCGCATCGTGCAGACAAGAGACGTACCACTGGACTGGCCGCGATTGGCGATTCGAACTTCAGGAGCTAGCTCTGCAGCGCAGCTGGCCAACAATTGGTTGAAGACGATTTGCTGGCGGAAAGCCTGGGATGGTTGCAGCACAATTTAAAAAAATCCATAGGTGTCCTTAGATCAAGCATCTCGCCACTTTGAAAGCAGCAATTCGGAGTCATACCTGTTCCACAGCATGTAGCTGGGCAATGTTCACAATAGGGAAGCGGCTAACCAGCACAGCAGGGGTGCCTTGGTCTAGAGGAATGCTGAACAGATAGTTGGAGTCCCCGACTCGCTAGATGAGATTGTCATATAGTTAGATGCGGTGAGAAAACGCCACCAAACAAATCGAAAACGCCATTCCTTTGCACTCTCCGATCCGTACCAAATGCTCAGAGAACATTCCCTAAATGATATCAAAAACGGTCGCAAATGTAAAAACATCTCGAAAAGTAAGCACAAGCGTCTCCCTTTCAGCCAACTTGGCATCCGTTTCAACCAAACTTGAAAAGGAAAGGGCATACCGAGCTCTGAAGGGTATCGAGAACAAGCTGCTCGACAGATACCGACCCATTGGACGACACCTCGGTGATATTTGCTGTAGCCGCGATTTCAGACCAAACAGAAAGTCAGCCCGAATTGTGCGCGCGCTCTCCGCACACAAACCTCGAGGGAAGCATTTGACTGTCGTACCTGACTTGCCGAGAACATTCGTCTCGAGCTCTTGCAGAACAGAGACACAAACGGGAATGTGCCAGTTAAGGGTAGCTGCGAGTGTGCCTGGAACGCTTGCATGCGAAACTTCGTCGCTCTCGTACGGTGACGGAACGATGGTTGTCAAGCCACGCGAAATCTTGTTTGCAACCAACGAGAATTCGTCGCCTGCCTTCGCGACGGTCGGCTGGATGTTGACTGACTGCAAACTCGCTCGCTCAATATCCACCTGCAGAGAGAAGCCGAGCTTGAACAACAGTTCTCGTCGCAAAACATCTGGCGTCTGGTCGGAGGCCCTCAAAACCAACAGCTGGTCGACGGCAACAGCTGGGATGGAAAGAGCACGGGCTAGCTTCCGAGCTTCGTCAGTGTTGGCAGAAAGCCCAGGGATTCGCTCAAGGCGCGCAACCATGGCCTCAACGCGCGCATATGTCTCGTGCGATGCAAAGAAGGTTGTCCCGAGGAGCCGAGCGCCGCTGCGAGGAGCCAGGAGGCCGTGGCCTTTTTGAACAACTTGATGCAAGTTTTTCTGAGCAGCAGCCATCTCGGCAGCTTCCACAGTGTGCAAATCGGTCGTCAGTTGACGCAAAAGTTTGGCCATGTTGGACTTTTCGCGCGGCTGTGAAAAGGCAGACGAATTGTCCAGAACGGCGAGCCGGGCAAGCTGGCGGCCAAACTCGTCGAAATGACGCTGCTGAAGCAGGTGCAGCATCCAAGGATCGTTAATGGGCATGGGAGGGTCGTCGAGATGCGCGTCATCCTCGTCGGTGATGAGGATTTTGACGGCGGCAACAAGCGGCTCATTCGGCGCGGCAACGGCCGCGTTTTCAGGGACGTTGGAGCCCGGTGATCGCTCAATCTCAACGAAGAGCGTTTGAGACGTGAGGTAGCGTGCATTGCCTTCCTCGAAAGACAGAGATTGCAGCTGGAGGTTGTTGGCCGCAGCCACCTTGCTCAGCTGCGAATCAAGCTCGTCGATGGGCGAGATCCTGGTTCCTCGGTCAAACACGGCCAACGCTGCAGCAAGCGATGCACTAAACACCTTTGATTCCGCCTGACGGGTAGCTTTATCCTGTGTTGGACGGGCGAGGGGGGGGGCGGAGGACAGGAATGGGAAGTGAGCAAATGGCAAAACCGCGCGATCGCGCTCATGTAGACCATGCTTGGATCAAGCATGCTTGGATGTCGTTCTTCACCATGCAAGTGTGTGTGTGTGTGTGTGCTTGCATTGGCGCTTACTTTGAGCTGAGTGAGCAACCTGCTCGCTGTGACTGGCGCCAACGCAGCCGCTGCGCCATAGTTGGAGAGCGCCTGCGTCAACGCGCGCAGCTCGGCGCGGACGTCTTGGCGAATGGTTTCGATATGCGCATCTGCGTATGGATGCACTACAAACCGGGTCCTAAGCGATGAGTGGAACGCCCCCCAATGCAAAAATCCCAATGCACAGCGTTCAGCCAGCAACACAAACCGTGGCCTTGATCCACATTGCGCGGCGCCGTGAGACCGAGCCCAGTGCGGCATGTGTCAAGTAGAGCTTGGATGCGCTTCAAGCGCTGCAGCACGGTCGGAGGGGCGGCAGCAGAAGCATCGGTGGGAGCATGGCCTGAAGACGAAGGATTATTTGGCTGGGCTTCCATTGGAGAAGAGAGACAGGAGAAAAAGAAGAAAAAGATGGACTGAGATTCATTGAGAGGTCCATCGAAAGGTCCATTGAGAGCTGAGTCGAGTGATACCTGTCGGGTGACTTGTCTGTATTGAAGCAGATCGGCTTGTTCTCAGCAGTTCAACTTGGCTCTCGTCGCTGCGCCTGCTCAAGATGATAATCATCCATTCCTGTCCCCTTCGGCGCCGTTTCCAAGCTCGAATTCTCAGGATGGCTACGCGATTGCGACATCTTTTACGCTTTGGCTGCGTTTGGCTGGACTTGCATTGGATTCAGTCCTTTTTTTTTTTTTTTTTTTTTTTGAAAGATCAAACACGATGGCAGCGGAGGGACGACAACAGACACAGACTGCATCAGCTGCAGCACCCCAACAGCAAGCCCAGCAAGCCCAGCCCCAGCAGCAGCAGCAGGCACTGGCGCCGCTGATGACCTCGCTGTCGACGCGCCACGAGCTGCAGTTCTCGTGGACGCTGTACTACGACAACCCGCCCCGCGACGCCGACTGGAACAACTTCAAGCAGTACCTCACCAGCGTCATCACCTTCCGCACCGTCGAGGACTTCTGGGGGTAAGGCACAGCCGAGAGAAACGTTACGTCTTCGTCGATCCAGCGTTTTTGACTGGATTTTTTCCATTGCCGCGTGCGCTTGCCAGCCACGGTCGCTCGTTCCGTCAGTCCCAGTGGTTGGGGGCGGGGTTTGGAGGAGGGCGTGTGTGTGCGTGTGTGTGTGTGCGGGGGGGGGAGTTGAAGAGCAGCTCGTTGTGTAGAAGAGTGAACTGGACGAGAATGACAGTAGTGGAATCCCGTATCCGCTTTGATTGAGTTAAACCCGGTTACGTCTAACCATCTGGTAACAAAACCCTAAGCTGTGCAATCCACATGTCTTTTTTTTTTTTCTTTTTTTTTTTCTTTTTTTGCTCTTCTTTCCGCCTCACTCGCTCCTTCAGAATCTGAGGAAGGAGGTGGGGGGGTGATGGAACACCAGACACGACGCCCTCGAGTTTGACCTCGAATGACCCCGGCTCGCGCTCGCCGATCTCAGCAGCAAAAAGCGAGCTCGAGTCTGTATTTTTTTTATTTATTTATTTTTTTTGGCTGGAAATGCATTACTACGGTTTTTTTTTTTTTTTTTTTTTTTTTTTTTTTTTTTTTTTTTTTTTTTTTTTTTGCTTTGTGTCCTCCACTCATCCACATTGAAGGCCCATTTCGAAGAGAGGTTTGCTGATCCAATGCGTTTTGAACTGTAGCACTCAACTTTTGTTATTATTTTTTTTTTTGCTTCTGCTAGTGCCATCAACAACATTCGGCCACCAAGCGGACTGCCCACCGGCGCCAACTACTCGTTGTTCAAGGGCGATGTGCTGCCCGTGTGGGAAGACTCTGCAAACAACAAGGGTGGCAAGTGGCTCATTAACGTCAACCGCAAGACTGCTCGCTTGGATGAGATGTGGCTGAACACTGTGAGTTTCATTGCCGCGCCAAAATGCTCAGCGATTTCTGAGGGGGGGGGAGGCTCATCCTCATCCTCACGAGTGCTCGTGTCATGAACATGGCGTTCCGCGTCTTTGCTGTTTGATGGCGTAGATGCTCGGCTTGATTGGCGAGAACTTTGAGGTTCAAGACGAAATCACTGGCGCTGTCTGCTCGCTTCGTCCCAAGGGCGATCGTGTTGCCCTCTGGACTCGCACCACTGACGAGTCTGTCCGCGTAATGGGGTACGTGCTCTTAGCGTCGTGGTGGTTGCTGATTGTCAAGTCCTTGACCACACTCGGGGAATGGGAATGGCAATCTGGTTTTTTTTTGTTTGTTTTTGCTCACCAACGTGTTCACCTGCCACAGCGAAAAGTTCAAGGCTGCTGTCCAGCCCGACGAACCCCTGAATTTCATGTCTCACAGCGATGCTGGCGGCTCATTTAAGGTCAAGAGCAAATACATCATCAACTAAACTTTTTTGTACTTTTTTGTGCTTTTGTTTTCTCTTGCCCAAGCTGCCTTGTTACTCAAGTATTTCTCATGCGAGGCAACAATTGGGAAAGAAACTGTGTTCTGCATCTGTTGTCTGTTCCTATTCGTTTATTGTCTTGCTTGAGTATGTTCATTTTGTTTTTGCTTTTTTTTTTTTTTTGCTCTGTTGCCGTAGCTGGCAAGTTATGCACACAAATCAAACTATTCAACCTATTGCATCACATGGTCCAATTGAATGGCACTTTGTTGCACATATTAGAATATCGGGAATGGTCGGGAATATCGGTGTGGGCGTTGCATTGAACGACAATCTGGCTGTCACACATTTGAGCAAAAAACGCCAAACTTCAATTGGAAGGCTGGATGGTCGAGTACGTCGTGGTGGACGCTTCGAGTTCCTTGGGAGATCCAGAGGACGCAGAAACAGCCGTTTCGGAGTACGTGAGTTCGCCAGCAACTCGCGGTTTGGGCTGGTTGGCATCAGGGTTGACATAAATGGCTTCCTCGTCGGCGTGCGGAGCCTTCAACTGGTCATACGTAGACGGGGAGTTGTGGTTGTTGGTCTTGACCTCGTCATAGGTGCCAGACTTGCCGCTCGTGGAGGAATAAGGATTGTGGTAAAGCTCGAACGCCCCGCTATCCTTGGGGTTTTGCTGAGTCAGAGGGCGTCGATCAGTGGAGTCAGAGCTCGGCAGCACCTTCGGGGCGCGCTGAGACTTGCCACGCAGCCGAACAACGAGCAAGGCCACAAGTACTCCCAAAACAAAGCCGCCAATCGCAACGCCAATTGCAATCTGGACTGTCGATGAGTCGCCATCATCATTGGAGCTGGCACCGCTCATAGCAGCGCTGATAGAAGCGGCAACAGAAGCGCTGGAAGCGGCAACCGCGGCAACCGACGAGACGGATGCAGCCGAGGAGGCTGAAACAACATCTTGAACTGAAGCAACTGAAGCAACTGAGGCAGACGAAGCAGCAGCTTGAATGGAAGCATCTGAAGCACTTGAGGCAGCCGAGGCGGACGAAGCGACCACATCCGAGACAGAAGTCGCGATGGATGCCAGGTCAGCGGCAGACGCAGCCGAGGCGGCAACAGCGCTGGCCGCGGAGGCGGAGGTAGCAGTTGCCATCTCGGGAGAGATGCAAACACCGCCAATCATGGTGTGACCCTCATAGCACGAGAGGCAGCCTGCCGCACTGCAACTCAAGCACTTGGCTGGGCAGCAGACAGATCGATCGTCGGCAGAATCGTAGTAGCAAGTCTCGCATGCGCTTCGGCAGGCTTCAACCGGGAAAAGCGAGGGGCGAATAAGCACAAAGACGACAGATACCAGCGATACAAGCGCGTAACAGCACCGACAGAAAGCGAGTGACACGCATTCCAACCGTACCTTTGATGTCGCCTCCTGGAGCTTGATAGGTGCTTGGCGGGATACCCTGCCAGTAATTTTCATACATACCAACGTCCTGAAGTGATGAGAGTCCCAAAAACAGTCCCGGTGGCAAAGTTGTGGCAGCGATACGAAGCAAAGACCTGCCATGATGGATGAAAGGTGAAAATGGTGAGGTGAGGCAATCTGGGCGGCTGTGAAGCAACAACAGAGGCATCAGCAAGCCGTTTGCACTCACAACATGGTCAGTTGAGAACACTCGCGAAACACGTCGCCCGGCAGCGAAGCGATCGATGACGCGAACAGGTTGCTACGCAACGCGCGAAATGCCAAGCCATCTGGAAATTAGCAATTTTGACACTCGCATTCATTTTTGGAAACCAAATGGTCGAACGACACTAACAGATTCTTAAGCTTGGAGAGTCCATTCAGGACTCCGGAAGGCAGGGTAGTGATTGAGGTCGAGGCAAGGTTCCTAGGTGGTTGTTTGAATAGCTGTGAGCTTTCTCCTGTTCGTGTTGCGCAGTGACAGCATGAGGCTCGGCAAACACCGAAGGCATATACTCTTACAGCGTCTCCAGGTTCAGCAGACCACTGAAGCAATCGACCTCGAGCTCGGTCAACGGATTGCCCCCGATATCCCTGGTTCAGCGCACAGTCAGCTATTTGATTGTGGAATGTACTGCGGGGTTTCGGCAGAACATGTTTACTGATGTTGAGACATACAGTTCGACCAGGCTGCTCAGACTGTCGAAGATGGACGAGGGGATGGAGGTCAGCAAATTGCGTGTCAGGAAGCTGAGGAAGCAAGTTGAGCAAGAACAAAACAAATGTGTGAAACAAGCCAGCAAAACGTGTGTGAGTCGGCAAAGGGAGTGTCGCATGGCAGCGCGAGAGACAAGTAAAAAATAGCATGTGGAACAATACATACAGATGCGTCGTGTAGATCGGAATGTTAGACGGAATCTCGGTCAGACTCTGATCCGTGCAGTCCACTGTGAATGAAGTGTACTCGGGCTGGATGATACACGAGGCAAGAGGGTCTTCTGCTTTGACTCCCAGCATTGCGAGCGCGAGCAGCGCCAAAACCGCTTTCATGGCTTTTCTAGAGAACCGATTCAGTAAAGTTGACACAAGTCAGCAAAATCGGATGGTTTCGTATCCGCGACTCTTCCTGTCGTCCATTTCCTTCCTGTTTGATTTTTTTTCGTCCAGCCTCGACCCTTTTATTTTGCCGGGGGGGCCGGGGGGCCGGGGTTGGTGCTCCGTCGAGACTTGGATCCATCGGGCTCTGGCATGAGAGAGCGGAGGGTTTTGGTTTTTGTCCCTTCCCTGAGCCTTTTCCACATCGTCAACTCGTGCACTGTCCCTCGCTCTTTCCCATCTCCTCTGCGACTGCCATGTTCTTCTGTGTTAATTTTGCTGTGCCTTCCTTCCGACAAGCTGCGAGTGTTGTTTGCAACCAGTGCTTTGCTGCTGGTTTTTCTTCTTTTTTTTTGTTTTGTTTTGTTTTTTGCTTTCTTGTACTTTTTTTTTCTGTTTTTGTTATCATTCTGCGACGCTTCGCCACTCTCCAACGCGCGCTCAGCCCCCCCCTTCTCCACAACTCGTCCACTCTTAGCCTTGCTATGCACTCGACGACTTTTCATGAACTCATAGACGACGAGAGCAACGGAGGATGATCTCTCAACTTTGTCGTCGCATTTTTTTTTTGTTTGTTTTGTTTTGTTGTTGTTTTGGGGTGGGTTCGTCCGTTGACCCGGTCGCCGAGGGGGCACAGCGGGGCATGACCACCTTGCCACCTTGGACGGGACTCGTGCGCTCTCTCTCTCTCTCTCTCTCTGTCTTCTCTGGGGCCTCTTCGGGTGCGTGTGTGCGTGTGTGAGCGCGTCAGTGTGTGTGTGGTTTTTTTTTTTGTTCTTTTTTTTTTGGTGTTTCCGTTTTTGCGAAATACCACCAACATTCGATCAGCACAGAGGGCATTGGCCCGACGCGCTCGCTCACACAGCTCACACTGACCCCCTCATCCTCGCTGTGCGCTCTCGTGTCATGCACTACGCAACGGAGGAAGAGCGCTGTGCTTCGACAGGGGTTTTTTCGAGGGGTTTCTTGTGTTGTTTGTTGTTTCTCATGCGGGCCTTTTTCATTTGTATTGGTGTTTGCGTTTTGCGTTTTGCTAATTTTTCATATGCTGGTGTGTTTTGTTACCAGAAAAAAAAAAGGAAGAATGAGCGACAGTTGGCCAAACAGGACGTTGGAAATTTCTTCTCGTTACCTTTGAAGCGAACTCGCGCGCTCACTCTCTCCCCCCCCCTACCCCAGCTGTGACTGTACTGCGTTCGCTACCCTTTGTGGTGCCTTGCAATGGCACATGTAGTTGAAGCCCAACACGTTTCGACTTTGTTTTTGCGCTTGTGGGATTTTCGAACACAAATGACGCATTCGACAGATGGCACTCGAACAAAAATGGGTTGAAAACCAACACCGAGCAGACAAGCGGAGGCAGGGGACCGACCTCTCAGCAGACCACTAACATTCTGTGAAAGGGGCACGTTGAGCCTACTGAGCCATGCTGAGACAGGATAGGATGGAAGGAAAAGCAGAGCTCGAGATGGTGCGGCGTCTTTTTGTCTTTTTTTTTTTTTTTTTTTTTTTTTGTTTTCGAAGACAGATAAAGAAAAAAAAAAAGCTCCGCACAAGAATCTGCTGTTGGGTCGATCGCGACGTGCGCCCCCCGCCCCTCGCCCCAACACCGCAACTCTGGACGTGAACAACTCGACAAAGGCGATAAAGTCCTGCTAAATGAGCGGATGCAGGAGAAACGCTGGCAGATGCAGGCGCGTTCCAACGACCAAGAGTGGAGAATTATCGCGACGCCACGAGCAAGATTTTGCACACATGTTCTTATCGAGAGCGACAAGTTGGGCGTGATGGGTTGTGATTCGTCCATGAATATTCCACCCAACCCACACGACAGGCCGCAGATCAAAGGTGAGCAACATCTAAATGGCTTGTTGACTCGGACTTGCAGATCTCAAACCGAACAAAATTCAACATTGTCTTTATCATTGTCACAAAGCACACTTTTCACATAAAACAACGCCTTCAACCCAAAAGGCCAAAGCGAACACCATCGCAAGAAACCACAAATGCCAAGTTGAACAACTTCCACACAAAAGCCAAAAACACTTGACTTTTAGCAGACAAACGACAGGTTGTCGATGGAGACGGACGACGCTCCAGTGAAGCCAAAGAGGGAGACGGCAAACAAACGGTTGGCAGGGACCGCGGGCGAGAACTGCGAGAAGCTGACCGTCATGGTCTGGACAGCTCCAGTGAGGCCGGAGATTTGCACATTAGACGAGCCTGCCCAGCCGGTGCACGAAGCTGAGCGATACTGCAGCTGAAGCGTGAAAGACGAGCCAGCGGGGGCTTGCACCGAGAACGAGAAGCCAGAGAAGCGGCTGAGGTCGTTGCACTGGTTGGCGTTTGCAAGCAGCGAATACCAATAAGTGCCGGCCTTCAACCCGAGGGCAAGACGGCCACCGGTTTGACTCATCGATGCAGCAGTGCCGTCATCGGACGTCGCAAAGCCAAGATTGTTTGTCGAAATGACTGCATCCGTGAAAGAGTCCACAACAAGTGCAGCGCACTGGTTTCCGCTGGAAGGAGTCGGAGTCACAGATTGAGCAGGAGTAGGAGTCACAGATCGAGCTGGCGCGGTCGTCGTAGGCGCGGGCGTTGTCGGGCAGCCTGTCAGGGTCACATCATCAATGGAGACGGTCGCACCAGCAGTGATGCCTGAAAGGACGATGGCATGAAGGCGCGAAACCACAACATTGCCAAAGGCCGAGAACGGGACAACAATGGTGCGGTCAATAGAAGTGCTAAAGCCGCCTTGTGCTTGGGCGTACGAAGCCAGGGCAACGGTCAAGCGGCTGTCGACCGTGGTGCAGGCCGCGTTGCGCGTGTGCAGCTCGAGATTCACAGTCGTGCCTGGAGGCGCGCGGATCTTGAGAGACACTCCATTCAGACCTGTGGCGTCAAAGCACGTGGCACCGGCAAGCAAGGTGTACCAGTAGGCGCCTGCTTTCGATGTCAGGGAAGCACGGCCACCAGAAATGCTAAAGCCAGCCATGGAGCCGTCATCGCTCATGTCGAGGCCGAGATCGTTGGCGAAAAGCGAGGCGGACGAGAACGAGTTGACCACAACCGAGGCGCGGGTAGCACCAGAGCAGGTAGGGGGGTTGGTAGGAGGGCCGGTAGGAGTCGGGTTGGCCGGGGCATTGGTGGTGGATTTGGCCGGGGTGGTAGAGGGGTTGGCTTGAGGAGTGTTGGACGACTGCGGGGGATTCGAAGAGCCACCGACCGTTGCAGTAAAGCTGGCCGAGACGCCAGCACGCAAAAGATCAATAACAACGCGACGACCGCTGATCGAGAAGGCGCCGCATTGCGCGCACGAGAAGCTTTGGATGGCATCGCCAAACTCGAGGGTGAAGCTCGCAGTATCTGCAGCAGCACCAGTCAGCGTGCCAGTGTAGCCAGTCGAACTCTTAAAGGAGGATGACACCTTGACACCGATGCGAGAAATCCACCACTCGGTAAACTCGTTCATCGCCATAGTGTAGCGAATGCCTTGGCTCTTGGCAAAGTTGAACATGGCAATCATTGCCTGCTTCTTGGCCGAAATGATGCCTTCGTTGCGAGGACCCTCGCCCCAGCCGTCGTGATCTGTGGAAATAAACAACACACAAGTGATAGCCATGAGTACAAGCTTTGTGATGAACCTACCTTTCGTGTTGACGCCATTTCCCAATCGCACGAAGCAACATACCAAGCACTACGGTCATGCCACCGTTGCGACGGTTTTGGAGGACATTGTACTGCCAGCGTCCAAGAAACCAGTTGATGTTTTGGGGAGCCAGATCCTGACGAACGCCATCAATCACAAGGCCGTCCTCGCTCGAGAGAGGAAACTCGTACACATTCGAGTGCTTGAAGATGCCTTGGAGGTTTTCGTACAGGGACAAGTCGACGGGCAGATTGGCCTTGAGATCACCAATAGCAAGCGAGCTGGAAGCCTTGATGCCGAGCTCCTGGAGGACGGGGTACTCGTTAGGATTGAGCATCAGGTACGGCGAGCGGAACATGACCATCTTGCTGCCCGTGGCGCGGAGCAGGATCTCATTGTTGACCTTGATCTCGCCGTAAAGCGTACAGTCTCCGGGCGACTCATCAAACGTGCCCGTGTATCCAGTAGCAAGGCTCTCCTTGCCCGTGCCCAGTGGAACAGTATTGAAAGTCTCGAGGTGAGAAACAGTGTGGCCACCTGTTGTGAGGAGAAGAAAAGGATGGTTGAGTGAAATTGGCATGCTCAATTCCCCAACACCTCAGAGTGAAGCAACCGAAAAAGCAAAAACAAAAGCTCATGGCAAGGATCAATGATCGAGCGCTTACCGACGGGGCACTGGCCGAGAGTACACATCTCAGCAATGACTTGAGGGTCTGTGTCATCGGTGGTAGTCTGGACAAAGAAGCTAATCCTCGGACGAGGCGTGACTTCGTTGACAGTGTGGAGCATGCCAGTCACAGTATCCGAGTAGTCGTGCGTGTCGGTGCTCATGAACAGGATCGAGTCCTCAAAGCCGGGAACGGTGTGCTTGACGACGCTGTGACCCTGGCAACCTTCGCGAAGACCGTCGCGCAGCATCATGGCGAGGACATCCAGCGATGGGTCAAAGCAGTTAATGTAGCAAGTGTACGAGACGTACGTGTACATGTCGAAGCCAAACGTGTACACCGAGCCGAGCCCGACCTTGCGGCGAGCGATACCAGAGCCGACACTGACATCTCCGGAGGCGCCAGTGTAGAAGGTGGCCAGGTTGGTGGCAGAGCCGAGATTCATGACGCGCGCATCCCGCTTGATGTCGGGCACGAAGCCGTTAAGGTATAGATTGAGCTCCTCCACCGTGTCCACCTGATTCAGGATGGGTGCTTGAGCAGCAGGGTCGATGCGGAGATACGAAACGTCTGCGCGGGCAGTGATCGAGCCGATACCAGCCAAGGCGTTGAATGAAGCGCCGCCATCGGGATTGAAAATCATAATCACACCGCCGGCGGAAACAAACGACTCGAGCTGGGTGCGACGGGCCGCCGTCAGCCAGTTGGAGTTGGCAGAGCCGGGAATGACAACGAGGCCGTAGCGGTCTCGCAGATTGGGGAAAGCGTTATCAAATTGGGCGGTAGTGGAAAGCACGTCGTAGTCAATACCGCGTTGGCGGAGGGCCATTTCGTACGTGTTGGTCAGCGATGCACTAATACCGGTGGCGCGCACAAGGGCAGCGCGCGAAACAATGGCGGTAGCCACGTTCGGGACATCATCAACAACGCCGTTGCCTGAAGATTGGGGGCAAAAGTTAAAAACAGTACTTTGCCCTATTTCATCATCAAGTTGCATGACTTACAATCATCATCAATGCCGTTGGTTGTCTCGGGCATGGGCTTTGGACCAGTGCAGACGCGAGCCTTAGTCACTGGGTGGCATTGATAGTATCCTTTCGCGCAAGCGCCCTTCAGTCCGGTGTTGCATTCGTTCGCAGCGACGGGGTCCAACTCGTCAGTGCGGCCATCGCAGTCGTTGTCGAGACTGCAAATTGTACGCCATTAGTACGTTCAGAACTTTTCCCACGCCCCCGCATCCCGTCGTCCAAAAGCAGTCGGAGTCGTCCAAAATCGGAATTACACAGCTTACCCATCGCAAAGTGTTTCTTCTGCTTGAAGAGAGGCGGGGCAGTTCACTGGCTCGCCAGAGATGGCAGCATGGGTCACACGAGCGGCCAACAGCAGCACGCAAAGCAAGAGCAGCGAGAGCTTGCACCCGCTTGCAAGCGCGGGGCGAGTGCGACGAATCATGGGAATCTGACTTGTCAAGAGCCGTCCAAGTTGGGCGTTTTCGGTTAGCAACCAGGTGTCACCTCATGCAAATGCACCTGCCAAAACGTAGTACGCTCGTGGACGTACAAGAGATGTTTGCACAATCGGCGAGCAGCAAAAGATGAGGAGTGATCTGTCAACTCTGGTCGTCGCAAATCCTTTTATAATTGGAGGAGCTAGGTGCTGGGTGTCACAAGCTAGGAGCTAGGAGCTAGGAGCTAGGAGCAGACGGGTAAGTGAAGCGGTTGAGTAGGAGGACTGGTTCAACTCCACACAACAGAGGAACCTGGACCACTTTGCTATGCGGCTTGCGCCGTCCTAGATTTCTCAGAGGTACTTGCGGGTTACAAACTCACCCACGGCTTGAGTTCACGTTGGATCTGAAATTTGCACCGGCACGTCGCGAGTACGGTGTGAGTCGAAGTTGCCATTTCAACTGTTCAACCAACATCGTGAGAGTATTGCACAGACAAAGAGCATCAAGAGGGAGCGGAGTTGAGCTGAGAGGAGCTGGGAGGAAAACTGGGAGGAAGCTTCCTCCCCAGCTGGAGGACGAGGGGGGAAATTTGGTCACCTCTGGTGTCAACATCTGCGTTCTTAGTGTGCGCACCACCCAGGCAGATCGTCTCTAAAACGAAACGGGAAGTCTGTGAATGAGGTTTCGTACTTTGCGCATGGTGTGATACAAGCCAACCGAGCCCGTTGCATTGCATCTCGAACGGGGCTGGACTTTTATTGGTTGCCTGTTTACAGACCTCAAAATGTGAATGTTTGTATTCATCATGGCTTTGTTGTGAGGTAAGCCATTTTCCAGCGAAACAGTAAGCCATTTCCAGCGAAAAAAGCAAGCCTTCTTCGCCGGGCATTTTTGCGTGGCCTACCCATTCGCGATCAAGGGCGAAGAAGCGTCCTTCCAATGTGTTCCTATGAAGGATTCCCACCTCAATGACAGACATCATACAGCAATGCAGCGGAATGCTTGTTCGTCGCAGTGGACTTTCAAAGTTATAATCCATAGATACTTGCACAACAATTTGAATACACTCTGGGCACACAGATTACAGACACAATCAATAGCTTTTTCTCACTAAGACTCGGCGAGAATCTCTGACGCAGCGGCGACTGGACTTGGCGTCGACGCTTCTTCGAGGCTGGTCGACTGCTCGGTGGCGCCATCAGGCGAAGAGGTCGCGGTTGAGGGATCGTCGGAAGTAGCCAGCCCGTTACTTTCAGTGGCGGGAGTTTGCTGAGTGCTGCTGCTGCTGCCGCCGCCTTCTTCTGGGCCCGCAGACGCATCATCCGCATCATCGGCAGGGTCGGTAGCGTGTGCATCCTCTGCCTCGTCCGCATCGTGCTGTCGGCGTGCTTGCGTGAACAGGGGGAATTGAGCATTGCGCTGCGGGTTGGATTGTGAATGTTGCCCGGGAGATTGGGTCAGGTGGTGTGGTGGATCAACCACCTGGCCGTGGTGTTGCATAATTTCCTTTTGCTGCTGGAGAAGGACTTTTGGCGAAATCATTGGCGAGCGCCCGGGTAGTATGGGCGATGCAAACGAGTAGGTTTCTTCGGTCGGCTCCAGTTGCGGCAGATAGATGCAGGTCAGCGCGAGTTCCTCAACGTCCTCAAACTCAAGCTGGGATTCATCGTCGTCGTCCTCGGCATCCTCGTCATCATTTCCCGGCCCTACGTTTGTCAAGCTGCTCGACGACCCGTCGTTGCCATTCGCGGCGTCGGCCTGTTCGGCAGCGCGGCGACGGCGCGGGGTGAGGCTCTGCTTGCGTGGCTGCTTTCGCCTTGGTTGTTGGTACTTGACAACGGCTTCGTGGAGCGCTGGCACTGGTTTCCGCTGCGTATCGCTGAGCCAGAGCGCGCTCAACGAGGCAATGTGCTTGAGCTCGAGGGGCAGGCAGGCAAGGCGGTTATTGTTCAAACTAAGCACTGAGAGAGACTGCAGCGACCCCATCGATGAGGGCAGTCTGACCAGCAGATTGTCCGACAGGAAGAGGTTTGTGATTTTGGTGCAGCGGCCGAGGAGCTCGGGCAGCTCAAAGACGTCGTTGCGCTCGAGGTAGATGGAGTGGAGCTCGGTTAGGTTTTCAATGCCTGCTGGTAGCTCCTCGAGGTAGTTGTTGGAGAAGCGGAATTCCCGCAAGCTGGTTGCCGAGAAGAAGGTCGCCGGCAGGACTTCGAGCTTGTTGTTTTCGGCGGCAATCGAGTGCATGTTGCGCAGGTTGCCGATGGAAGCTGGCAGCGACGTGAGGTCGTTGGAGGTGAGCCATAGATCTGTCAGCGCGGTGAGGTTGCCAAAGTCGGCCGGCAGCGTTCGCAGGTGGTTGGACGTGAGATCGAGCAGCTTGAGCGATTTGAGCGAGCTGAATGATGGCGGTAGCTCGGTCAGGTCGTTGTCGTCCAGCCAGAGCTCTTCGAGGTTGACCAGGCGGCCAATGTTTTGAGGCAACTCGCCCAGAGTGTTGCCGCCGACGCCCAGCTTGACGAGGTTGGTCAGCTCGCAAATCTGGTCGGGCAGCGAGCGCAGGAGGTTTTCGCGAACCCACAACTCTGTCAGGTTTTTCAAAACGCCGAGCTCGGTGGGCAGCAGGTGGATTTGGTTTTCGGACAGGTCGAGCACCTGCAGGCTGCTGAGGGCCAGCACGCCGCGCGGCAAGAGCGACAGCTGATTGACGTTGAGCTGCAGCACGCGAAGGGCAATGAGCGACTGGATCTCCTCTGGCAGCTCTGCAATCTGGTTGTCGCGCAACCGCAGCTCCTCCAGCTTTGAGAGCGATCCGAATCCCGACGGCAGTGTTCGCAGCTGGTTTTCGCAGCAGCTCAGCGAGACGAGCGAGGTCAAGCGCTCCATTGTGAGCGGCAATCCGACGAGCTTGTTCGTGTCGAGAATCAGCTGCTCGAGCTGCTTTGGCGTGTCGAACACCTCTGCGGGGACATAGCTGAGGTCGCAGTCCGAGTAGTCGAGCGTGTCTGTAGCAGCAGCAGCAGCAGCAACAACAAGAAGCACAAAGCAAAGAGACAAAAAGTGAGTGATCACGTCGAAGACAGGAAGGGGGGGGGGAAAACGAAGAGTTGGTCGGGGCTGCATGTTGGTTGGTTGGAGAATGCAACGGTTGGTTGGGGTGGACAGGAAGAGGTACAAGCAATACAAAGGCAAGAAGACAATAAGCCAGTATAAAAATAGTTGGCGCTAAACGCACAGCAACATAGTATCCAGCTCACTGCCTGAGGTAAGGATTTCAAACCCAGCTTCCTCACTACATCGGCTTCCGAAATGCATTGCGGTTTTTTTTTTTTTTCCTTTTTGTTGATAAAACGGCTTTTGTGAGATCAATGCATCAAAGTGCTCGCTGGAAGGAAGGAAGGAGGCGAAAAATGTCCCCACAAAATGCTCAATCAGACGAGCGGGAGAATGGATGTTTGGTGGTGGTGGTGGTGGTGGTGGTTGAGGTTGGTGATGGCTCGATGCAAAGCCAATGCAACAGAGATTGAAGGCGAAATTCAAAACCAGATGGTTTTTTTGATTTTTTTATTATCTTTTTTTATTTTCCTGTTTGACTCGCTGTCGATGGTCGCTTCGCTCGGCCGCTCAGTCCGTGTCGCCGTCGCTGATTTAAGAGCAAGCAGACATGCAGCGAGGCGATCCCTGGAGCGGCTGAAGTGGTGTCCAGCACAACGAAAAGGAGAAAAAATTCAATTTAAAAAATCTTTGTTCTTTTTTTTCTTTTGTATGGAGTTTGCATTAGAAAAATAAAACAGAAATAAAAAATAAAAAATCAAACGAACTCGCATTTCGAAGCCAGCGGAAAAGGCCAAAGCAACGACGACGACGACCGACAGCAGATCAACGCGCGACGACAGAGAGAGAGAGCACACAAAGAGAGAGAGAGAGAGAGACCCCGCAGCGAGCGACAGAGAGTGAAGAATGAATGATCAGATGTAAGGAAAAAGAAAAAAAAAAAACAAAGCGGTTTGTGTGGTTTGTTGAACCGCTTCGACCGAGTCAAAAACACACAGAGACCGGAAGCGAAGTGGGAGGGGGGGAGGAAGGTGAAGGGGAGAGGGAGAGGGAGGGAAGGAGTGTGTCGGGTGGATGAGAGTTGCGAGAGACAGCGGGGCGAAAGGGGAGGTGGATTGAACGGTGAAAGGTGTATCGTGTGCAGTGCATGTATGGGTGTGTACCAAAGGGCTTTTTGACAATCGACTTGACTCGCTTCCAGATGGACATTGAAGTGGGAGGGGTGGGGGGAAAGAGAGAGAGAGAGAGAGAGAGAGAGACAGAGAGAGAGAGAAGGATCAATGGAGCGAGAGTAAAGTGAAAAAAAAGAGTGACTGAGACTTGCTCAGAACAAAGAAGGCACTGTAGGATAAGAAACACACTAAAAGCGCAAAGTGACCCTTGACGTTCAAGAGCAGAGTGTAGGAGATCGAGCGAGAGCCATTCTCCACAGAACTGCTTTCACTCTTCCAACCGTCTCTCCTCCTCCTCCTCCGTTGAGATCCATAGCATGAGATTTTGAACTGCGATTGCGCTTGTTCTTATTTGGCTCAAGTTCATTGTTGACTTTTCCGCTCGAAGGTGAGCGTTGCATTCTCAGACCGAAACAAACGCAATGCTGCTGTACTGAGCTAACTGAGGAACTGGCGGGTCGTCATCGCCAGTGCCCAAGAGTGTGATTTAGGAACGCAAGGTGGGCCCTCCCTCGTCGACCAATGAGCGCGCCTGAAGGAGAGGCCGCAGCGTCAGCCGGGCCACCGCAGCAGCAGCAGCAGCAGCAGCAGCAGCAGCAGCAGCAGCGAGCGAGCAGGCCGCCGAGTGCAGTGTCGGCTGCACGGAGCAAGCTCAACGCCGCGCTCGGGGCAAACGGACCAGTGTACTATGACATGCTCAAGCGGTACATGCTGGCTGAGGCAACCAAGAGCGAGCTGGACGCAACAGCGAGAAATCTGCTGGGCGATGACCATTGTAAGATTGCCCGCTCAGACCGCCTGAGCAAGGAAGTGGGCGAGGCTTTATTGTGGATCTCATTTTTGCAGTTGAATATCTGGTTGAATATCTGGTTGAATATCTGGGTTGGATTTGGCTGAATGAATCGGGTTGAAATCGCCAGTCGGTTTGCACACTGCGTTTCTCAGATCCAGCATCCAGAACGCTGCCGCCAAGTCTGCAGTCCCAAGGAAGAAACGACCGCTATCGGCAGGTGAGTGGCGTTTTGTTTGTTTTTGTGCTTTGTGTTCAAGGTCGTGATTGGTTGCTGAGCGGGGTTTTTTTTGTTGTTTTTGGACTCAGATTCCTCCGGCGCAGGTACGCCCGTCGTCGATACACCTCAGGAATCGAATCAGTCGACAACTGTCGATATGACCGCGGTCCAGGAGGAGGTATGAACTCGACACACATTCACCCTGAAACCATGATTCGTGATGGGAGAGCTGACTCGTTCTGTTTCTTGAGTTTCAGCCGACGCCACAGGACGAGAGAGCCTTTGCCAGCTCAACAGACGAGTGGCAACCTGTCCAACATGACGCTCGCCCGGCCAACACACGTGCAGTCACCCTCTGTTCCCAATTGCGACGGCTCCCAACCGTGGCGGAGATGCGCGCGCGGTTATTTGTGACTGCATTTGACTACGAACTCCATGATGTCACTGATGAGGCTGCTAAGCTACTAGTACAAGCTCTTGAGGTAGATTTGATGCTTTGATGCGCTGGTTGTGTAAACTTGGGCACTCAACGTTTTCTGCCTTCCTTGTTTTTGCATTGTTTTCCGTGATCCCTGCTCTCTGGCAGTATCACATGATGAATGTGATTGGAAAGACAATTTGGTGGAAGAAGCGCGGCCGCCGAAAAGCAAGTGTCGTCCGACGCGAGCTGGCAGCCCAAATTCCTCAGCCACACGCCGAGCTGGCGCTACCTCTGATCGACATCCCCGACCCAGCTGCCTTGACCGATCCTTTGGGCCCCGAAGACCTGCTTTTGGCGCTCTCCATGTCCCCCAGCTTGCTCGGTGACGATCGGCTGTCCAAGGAACGAATTTTGTCGCGGCTGCGTCAACGGTGATTGCTTTTTCACGCAAACACTGTACAATTCTTCTGCACAAATCCCCATTCACCACAAATTCCTGCAAGCTTTGGAACAACAAGTGAAACTGAACGTGGACTTTCTTTCAAAAAAATGCAGTACAAAGAAAGAAAGCACGAAAGACGGCGAGAGCATTTCGCAAACATGTTGTATTCACACCGCTCCGGCACGAGACTATCGGACTGCGCCACGCTTAAAAGGTGGGAATGTTGAAGCAGCCAAAGCTGTCGTCGCCCTACAAAATCAAATGAACGAAACAAAACAAAAGTAAGCCAAGAAGCAAAGCATCCAACTGGGGACAACTGGGGGGGGGGAGGCAAGTGCTCCTTTGAGAGGACTGCATACAGAGTACAGGCACTTGGACTCGAAGCACATGATATTGCTGTCAAGATCAGCGCAGCCGGAAACAGACGTCTGGTTTGTGCCCAGAACAGAAAAAGTGAATATCATGATCAATCCCGCAAAACCAACGCTCCCTTCCAACAATCACAGGTGGCCGTACCGAATTGAACACGACGTTGGTGAGGTTGAGGCAAATGCTGAGAATGTGGGCGGGAATGTACTTGTCGGCCTTGATGATGGCGTCGATGATGGCCTTGAACGGGATCAGTGCGGGAATGAGCTCGAGCAGCGACAGAAGCGAAGTGTCCGAGAGGCAGATGTGGTTGCCGTCCAGCTCCTCGTCGAGAACAGTGTGGTTGTCAATGGTGAGCTTGGCGCCGAGAGTCTGTTTGCGAGATTGGTCCAAAAGATGGGTGAGTTAAAGCACTGCGGCTCTCTTTACCAGCATCTATGCCACGACGGCCATCGATGCCATCGATGCCATGGCCAATGGTGCAAATAAATCCTCGTACAAGATTCTCCGGAATGACATAGAGAACGAGGCACGTCTCGCCGAGCACCGGAATGTCAATACACGACGACCAATCTGCTCAAAAAACCACCCCAAAAGCATTTCGCCAGTCGGAAGTGAGTCAAAATAGTCAGTTTCAATTGTTCTACAAAATCGACCAACCGACTTGGAAACTCAGAAAGCAATAAATAAATAAAAATGCCGCTATTTTTTTTTTATTGTTTTTTTTTTTTTCGCTGAAATCACATTGCGGAACTTTTTTTTTTTTTTTTTTGTTGGTTGGCTTTGGACAGCAAAGTGAGCAGAGGTTTCCCCCCCCCCCCCGCGAGTGAGGGTGAGCGAGAGTGAGTGAGCGAGAGCGAGTCGGAGAATGAAGCGACGCACCGGACTCGTTGCCGACGCGGGCGGCGGGCAGCTGGATCTTCTTGTGGTTGTTGTTGTTGAGGCGGGCGAGCTTGGCCGCAAGACCCACCCGGTGGTAGTCGCGCTCGGCCATGGCGGCAGAGTCGGGCTTCTGGGCAATGGCAATGGGCACGGCGTAGATGCTTGTCGCGAGCGAGACAATCACGCAGAAGGCAACGACGGCCAGCGACGCACTCAAATGCTTCATCTCAATGGAAAATCAAAGGAAAATCAAGAGGAAAAAAAGGATTGAGCTGGATTGTTACGAATCGGGATTACGAGCAGAGGTAAGGATTTGCTTGAGTTTCGCTCCATAGCATTTCATGAACTAGCCTTTTGGTCGCTTCATCATTCAGTCGTCCTTTTGGCTTCGCTCCAAACCCCCCCCCCCCCGCCTTCATTCCTTCCTCACACTTGTTACACAATGGCGACCAAGCTGCAGCAGTTCACGCTCGTGTTTGGCTTTGTCTCTGCCGTCTGGACGGTCTTCCTGCTCAACCTGCAGCCAGCCGCGCTCAAGCCGTCGCCCGCCGTCAGCCAGATCATCCCGGCGCTGCCGTTCGTCGCACTCGTCGCGTTCTGCGCATACTCACTCATGGCCATCGGGTACCGATTGGCAACCTTCAACGACTGCAACGAAGCCTCGCAGGAGCTCCAGCAGGTATACGTCCAGCCGTTCAAGTTCACGCTCACGCACACCACACGCCTGTGTCGCATTCAATACATGCAGTATAGTGCGATGGTACCACGGAACTGACTTGTGTGTGGCTTGTTTGAACTGTGGTCTTTGGCAGGAGGTCAAATTGGCGCGCGCAGACCTGAGCGCAAAGGGCTTCAAGTTCTGAGCAGCGCAGCAGCTTTACTGTATCCTGTAGTGTTGTTGTCGAATGTTGAATAGATGAGGAATTTTGCATGGATCCTTGTATGGATGGGTGGTCCCCCCGATTCCGCATATGTTGAACAAAGGATGGGCAGCTCAAACCGCTCATCGTCAATGTCGTCTCATCGTCAATGTCGTCTCGTAAAAATACTTTACGTCTATTTAACACCTACTGTAACAACAACCTTGGTCCGGGCAAAGAATCAACCCTGCCACAGCCAGACCAAGAACGCAACACGCACACACTCTCACTCTCTCTCGCTCAACTAGAAGCAGAGGGCGCAGATCGGAACAGCGCTCCAAGCATGGCTGAGGTTGCGCTGTTGGCGGCGGCAGATGGGCGTGCAGCGGCGGATTGCTGATGTTGCAGCTCTTGGAGAATCGCATCCACACGAAGAAGCGGATTGTCAGGCACGTCGGCGCCGACATTCCAGATGTAGTCGTCTGGCTCGCCGTACTTGAGCACAAAGGGCCACAGCTTGGCATCGTATGTCGCGACGCTGGGGTATGGAGGCAGAATGTCGACGGGCTCGGTGAAGGACTGTGGCGCCTCGAAAATCTCGGCGTGCATGCGGTTGACAATTTCGCGATCCACCCACTTGCCCACTTGGATGATGAGAAACTTGGTGTCGGGCCAGATGCGATGCAGCACCTCAATGATGGCACCGGAGCCCACCGTCGTCCACAGTCGGCGCGGAGGTTGCTCGACAAGCGCAACTGGGCGCACGGCTTGCAGCTGACTGGTGAGCACACGGACAAACTCTTCGCAATTCAGGCCAAAGGGCAGCAGTTCAACAGCGCTAGGGTTGCGCAACTCGCGCTGCCGCGCAAGTACAAACTGCTCGGCCTTCTCCTGGACGCGCTTGAGCGCGTGGAAGGGGCGCGGGATTGTGTGGATGACGCCGCCCAATGCCTGAGCCAAGCGCGAGAGTGGGTGCAGAACTGTGCCGTCGTCGTACTCGGCCACAAAGATGTGGGCCGTCTTCCGCAGCAACAGCGCCGACAGTGCGAGGGCAACCTGCGCGTAGCCAAAGGCTGGTCCGGCATAGACAAACTCGCTTGCCGTGCGCCGCGAGAGCATATCGACCAGTGCCCGCTGCTTTGTGCCGCCCAATAGCAAGTCGTCACGAATGACGTTGACTGAAAACGCAGGTCGGTTGTGTGGGCGGGCGGTGAACGACTCCACCGCAATGATTGGATTCAAGTTGAGAGCGAGCAGCTGCTGTCGTCGGACGGTATCGAGTGTGAATTCGCTGTATCACAGTCAATAGGATGGGTTTGTCAGTGCAGGTAATCCCAAAAATCAACAAAGTCGGGAGTGTGGTTGTTCATATGCACGATCAAAAATCACTTACGCTGGCCCTGCTCGGTGGTGCTGCTTTTTTCGGCGTCCCTTGCGTTTGCTCGGGGATGCTACTGGTGATGATCGCGACGGCTTTGACAATGCCGTTCCGACAGAAGGAGCTGCTTCTTGTTGGTGTCGTTGCTGTTGTTGCTGTTGTTGCTGTTGTGGATGCTGAGCGTCTTCTTGGTCGTCATTTTGATCTGCAATCTCGTCGTCGTCGTCGTCGCCCTCGACATCGGCATCGTCTTGCGCAAAAAACCACTTCATACGAGCAGCAGATGCCAGATCCGTCTGGTCAGCTCCGACTTGCTTTGGGAGGTTTTCCTCGAGCGCGTCCAGCGAGAATGTCCCTTTGAGCGTTGAACCGAGCGGAGCACTTGCGATTGCAGCTGCAGTGGATGTCGATGCAGACAGTGTACTTGCGCCAAACAGCTTGAATGCGACAGATGCATTGAATCCCGACGCTCCTGGCTCGTGCGCATGGGTCTGACTACTAGTGGTAGCAGTGACTGGAAACGATGACACGGCTGAAGTGGATGCAGTGGTGGTGGATTGCGGATGCCCAGCGGCGCCTGGCGTTGACTGGCCTTGGATTGCACTCGTACTAGCGTCAGTGGTTGTACTACTCGCAATCATGGTCGTAGCAGCAGCGGCAGCAGCAGCAGCAGCAGCAGCGGTGGCTGGCAGTGGCTGATCGGCAGTCCAAACGCCATGCGGGAGAGGAGTGCGAGCCGTGGCGCCGTTCGCCAGCCCAGCCTCAATCCCGGCAGATCTATCACGATGGTGCTGATGGTCGTGGTGACCAGATTGGTGATGATGGGCCGGTGCAGCAGCAGCAGCAGCAGCAGCAGCAGCAGCAGCAGATGTAGAATCGAACTCGCGCAGAAGGTCGTCCGGCTTCAGCAAGAACAAGCCCGGCGCTGCGAGCGATTCCTCATCCATTCAACCCAACAGAAGAAACAAAAGAAAGAGAGAGAGAGAAGAGGATGAGAGAGAAGAAACAGAAGAAAGAGAGAGGGAGAGAAGAGGATGAGAGAGAAGAGAGAGATGAGGATGAGAGAGAGAAGCGAGAGCGAGGATCCAAGAAAGGGAAGAAAGTCTGAGAATCGAAGGATAAATAAAGTAAAAAATGATGACTGACAAAAGCTCAGACAAAAGATCAGTTCTTTTGTTTTTGTTTCGCTTCAAATGGCTTCTCCTGCTTCGTCGTCTTCCTCTGCTGCTCCCGCTCCTGAGGCTGTCCCTCCACAACAGAAGGATCAGCAGCAGCGTAGTAGCCTCAGCAGCCTCACGGGCCTCAGTCTGAGCGAGACAATGCTCTACGCGTCGTTCGGCATCACAGGAGGCAAGCTGATGATGGACTGACGGTACAATTGCTGAAGGATGGACATTTGACATTGGACTAACATTGGCAATTGTGCACAGTCGTCATGGCGGGGCAGCTCGTGTACGCCTACCGCCGCCGCCGCATCGCAGAGCAGACGCTGACACGAGCAGTCGAGCTCTACAACCGCCGCGCCACGGAGCTCGCTGTAGCACGTAAGATCATGTCGGAGCGCTTCCTCGTGTGAATGACGACGAACGCATGCTGCCACCACTCAGAGGGCAAAAAGGCGGCCGACTCGAGACTTACCTCTCATGCTGAACCAATGTGCTTTGGTGCTTTTGGTTTTTGGGGTTTGGCTTGGTAGATGCAAGGCAGGCAGAGGCGGGTCATACTGCAGATGCAGCGGGCGATTTCGCGCAATTCCCAAGTGTACAGCTGCCCGACCAGCACTCTGCGCCCTCACCAATAGCATCCAATGTATCAACAGGATCTGTATCATCATCATCATCATCATCATCGAGCGAAAAGCTGCGGTGACAAGCTCATTTGGTGGCTATTACAAGTCGTAATACAGAATTACTAATACAGTACAAGCGGGAAATGCTCGCTCAGATACCCGCATGAACGAACAATGCTGGTCGCTTTTAAAGGTCACTTACTTGGTTGGTTTGTACCGTATGGTGCATTGGGACAAAGAGGATGGTTGGTGTGACGGGGTGTGTTGATTGCATCGAGTTGCGAATCGTGCTCGCTAGATCCGTGCACAACCGAGTGCGATGGCGGATAATCGTCACTCGATGAGTGCGTCAGAAGCATGGCATGATGGTCGCACAGAGCATATTAATTGGACTTGTATCAGTCAGATGAAACCTTTGCCGACTGAAACGGGCTTCAAACCAAACTCGTTGTGATTCTGAGCAGTCTGAGCATCTTTGAGCAAGCTACATGCATTGCCGTCACTCTATTGACATTCACATTGCGGCGCAATCTCCATAGAACGACATTGGTTCGGTTGTAGTCCGTTCACGCGACTTTACAGCGAAAATGCGCGTCCAAGCATTTCAACATGAGAAATAGCTGACCATTTCCCTTCTTGTCTATTTTATATCGTCTTGCTGCATTTGCGCTCGCTCAGACTTCATTTCCACGATAACATGGCTGCGTCGTCTGAGATTCCGAGCGCCGTGCTGGACGCCCTGCCGCTGCTCACTGTTGGTCAGCGCGTACTCCTCCCCGGTGCGCTCATGCAGGTCTTTATATCACGCCCAGCCGGCGTGCGTCTCGTGACAGACCGCCTGTGGCGCAGCGACGGCGCTCAAAGCGTCTTTGTCGGCGTTCTGCCAGTCGCCATTGCAGATGCCACAGCCACCGCCGCCGCGCTCGGGTCCGATCGCGATCCTCAAGCTTCTCAAACAGCAAGCATCCATCAGAAGGAGAACGGCGCTCCTCGCGATGCTGATGCTGATGCTGAGCGCCAGAGTCAACGGCAGCCGTCGGCGAATTCAGCTTCCGTGTCATCACTTCCGACGCGGATGCCGCGGACAGCGCACGACCACGACCACGACCAGCACCCACCGAAGGGAGACAAGCCTACTGCTGCTGGTTCTGCTGGTTCTGCTGCTGGTGGGTCTGGCGGTGCCACGCGCGGTGGATCGGACGACGACGCGAGTCGCCCAATCGCCAAGTTCAAGGCGCCGAACGCAGACCCTGCAACGCTGACCGTGCCTGCCATCCCGGCAGTGCCGAAACTCGAGATCAGTGCGACGCCAGACGCGGCGTTTGCGCCACTGTCGCAGCTTGTTGGCGAGGTTGGGACGATCGGACGCGTGGTGCGGCTCGCTCGAATCAAGGTTGGGAGCAAAATGGTCTACAATCTGCTGCTCGAAGGCCAGTGTCGCTTTGGCGTTGTGGCAGTCAGAATGGACCCGTTCATGGTGGCGCAAGCGTGTCAGCTGGAGCTGGTCTTTACCCCGAGTAAGACGGGTCCCCCCTCCCCACTCCATCCTGCCCAAAAGTAACAAAAGTATATTGCACTCGAACTCACCACAACTTCTGATTTGTTTGTACCAGGCCAGGGTGCGCTTCCTCCGCCGACGCCGGGTGTAGAAGCCATGCTATACGACTCTATTCGCCAGCTTCTCAAGTTGCTCGCGTCCCGCGCGCCAACACTGGCAGGCTTTGACAGGATTGTGGACCAAGTGCCCCTGGCGCGTATCGTTGATTTGCTGATGGCAAACATGGACTTGTCGTTCGTCGACCGTGTCTCCACGTTGCGGGAGTTGAATGTTCCACTGCGCTTTGAGCGCGCTCTTGCGCTAATCCAGCGGCAGGTCTCGGTATGGTTTTGTTTGTGGTTTTTTTTTTATTATTATTGTTTTTTCTCTTGTTTTTTTTTTTTTTTTGCTTTTGCTGACGACAACTGGTCCCCTTTTTTTGGATGTCTCCAGAGACTGCAAACTGCCCTTGAAGTGCCAGCACCGCGCGGCTCATTGGTTGGCCAGCTCGTCAAAATGGCGAGGAATGCCAAGGATGGAAAAACCGACGACGAAGGCAACAACTCGTCATCCACCCCGCCTTCGATCGGAGATGCTAACAAGGACCAAGATGACGCCGATGTGGAAGCTCTCGAAACTCGCATTAAGGCGCTCAATCTGCCCGAGGAAGTAGCGCCTGTGGTGATGCGCGAGTTGGCCAAGCTCAAGCGTTTGCATCCCCAATCCTCGGAGCGTCAAGTGTACTTTTCGTATCTGGAAGTGATTGCAGACTTGCCATGGAACACGTTGACGGAAGACGTCCTCGACTTGCAAAAGGCGCAAGCTGATTTGGACCACGATCACCATGGTCTTGCCAAAGTGAAGAAGCGTATTCTTGAGTGTCTTGCGGTGCGCAAACTTCGCAACGACATGAAGGGGCCGATTATATGCCTTGTGGGACCCCCTGGCGTTGGCAAGGTTTGTTTGAACGAGGGGTACTCTTGTGGCAGGTTTTTGGCTTTGGTTTTTTGTTTTTCGTTTGAGCACAAACGCTCACACAAGGTGGCTCTGGATTTGGCCGCTTGCGACTCCATGCTTTGTCTCCTTTCCCTTGGTCTGTTGTGCTTGATTGTGCTTGATTTTGCAGACAAGCCTCGGCAGATCGATCGCCTCCACTCTGGGTCGCAAATTCCAACGCATCGCACTCGGTGGCATGCACGACGAGGCTGAAATTCGCGGCCACCGATTAACCTATGTCGGCGCAATGCCCGGCCGTGTCATGCAGGCCATTCGAAGGTCTGGATCCAAAAATCCCGTCCTTTTGCTGGACGAGATTGACAAGCTAGGAAAGGATGTTCGAGGCGACCCCGCGTCTGCATTACTCGAGGTTTTAGATCCCGAACAAAACTGCCAATTCTCCGATCAGTAAGAGGTCTATTTGTTGTGGATTTGTTGTGGATTTGTTGTGGATTTGTTGTTTAATGCCATTTGTCTCACGGTTTCCGCACTTACCCGCCCCCCCCGCCAGCTACCTTCACGTCCCGTTCGACCTGAGCAAGGCTCTGTTTATCTGCACCGCGAATCGCATGTCCAGCATTCCTGCACCACTGCTGGACAGGATGGAGGTCATCGAGCTTCCAGGCTACACTCTTGACGAGAAGGCCCACATTGCAACCCGCCACCTCATTCCAAAGCAGCTCAAAGAGCATGGGTTGGTTCCTCAGAATCTCGATATTCCCTCGTGAGTTTCTCTGCGCGTTGATTGAGATTTTTTTTGGGGGGGGTTGTTTTTGTTTTTGTTTTTGACTCGTTGTCGCTTGTTGTTTCTAACTGGCCAATCGTTCTCCCTCAGAGATATTGTCCAGACAATCATTCAGCGATACACGCGAGAGGCTGGCGTGCGCAACTTGGAACGTGAGATTGCGGCCGTGTGCCGCGCGACAGCTGTGCGGATTGTGCAAGCGAGCACGACCGCTCCAGCCAGCGTTGGCTCTCATCCAGCAAGTCCCACCGATTCTGTGCAGCCTCTAGTTGTGGACGATGCCCTTCTCGAGGATGTGTTGGGTGTAAGTTGCGCATGCAGGGGGCAGCATGCAGGGGGCATTCTCCGAGTTTTGTGCTGCATAGAGTCTGATTCCTCCTATCTTTTGCACAGGCACCCAAGTTCGACGACGAAATTCACGAGCGAGTTTCAGTTCCCGGTGTCGCTACAGGCCTTGTGTGGACGGCCAATGGAGGCGGCATTCTGTTTGTTGAGGCAACATCCATGGGCGGGAAAGGCAGGCTCACTCTCACAGGACAGCTCGGCGACGTTATCAAGGAGAGCGCACAAATCGCATTGACATGGCTCAAGGCGCACGCGACTGCCCTGCCTCCCAACTCTCCGGCAGTTTTCCCAACCTCAGCTCAGCCTGGCACTGCGGTTGTGCGCAATCTCCTCGAAAACACTGATATTCACGTGCACTTCCCCGCGGGCGCCATTCCTAAGGACGGGCCGTCCGCCGGCATCACTCTGGTGACGGTGATGGTGTCTCTCATGAGCGGCAAAGTGGTGCGGGCCGACACGGCCATGACGGGCGAAGTCACGCTGTCAGGTCTTGTACTGCCTGTTGGTGGCATCAAGGAGAAGGTGATTGCCGCCCATCGCGCGGGCATCAAGCGGGTCATTCTCCCGCACCGCAACAGCAAAGACCTCGCCGAGATTCCGGCCACGGTGAAGAGCTCGCTGGACATTGTCCTGGTCAAGACAGTGCAAGAAGTGCTGGACGCCGCCTTCGACGGAGGCTCACCCCTCGTTGGGGTGTTTTCCTCCCGGTTGTAATTCCATGTTCTTGCTAAGGGGCTCGGGTGTTGCTTCTACGAGTGCTTTGTTGTGAATAGTTACAAAGGGTTTTTTGTTTTGGCGTTTCGGCTGCATTCCAAGCTTTCTGTACGTGTGAATCCCGGCCAAACCCCATGGTCAAAGTCATTACATGTATCATAACCCCTCTCTCAGGCAATTCCATCCTTGTTTTTCTCAGTTCTTTTGTCTCAGTTCTTTTTTTTTTTTTTCTTTTTCTTTTTTTTTTTTTTTTTAACAAGCTTGATTCAATGGTGTCGCAGATTGAGCGTTGGGCGCTCTTCCTGGTTGCCATTCCGCTCTCGCTGTTCTGGGGCAGCCTTACGCTGCTGAGTGTCGTGTATGACGCCGTCCGCAGCCGCGGCAAGGCCTTCCGCTCTGTCGCCCGTCCGACCCGTAAATGCACACGTTTTAGCATTGAAACACCACCACCTCACTCAAACCCGCCTCTGTCGCTCTGTCGCTCTGTGGCGCGGGCGGTTTGAAGCAGTCGAGTCGAGTCTCAGGAGCACTTGTGGCTTTTGGACTGTCTCCGTTGATGGTCGATCGCCGTGTGCTTCACTCATTGGATTGACATTGCGCTGCGAAAATCTCCGATTCAAACAAATCAAAAAAAATCACAGTCCGACAAGCTCGCGCGCTTGTTTGGTTGGTCGGCCTTCTGTTTCCAGTTGCATTGCATTTGAATGGGTGGATGTGGGCTGTTCTGGGAGGAAAGAGCCCTCGTCGTCGTGCAAGAGGGGAGTCGCGGGGGGGGAAGTGATTTGGATTTTGCCACTTTGGCGACGCGGTCAATTCGCCTTCGACTGCTCATGAACAACTCCTCGCCTTTCGCTCTGGAACAACACTGCCATCGCTTGCAAGATTGTGAAGACGCGCGTGTGCCTCAAAAAGGATGGCGGAAAGCCGGGGAAGAAACGTTAAGCGAAAAAAAGTGGCACTCACTGAAACTGTCTGATTCATTCAACTCATCCAGAGCCGGCTTTGCTCAGCGATCCGCTGTGGGGAACGCACCATTTCGCTACTCTGTCAACGGGAGTCAAGCTGCACTATGTCCAGAAAGGCGACGGTGCGCCGCTCATTCTCCTGCACGGCTTTCCCGAAGTAAGATTGGAAAGTGCTCCGAGTCGCTGCTTTGGCAAATCCACTCTCACCTCTCTGCTCGGACTGATAGTTTTGGTACTCGTGGCGCAACCAGCTCGTCTCGTTGAGCAGCACCTTCAAGGTGATTGCGGTGGACATGCGCGGTTATGGCGACTCTGACAAGCCGAATGGTGTCCGAAACTACTCGATGGACAAGATTGTTGCCGACATTGTCGAGCTTGTTCATGTTCTCGGCTACAAGAAGGTTACGCTGGCTGCACATGACTGGGTACTGACAATCTTCAGATGTTGATTTCGGGGCGAGGGTTGTATTTTTATTGTTGTTGCTGTTGTTGTTGTTGTTGTTGTTGTTGTTTTGTATGCTGCACTCACATGGTTGTTCTACATTCTTTCGCAAACTCTGTTGCTTCAAGGGCGGTATGATTGCCTGGTAAGACAAGGGGGTTTCTTGCCTGCTTCTCCTCTCGTTGAAAGACTCATGCTCCTCTCACATTCTGACATTGGAACAATTGTCATTTCGTAGGGCACTCGCCATGTCCAATCCCGAAGTATTGGAGCGCCTGGTGATTCTGAATTGCCCTCATCCGGTGGTTTTCCGCGAGCAAGGCCCAAAGAATCCTGCTCAGCTGCTCAAGTCTTGGGTAATTGAGAGAAACCAGATAGGCAACTGTTGGTGCCCGCACACGAATTTCTCACACAACTGATTTGGTCCCCATGTATGCGCAGTACATCTTCATGTTCCAGCTGCCATTCCTTCCCGAAATTGTCGCGCACATGTACGACCAACGCCAGATCTACGCCGCTTTCTGCGGCAGGAAGATGGGCTGCGTGCGCAAGGGTGCGTACAGCCCTGAGGATCTCGATTGCTACAAGTACATGCTGGCTCGTCCGTACGCCACCACGGCTGCCATCAACTACTACCGCAACCTCTTCATCCCGTGGATTCCCCAGGTGCCGACGCGTCGCATTGATGTGCCCACGCTCATCATCTGGGGCGACCGCGATCAGGCACTCGAGTCCTCGCTTGCAGATCATGCAGCCAAGCACGTCACCAACGTCACTGTCCGCCATCTCGCAAATGCTAGCCATTGGGTTCAACACGACGAGCCCGAGCGTGTGAACACGTTTATTCGAGAGTTTGCCACCACTGGTCAAGTGTCTTCCTGAAAGTTCAAGTCAGCAGAAAGTCATCAACTGATGACCTGTGTTTGTTGGTTTGTTTGTTTGTTTGTTTATTTGTTTGTTTGTTTGTTTGTTTGTTTGTTTGTTTGTTTGTTAGTTTGTTTGTTTGTTTGTTTGCCAATGGCCTGACACTGTGATGCGCGTGAACATGAATGTGACCAAAACATCAGGTGTTGTCGTTTAGAGAGGGTGCTTCTAATTCCGAACAAAACCTATTTCGCTGACGCTTCGATATCCGCCCCTTGTTTCAATAGTAATACATACTATATGGTTTAGTGATACTATGGTTAGACGGAGGGGTCGATCGCACGTGCCGGGTCGGCAGGACGGCGATCGTCAGTTTGGCTCGTTTTGCTGGACATGCATTACGCGTGTTCGGAATTAAAAGCATTTCGCTAGTAGACGCGCCCATACTCATCTGAGCGGCCCCTCGCCCTACTGGGCATGTGACATCAACCTAGACTCTCCGACTGGTAGCAAAGAGAGGGCATGGAACATCGCCGGGGTGGCTGCAGGCCCGTTGAACAACAAAATGGCCGGAACAGCCCGAAACTGCATCTCGAGCAGACGCGGTCCTAGCAGCCTCCTTTTGCGCGGAAAGTGATACATGCAACATGTTTGTTTATTCTATGAACAGGCGGGGGCGATGGTTGCACTGCAGGAGCAAAGTCAACGCGTTGACAAGTTCAGCAGTCGCGACGGCGCGTGCCCAGCCTGAATCGACGTTTCGAGCCCCGCTCGTTGTGAAATGCAATCGCATAGATCGTCTTCTTGATTGGGCATGATCGCGGGCTGGACGCACATGCAAAAATTTTCCACGATGGGTCGGGCTCGACTGAGCGCCCCGTCGCTGCCGCTCTGTGTGTCACTGCGCCGCACGTGAACGACTCTATGATCATCAGAGTCCCACATACTCCCATCTGTATCATTATCGGCGCCGGACATGGCGCAGGAGCTGTCCAGGGCTGCGGTGCTGTTCAGTGCGCTTTGCCTCCCACAGGACCAGCGCTCACTGTCTGCACCGACACTCGTAGAACAGCTCTGTCGCCCGCCTACTTTCCTCCATCAATAAAAGAAGACTGGTTTTACTATAATTTCAAGCAAGGGAGTGGATTAGAGGCTTCTGCATTGACTAGTGGCCCAAAAACACTCTTGTTCGGAATTAAAATCAGGGGCGTAATGGTGGCCCAGTCAAAAAATTCTGTTCGGAATTAGAGACGCCTCTCTATGCAAACAGCTTGATCACATCAGCACAAATGTCGTAAAAGGTGAGAATGGAAGGGAAATCCACCCATTCATCGTCTTGGTGCAAACCTCCGCCAATCGGTTTGAACATGACTAGAAAGCAGAACGCAAAATCAAGGTGAGTGGCAACGAAGAATCCAACCAGGCTCGTGGCAAGCAGTGGAGAACAAATCAATCCAATCGCTCACCAACTGGAAAATCGGCCCAATGACCATCCGAAGTGCCGTGGCCACGAGAATACTCGACATCATGATGAACATGATCCTCCATCACCTTCTTGGTGGCAATCATGCACGGCAGCTCCGGAGGACAGAGCAGCATTGGTTGTTCGAATACAACCTCGGCGCGAATTTTTGAGGCATTGGGGCTGGAGGCAAGCGCGCCAAACACGACAGTCTTCAGCGTGTCCAGTGTCCATGTCTCAGTGAAGCGCATGTCAATCTTGGCAGATGCTGATCCAGGCACCTGGTTGATCACTTGGCCGCCTTGAATGATGGTTGGAACGCATGTCGAGTGCCATTGCGGGCCAACGTTGTCAAAGACGGGCTTGCCATCGTGCTGGATGCTACCGACTCGACCAATCTCGTCGATAAGCGTCAGCACTGCGTTGTCGCCGTTCCAAGGGTAAGCGCTGTGAGCCGACTTGCCGGACGCGGTCAGCTCGATGCGAAAAACGCCCTTCTCGTGCGTTACGAGCTTGAAATTGTCGCCACCGTCAGGGCACAGGCACATGTCGCACGAGATGTGCGGTCCCTCGGCGTCCGCAAAGGCAAACTTGGCGCCGTCGATGCCACCGATCTCTTCGTCAGTCACGACTGCGGACGACAACCACAAACAAACAAACAAACAAAAAAAAAAAAAAAGATTGTGCGTTCGACATTGAATTGAATGTGATACAGAATCTGATTTAAGCGATCGTGCACTCCATCATATGGAACGAGTCGCTTGCACATCAGATTGTCGCGAAAGGATGGTAGCGTTGCAGAAATCTTTCGCGCCCTCGGCCAACAAAATCGCTCAAAGCAAGCACAAAATAAAAGCTACCGCATACCAAGCATGGCCAGATCGAGATTTGCAGGATTGAGTGACTTGAGCAGATGCATGAGTGCAGCAACGGGACCCTTCATGTCGCTGACACCACGGCCGCGAATAACGCCAGTTGGCTCGCCTGAGTGGTGTTTTTTTTTTTTTTTTTTTCAGAGTGTATGATCATGTCAAGCAAACAACAATATGAGTGATCGGACGTGCGTGTGTGAGATTCAGAGTTTACCACACACAGTCGGCTCAGAATTGCAACATCTGTCACCTTCAATGCCATACGTCGCCATTGGGACGACATCGACGTGGCCCAGGATGAGCACCTTGCTGAACGGCTTGGCGCCAGAGCCCGACGCAGGCCACGGCTTGGACGAAATGTACAGCATTGGGGAGGCGCTGGGGCTCTTGGCGATGGGCGTCAGGTGCCAGGCAGTTCCTGCCCAACGAGAACCAAGTGAGTGAAGCGGGCGGTCGCTCTCCCAGTCAGCAATGGCAGGGACCCCGCCCCCCATCTGCATCACTACCAGCAAAGTACTCTTGGATGAAGCTCAGGCAGACGCGGCACTGGGCAACGTCGCGCGACGCCGATGGGATGTCAACCAGCGCCTTGGTCAGCGCAAAGACCTCCAGCAGTCGCGCATCTGACATGATAGCGGATGATCAGGGACACAATAACAAGAATGAAAAAGAGAACCATGCTGAAATGGAACGCTTGAGAATCAATGTCAGATCAGGACGATAGGTTGTCAAAAAAAAAAAATCGAGAAATCAAAGAGGCTAGGTTTTTTTTTTTTTTTTTTTGATTTTTTTTTCAATTTCTTACAGTGATTGCATCTGGGTTAATTTTGCGTGAACCCTCGCTCAGGTGCAGCCCATGTGTGGAGAGAGGAGCAACCGAACGAGAAGGTGTTGGAGATGTTGACTGGCACAGAACGAGAGTTCCAGGTCGATCCTCACTCGGGGAACAAAAAGAAAAAAACGTTGCCCTCCATTTCTCGCTGCATGTCAGCATCACAACATGGCAACCTGTGTAATAAGATACTATGTAAACCTTTGTATCGATTTATCGAGAAAAAGGGTCGAAATGTCGTGATCACACTTGACTCGCTGACATTTGTCCGATTTTTAGTTGCTGGTTTTTAATTTTCTGTTTTGGTCCTCAAAAACACGCCAACGTCGTGCTATTCGTTGACAACACACCTCGATGGCTTTAAATTCATGTCATCAATCAATATTTTAACCGAGACGCGTTCTCGTGAGTTGGTGAGAGCGTGAGGTGGCGTCGACTTCGTGCGAAACCGAAAGTGCTGAGTCGAGTGGACGTCGCATAGTAATCCACCAGCCAAGGAGGAGAGCACGCAAAGAATCATATTTATGAATTGGATTGAGGTGTGTCATGGCGCGGGGTACTTGGCTGTTCACTCTACAGGCTATCAAAATGACCCAATTGTGTGTGTGTGTGTTTTTTTTTTAATTGGTTGTGCCCTTTTTCCAAATCGCGATGATGGATCATGGTTTCGAGAATCCGATGCAATACTACAATACAGCTCGAGTGTCTTGCCTCGCGCGATTGAGAACAAGGCTTCGGAAGTGCGCAACAGCATGAGTCGGGTGAATGGTTGTGTGATCGAAGCGAGCTCGGTACCGCAACGTCCAGAGTGACCATCTGGCCAGGTGGAACAAGATGGTGAGGTATGCGCAGGAGTGGTCGTGCTTCTTGTCCACAATGAGTAGTTCGTATCGGTCTGTGCACCAAGGTCCGAGCAGCTTCGTTTTGGGCTTTGTGTCGTTTTTTGTTTTTGTTTTCCCTCTCCTTCATGTTTCAAGTCGGCGTCCGTACTTGTCATCCTCGTCTATGCCATTGTTGTGTTGTTGTGTTTTTCAGTCTTCTTGATGTTAGTCATTGTTCGTTGTTGTGGCGGCGCTTTTTTTTTTCTTTGTTTGCGTCGCTGCCGCACTTTTCGTGCGTTTGACACCGCCTGGAGTCTGCACTCTGCGTTTGAGAGAAAATTTGTGAAAGCACAACCAATGAGACTGACTGAAACAACCGCGTTGTTCCGATAGATCGAAAGTCAACAATGCTGTCGTATCAAAATATGAGCGCGAGACAGCGCGAGTTGTACGACAAAGTCAAGAAGGCCAGTAAATCTCTCGAGTAAGAAAAAGCCGATATTGGACAGAAATTGTGACAACATGTGTATTGATGAAATAGAGGACAGACAACAGTGCCAGCGTATTGGCGATGCCGGAGCACAAGCGGTTGCTGAGGGACTCAAAGGCAACCCGAACGTGGAGAAACTCAAGTGAGTCATCTTGCTTCGAGTGAGGAGTGTGAGTGGGCGGCTTCGGCAGAGGACATTAAGAGTGGCTCACTATTGGAGGGGACGGACAGTCTGGGCTGGAATCAGATTGGTGATGCTGGAGCGCGGGCGATTGCTGAGACGCTCAAACTCAATATGACGGTAACTGAACTCTGGTAGGTCGTCTATCTCCCGATGGCTAGTGCATGTGAGTGGGCGATCTAGTAGAGGGCATTACGAGTGCTCAGTGGTAAATGGGACGGACAGTCTGAACGACAATCAAATTGGCGAAGATGGTGCGCGGGCGATTGCTGAGACACTCAAAGTGAACACGACGCTGACTAAAATCAAGTAAGTCGTCTCACATTGACTAGTGCATGTGAGTGGGTGGTTTCAGCATAGGCATTCAGAGTGCTCAGTGGTGAATGGGACGGACAAGTCTGATTGAGAATCAGATTGGTGATGCTGGGGCACAAGCGATTGCTGAGACGCTCAAAGTGAACACGACAGTGGCGCACCTCGGGTAAGGCAACTCGCTTCCATTGATGCGTGTGAGTGGGTGATGTCAGCAGAGGACATTTAGAGTGCTCACTGATGGACGGACAGCCTATGGCAGAATCAGATTGGCAATGCTGGTGCCCAGGCACTTTCTGCGGCACTCAAAGTGAACAAGACAATGACCGACCTCGAGTAAGGGGTGTCACTTTCACTCAACAGGGTGAATTCAGAGTGCTCATTGATGGAGGGGATGTACAGTCTGAAGGGGAATCAGGTTGGCGATGCTGGAGCACAGGCGATTGCTGAAACGCTCAGAGTCAACACAACAGTCACTTACCTCAGGTAAGTCATCTCACTTTGATGTGAGTCAGCAGAGGTGCTCAGAATGCGTACTCATGGCTGAACAGTTTGCACAATAATAAGCTTGGCGATGCTGGAGCGACGGCGATTGCTGAGATGCTCCAAGTGAACAAGATGCTGACTTCGCTCGAGTAAGGCAACTCACTTTAACTGATGTTTGTAAATGAGCGATGTCAGCAGATGGTCTTCAGATTGCTTACTGATTGTGTGGACTAGTCTTACTGAGAATGAGATTGGTAATGCGGGAGCGCAGGCGATGGCTGAGGCACTCAGGGTGAACACGACGCTATCTCAGCTACAGTAAGCCGACTCACTCTAGCAATGCAAATACTGAGTGGGTGATTTCGGCAAATGGCATTCAGAGTGCGTATTAATGATGACGAGTACGGACAGCATGAGCCACAATCAGATTGACGATGCTGGAGCGAACGCAATTGCCGAGTCGCTCAAAGTGAACACGTCCTTGCGAACGCTCGGGTAAGTTCCATCACTTTTGCTGGCACTTGTCAGTGGGAATATTGTCAGCAAAAGGCTCATCGATGGAGCAATTTGACAGTTTGGACAAGATTGGCAACGCTGGAGCGCAGACAATGGCTGAAGTACTCCAAATGAACACGACGCTGACTCATCTCAGGTAAGGCATATCATAGTTTCTGATGCATGTGATTGGGTAGCAGAGGTATTCAAAGTGCTCATTGAATGGAACGGACCGACAGTCTGGGTCTAATTGGCGACCCAGAAGCACAGGCCATTGCTGAGGCACTCAAAGTGAACACGGCCTTGACTGGTCTCAGGTAATCCAATTCACTTTGACTGACGCGTGCGAGTGGGAATTGTAGCAGAGGGCATTCAAATGCTCACTGATGGAGAGGAATGGACAGTCTGTGTTGCAATCAGATTGGTGACGCTGGAGCGAAGACGATTGCTGACGCACTCAAGGTGAACACGATATTGTTACGTCTCTGGTATGTCATCTCTCTTCAACGATGCTTGTGTATGTGCGATCCAGCAAACGAATTCAGAGTGCTCACGAATGGAGAGAATTCACAGGCTCAAGCAGAATCAGATCGGCAATGCTGGAGCGCAGGCAATCGCTGAAGCACTCAAGGTCAACACGAGGCTGACATATCTTGGGTAAAGCATCTCACTTTACTGATGCTTGTGAGTGGATGATTCAGCAGGGGGCATTTCAATGCGTACTGATGGATGTACAGTCTGAGTGAGAATGAGATTGGCAATGCGGGAGCGCAGGCGCTTGCTGAGGCTCTCAAAGTGAACACGAGGTTGACTTGGATCGAGTAAGACAGCTATCCCTCACAGTTCCACTTGAGCTAACTGATGGATGGAACGCACAGTTTGGAAGACAATCAGATTGGCGATGTTGGAGCCCAGGCGATTGCCGAAGCGTTCAAGGTGGACCCGAAGCCGAGGCTTACAACGTATGGTGTCGTGCACTTTAACTTTGCCAGGGTCATCCATATCACTCACTTGCATTGCTCAACAGTCTGGAGCGGAATTGCATTAGCAATGCTTGTTCTCAAGCAATCAGTTCACACAGGGGCCATGATGAACGGAGGCCTTAGTAAGTTGTCCTTGCCAACTGAAGCCATTGAAGCTCACGCGAGCTGCTTCCAACCAATGAAGTGTGCCTTCCGATTGCTCATTTATGGTGCTTGTTCATTGCGCAGCATTTACAACCAGGTTAACCCTCTTGCATTCTCCTTATTTCCACGCGTAGCAACCGCTGACGACCTTCAGACCGTGTTTTGCTTGCTGACCAGCGGACTGGAGCTGAAAGATCAGTCCACAGTTCTGCCAGCATTACCAGCCGAGATTGCCGACATCATTATGGACGAAGCGCAACACTGGCAAGGCGTCCAGCATACCAAACGAAACTGGTGCGATGACCGTCCTCTCAAAGTCACAATGCCTCAAAGCATCCATGGAAATTCGACCCGTGTAAAAACAATTCAAGTGGTTCGGGACACGGGGAAACTTTACCACCGCATCGGTGACAACGTCTTTGACTTGATTGTTCGAGATGAGCAAGGTGCTGTTCAGTACAACTGTGCTGTTAAAGCGACTTTTGTCGATTCTACGCTCGTATCCGCGACGCTCTGGCCAGCGAGCACTCCTATCATCAGGCAAATCCGCGTGGGTTGGGAAGTTCAGGTTCAACCCAGCAAGTCTGCCCGAGATGTGCTGTTTGAATCGCTCGTTGTTAGATGTATGTAGAGTACCTGTGTCATACTGTCAGGACCCGCAGGGTCTGGTCTGTGTTAAGATCCTGGACTGTGTAAGACCTTGGTAGGCAATGTTGTTGTAAAGTGTTTTTATTTCACTTTGCAGACCGAACCGCAATTCCAAAATGCATGCAAACAAACAATACAAAGACATCAACGCCGAGTCTTCTTAGCAAAGAACGACCCAGTCGGGACCGCAGAGCCTGCGGGTCCTGACAGGCTCAAAAGACCCGGGCAGCGACTATCAGAGCGAAGCGAGCTGCAGCGTACGC